TCAACCTCCCCACGCTGCTGCCTGCTCGCCTGGCTACTTCCACTCGCGGCGAGTGCTGCCTGTTCGTGTCAACTCGTCGATGAGTGCTGCCTGCTTCCACTCGTGTCGGCTCGTGGTGAGTGCTGACTGTCCGCGTCAACTCGTCGATGAGTGCTGCCGATTGCTCGCCCAGGCTCCTCACTCGTGTCAGCTCGTCGATGAGTGCTGATCCACTCTTGTCAGCTTGTGGACGAGTGCTGATCCACTCTTGTCAGCTGCGATCAAGAACAAGGCCTTGCCAGCGCTGCAAACCACTGTCTGTTTTACTACTCTATACTTCTATAATTAATAAATTGATAAAGACTGAATAGAACCGTGTAGCGAGCCTTTGTGTCCGGCTAATGGCTGACTAGAGACTGTTATAAAGACTTGTCGAAATGATTCTCCGGCTGATGGATGACTAATAAATGCAGACTAGAGACTGTTATAAAGACTTGTCGAAATGATTCTCCGGCTGATGGATGACTAATAAATGCAAATAGAGAATACTGTAGACTGTTGATAAAGACTTGATAGCGACGATGTCTAGATGATGACTAATAAAGAGAATAATGCAGAGCTTAGAAAAGAGATCCTGGGACAATGACACATAGAAAAGAGATACTGAGCCGATGACAAAACAGGAGATACTGAGCCGATGACAAAACAGGAAATACGCGATAATGACAGTGATAATGCCAATCGAAGCAGAGCTGGCAGGCGCGCCACCCCTACCCATGTGGGACTCCCCCCCCCCCCTCCCACTTGCTCTTAATCCCCACCCCTACCCATGTGGGACTCCCCCCCCTCCCACTTGCTCTTAATCCCCTCCCACTTGCCATGTGGGACTCCCCCTACACACCCCCCTCCCACTTGCTACCCTCTGTGTAGGCCGACAGAAGGACAGACACACAGACAGAAAAAACAGATAAACGAGTGAGCGCGCAGGAAACTAAAAGGATCAGACGAGTCGGCAAGAGCTAGAGATGACACTCGTTGCGATCGTCCATGTGATGTTATCCTCCAAAACCATCCCCGTGATCACTACTTGAAACTTCCGCAGAATCGAATTTTCTAAAGGGACAGCGTCTGTGGTCTCCTTCGCTACCAGCCAAGCATCGTCGTCGTTTCACTGGGCGCAGGTCTGCATCTGCATCCGTGTCGGCGACGCGCTTGGCTGGATTAACCTGACTGCTCACAGACAAAGGAGATCCGACAGCGCCTAATTGTTCGTTATTCTCAACTGGGGTCTGTTGATGTTCCGGGTCATAAGACGGAGGCGCGTGCTCTGGATGCACAATGTAGAAAACGGCCCTCATCTCATCGTGCAGCATCTGGAACATCTCGCGCTGACTTGGCGTTAGCATTTTGAACCAGATTATCTCTCTGCACACCTGGTACACATTTTTGTGATCGTTGGGGGATACGGAGAGCTTTAGTGCATCTGAAAACACAGTGAAGCCGCCGTGGGGATGGGTTCCTCGGTATCCTTGTTCCGGAACGCTCTCAGCATATTCAGGGCAGACGAGCTCATCTTCAAAGTATGACTTGTTCAATGAAGCGGTGACGAGAACACGAAACCTATAGCCGTAGCCGACTTGATCGACTCTAGCAAGCCTGCCCAAGAAACGCTCGCACTCTTCGCGCATGAGCGTGTTTCCAAGCAGAGATAACCTATGCTGTAGGAGAACGGCGTCGACCCACTCTTGTCTGATCTGTCTGTGGTCGGGGTCAATCGTGAGATAGATGGAGTACCAGCGACTGAGATGATTGATACGCTCGTAGTCGCGCATCAAGGTCGTCAAAGCAGAGTCCAATTGGCGAAGGCTGAGTCGACCATCTGCCACTGCCTTGAAAGGGATGAATTCGAACGAAGGGCAATGAACGTCGATATTTGTTAACAGAGACGAGAAGGTGACCGTGGACATGTTCTCATGAGTTAAGCGCCAGCCCTCTTTACTCAAAAGCCGCTCGGGATAGGGCGTGTTGACCATGCGTTCAAAGCCCTCTCGCGTAAGAGATCTTTGACGGTTCAGAAAATCGTTCAAGACCTGCGGGAGGTGGAGTTCAAAAGACTCCAACGTGCTGTGTGAGCCGGGAGGGAGCGGAATCCGCCGAACGAGCGAACGGATCAAGGGGTTCGAGTGGTCTATGACTTCGCGTCCTTGAACAGGTTCGTACGCTGGTGGACTTTCCGTGGGCGGCACAGGATCGAGAAAAGTGGAAGAGAAAAGAAGATCGAGGACAGCTTGATCACTATAAAGATCAAAAGAAGCCATGGTCATTGGGAGAGCCGAAGGTTGGGAACGAGGTGCTGATCGAAAGGAAAGGTATGAGGGGAGAGAAGAAGAAAGGAAAGAAGGGCGTGGGACGTACATTTTATAACCAGGCATAGCAAGCAAACAAGGCAGGAGGCCGCACATGGTAGCTAAAAATAAAGGGCAAAGGGTGGCTTCGTCAGGTACGGAAAGAAGGCCGTGATTGCTGTGCAAGTCGAAGCCTTGTTGACCGGAAAACCAGCAAGATAGTCATTCTCCTTGCCGCCGGCCTCTCCTTTCCTGTCTCTGGTATTCGTAAAACCGGTAACAATATATCCATACAGGCCAGATTCGTTGTTTGAATCAAATCATCATGCACGATATATTATTGATGCGACGGTACCTCGCGCTGTTCGAGCTGTTTTTGAACAAGAGAGAGTTGCTGGGAGGTGAGAACATGGTCTCAGATAATTAGGGTTTGCCTTGTAGCAATCCCAGTCCCACAATCAGTGCTTCAGCTTTTGGCGGCTTTGGTCATTTCTTTGGTCACTTTCTTCTGGATATTAAATAATAATACAATTTAGACCGGTACTTATAATAATAAATCTTAACTCTTAAATAATAATAATACTAATAAATCCCGACATTAGAGATCATTCGTTACGCCGATGTCAACTTGCTGATGTCGCATTTTGAGCTGAGAACTGCTGAGGACACCACTTCTGTGAATCATAATAAATCAACATTTTACGGCGATCCAGAGCAGCAAGCTACACAAGGATGCACCAACAAACTGGTGATGTGTAGCTCTTCACTGAATTTAATGTGATTGCATATTTATGGACTTTTATAGGAGCGAGGGGTGGTGTATATTAAATGCTGCAGTATTATACAGCGATCTACAAACACGGCTACAGAATAAATAAGGTGAAGGGAGCCACCAGCAATCAAAATGATCTACAATGACCCCGAATATATTTTGAATGCAAAGACAAAGACAAAACCAAAAACAAAACCAGTAATAGGAAACTGAAAGGAGTGTTAAATTGAAATAACACGAGCTATTGCACACGCGAGAATCAAGCGACAGAGTCCGGAAATAATGATTCGCCCCCAGTCCTGCGCAATTCGATAATTTTCGGCGGGATTAAAGATAACACTGTCTCACAGAAGGATATGGAGGGTATTCCGAGCGTACTTTCCAAAGGCCAATGATTTGACATTCAGTGACGACCGTACAGCAGGGAAGAGGTGCAGACAGACAGTAGCGTTACTTCTTTAAACAGAAACCAGCATGTAGTCCGATGAGATGACGTTAGCGAGGGTATCTTGTACAATGGCATATGTCAGATACACAGTAGAGGTGGATCACTTCTCTCTTGAGTGTTGGCGTATCTTCCTGAGCAGTAGTCGACGTATAAGACTCTTCTGGTTCGTTCCAGGATGTAATATGCTGCGGGGGGACAGCTAGATGAACAAGGGGAAGTCAGTAAAGCTTGAGAGACTTGAGAGAAGGAAAGGGGGATCATAGGACCGTTATACATATGCTGGCTACTATACAGCGAAGCCTTGATAACCAGCGATCGAAGATCTTTTCGAGCGAGCACGACCATAGGCAGTTAATAACAGAAACCCGGACTAGATCCTGCGGTTCTGCCTAGCTGGTCCTTGATGTTGCTTTTGCCAGCACGAGAGGCGGCATTATCGTGCGCGGCATTTTAGCTCATTGTTTATGAGCGTCTGGGAGGGGAGCGGTTAAGAAGGAGCACCCTGTTGATATGAAATTCGTTGATGCGCTCTTTCCATTGTGATTCGAAGACGTAGTTTTCGTCGCGTTGCGGAGCAAGTGACACCCGGTGCCTCTCTCAGTCATCGAGTTGCTTTGCAACAAGAGAAGCGGGTGCCTATGAGTCGGAATCGGTCGTCTATTGTGCTTGGGGCACACAGCAGCATGTTGCGATGCACGAGAAGAACGTGTTTTCTTCTTATCGACAGCCATTGTTGGGAATAGGGACGCGCAGAAGGTGGTTGCTGAGGTAAGAAAGTATTGAGTTGTGCCGAGAAATGAGGATAGATGGAGTCAGCGAGGCCTTTTGTGTTGACCATTTGTGCCTTGTTCGAACAAGGGCGGCCCTGTATCTGAACCCTGCTGAGCTAGAGGAGTTTGTGTAGGGTCTGAGCTATGTAGAACAGTTGGAAACATTTTAGAACAAGGAGATATCTACACAAAACCCTGAAATACTCGCCGTTCGCCTGGTCCCCGAAAATGCTCGTCTTCTTTTACAAAGCCTGCGTTCTTGTGCGACGCGTAGAACTGCACGCTCTCCAACCAAGCCGCCTCAACACCTAACTGCGCTGCTTTGATTTCTTTGTTCTATCTTTCTGTACCGTTCGTCTTCTTCTTTAGCTGTTGCTTGATGTGTGTCGCTCTGTTGGCTCCGCGTTTCTCTTCCTCGACGTTGACACTGACGCTGCCCACCTGCACCACCCTCCCCAAGATCGCGTGCGCTCTCTTCGACACCCTGCTGTGCTTTCTCCGGGGTTACAAGACCAGCCTTATTCGTAAAGCTCAAGCGACTTCACGACGTCACTATGTCTACGGAGCTTCCAGTTACGAATCATAATGATAATCATCATACCTGATTTATGATAAGAGTATGGAGGAAGTAGCAGGCCGTCGCTATTGAGTGAGAGTTTGCTGCTAGCACCCTTCTAGTAAGGTGTAATATAATATATAACAGGCTGGCTTACCAGTATTGATAAACAGGTTGATAGAAACCAACCAGTCTTCCGGTTTTCGATATTTAGACAAAATATATACAATTCGACAAGGTACTCCTACCAGGCCACAAACCCGACTCCTCCGAACTAAGTTTTCATGATCCCACTATCCTTCTGAGCATTCACCCCTCCGCGCGATGCTTGACTCGCACTTATCTTTTTCCCAGCAGCTTCTCTCAGTCTGTCCTCAAGAGCTTCCACCTTCTCACCAAATGAATCTACAGATTCCTCCAGCTCATCGAGCTTCTGATCCAGCGTCCGCATCTCGTATTGCAGCCGCGCTGCCTCCATATCTAGATCCCGGATTCCATTGGCCAAATACCCTTCGCGCTGTACGACACGATGATACTCCTCTTCCAAGGCATTCATATCTCGCTCTGAGTGCGCATAAAACATCATCAAATCGGCTTGCTGCAATTCGAAATCACCTCTGATAATCTGTAGAGCGACAAAGAGATTAGCTTGAGATCAACATCAATGTAATTTTGTAAAATAGCACAATAAGAAAGCTTACCTCAGCTTTTTTGGTCTCGCTTGAACACCATTCCTCTCTGCGCTTCACTTGCTTGATCAATTGCAGAACGTAATCAGGCGAATACTCAGACGGTTCTGTTCGACGAAACACAGCAGCTTCAGCGACTGAGAAACTAGATCGACGGCAAGGCGCGTCTTCGTAACTGCAGCTATTGTTGGGAGGCTCCATAACAAGTGTATCCATCGGCAATAGAGAGCTCTTCAGTTGCGCACTATCAGATGATTTCGACAACGCAAGGGGTACGCTCTCTGTGTTCGTGCTCCGAGTGTTGATGTGGCTTATATGTACACCCAAATCGTCAAATGAATATGCTCGTCGAGGAATGACTCCCATCTGTCCAGCCTTTTGGCGGTCCAGGCCCATTCTGAACTCGTCTTCGATGGCTTCCAGAAGTATTCTCTCCTCTCTCATTTGATCGTTCTCCACGACGAGACTTGCGCGGGACTCGTGGTTGACTGTCTCATCTCCAAGTGCCTTCTCCGATTCAGCTTCACTCGTCGTCCTGTGCCGAAGTTTGCGACTGCTGAAGTACTCTTCTGCCTCTTCATCCACTTCATCGTACTCATCGCCATCATCCGAAACATCATCCTCATACCGATAGTCTGTGAAAACCTCTGGCGCGTCAGGATCATCAACTCCTCCAGCAAAATCGGTTGCTATTGAAGGTGCACTAGAGCCCGCAGTTGAAAGAGGTCGGTTATCGACTTCGCCTGTATGTCTCCCGCTGAGCGTCTTTTTTGACTTGTTGCTGCTTGCCGAATACAACTGCTGGCTGACCATTTCTTCGTTTTCTGGACGCCCCCGCTTTGATTTCAAATAATTCCCTGCTTTCCGTAAGGCCTCGTCTGTCTTGACTTTCCGCCTATGCATTCGATCCTTGAGATGAATCTTCGATGTTCCATCAAACGCAGCAGACTCCACTGTGGCCGCAGAAGTCAACTCGGCGTTGGATTCAGAGGCCTCGTCGTTCCGCGCTTGCCTTCGCTCTCTTCGTTGCATCCGCACAAAATCTGGAACTTGATCAAAAAGTGAAGATCCTGTTCGCTTCATAAGAGACTGATTTTCGGCTATCTCTTCGGATTGGTCGTAGTCCGAATCTGAGTCAGTGCGCGAATAAGTGCTGCTTGCTGTAGTAGACACCGCCGCTGATGGTTTTGGTAGTTTTGTTTCCAACCCTTCAGATTGACGAGGAGAGAGAGACTGTAGATCTTGTTTGGACGATGATGCGCGAGTCCCAGAGCTTTTGTTGCTGACTTCCGGCGAAAGATGGGACGACAAAGTACTCTTTTGCGAGAGCGTTGCGTCATTCTCTGTCCCGGTCGACTGCTGCTTGGGAGAACTTGTGGAGGGACTTTGTGGCACCAGCTGTTTGGCGAACTGCGCATAATTTTCCCAAGTGTACGCATACTTGGATATACTCTTCATGTATCTTTCATATTCTTTGGCGTTTCCCTTTCCCAGAAAAAGATATCGAAGAGTGTGCCCATAGACGTTCTGTAGGAACTTGTCGTATTCGGTGGTCTCAACATCTGATGCGTTTTGCGAGTGAATGCCGGACAAATCTTGAACAGTTGTCTTGACCACTTTCGCAATCGCAAACCTTTCCGACGCTGAAATCTTTCCTGAAATCTTGAACAAGCTCTCGCGTGTATTTGGATCGAGTATGAGGTTGCCTTTCAACTTGTACTGCCGCTGAAAAGAGCCAATGCTTTGCTGGAACACATCCATGTCAAACGGGTCCTTCGGAACAGGTGCTCCAGAACCATTGAGACGATGGCGACATCCGACGACCATGCCCAACACTGCGGCGACAGTGGTAGGGCCCAAACTTCTCTCGGACTGGCTACCATAATGACCAACTCCGATGTCGTGCCACCAAGTATTGAGAGCCTTCTCGGTCATGTCGCACAACAGCCCATCAACGTCCGCAAGTTTGAATAGACCAAAGTAATAAAGGCACACCTGGACCAGTTTCACGAGATCAATCACCGCATCCTCAAACGGCACTCGATCGCTGAGTTTGTATAGCTGATAGAATTTGTCGCGACTCGCATCGGCAGGCTTGTTCAATGTGATGCCAGAACGAGCACCACAACCAATTCTGCGCAAGTTTTCGTTCAGAATGAAGTCTTTGAGATGAGAGGGAAAGTCGCCGTCGGGAACAGGGATCAGTGTCAAACTGGAAGGGAAGGAAGAGAGACTGGTGACGTATAGGAAGGCATTGAGCGGCTCATATGGATTCTTTTTGGCGTTCATTTTCGCCAAGTCGTCCATGAACAAGGAAAGGGTCTTTGGCCAGAGCTGCGAATCGGCAGGAATCGTGACTGAGGCGACTGTGACGACGTGGTCGGGATTGCCCGTGTAGCAGACGATGCAGGCATTTCTCGCTCGCCTGGTTGCCCACTGCTCGACGACATAGACTTCATAGCCAACTATCTCAAACAATCCCGGATTGATGAAGTTATAACGGGACTCTTGTAGAAAGCGCAAGCCTGGGATGCAGGGAACTAGGACGACTTGCTTCGGCACGTCTGCGCTGTAGAAACGGGAAGGCGAGCGGGTTGATTGGTGACGTCGCCTGCTTGGACTCCGGCTCCAAGCACCAGAGTTTCTGTTCTCAAAAGTCCCGGAAGCGGAAAGCCTGTCTAGCTGTGGACTAGGAGCCATACTCGAGGGACTACCGGGAGGGTTCTGATAGGAAGAGACGGAAGACTCGGCGGGGTGGCGGGATGATCTGTGGAAAGTCGATCCGCGGAAGACGTCTGAAGCAGAGTAGGGAAGGATAGAGGTGTTTGAAAAAGCCATGCCCCAAAAGACCACGCGGCCTGCTGCAGGGAACCGGGCTGCTTCGCCAGTGAAGGGTTGACTTGAGAACTGCGGGTGGATCAAAGACCGACTTCCAACTCGGCCAACACTTTCTCGATGGTAGCGTCGTGCGGCGCGCCATTATGGGCAGCGCTGTATCCGGGCCCTTACCCGAATACGATAGATATCTCACAGAGTTGATCACGGATGGATCACATTGTGACTGGTAGACTCCGGTCCTAAATTGTCTCGCCGGGCAAAGTATCGCACTGGCCTCGAGTCTACCTGCTCTGCTCACAGCTGCGACCCGTCTTATCCTTCTGCACCGCTCTTGCTTCCTTTGCTCAAATATTCGTCTACAGCACCATTTGTGGCCTATCTATATAACATAACCATGACGACCGCTACTATCACCGAAAGCATGCTCACGCGTGAGCGTATATTGCGTCTGTTCCCCGACGTCGCCGCCAACGATGTCGAGAAGCCCGATAATCAGAGCGGGCCCGAGTTGGAAGGCTACGACGAAGAGCAGGTTCGTCTCATGGAAGAGGTCTGCATTGTCTTGGACTGGAACGATGTGCCCTGCGGCAGTGCCAGCAAAAAGACTTGTGAGTTGTCAATCCTACCAAAGTCGGCTCTGCTTTAGACGCGTCGGCAGCTCTTCGATAGCTGTACGCGTCTAATGCGCTGTTTACTTTCCTTTTCCTCGGATTTTGTGCGGATTATGCTTCTAACACTTACAAGGCCATCTTATGACGAACATCGACAGCGGACTCCTTCACCGGGCGTTCTCGGTCTTCCTTTTCAACGATGAAAACAAGCTTCTTCTCCAGCAGAGAGCGGATGAAAAAATTACGTTTCCTGGTGAGTACAATGTCGCTTAAACATACACCGACTATAGACTTATTGGTATTTATCTATTTAAGGCATGTGGACGAATACCTGCTGCTCTCATCCGCTCTCGATCCCTGGTGAGATTGGACACGACCTCCCGACGTCAATCATGGGCGTAAAGCGAGCCGCTCAGAGAAAGCTTGATCAGGAGCTTGGAATTCCGGGATCGGAGGTTCCAGTCGACAACTTCCATTTCCTTACTCGTATTCACTACAAAGCTCCAAGTGATGGTATTTGGGGAGAGCACGAAAGTGAGTTTGATTGATGTCTTTCCGGCTCTATAAGTGTAATGGATAGCTGACAAGAATCTATCGATTAGTTGATTATATTCTGTTCATCAAGTCCACTCCGTCCGTCGCCGCAAACCCCAACGAGGTCAAAGACACGAAATATGTCACTGCCGATGAATTGAAAGCGATGTTCAAAGACGACAGCCTTACCTTCACACCCTGGTTCAAGCTTATCTGCGAGACATATCTCTTTGGTTGGTGGTCCGATATCGACAATGTTACCTCTTTTCATGAAGATAGCATCAGACGTCTTCTGTAAGCTCATTTACAGCGTCTCTGTTCGATTGGCGGCGTCGATCGCCGTTTTGTTTTATATTTCATAAAACCATATATTTAGGATGCTTCCGGCTGCAAACTGTTTTCTGCCGTCAGTTTATACATGGGTCTAAGTGGCAAAAAAGTTCTTTCGATTTTGAATAGAATGCATCTCTGATCATCGTCTACTTTTTGTGGATCTGAATGAGAGGTCAAACTGAGTTATACTCTACTACTGGAGACTATGAGACGAACTTGTTTGGCAGAAGATGATGTGTGCTTCTTTCCTTCTTCTGTATTTTTAATTTTATCTGGTGATGTTTTTTCATGGCCTCATCATGCTGAGCTTCAACCAGATACCATAAGATAATTGTTGTATTGTCAAATTGTCTTGTTCTATTGATTTTTATTGTCTTTGTTTGTACCATCTAGAGTGTGCACGTTGCCACCGATTAATTATCTCATCCCTGTTCTGTTCTTTGTATTGTATTTCAAGCATACTTTCAGTGTTAATTCTTTCCGTTTTTGGGTCTATATTTCAATCAAAGCTTTATTCTAATATTGAATATTGAAGAAACGCGAATGGGGTCGCAGAGTATGACGCGATTGCGATGCCTTTCACCCACACTTCCACCGTTAACAAGGTCACAGCTGAGCCTAGAAGCGGTAAAAGCAGAAATACCTCTCATTGATGTGAAAAACGGTTGACATATCTTTGCCTCTCCTACTGCTTTTGTTTACTGTTAAAATTTGTCTGCTCTCGGTTCTCGTATAGGAATCAGAGAAATATTATTAGTAATTTATTAGTCACGATACGCCGCTTAGATTAACTACGGAGATCATGGATCTCAGTTGATCGATCCGTATTCTCTACTACTTCAATTTACTATCCACCCTGCTCGCAGTCATGGACGCACCGAACATATCAGATAGAACGTTAAAGCAGGAATTTGCCCACGCTTTATCTTTATACTCGCTTCTTCTTCCAAACAACACAGATACGTCGGTAGCGATTCGCACCAATCCCCCAGCTTCGACCACGATTTCTCAGCGTGATCTTCAATCCACCAGCAGCGACGGCTACCAGTCTTTACTGCGACAGTGCATATCGTCTTTTGAAGCCAGCAAATCAAAGGCAGAGCGCCTTTCTCTTTTCAGTGACAACGAATCTATAGAAGATGTCGCCACAAATTCAATTTTATTTCTCACGATCGATTATTACCTCGCGACTCTCAACGACAGGATATTCACGGCTGGAATCTCGGAGCGCAAACCGTTAGCGATAAAGTCCAAGCAGTTGTATCTGTCATTCCTGGCTCTATGCGACTCCTATGGCTTGTTAAAGCCTGAGAGCGCGAAAATTCTACACTTCATTCAAAAGGCCCCAGTTGAGTCTCCAATTTTCACTAAAGCATTTGCTCAAAGTTATAAAGATCCGGCAGAACAGCGAGCGGCAAGAATCGCCAAATTCAAGAGGGAGAAAGCGATTGAAAACAGTGTGAAAGAGTTACGGGATCGCATGTTGGCAAGCACAGAGGCTGACGACGATGATGACGACGATATCGCCCGTGATCTTTACATACGACAAATCGAGTTGTTCGCTGAACGGTCATTCAACTCCTTGCAAGGTCTGGATTCAGAGCTCGAAATTTTGGCTATGGCTCCCTCTCAACCTGCTCCCCCTCCTCAGCCACCGAAATCAGAGTCCGAAAATAAGAAAGACGACTATTCTGATCGTCTCGATGCGCCTGCCAGAAGCTCGCAGCCTTTGCTGACGCCGCAAGGCAAAGTCAATCGACCATTCATGATTGTGAATAAGAGAGAGCAGTTGAAGAAAAATGTGTTCAAACCGGATTACGTGCTGCCGACAATGACGATTGATGAATATTTGGATGAAGAGCGAAAAATGGGAAATATGATCGAAGGAGGTGGGCCCGAATCGGCAAAGAAAACTGAGGTCGACGAGGATAACGAAGAAGAGCAGGATAAAGAAACATACAGGCTTCGCCAATGGGACGAGTTTACTGAAGCGAATCCTCGAGGATCTGGTAACACAAAGATGAACAGAGGGTAGTTTTGATTTTGTATATATGTATAATCTATGAACGAGCCGGTTATCATTCGACCGAAGTACACTAGCTCTGTAAAGCTGCTGGTACCTGCCATCCAGGCTCCACTCCTTCCAATTTGAGTGGGTCGAATCCTTCCCATTGACTTGTGATCTTGGTTACCAATGAGTATAGAATCTTGTAGCCGTCGCCATTCAAATGAAGACCATCAATAGTAAACCTCCCTATATTCTGTTCCTCATCCGTCGCTGGAGGCCCTACCAGAACAGAGTTTGTATCTGTATTGGCATATCCTGCAGCGTTCATGACTGCGTCAAACAAATTCGCCCGCTTAATCATACCTCCATCATCAGCGAATTGGCAGTTCATTACGGCTTCGGCATACTGTTTGTGAGCAAGTTGTGTTCTATCTGCACCCTTTGATCTCATTGTCGATTGCCGCATCTTTGAGATACTAACAGGTGCTGGGGTGATGAGTATGATGCCCGCAGCAGGAAATTTGGTCCTGATTTCTGAAACGTATTCACGTAAACTGCTCTGAAATTCTTCAATGGGAACACGGTGGGGAGTTCCTTCGATGCAGCAATCATTCGTACCCAGCCAGATGACAAATAACAGTGCGTTATCTGGAGGCCCATAACTCAATTCTTGGATTATACGTTCAAACTGTGGACGTAACCATTTTGTGCTGTAACCAGATAGTCCGCGATTGAGAACATCTGCTCGTCTTGTATAGTAGTTTGCGAGTGCTGCAGCAAAGGCGAAGTCGAGATCCGGACGCCACGAACGCTCGAATTGCGAATCTCCAAATAATATGACTTTCTTGTAATGTTGAATCGTCGGCATCTCTGAAATTGAGGGATTAATGAGGTGGTGGAGCGTATTGCTGGCTGGCATAAGGTGAAAGTGAGAGACAATCAGATCTTTGATCCTGTCCCAACTTATCTGAACGGAGCTTAAATTCACTGATAGCAATGAAAGAAAGACGACAATCAGACCAAACCACTTTGACTGCATATTTTGATCTCGTTCATGTTTCGATGACAAACTACCGAATTGTAGACCTTAGAATTTGTGTCTGGGAGATAGAGAGCAGAAATAGGTTAGAAGATCGATCCAAGCGAGGGATGGTTTACTAAATAATTTATGCTGTTCCTCGCCAATAGGACCGGAAAGTCGATACGAAGATTTATCCGAACAAAAGAATCTAAAAGATGGAGTTGCTGTGCATGATTTTTTTTTAGAAAATTATTAAAGTCTTATTATTTGTGCATGATATACTCTACTCCTTTCTGTACAAAGCGATCGCCCCGATTTTTCTCTCTACGCACCACCGCGGCCACCAACATTTGCGAGAGCCTCCTTGACACCACTAGGAATGGTAACCGTAGGCAGAGGAAGGCTGCCGGTTCCCTCGGGTGCATCCAAAAATCCGATCTCAATGAGATAAGCCAAGTAGATTCCCATGATTTTCTCATCAACACCGGCACCAGCTGACTTGTCCTCTCCGGTCCAGTTCTCACCGTCGAACTTCAAAGCCTCAACAGCGTGACGATCATCCAACTCCGGAGCCTTGGTGGAGTTTGGAAGATTGTCCAGAACAAAGTGAAGAAGAGGGTATAGCGCGTTATCACGAGATTCTTCAACAACGTATCTCTCAAGAGCAATACGCCATGGAATGTAATCCACCTTCTTGGTCTTGTAGCCGTATGTGGAAAGAGTGCCCAAAAATTCGTTGAATCGTAGACGAGGATGACCAGTGGCATGCACCACCTGGAGCTTCTCGGTTGTCGGAGCATAGAAAGCACCAGATACGACAACACGAGCAACGTGATCGACCGGAGTCATATTCACGGTGTTGTAGATATCAGGCGAAAGGCCGAGCTGAGTGCAACCCTTGATCATACGCACAATAAAGTCATCCGTGTTTGTGACTAGAACGAAGTTAGTATAAATCGCACAGATAATAAAAAGTGATAGTATGACTCACTTCCTCGAGTCGATTCCCCGGTGACGTATCCCGGACGGATAATGCAACCCGACAGTCCACGCTTTCCGGCTTCTCTGATAATGTACTCGGCTGCCCATTTGCTCTGGCCGTATCCGTTGCCCAATCCGGACTTGGATCCCATCAAGTCATCATCTTCCAGGATTCCGTCACCACCCTTGGAGACGATGGCATCCGACAAACGGACGTAATGCTCAGAATCAATGGTCGAGGTCGAAGACACAAATGCAAAAGACTTGGGCTTGCCTTCGGCAGCCAAGGACATGGCGTACATGGTTCCGATGACGTTGGGACCACGCAAGATCGAGTACGGGTAGACCCAGTGGACCTGAGCGCCGTTGTGGATAATAACGTCGACTTCATTTGTCAGCTTCTTCCAGGTCTCCGGGTCAATTCCTAGATTTTCCTTCTCCAGCGATCCAGTCACGACAGTGACCTTCGAGGCGAACGAATCCTCCCAGACACCGTAAGCAATCGCACTCGACTTGAATCTATCGAATCCCGCTTCGGGGGTCTTTGCACGAACATGCACGATAAGTTTGATCTCGCCCTTGCCGTGGGAGACCAAAAGATCACGAGCAATATAGGTACCCAAAAATCCGGTAGCACCGGTAAGAAAAACCGTCGTCGGTTTACCGGGAACGACGGGTTCCTTCAAGGAGCTGTACTTAGCAGGAAGCAACTCTTGAACGATCTTCTTGGCATCTGCAAAGTATTCCGAGTCATCGCTAGCACTGGTAGCCTTGGAGGTAGGTTCTGGCTCCGAAACTGGGAGATCCTTGCCGCGGATTCTCTCAATCTCCTGAGCCAAAGCCGCAATTGTAGGATGGCTATAGATGAATCCAAGCGGCAGATCAACGACGAACTTCTTTCTAACCTCGAAAATCATGCGTGTAGCAAGAATGGAGTGCCCACCGACGTCGAAGAAGGAGTCCGAGGGTGCAAGAGAAGCCGGACGCTGCGGCAGAACCTCAAGCCAAACATCTCTGATAGCAGCCTCAGTGGGAGTGAATGAAGACTCTTCACTCGACTGTGTTGCGTTGCGAGTGCGCTTTGCCACAGCGGCAAGCTGAATCGTATCCGGGAAAGGAAGAGCAGGCTTGTCAACTTTACCGTTGGGGTTGAGCGGCATGCGGCTCAGAGGAACGATAACGGTAGGCACCGCGTAAGAAGGAAGCTTGGTCTTGAGATAATCTCTCACGTCACGGATTAGTCTTCTGTATTTGACCAATCCCTTGACGATGGGATCAGACTCTTCCTCCAAACTCTCATGGCCTGAAAGCAAGTCGTTCAAAGACTCCGTGCTGTGGGGCACAATGTAGGAGATCAAGGTAGGCTCCTCGTCCTTGTCACGTTTGACAAGAGTAACGTTCTCCCGCACCATGGGATGCTGAGACAAGTGAGTGTCAATCTCTCCAAGCTCGATGCGGAAGCCGCGGATCTTCACTTGATCATCAGCGCGTCCACTACATTCCACATTACCATCAGGGGTATATCGGCCAAGATCACCGGTTCGGTAGAGACGATCGCGAGGACCTTGCCAATACCCGCTCCAGGGCTCGTTGGTTGCGGTATTCTTCCATGTACCCTCTGGCACAAACCAAGATTTGACGAATTTCTCGGCAGTCAACTCAGGCAGACGCAGATAGCCTTCAGCTAATCCACCAGCACGCACGTAGATCTCACCGACTTCTCCGACACCGCATGTCTGCTGTCTGTCATTTCTGTTGACAACGACTAGCTGGACGTCAAGCATACCCTTTCCAGCAACAATAACGTCTTTCTGGGATTGCAAGAATGTAGGATCTTTAGAAAGAGCTGCAACCTCAAAGTACGAGACTGCACGCTGAGTTTCAGTAGTACCGTACATGTTCACAATAAAAACATTACGCGCCAAAGCCTGCAGACGTAGACAATCACGCTTGGTGAGAATGTCACCAACAAAAAACGCATGATGCAGTGAGGGGATGGCAGCAGTAGCTTGAGCCGAGAGAAGCTGACCCATAGCCGGAGTCAAATGGGTAACGGTAGCACCGTTTTCCGCCATCCACTCAGCCAAGCGACCTGGCGTTCCAATATCATCCGATGTTGGGACAAGGAGGTGTGCACCAAGGAAGAGAGGCGTGAAGATGTCGCGCTGAATAGGGTCGTGGGCGATACCACTAAGCATGGTGAACTTATCCTTGTCTGAGAGGCCAAAGGTCTTCGACATCCAGGGAAAGTAGTAAGTCAAAGAGAAATGACGACCACGAACTCCCTTCGGGATACCTTCACTACCAGAAGTGAATGATAGCGTAGGAGTGCTGTCGGGCCCGACAACGACACCAGTAGGCTTGGCCTTCAAAGCCACCTGGGGAGCGAAAATGTCTTTCCCGTCAACTTCTCCACCGAGAAGGCTACCATCGTCCTGAATCTCAAGTGAAGGGATGTCAGCCAGCAGGTTCAACTCGGTCTCAATGTATTTGCGCACTGATTGCGCCAAGACACCAGCCTTGCGCAAGACAATAAGACCCTTGGGTTGGGCGACTGTGAGGTAGATGTTTTGTCGGGCCGCAGGGTACGCCGGATCAATGACGGAAAACGTCGCACCGGCCTTCAAGACACCCATGACAGAGACAACGAGGTCGACGCCACGGTAGGCGTAGACAGTGACAACATCTCCGAGAGAGATGCCCTTTGCAATCAGATTGTGAGCGAGAATGTTAGAAGCCTCGTCGATCATTTGATAAGTGAACGGGCGATCTTTCGTGCTGTCATCAAACGGGTTCTTCGTCTCAAGAACACAAAGGCGGTCAGGATGAGCCTTGGCGTTTGCGGAGAAAATATCGTGGATTGCACCCCGGAACTCGCCCCAGTGGAGGTCGCATGTGGGATCGGGCAGCACGGCTTTCTGTCTCTCAGTTGTGATTGAGATTGCACCAACCGTAGCAGATGGACTCGCAGAGCCGAGAACAATAATCTGAGTAAGCTGTTCGGCGATAATTGCAATGCGATCGTTGCGGAAAAGAAGGGAGTTGTAATGGAAATGGAGGTTCGGCTTGGACGACGTCTCGTCGACGAACACTGTCAGATCTGTGACTAGACCCTCAATCGGAGCAAGAAGATGTCTTTGGGAGGCATCATCCGATCGCAAGAATGAAAGGCGGAAGAGAACCGGAGCATCAGCTGACTTGGATTTTTGCTGGATGTGTGCAATCAGATCAGAGAAAGGCACAGTCTTCTTGGCACCCTCAAGCTCGAGCTAAGAACCACAATATGTAAGTTAACCATTCAACATATTCATTACTTTCTCAAAACTCATTGAGATCAACAATTACCTTATGAACAGTCTTCAAAAGCTCAATGAACGAGAGCTGTCCGGTGACACCAGCGCGAATGACGAGAGGCTCGTTGTTCGTGCTGTTGGCACCAATGACAATGTCTTCGTCACCGGTGAGACGGAAGACCAGAACAATGAAAGCAGTCAGGGCAATGGTGTAGGTCGAGAAAGACTCTGTGGAATCACCATCAACGATAGCGAGCCGTTGAATGGCTTTGAGGACATCATCCGAGAGCTCGAGAACGTGCTTGGATTCGACGACGGTAATCGGAGCGGGACGAACGAAATCGGTCGGTAAAGCAGCAATTGTCGAGCTGCGCAGAGCACTAGCCCAGTACTCGAGCGAAGACTCTGCCATTGTGTCGTCTTTCGGAGCTGTTGCGATGAGTATGAAAAAATGAGGACCGGGGCAAAGTTTTCAACTTTTCCGGGCTCGCCAAAGTTTTTCCACGTGACTCATATTATTTCACGTGACTTTGACGAGGATCAGGGTAACTATTCGATATCGAGAAAGTTGGGGGAACCCTTTAATTACAAACTACTCGCGGCGCAGTCGTTGTCCTGCTCTCTTTGTTCCTCTGATATTGATATACAGACACATTGGCTCTTGCTTCATCACCAACTACAGTTGTTTGTTGTTGGTATCTGCACGCAGCTTCTGTATCTGTCGAATTGGTCTACCTAAATGTTTAGGTTGAAGCGTGATCGGAATCGCGAAGTCAAAGTAAGTACCTTTGTGACTTTTATCCCCAAAGGGTCTGAACTAATCACTTATGTTCCGTCATCACGATAGACTGCCGTCGGGCTCGATTATTATTCTCAGAACGGCATATCAATAAGATGGCCAGAACTTTTGGATTCTTCGAACAAAGTCGTCAAAGGCCTAGCCAAGCTCGGGATCAAGGCCACGTCTGACGAGGCAAAGCTCGTTTTGCGATCTCGGTATGCGTCAGGCAACATCGAGAAGGCAATAGAGCTCTTTCGCTACTATGAAGATGCTAGCTCTGGAATGGTACTTGATGTTCAGGATGCCCCTTCTTCGACTCCATCGCAAGGAGGATCCCTATCGCCAAGCGTTTCGCCATCCCTTACACGATCTCCGGTAATTGCACCAGCTGCCTCACCGGCTCCTTCTGAGTCCGATTCGAATACTCTCAGCGTTAGCTCGGGAACTGCCACCTTGACCCCGAGTCTTAGCTCCTTCCAGCTTTCTCCGTCTTTATCTCATCTGTCATTGGAGAGTGGGGAGAAGAATTCACTCATGCCAATGAAAGGTGCTGATAATCTAAATAACGTGACTTGCTATATGGATTCGCTACTGTTTGCCATGTACGCACGGCTAGACGTTTTTGAGCCGTTGCTGTACAAAGTGCAAGAAGACCCGGCGATACGAAATTTGTCAACCCTGATTCGATTGTGGGTCAACCTTCTCCGCTCCGGGAAGCTGATCACAACGGATATCACGGCACAACTTCGGAGTGCGATTGCTGACTGCGGTTGGCCAGAGGCAGGGAAAGATCTACAGCAAGATGCTTCTGAGCTATTTGTGTTTATCACGGAGAAGCTTGCGATGCCATTACTTACATTAAAGATGGATATTGCACATGGAGGCAAGGAGGTCGCAGATGATGATCACAAGTTCGTCAACGAGCGGGTTCTGCATGTTCCAATTGGGGGCAGTCCAAGCGATCCTCCTCTTCGGCTTGAGGCCTGTTTGGAAGACTACTTCTCTGACTCGGTCGTTGTGCGGCGCGAGATCGAACGTCGTCGTTCAATGTCTATTAGCAGTCTGTCAGGAAAGCCTTCTGGAGCGCGCGTTGAATATGCTGAAGTCCCCGAGGGACGCATAAAACGATCTGGCACTATTGATGTTCGTCCCGAAGTTTTTGCAAGGGGCCGACTGGGAGAGTCACCCAGTCCGTCTAGCCCATCGTTATCGAGATTTCGAGATTTCGTTCCTGACTTTAAAGGATATTCTCTTGGTGATGAAAGTGCGGTGTCTTTGTCGTCGACAATCTCCCATGAGACGCCAATCCCCCCCGAAAGTCTAAGATCATCATCTATAGTATCTGCATTGTCTATTCCTTCACAAAGGTCTGCCTCAATTACAACACGTCCGCCTGCAGTCTCCATTTCGTCGATGGTGTCATCTCGCAGACGATCGACGATTCGAACCATCAACAATGAAATTTCACTCCCTGCATGGACATTCTTACAGCTGCTGCCGTTCTATACCGACTCCACTCCTCACACCACATCAGCAGAGCATTTTGGTCATAAGCGCCCGGTTCTTCCAATCTGCCTTAAACGATACTCCTGGACGGCGGCTGGCAAAGCAGTTCGGAACGACCGCAAAATATTGATTCCGGAGGTCATTGAGTTCCCTCACTTTGTGGCTGACGATGAGCATCCAGATGGCGCAAACGACGATACTCTGTCTGGTAAATTTAGATTGGTGCTTGAAAGTGCAGTGTGTCATCGCGGACGATCTTTGGATTCCGGGCATTATGTTTCGATCGTTCGAGACTCTTTATTTAGACGGAGGCAAAAACAAATGCAGCAGCAAAACCCGGACGAGGTTTCTGCTGACGACGCAAGTTCGATGACTAGTGGCCCGCTTTCGGGGGATAATTGGCTTCTATTCGACGATATGGCGACACCGAAAATCAAGTCGACAACTTTTCACGATGCTATCGACAAAGAGGTTCCTTATCTGCTATTTTACCGGATGGTACATATCGATGAGCCAATCCAGATTGAGTCAAAGTGGTCTTCTTTGGAGCCAGTGACCTCGGTCCACTCAGTACCAACTGATGCCAGCTCTAGTGACGACGAAGTCATAGTGATAGACAGTGCAACCGAAGTGGGGTCAGATCTTACAGACTCTTACAACGGGTTACTGGTCCCTAATCCATCGAGAGCCGATCTTGACGGCAGGAAGGGCGGAAGTCTCGGTGATGATCTCCTCCTAACGCATGCACGGTCAGAATCTGTGATGGTCGGGGATCTTGCGAGTCGATCCTCGTTGGCAAAGGAGCGTCGACTGGAAAAAAATCGGAAGCAAAGTGTTGTTAGTATGCCAGGCGGCTCAACACTTGACCCTGCCGCGACGGATCCTGCTCATCATGGACACAAGTACCATCGTCACCGCCATCGGCTTCACCGAAGGCGTCTAGGGAAGAGTGAGAGTGGTGACGACTTTGACGAGGAGGAGCGGTGTGTTGTCTCATAATGCGTTTTTGTATTTAAAATCTTTCGAGCGCGCTTCTGAATTGTGGGGTTTCATTGAGTGAGTTGGAAAAGAAAAGGGCGAGAACAGTAACTGCATGCATGCATTTTTTCATATTCAGTTGGTGTTGGCATGGCTGATCAGTCGAGGGGTTTGACAGTAAGAGGAGTAAGGTTATTCTGTTTTTTCTGATCTCAAGATCGAATATATTTTCAGCATCATCATTCTCATCTTAGGCGCGAGATATTGTAGACAGAGATAGGGTTTTGGCCGGCCAATTTAGCGTAGGGTTTCAGTGATGTCCTGCGCGTCATCAGATTTTCTGACTGAAAATCAGATGGCTACCTGAAGCTATCAAAATGCTGAAATATAATACTGAAGCAGGATTTTGCAATAGCATATGTAATAGAATATAACTACTATATAGATTTGGCGATTAAAAAAAATGCGAAAAAATTTCGTCACAGACAAGATTCGAACTTGCGCGGGCAGAACCCAACGCCTTACAGCTACTTGGAAATAGCAGGGCGTCGCCTTAACCACTCGGCCACTGGGACAAATTTCTCCAAATTTTGAAATTGTGGTCTTTATGAAGGTCGTTGCAAATAGCGTAGATCGTGTATACAGTTGTCATCGCTGAATTTTATAATAGGGGACTGATGGAGGTAGATGCATGGTGTCTTCAAGAATCAATTGGATTTAATTTGACTTTACTTTAGCCAGGTTAACTTTACCAGACGGTGTCCTAACGGCCGACTTCTGGACATTGCGCTTCATAATAGATTAGAGCAATGTCTCAAGTAATCCGACATCCACAAAGACAGAAGAGACCAGCGAAGAAGCTGAAAACATGGATTGCCATCTGAAATTGATACAATCACAGTCAACCTTAGTCAGCTTGTAACATACTCGAGAGCGAGTGCTGCCGCAGTATGGAAGCAATGTTATCATTGGCAGCATGCACGTAGAAGGATGAAGGCGGCGTTTTAAGGTTTGCGTGTGCAAGGGCTGCCGCACGATGTGTGCCTACTACACCTTTCTACACGGGGCTGCTTCATCGACTACCTATAATTACCGCTTCGCTTTTGTTGTTTTTTCGTAGCTCAATCCCTGACAAGTGCTGATTGGTAAGATTGTTTGATTCTGGGCGAATTTTTTGATACTCTGGAGACCTGCAGTGATACTAAACGGCGTTCCTGTCATTTCTGCTTCTAGAAACGCAGTGCCTGTCGATAAATTCAAGGAGTCGCTGTCCTTGTTTTTATCTTTAAATTTTGGTTTTTCAGAATTATCTTCCTCTCTCCGTTTGAAGACTATTACTAGTCTTGATTGAACGGCACAAAATGTGAGTGAGCAGGTCAATCTGGAAGGGTGTTTGGTCTGGTTGATAACTCAACTCAGTCAAAGGGGAACGCGTCAAACAGGATAGCTGAAAAGTACTGACAACAGCCTGTATAGATATAATAGTCGCTCGCTTCTAATCCATCGCCACATATACTCACAATGCGCACTCCGCCTCAATTGCAGGGTCTACGAGACCGATACACCTCGCTGCCGTATCTGACGACGTTGATTGCTGGGACGTTGATTGCTCTACGGATTACCGGTCTCTTTTTCTCAGGCGTCAACGGGTTCTTGGCTCTCAACCCGTCAGCAGTCTTGCATGGTGGATTTCACAGACTGTTGACTTATCCCCTCGTCCACCAGAATTTTATGCATCTATTATTCAATTTCTTTGCTCTGATCCCGGTATTGTCCGTCTTTGAGGAGGAGACTGGTACTGTGGGTACTGCTGGATGCCTAGCCTGTAAGTTTGCGCAATGTCCTTTTTTTAACTGGTATTGATTTGGGTCTAACGTGAATTGTGATTGATAGTGTTCAGCGTTGCGCCGGGTGTTGCGTATGTTTTCATCAGTTTATTCACGGGAAGTACCACTACTCTTGGAGCGTCTGGCTGGGTTTTCAGCTTGATGGCCTACTTTGCGCTCAAAGACGCAGCTATTCGATCGACCATCTACATCAACCCACGATTCCAAATTCCTACTTGGTCAACGCCTTTGCTCACACTATTAGTGATTGCGATCTTGCTCCCTGCCTCGTCATTCTTGGGACATTTGCTTGGTCTGGCTGTCGGCTATGCATATGGTCTGGGATACCTGGAGCAGGCTAAGCTTCCCCAGCAGCTGATTCTGAAGGCTGAGACGGCGTTGTCGGCTCGGCAACTGACTAAGGCTCTTCCGCGTTTCATTTCCGACGACAGTGCGTCGAAGCATAGAGTTGTCTTTGATGGCTCGATGGACGCTGGTGTTCCTTCGGGAAGCACAAGTCCTGTCCTCGGCGCTCAAACCGGTGGAACTAGCTCACCGTTTTCCGGCCAAGGACGGCCATTAGGAAGCTAAATAGCTGGCTGAAAAAGCTGGAATGGGAGTGGATGAACTAGATGAGTGTTTGGTGCAGGAAGCTTGCTAGTACAGTGGAACGGTGTTGCTCCAGAAGCATAGTTGCTATTTTTCTCTTAATATATGTGAATAGGAAACGATATTGAATAAATTTCACCAATTGATTATAATTAAAGTGATCCATAGGAGATTCAAGCTCGGCATATGTAATCAAGAATAAGTCACAAGAAACGACAAAAATATTATCACCCGAAAGAGAACTAACAAGAAATTAGAAGTAGAAAAGAAATAGAGAAACAATTAGAAGTAGCTGGACTTCTTAGTGTACATAAGTTTACAAATATAAGCCATGCGCCTAGGTAATATCACAAGATTTCCTACTGTACACGGTATATATGATAATATATAAAGAGAAGAGTCACAATTTTACGCATCGGCAGGCTGAACTTCACTGGCACGCTTAGATTTGACGCGCTTCCGCTTCTCCTTGGGAGTCGACTGCGAGGCCTGGCTGGGAGGTAAGTCCTGGGTCGAGAGCACGGGGGAGACGGCAGCCGGCTGAGAGGAAGAGACAGCGGCTTCAGAGTCTTTCTTGCTTTTCTTCTTCTTCTTGGAAGGAGACGAAGCCGGAGGAGCGGGTTCCTCGGCTGGCGCTGCGCCCACGGGAGTAGGCGGGGCAGCGGCAGCGGGCGCGACGGCAGGGGAAGCAGCAGCAGCAGCCTTGGACTTTGGAGTGGCCTTGGGCTTCGGCGCGGGAATGTCGGCAGACTTGGGCAACGGGAGGCCGTTGGCGATAGCGTGCTCCTTGTCAGCGTTGTACTGAGCCTTGAGAGCATCATATTTCTTGATCTGGTCCGCGTATATGGTTTTCCAGGGCTCTTTCTGCTCCTCGGTCATGTTCTTCCAGCGCTCGGCGACCTCGCGGATGACGTCGGTGTTGCTGGCGTTGATTCCCTTGGTGGCAAACTCGTCACGGATCATCTTGCGGGCCTCGTTGGCGAACGCAAAGTAGACGGTCTGGGGACGACGGGGCGCGTTTGGATCTTTCTTGCGACGCTTGCGGCGCTCGAGCTTGCCGTCGTCGGCGTCCTCGGCATCCTCGTCCTCGGCCTCGTCCTCAGCGGCAACCGCGTCTTCGTCAGCTGCTTTCTTGGTGCGCTTCTTGGTGGCAGAGGTCGCGGGAGCAGGGGGCGCTGCAAGAGCGGGCAGGACAGCAGCGGTGCTGGCGGGAAGGGCAAAGACGGGGGGCTCGCCGGGGATGTTTGCGGCCTGGTAAAAGTCGATACACGCGCGGGAGGCGTCCTGGGCCGCGTTGGAGAGCTGGGTGAGAGCCGCGACAAGCTAAGGGAGAGAAAGGTAACAGTTAGTATATGAAGAAGTGAAAGACTTTTCTGGTTGCGGACGGGTGGACGGGTGGGGCATGAGAGAAGAGATGGGGTGGATGCTGCAGGGAGGGCGTGCGTTTAGTGAGTGAGGGCATCGGCGGTCTGTGATTACGCGGTCGTTCGAGAGGAAGAGGGGGCGCAGCTGGACGGTGAAGCTGGACGGGGCGGAGAGGGCTGGATAAGCATAGAGTTGTTGAATAGTATGCTGTATAATGCTGAGAGAGGGAAATATGGCAAGGGTCGATAGTTGCTGATGGGAAGATGAAGTCGCTGTGTTGTTGTTGTTGATGCCGCAGTGACGATCAGGTCACCGAATGCTATGCGCTCACTAAAGCAGCCACCCGCGTCCCAGCAAAAGAAAAAAAGGCAAAAACAAAAAACATACCGCGTCCTTCTTAGTTTTAAGATCAACAGACATAGCGAACAACAGCAGGTACGCTCGAAGTGGTCGGAAGGGTGGCGATGGGTGGTGATTACGGCCGGGGAGAGCGGGAGCGAGCACAGTGAGGTTTAGTGAGCGGCGTTGACTGAGCAGCGGCCGCCGACCCGCGTTCTTAGTGAGCGACCAACTTTATTCCGCGCTCTCGGCCATTATCGGCGCGTCGCGTCTTCTGCTCTTGTTTCTTGTTTTGTTTATCTTTTCTGACCCTCGCAGCAGCGCATTGTGTCTACTACCATTCTCTACTCACAATGAGCGACTCCAACTCAGACGACTCGGACTCAGACTCTGTCCAAGTCACGTTTCCAGCAAAGACCATCGCCCGTCTCCTCGCAGAAAACTTCACGCGTCCAGAGACCCGGGTCTCCGCCTCAGCCGTCGAGACCGCGGCCGAGTATCTGCGTATCTTCACCCGCGAAGCCGTCTGGCGCACAGAAGGTGCACTCAAGGCCGCCGAGGCGCCTGTTTCTGCTAGTAGCGCGCCTTCGTCTCGGGCTAGGATCATGGAGGCTTCTGATCTCGAAAAGATCGCGGGGACGCTCGTGTTGGACTTTTGATCCGCGTGCTAGCAGTATTCTTAAGTTTATTACATCGGTTGATCTTTTCTTTACAGTTTTCTGGTTATTTTGTACATTATGAATCAATGGAGTAAAGGCTTTTTATCTACAAATACAATACAAGAGTATTAAGTTCCCCGTAATCTCTGATAATCTATGATACAGATACAATGCAAACGCTCTTTTCCCTTCAAATCTCGCCCTGTTCCAATTCCTCCTTCATATTCAATGCCTTTCTCCGTTCAGACTGTATTTCAATGACGCGCTTGACATCATCTTCAAACCCTGGAAACCGTCGCCCGTCACGGATAAGCCCTGTAGCCATCTTTGAGTCCGGCTGGTCGTCCACCGTCCGATTCTCCATGATCTCGAAGAATACATCGAGAGCTCCACGAATATCCTCCTCTTTCAGCAAAAGTCTAATCAGATCATCCAGCAGATTCACATAAAGTTTGAGCTTAGTCGGAGGGAGCTTTCGATAGACTGATAGAGCGCGCTGGACTGCACCCTGTTTAATGTAGGCCTCCAGCAGCCTGAACATTCCCTGATCAGCGAGTTGCTGACTGGTTCGTTTTTGTCGTATCATTTCAAGAAAATCCTCAGCAAGAGTCGTATCTTTTTCAAGATCCATCAAGCCAGCAAGAATGGTATTGCAAACACTCTGCGTGAGAAAAATCTTTCCGAGAGTCATCTGGTCGAGAATTTTTCTCATCTCTCTCTGAGCTTTCCGACGAGTCTCGAGATCAACCGGTGGAGACGATTCCATCTGTTCCGGCACAGATGTGCACTCAGAGATAGTCTTGAGATACGCCATACCTATCAAAACCGTGTATGTCTTCACCGACTTGGCAATCCCTTGCTCCTCCATCAGCAGAATGACGCTAGATGCGGAACCAAGGTCGCGTAGATCGCGCACGTAATGCGCTGCCATCACGTCGTACATGACTGCATCGTGTCCGTAAAATGGGTCGGCCAAACACTCGTAAAAGAAATGATGAGCTCTGTCGTACTCGCCCAGCTTGGTATACGCCCTCAGGACTTTGTCATATAGTGACTGCTTGGGGAAGAAACGAGAAGACTCGCCGTCGTCATAGACTTTAACCCGGCCTGATCTGATTCTCGAGACCGAACCTTCAATTAAATCTGCTCTGCCGAGACGAGAAAAAGCTTCGACAGCGATCTCAAATGACGAGGTATCTACCCGTCGGTGTTGCAGCATCATTTTGAGGATCCTAATGATTGCATCCGCGGTTCTCAATCTTTTGATCCGTGCTTCTTCTGTGAGTGTCGGGGATTCGGCTTCATTCCTTTTAATCCGCCAAATTCGGTGAATCGAATAAGCATAGAGGAAGGCGTTCCATGTATAGATCGACGGATGATCCAGCAATCCGATTTTATGTACTCTCATCCAAACCATGATGACTGAGCGTAGCGAGCCCAATTCTGTAAACCGCCGCATGAACGCATAGGTAATCGCATCCGGGTCAATCGTCCACACGCTGTCGGTCTCTGTGCTTGGCTCATTTCTCCTGTAGAGCTGTAGAAGTTGATGTATATCTTGACAAGAATCAATCTGCACTATCGCAGCAAACGCCGGGCTATTCTCGAGGCCGCGGATTATATTGATGTGCTCGTCTGTCTGGTCTGACACTAGTCGACCCAATATGCTTCTCCGTGGACTTGTGATTGGCTCCGTTGATTGTGTGTTGTTGTCTTTTGTCTGTCGTTGATTATAGGTACTTGTCGTCTCAGACCCTGTCGTCGAAGTTGATCTGGGATACGGCAAGAGCGAAAATAAATCCTTAGTGTGCATCTTGACCAACCGAAGATTCTCTTTCTTAATAAAGGACTGAAAAGTAGACTCTGCCTTCATTGCAGGGTCGCCGCTTTTTGTTTCCGACGCGTCCTCAATATCACCTTTCTTGTCGGATCCAACCCTCGCGCTCGGATCCTTTGAGTCGTGTTGTATACTAGATTCGTTCGATTGCTTGTCACCCCGAGGCATGTCCAGATCGAAATCATCGTGGTCAAAGTGATCGTCTAGCAAGTCTTCATCTTCAAACTGCACGTCCTGCGATTCTTCATTCGCATATCCCAATGGTGACCACTCGGCATCCTTCCTAGATTCTGTGACTCGAATATCATCGACTTGCAAAGAACTGGACAGATCGGGGTCTCTTGTCGCGACATCTGGCTTTGTAGTCGGTTTTGAGCTTAATAAGGTCTCTTGGATCAAATTTCCAATGTGTTCTTTGCCACGAACCGCGGCGTCTGGTTCGATCCACCGACTCAGAGCCGGTTCTTCTCTTTTCCATAGATATGATGCATCAGGTGAATCGTGATCAGAATCAAGCATATTCAATGAACTGTGCTGTCCGAGCTCGTCGCGTTCATCCAAGATCTCATCATCGCCCTTAGAATTCGACGCACCACCCGACGGCGATGTCCCTCTCCACCGTTTTGAAAAGACCCCAGCAGCATGCTGCCGCCGTCGAGCAGCCGTTGCAAGGGTCCACCGAAGCATCAAATTTGACCGTCTGTCGATATTCTTGAAAGGTGTCGAGTGCAGAGAATTAAATTGAATTTACGAATTTTTTGAATAAATTCTATATCACGTGCCTACAAGAGGGCGGAGATAACCCTGACAGGATTTTTTGAAATCTCAGGCGACTTTCTGTTACTCCGATGGTCGATTGCCCGCGAGGAAACCAGAGAGACGACAGATAAATGGCTGCAGACGACGGAGGAGGCTGCGCGGTGCTGGTTGTCGGCAACGGGCCGTCTGCTCTGGCGCTGTCTTTCCTGCTGAGCGGCCATGAACCTCAGTACAATGGCACACACTCTGATCCGCGAGTGCACAGTATGATGGAGAAGACACCTTCGCTCTATGATGCCGTGCTCCACAATCTCTCACTTCACAGACATATCGCGCAGACTCAGACGGGTGCCGCGTCGCCGATTAATGGGTTTCTGGACTCTCTCGCGGCTCCGGGGATCGACTTTGATCCGGCTGGGAATCAGCCATTACTCAGCTACAAGAAGCGGTCAGCAATCCCCCATCTCGTCGTCGGCTCGACCTTCTCGGCCGGTGGACAGTGGGCGGGAAAGGATTCACCTTCGCAGACGCTGTCTTACGCAGAGATGTTGTCACTTCCTGGGTACTCGTTTTCGCAGTTTGTGGTCGAGACCAGAGGTACTCCGATCGACCCTTACACGCGGCCGTCGAGAGCCGATGTCGCTGCTTACTATGCGCTCTATCCGTCCAAGGTTGGAATTTCTGAATTCGTCAGGGCAAATTGCACTGTTCTCTCGCTGCGACGTCGAGAGTCACAGTTCTTCACAGTAACACTGCAAAACAATGATACTGGCTCTCTAACAGTCATCACCACGCGAGCTATCGTCCTTGCAACCGGCGTGTTTACACATCTCGTGCCGCCGGATCCTATATTGCACCCACTCATGTCATGGCAGCAGCAGCAAACGAACAACAAAACTCACACTAGCGACAGCGTGGATGACGACGATCCAATTCTCGTCGTCGGCTCCGGATTCAGTGCAGCTGACGCCGTTCTCTCAATCCCCCGAAACCGAAAAGTCATACATCTCTACAAGTGGGATCCGCTAACTCGGCCATCCCCATTGCGCGCTTGTCATCGAGAAACTTATCCCGAGTACGCCAGTCTGTATCGTCTTATGCGGCGCTCGGCATCTGGCCAGTCGGTCTTGTCAGCTCATCATAAGCCCACGTTAGACCCGGTCGGCCTCTGCGGACGCTATGAAGGTCTTCCAAACTGCAGAGTTGTCGAGGTGCCTTCGGTTGATACCGTGCGAATCCAGCTGGCGTCTGGGGCGACTGTAGAGAGGAAGATCTCAAGACTAAAGACATATGTGGGGCGCCTCGGCGTGATTTCTTATCTGTCGGCAGATCTGCGGAACGAGATTGGTGTTGGCGCAGACCAAATCTGGGTGTCAAAGCACACATTGCTGTATCGTATCAGCAGCAGGAACGATAGATGGACGGCATTGAAAGATAGTGAAAAAGGATGGCGGATCGAGGAGACAAGACACAGTTTAGACACGCAGGCAGAGTTGGAGGAAGATAGATGCGATATCGTGTCGGACTACGCAGCGACACATGGACTGGAGCTTACGAATGGAGTGTTTGTGATTGGAAGTCTGGTTGGCGATTCTTTGGTTCGGTATGCATTGGGTGGGTGTGTCACTGTCGCAGGACATCTTTTTGAGAGGTTTGAAGCGATGACTTGTGAATGACCTCTCAACTTTCTCTATTGGAATTTGGCGTTTGGTAATTTGTTATCCTTTTCTAGAGTAAATTAAGAAATAATAGATTGTATGCATGAATATGATGTTCTACTTCTTCTTCAAAGCCTTTTGTCCCTCCTTCAGATCGGTATACCGCTTCTCGTCAACCCGAGCAAGGAAATCCTGCTTATGTAGATATCCACCTTGATTATGCCGCCGCAGGTCGTCTGTAATTCCTTCATTGTCAACGAATCCCTGCCAGTCCATTTTGGACTTTTCAAGAGTGTTGAGTTTCTTGGGTTTCCCGCCTGCTGCGAGAGAGTCCAGAGCAGAGACTTTCTTTTTCCGGGGGCCGCCGCCGAGTTTTGGTTTCTTGGTTGTCGCTGATGTCGTTGCTGATGCCGTTGACGGGGTCTGTGATGAGATAGCCGGTGAGGCAGCAGCTGCCTCCTTTTCTTTGGCAAGTTTTGCAAGATATGCTTGGCCCTCGGCGGAGTTCTTTGGCACCTGCCGTTCACGAGTCGTGACTTCTTTGGCAAACTCGAATGTCTCGGTGATTGTGATCATTTCATCAGCAGCTGTAGCGGCCGTAGGTGTAGAGGCCCGCATTTGCGCCCATAACGCGTCTGCGTCGATAGTTGACTTTCCCTTCTTTGCTGCTTTCTTGCTGTTGAAGATGTTAGATGTGTATAGTTTAGAAGAACAAGAGATACATACGCCGCGTCTTCGGCACTCCTCTGCGACCGTGTAAGAATTCGAATTCCATCCTCCTCATTATCACTCCCACCGTCAGCATGACCTTTTTTCCTCTTTCGAGACGCGACACCTTCGTCTCCTTCGTCAACTAATTCTTCATCTTTCCCATCGTCGTCGGAGGAGAGCTTATCGTCGTCATCGGCCGCTGCGTTAGGATCAAAGTCTTCGTCTTCAGATTCTCGGTAGTCTTCTTCGTCTGGGACCTCGTTCTCGTCTGTGTGTTTTTCTTTCTTCTCGTCGTCTGCCATGTCTTTATAAAGAATTGTTATAGAGAGCTGTGAAGGAGGACAGTCGATGGAGGCGCGTAGAAGTTGGCGAGTGGCTTGCTTTAGGTTTCGTTGCTCATCGCTCACTTTGACTCTAAATTTAATTCTCATAAAAAAAAATACAGAAAACCCCACGTGAAGTCTTTGATATTTCTCTTTATTTCATACAGATAGATCGATAATGACAAAACCAGAAGTTACAATTGGCGTTCTGGCTTTGCAAGGTGCATTTATAGAGCACGTTTCCCATCTCCAGAAAGCTGTCGCGACGGCGAAAGCGGGATCAAAGATCGCCTCTGCTCAGATCTCTGTCGTCACCGTGAGAACCGTCGAGCAGCTTAGTTCAGTTGATGCTCTCGTTCTTCCGGGTATTAACCAGTTTTTGATCTTTGCTGTTGCTTTTTGTTTGGGTGCTAATAATATGCGTGTAGGCGGGGAGAGTACCTCGATTAGTCTGATTGCAGAGCGTACTGGGTTATTAGAACCTCTACGTGATTTCGTCAGGTATCTACTCTCTCTTTTCAATCTCTCTTTGATCTCTCAGCCTGGTTCATACTGAACTTTTTTCAAATACAGGGTCCAGCGGAAACCAGTCTGGGGAACTTGCGCAGGCCTAATCCTTCTTTCAGATCAGGTAAATTCACTCTTTTAGTCACATATCCCCTCACGTCGCTGACAACACAACTCCAGGCCTCGAAAGCAAAGAAAGGTGGCCAGAACCTCATTGGTGGACTACATGTTCTCTGTCAAAGAAATCATTTTGGCAGACAGACCGAGAGTTTCTCCTGCAATCTGGCGCTGCCGTTCACGAATCCATATGACGTCGATGATCTGTTCCCGGCCGTCTTTATCCGTGCGCCAATCATCGAACAACTTCTCGACGACTCCACTGCTAGACTCGGCGCCCTGAAGATAGAGGATAACTCTGAAGAAAGCCTTGTCGTCTCTGCGCCTAGATTGGAGGCCGACAAAGACGACGCGACCGCGGTCGAGATCATCTGCCAATTACCTGATTCCACGGGCACAGAGGCCGGAGACATCGTCGCCGTCAGACAGGGACATATTTTCGGAACCAGCTTCCATCCAGAGCTCACTCCTGATGTCAGACTGCACGCGTGGTGGCTGGAGGAGTGTGCTTTGCCGTTCGTGCTGTGAATAGATATTGTAGGGTTTTTGTACTGTAATATATTACGTCAGTTATTAAGTATAAACTATAAGTTGTAAACTCGAATATGAATACGATAGAGCTTTCCGGTTTCTAGACAGATATCTTTGTCCATTACACCATCGCTTTGAGCTCATTGATCAATTTGAAGATTGTTTAAAGTTCCCACGTTCTTCACGTGCTCTGACTCTTCTACAAAGGTGGTTTGTGCGCATCACAAACCCTTATAAGATCTCCAACTCATCGTTATCGCCGCGCGCAGGTGCCGAGCGATATATGCATGCGTTCGACATAGCGATCTTATCAGCAGCAAATACCTCTCGCTAATGTTGCTCCGGAGACTGTTTGATGCGCCATTGCGGGGATCATCGTCGGTGCGGTGCTCGGGCGCGAGTCTGTCCGGCAGATTCGTGGATCCGGCCAGGTTTGCAGTACGATCCGCCAGGTTCGGTCTACAGCCGTCTCGATTCGCGAGCAGCAGTAATCGGCCGAAACTAACGAGTTCGACGCTACCATTACAATTCCGTCGGGGATTCACATACTTTGGGAAAAATGATGCCGACGACGCGCTAATGTACCTCAGATCGACACCAGAGAGCGCGCAGCTGACGTTCGAAGCAAACAAAGAAGCCGCGACGGGGCCGTTTTTCAAGCGCATGGGATTCGTCTTTCGGGCGGTCGTTCCTGCGTTTGTGCTCTGCGTGTCTGCGATTGCGTGTGTGATTAAGTTTACGGATACGAGTGATTTCGATAAGAATCTATGTAGCATTCTGATCGAACCTGCGCGGATTTGGACGGCGTCGACGATTAAACAGACCGTTGATTTCTTCAGCCTTGGCGAGACCGCAGCGGGAAACGATACGAAAGCTGCAGCTGGCTCGAATGTGGATATCGACGCGACGTTGTTTGAGCGGACGATATTCCAGACGCTCTATAACTGGTCTGCGAAAATCTACAACCAGACTTTAGTCGCCGCCGACGCTGCGTTGGCGACGGCAAGTGAAGATACAGTGACGATTAGCATCGTGCTCGGAGCAGACTACAAGGCTACGACAGCGATTCTGGGAGCATGTACGGCGCTAATGCTGCTGAAACGATTCAGTCCCCTGCCCGTTCGCAGGACGCTTGTGAACTATGTTGCGTATTTCCGCAGCGACGTGCTAGCGCTTGGTCAGAAATCCCGGAGACTAGTGTATTACCCCGCGATGCTGACCTCTGCATTTTTCCACCGCAACGTATGGCATTTCCTGGCTTCGGTGATTCCGTTCACCGTGATTGCGTGTCAAGTCGAGGACATGTCGACCGATTGGAACGTGTGGGTGCTGAGTTTTGCCGGGATTTTGTACGCGACTATGCAGTCGCTTGTGTTTAATACTTGGCTCAAGATTCCTGCGATGGCGGTATGTGGGTTGCATGGCGCGACTTGTTCGTTGCTGGGGTATATGGGCGGTTACTATGGCGTCTTCACCAGCTTTAGCGAATACGCAGAAAAGGGAATAGTGTGAGTTCTTTCCAACCTTTTTATGTCGATCACTCAGCTGACATTGGAATTATCAGAGACGAAAACGAAGACCGCGCCGCAAAAGTAAAGAACCTCGTCAAAGAATACGGCCCGAGCATTAAAGCATTACAGATGCACGGCCTCGGATTCGAGTCTGAGAACTTCATAATCGGGATGCACAAAGAAGGTCTCTCGCCGGACCTGATTTTATTCGTGGGAAATAAGATTCCCGAGCCGTTCAAGATCAACAGGATGGAGTTTACTATGCAGACATTACTGGAGAATAGCTTGTTTGTGGCGGCAACGCAGTCGCGTAAGTTTGAGACAAAGCAGATCTCAGAGGAACAGTGGAATCCAATCATGTTTGGCGCTGCGCACGGAGAGTCTCGTCCAACCAAGGACGAAGACGCCTCTGCTCCTGCACCAACACCAGCAGTTTCAGAAGACATGAAGCGCAAACTGGTACCCTACGTCCGTCCCGCGCCGCCTTCAAACAGCACAATGGGTCTAGGCTACGCGATAGCATTCACAAGCGCGCTGATAGTCTCTGCGTTTGCGACCCTGCGCAATCCGGCAGTGCTTATGGGCACAGTGCTGTTCAAGTTGGACGGGCCGGCGATGTTGTTGACCTTGTCGATGGGATATACGTGGGGCCAGATTGTGAGGCAGAGGTTGGAGAATGTGCCGCCTGTGTTTTTCTTGTTGCCGGAGGAGTTTGCAGAGAGACTGAGGAAGGGGATTCCGCCTGCTTAGAAGTGCCTCTGCTTCCTCCTCCTCTTTTGTACACTCTCCACTCAACTACAGCATGTGTAATCACATATCAGGCATTGCATAGATAATCAAGATATCATTCAATTAGACAAGCTAAAGTCACCATATTTACAAAACCATTCTGATGCTAGATACCACATCACTCCTCATCAGTATCAGTATCATCGCTAAACTGCTCCGCCTCCTCATCAGCAGGCGACACCGAATCCGTGCGCAAGATCCCTGCAAACCTCTGAAACAACGAACCAAAATACGACTGCCGTGCCTGACCAGGCTGTCCTTCCTCTTCGTTTTCTAAATTAGCCACTTCCTCCTCTGTGAGCTCGCGCGCCGTAGGACCGCCTTGTTCGTGCTGATGAGCGAGCGCCCATTCGATCTCTGCCTGCGCGGCGTCGAAATCATCCTCCTCATTATCGTCGTCTTCGTTATCGGCCTGCTCGTTTCGGCGGCCCTGGCGCCATTGCAAAAGACTGTGCCATAGTCCAGTCGCGATATCCTGTCCGTCGAGCGCGTCGTCGTCGTCCTCGCCCTCGCCCCGGTTGGCAGTCACGGTGCCCGTGGTGCGGAGCGCTTCGAAAGGGTTAGTGGCGTAGGGCGAGATGTTGTCGTCGGGAGGGAGGATGTCGTCTGTCCAGATTTCTTCGCCGGCGACGAGGTCCCGGGGAAGCAGTTCGAGAACCGATTTGATCTCGGAGAGGAGCACGTGGCGCGCAATGTCGCGGGTGATTGGGGTCTTGGGATCCAGCGCGTACGCGGGGGGGGACGGAGTCACGGACTTGACGCGCTCGATCGCGGTCTCGAGAAAAGTCTTGGTGGCGGGGGAGGACCAGATGGGGAGAGCGCGCTCGATGTAGAGCTGCGTCATTAGCTCCTGGTAGGCTGAGGGTTTCTCGTTGAATTTCATGAGTTGCGGGGGAACATCGAGGCCGAGAGCAAAAGCGAGGGCGGAGAGAGTCCAAGGGAAAGTAGAGGCGGCGGTGGCGAGGGCGTTCTCAGCTGCTTCCTGGTCGCCTTTGTGGAAGTATGCGAGAGCGAGGGAGAAGGCGATGTTTGGATAGTACTTGATGCGGTCTGCGAATAGAGCGGCGGAGCTGAGGTCGATGAGGAACTGCTCTGCCGCGGCGTGGATCGCGTAGACGTCAATCATCAGAAGCACGCAGTATGCATCCTCTTCCGCCGAGACGGCGAGCAATAACTTCAAAAACTCAAAGGCAGTGCCCCAAGTTCCCCTCCGGCCGAGGTTTAGGACGTGGCGGTAGACAGCGAGATAGAAGCCGCGGTTTTCGTAGTATTTGAATGGAAGACGGACGCGGCCGGAGGAGATGTTGAAGAGCGAGTGGAAGGCCTTGTCGTAGGCGAACAGGGCGTGCTCGACTGTCTTTGCAGCTTTGGTGTGCTCGCCGTGGTGAGTTAGGATTTCGGCGACTTGTAGGAGGGTTGATACATGGTAGACTAGTACTGTTAGATGGTGAGATTGCAAGATGTGAAGGAGATATATGACATACCATTATTCTGGAGCAAGTGGACGAGCATCTCAGGATCTCCGATCTGGATACAAGTGTAGAACTGAGCCTGGACACGCATGTAGTCGCGCGAATGCGTAAACTTGACCTTTGTGATATCTGCTTCAGTCCCGATGACCTCCATCGAGATCCCAGAGGCAAGGGCCAAAGGCGGCCAATCTTCGCCCGGCTGCACGAGCACGTACTTTCGCGCAAATGCCTGTCTTCCTGCGACCGGGCCGCGGCGACCGGCCGCGCGACGGGCCTCGCGAGCTTCGTCTTGGAGCACGCGGCGGCCGAAAGCTTTGCGCATCTCGCGGCTGGGATCGAGGTTTTTGGTGTTGACGGAGAGAAGGCGCGCGGCGGCTTGGCCGTCTTGTTGCTGTTGGATAGAAGTGGTGATGGAGTCGGAGGTTGCCGGTGAGGATTTGTGGTGAGCGGATTTGAGGTTGAGTTCGGCTAGAGCTCTGTCGATTTCATCGAGATCTTGAGCTGGCGGTTCTTGTTTTGTGGAAGAAGCAGCTTTCTTCTTTTTGGACTTCTTGGATTTTTTCTTGCTGGATGACGGTTGAGCTGGCTTGACCACTTCCTGCACCGGCTCCTCTTCCGGCTCACTCTTGTCCTGATCGTCGGAATTGTCGTCGTCGTCTTCACCAAGCAAAGCAAAAAGACTGGGCTTAGGCCTTATAATCTCCTCCTCCTCCTCCTCCTCCTGCACGTCCTCGTCCTCGTCATCGCCATCGTCATCGCCATCTGCCGCGAGCGCCGCGAACGGAGATATCTTCTCCGGCCTCGCAGGCGCCTCGGGCGACGAGTCCCGTGATTCATGCTGCTTCTGCTGCTGCATCTGCTGCAGCTGCAGCGCGCGACGAACAGCTCGAGAACTCATTCTTGTGTGTGTTTTGGCGGAGAAAGCAGAGCAGAGTGGAGGAAGAAGGATATTCAAGGTCGGGGACAAGGACGGGTCAGCCACGTGCGGCGGAGGGTGGTGGCGCAGGTGTGGCGCGGGACTGTATGCCGCGTTGTGTGCAGAGCAGATGATGATGATGATGATAAATCTCTGTTTCAAGTCCAGAGCAGAGATGAATGTGGGATTACAATGAGTTGGTGAGAATGAAGTGAGTGAAGTTGGAAGGTGGAGTGAAGGTGTAGAGAGGGAGTAGGGTGGAGGAAGAGCCGGAACAGCTGTTGGAAGTCTTCAGTTGTGCTTTTGCATCTGATTGACGTTCATGTGAAGCTTGTTATAAGCAATTGAAAAGCAGGTGAGGTAGAATGAGGATGTAGATGTGTAATTGCTTGATATGGGTTGGCTAAAAGATGATATGGCTGATGTATGAAGGCTGTGTGCGATGTGAGTCCAAGATGGATGCAAGATGGGTGTCTACGATGTCAACATCTGAACAAGAGACAAGGATAAAATAGACGTAGTGACTTATACGTCCTAATAGTAAGAACAAGAGAAAATGAGATGATAGCTCTTCTATTAGACCAAGACAAGACTGTATCAGCTGCACTGTCCGCCATAAGCAACAACGACACCAAACAAGCTAGAATCCAAGACACTCAGACACTAGTAGACAAGAGTAACGAGATCAAGAGCAAGTTTAGTATCCGACCAACTTTCTTCGGCCAATGACCTCGCCGAGGGAGAAGAAACCGACAATCTGTACGCCGTAGGCGGTGTAGCGGTAGACGGTCTGGCGGTCGATCGACTTTGCCGAGTCGATGACGGCTTCGGGCGAGGCGAGCTTGGAAAGGAACTTTTGCGAGAAGGAAAGGTATGTGGACTTGAAGGTCTCGACGGAGGGGGGCGCGAGGCCTTCCTTGAGGTAGACCTGCTTGGCGACTTCGGCGATGACCTTGGACCAGTAGAGGGTCTCGTCGGCGGCGGCTGCGAAGCAACTTTGTTAGTATATTCCGCACTCAAAGAAGAAAAACAAAGACAAAAGAAAGATGAGATGCGCACTCTTTGCAAGGCTGACGACGCCGTTGGCTTTGGCAACGATGGTGTTGACGGTCGAGTTCATACGGACCTGCTGGCCAACCTGCTGGCGGAGCATGGTTCTAGCGGCCGAGCCGGCGTAGAGCGATCGCAATGGCGAGGCGAGCGATTGTCTGAGCATTGTGAGCGGGGTGTTTTGTGTGGAGAAGAGGAGGAAGAGGAGGCAGATGGGCAGAAATCAGAGACGAAGAGAAGATTTTGGCGGCGAGTGGAAGAAACCGGGGCAAAACACGGTTGCGCGCCTGCTGTTCGTTTTCTGTGTTTTTAGAGTCTGCCGCCCGCAATTATTGTTGTTTCTCTTTTATATTTGTATTTTATAGTTATACACACTTTCTTATTCTATATCTCCATTTTCATCTCTTTTTCTCTTCAGCAGCCCTGCAAAAGCGCTGTTCTACGCCCGCCAGTTCAGAACCGGTCCGAGGCAGCTAACTCTGCTGCACCTCATTGGCTGACCTCCCATTCCGGTTCGAACCATTACATAATCCAACCGGGCGTAGGGTTTCTCCTCAGCTCTGCCGAGCGAGCCGTCGCTGTGGCGGCTTCACGGCTTTGTCCTCGACGCGCTTTTGTCTTCTTCTCTTCTTCAACAAAGACAAAGACAAAATGCTTTTATATTCTGTTCTCTACTTGCTCTCGGCCGCTGCTCTGGTGGCGGCTGAGGCAAAGACGCCCGGCATCTTCCCTCTGCGCCCGTGGACGCGCACCGCGCCCGACGCGCACACAGAAGTCGTTACACCCCTGCTCGTCGAGGGCGTCACGATCTCACCCCGTCCGCCGGCGGTCACGCCGACAATCGCGCTGCCGTGGGTCAGTCTGAAGCCGAACGGCGCGCCGGTGACGATCAAGCCGAAGGTCAAGAAGGAGGGGTATGTCGAGAAGCCGAGTCCGTCGTATGGCACCTGGTTCCCAGAAGAGACCGCGGTCGTGGATGCCGACGCGATCGCCAGCGGCGCGGGCGACGACGACGCTGCTGATACTGCTGCCGCGAAGAGCAAGGACAAGAAGCAGAAGCAGGTGGTCATGGGCGGCCGGTACTTCAAGGGCGAGTTCGACAGACTCAACCCCGTCATCCGGTGCACTCCGGAGCGGTACGTGATGAACGGCGACTACGCCCCGTTCTGCACGCCCGCGCTCGACGCCGAGCTCATGAGCGGGCATTCGTACTTTGTCACATGGTACTCGCACTACTTCAACGCGACGAAAGTGCGTCTCAACCTGCTCGACTACGACACCTTGTCGATTGCGTCGCCAGAGAAGTTTGGCGCGGCAGAGGAAGAGGAGACGTTGAAAGAGTACGCGTTCTTCACGACCGAGTGGATCGACAACGAGCTCGGTTACTATTTCCTCGAAATCGACCCGAAGTGGATCGGCAAGCCGTTCTCGAAATCGGTCTACGTGCACATCGAGTCGCCCGACCAGGCAGGCGAGGACATCGATATCCAGCACGTGCCCATCATCAAGCTGCTCAAGGGACCGAAGGTCATCCATTCGAGCAAAGAGCGCTACGAGAAGGCGACGTGGGAGGTCATCCTTGCCGTTCCGCTCTGTGTCCTGGGCTTTATCCTCTTCTTGGTCGCGTTCCATTTCTGCACCGCGAGGGCCCGCAGGATCGGAAAGTTTACGATCGGTGGTCATCGTAACGACCGGCGGAGAACTCGGAGACGGGATCGTAATAACTACGAAAAGTTGGAGGAGGGAAATACTTCTTCTGTCACTGTTGGGTGATTTAATTGTGATTTTGAGTGTATAAATATCATTGAAGTAACGAATAATGGCATAGTATAGTCGAGCATATAAATAATAGCACATGTTTACTCTTAAAAACCACGCATAGATGGATCGTAATGGCTTTGTCTGTTGAATAATGCGGAGAGTTGTACTTATAATCATGAAGTAAAGAATAATGGCATAATATAGTCAAGCATAATAGCAACACAATAAATCAGCAACACCTAAATCTCAACAACCTGCAAATACGCCACGACCGCAGCACCAAGGCCACCCAACACCAACACCGCCTTCCCCATATCCTTGACGATCGTCTTAAACCCCGTCTTACCCGTCCTCTCTGGCTTCACATTGACAAACACGAGATCACCCTGCTCCATGACTGCTTTCAAAACCCAGTTCTTGGACCCGCGAACTTCGCGCAGCGTGCGCGCGTCTAGTTTCAACATTGTGGAGGCAATCGTTGTCGGGGAGGGGGATTTCAGACCTAGAAGAAACTCGGGGCCGACTTGAAGACGGACGGCGTCTGATGTGGGCGAGACTAGCATGACTTCGAGGGGGGAGGTAAGAGGGGTGGTTAGTAGGTGCTGCTGCTGCTGCTGCGACTCGAGGCGTTCGAGCGAGGCTTTCAAGCTAGTTTGCAGCGTCTCTAGAGCTTTGATTTGCTCTTGGGTAGAGTTGAGTTCAGGTTGATAGCTCTCTTGTAGTTGGGTGACAGCACGCTCGACCTTATCCGACATCTTCACCTCGCGCTCATCGACCAACTCTCGCACGCGCTGCGAGGCAATTTCATTGATAGCCGCCTTTGAACTCTCGATCGACCGCTCAACCAGCTGGCGTCCAAAAAACTCGAGCTTAGTCTGCTGCGGCACCTCATCCAGCACGTCCTCAAGCCGTTTCTCAAGCGCGGCAAGCTTGTCTGCGAGCGGAAGCGCGACGGCGTTGATCGTGCGATCGATACGTGACTGCATCGAGCTTTCGAGGTCATCTAGTTTTGACGCGGAAAGATGAGCGGCGTGGGACTGCTTGGATTCAAGAGACTCGCGCACGCGGGATATTTCCTTGCGATATTCGTCGCCAAGTCCGGCGACGCGTTCGCACGCGGTCTGCACTGAATCGTCAATCTTCCAGATCGAGCTCTCGAGGGCTTGGAGACGCTGGTTTAGACCGTCGACGCGGGCGGTGACGGATTCGAGCTCGCGTTTGTGGGATTCGGCGGATTCGCGGAGGTTGGCTAGATAGAGCGGACCTCTTATTGCGGAGATGTCTTTGGCGTCGGTGGTTCCGGTGGCTTCTGGTTGGAAAGGGTCATGATCGATGGCTGGATCGATGATGACTGGATCGATGGGCTTGGGAGGGGTAGATCGGGGTGAGACGATCTCGTCCTCAAAGTTATGAGCTTTTGATGCCTTTTTCTGTTTCTTGGAGGGAGAGGAAGAGGAAGAGGAAGAAGACCGAGGTCTAGATTCCTCAGCCGCGATATCCTCCGATACGAGCCGCTGGACGTTCTCAATGCGCGAGGAAGCCGACTTGGACTGCTGCTTTGGCTGCTGCTTAGACTCTGCTTTAGGCTCAGCTTTAGACTCAGAATCAGAACTGGGCTTCTGCGGCTTGCGCTTTGGACGACGAGACATTGTAATGAGATCGATCTCGTAGTCTTCGGCCAGGTCAGGATCAGAAGGGGGGGAGTCAGCAGGGTCATGGACGCGAGGCGAGCAGGAGGAGTTGAAGCTGCGGGAGTGGTCTGCTGCTAGCCATGAGTGCCAGTGCAGATGCTGAGAACCGAATAACTGTTTCCAAAGGGCAGAGTAGGAGGTGCGGAGAGCAGAAGCAGGAGATGAGGCGGGAGAGGGAGGAGCAGGTTCGCGGAGCTTGATGAAGAACTTGCGGGTGTGGCGGTGGATGGAGCGCGGGGGGGTGAAGGTGCGGTAGGTGAATGAAGCTCTTTTGAACCACATTGCAGCAGTATGTACCGAGACCTGAGAAGGAGAGGGGGGTGAAGTGCGGTGAAGTGGAGGTGGTGAAGTTGAGGCGATGCGGGGAGCGGTGATTGGGAGTTTAAGCTTTCTGAGTTGGGACTACGGTGGAATATGTTGTGCTTATAGAAACAAGTGCTTATAGAATGCTTTAGCAGTTGTTGATGCTATAGAGCAGTTGAGTAGATGAGTGTTGAGAATATATTCAGACTATGTTGTTGGTGATGTAGAATAACACAAGGCTCTGTGAGCACGCCAACCGTGCAGACATCGATGAGCAGAACAGGCAGGCTGGTAGAACAGCACAGCTGAACAGCAAAAGAGAGTGAATAGAAGTTGGTATAAGAGCATAGAGAATGGCAGTCAATCACAGACGAAGAGTGAAAGCAGCAGGAACAGCAGGAACAGTAGCGAAGGCAGAACAGATCACCACTCGACATGAATCTGCACGACGCGCTTCCGCCTGCGATTCCACGGCAGCTGCAACGCTATCGCTTTTCCGATCGACCGTCGCGAGCTGCGGAAGACCGAGCGGGCGATGCGGTAGAATATCGTGGGCTGTGGCGCATAGTAGTATTGCTGCTGCTGGTGCTGATACTGGTGTTGGTGCGGGAAGAGGACCGCGGGCTGGTATGTCTTTCGGCGGGGACTGAAGCGTCGTCTGCGGGACGCAGGCACGGGCGGGACGTAGGCGGGTCTCATTGCGAGCAGGAGCTGTGTTTTTATGCCAAACATGCGGTGATATGCTAAGAATATAGGAATATCATGAGAATATGGAGGAGAAGAAGACAAGGAGAGAAGCAGGCCTGTGACGTAATCTTAGGGTTTCCGATCACCGCTTCCTCCGCCTTCCTCTCCTCCTCCTCCTCCTCCTCCTCCTCCTCCTCCTCCTCCTCACCATCATGAACCGGCTCGCGGCCGACACTCTTCTCAAAAAGACCCTTCTCCGCAGCTCAATTGTTCTTGTAGTCTACAGTGCGATCGCGCACAATGCCCCGCCGCAGTACAGCAAGTGGTTCGCTCTCCTTGTGTTCTTTGCTGCCATGCTCGCCTTGCTGCGATCTCTTCTGCGATTCCAGCTTGCAAGGCTAACTCCGCCGCCAGAATCGAACGACCGTCTGGCGCTGATCGATACCGTGGCCGGGCTGCTGGCCTATCCGGGCGAGATGCACCGCTTCTACGCCCGGCGCCGGCTGCTCTTCTCGCGCATGTCGGCCCGGCACCAGCATCTGGTCAGCGGCACCGGCTACGCCAAGCGCCTGGCCGAGCTCGGCCGGCTCGCCGATCGGAACGGAGAGCTAGCGACGCGGATAGCGAAGCTGGCGGAGAAGCAGTACAACATCACGCGGGGCGAGCTGCTGTACTCGAGACACCCGGTTGCGAACGCACGGGTGGTCGAGCTGCTCAAGCATTTCGTGCGCGATTGGTCGGACGAGGGCAAGCGTGAGCGAGATGTGCTGTTTCCGCCGATTATTGACGCTATCAAGCAGGAGTTTGGCGTCCGTAGCAACAAGCGCGTTCTCGTCCCCGGCGCGGGCGTCGGCAGGCTCGCCTACGAGATTTCGCTTCTGGGTGAGTCTATAGCAGATACTCCCGCTCTTTATGAAGTACCTCTTTATAGAAGTAGTATCTGATATAGCTTATCTTGGATAGGATGTGAAACCGAGGCCAACGAATTCTCGCAGCTGATGCATCTCGGCAACCTCTTTGCGCTCGAGCAGATCGCCGAGTCCTGCACAGTCTACCCGTTCATACACAACCTGTCGCATCAGACAACCGGCACACAGCAGTTCCGCGCGGTGCGGTTTCCCGACACTACCCCCGCGGACAAAGACCACAGCGGGCTTGAGGTCCGCTACGGCGACTTTCTGCAGCTCAAGACGAGGTACGATGCGATCGCCACGCTGTTCTTCATCGACACGGCCGAGAACGTGCTCGACTACATCGACACCATCAAACGGCTCTTAGTCCCCGGCGGGATCTGGGTGAACTACGGGCCGCTGAAATGGGGCACAGCACCTAAAGCCGAGATGACGGCCGAGGAGATGGAGCTACTGCTGCCCAAGATGGGGTTCACGATCGAGAAGCGGTGGAGTGGGCAGGCCGAGTACGTAGCCGACAGCGAGAGCATGTGGCGGGGGTTTTACGGTCTCGAGGGCTGGATTGCGAGGAAGAGCTAGTGAGTTGAGGTCAATGGACCTGCCCACGCTGCCTGGACCGAACTGGACTGGACTCAGACTGAGGCAGACGCGTCGGTGTTGACGGCGTGAGGCGCCGCGGTGATTCGGATCCGACGCGTCTTGATTACGAGCGCAACACGCGTTTATTGTATATTGAGGTGTTGAATAGTAATGAGTAATTGTTAAGATAATAGTGAGATATATATGATTGGTATATAATCACTGCTATAAGAAGACATTAATAAGCAGGCAACGCGTCTCTTGCGCGTGGGAATGAGAATTAGACTTTCTCCGAGCCCAAAACCTGGCCGCGTCTCTGCCTTTTAACCTCCGCCAGATCCTCTTCCTCCTCTCCTTCCTTCCCTCACCCTTCTCTCTTCTCTATTCACCTCTTTTCTTTCCTGCTCTCTCTATCCATCCTGCTTCTTGCTTGCATCTACCGGATCTGATTAGCAGTCATGTTTGTCTACAAGAGAGGTCCGTTCTCTTTTCCCCCGTCTCTCTACCACTCCTGCTGACTTTTTTCTAGATGGTCGTAAGGAACGCGTCGCGTTCGATAAGGTATCTATTTCTTCTTTTGTTTTTTAGTCTACTTGCTCTGAATTCATCATACTAACTCACCAGATCACGGCACGCGTCTCGCGTCTTTGTTACGGCCTCGACCAGGACCACGTCGATGCCGCCGCCATTACCCAAAAAGTTATCTCCGGCGTCTACCAAGGCGTCACCACCGTCGAGCTCGACAACCTTGTGAGTTCTCCTATCTATTATTTCTATACTGTAATCAAGCTAACTTTCTAGGCCGCTGAAACCGCTGCGTACATGACTACCGCGCATCCCGACTACGCAGTCCTGGCCGCGCGCATTGCAATCTCAAACCTCCACAAGCAGACGCACAAGCAGTTCTCGCAGCTCATCTCTGACCTCTACCACTACGTCAACCCCAAGAACGGCCGTCCGTCGCCGATGATTTCAGACACGACGTACAACGTCGTCATGAAGCACGCCGAGGAGCTCAACTCGGCGATCGTCTACGAGCGCGACTTTCAGTACAACTACTTTGGCTTCAAGACCCTCGAGCGCTCGTACCTCCTGCGCATCGACGGCAAGGTCGCCGAGCGTCCGCAGCACCTGATTATGCGTGTCGCGGTCGGCATCCACGGCGAGGACATCGAGAAGGCGATCGAGACCTACAACTACATGTCGCAGCGCTACTTCACGCACGCCTCGCCCACGCTGTACAACGCCGGCACGCCCAACGCGCAAATGTCGAGCTGCTTCCTTGTTGCTATGAAGGACGACTCGATCGACGGCATCTACGACACGCTCAAGACGTGCGCGCTCATCTCCAAGACCGCGGGCGGAATCGGTCTGCACGTGCACAACATCCGCGCCACGGGCTCGTACATTGCGGGCACGAACGGCACGTCGAACGGTCTTGTGCCGATGCTGCGTGTGTACAACAACACTGCGCGCTACGTCGACCAGGGCGGCAACAAGCGGCCTGGTGCGTTTGCCATCTACCTTGAGCCGTGGCACGCCGACATCTTTGACTTTATTGATCTGCGCAAGAACCACGGCAAGGAAGAGGCGCGCGCAAGAGACTTGTTTTACGCGCTCTGGATTCCTGATTTGTTTATGAAGCGCGTGGAGGAGAACGGCGAGTGGTCGCTGTTTTCGCCATCCGAGGCGCCTGGTCTTGCTGACGTGTGGGGCGAGAAGTTCGAGGCGCTGTATGAGCAGTACGAGAAGGAAGGCCGCGCGATGAAGACGGTGAAGGCGCAGAAGCTGTGGTACCACATTCTGGAGGCGCAGACAGAGACCGGCAACCCGTTCATGCTGTACAAGGACGCTGCGAACCGGAAGTCGAACCAGCAGAACCTGGGCACGATCAAGTCGTCGAATCTGTGCACGGAGATTATCGAGTACTCTGCGCCGGACGAGGTTGCGGTGTGCAATCTTGCGTCGATCGCGCTGCCGTCGTTTGTGCAGCACGACGCCGACGGGTCGTGGTATGACTTTAACAAGCTGCACGACGTGACGAAGGTTGTTGTGCGCAATCTCAACAAGATCATCGAGGTGAACATGTACCCCGTCCCCGAGTCGCGCAACAGCAACATGCGCCACCGCCCGATCGCGGTCGGCGTGCAGGGTCTTGCGGACGCGTTTATGGCGCTACGGTTGCCGTTTGACTCGCCGGGCGCGAAGCAGCTCAACATCCAGATCTTCGAGACGATCTACCACGGCGCGGTGGAGGCGTCGATCGAGCTCGCGCGCGAGCTGGGCACGTACGAGTCCTACACGGGCTCGCCGGCGTCCAAGGGCGTGCTGCAGTACGACATGTGGGGGGTCACGCCTACCGATTTGTGGGACTGGGACCAGACCAAGGAGGATCTTGCGAGATACGGAATGCGCAACTCGCTGCTTGTGGCGCCGATGCCGACGGCGTCGACGTCGCAGATCTTGGGGTTCAACGAGTGCTTTGAGCCGTACACGTCCAACATCTACTCGCGCCGTGTGCTGGCGGGCGAGTTCCAGATTGTGAACCCGTGGATGTTGAAGGATTTGGTTGATTTGGGTCTGTGGTCGGATAACATGAAGAACCGGATTATTGCCGACAACGGCTCGATCCAGAACATTACGAATATCCCGGACGACATCAAGGCGCTCTACAAGACGGTGTGGGAGATTTCGCAGAAGCATATTATCGACATGGCCGCGGACCGGTCTGCGTTCATCGACCAGTCGCAGTCGCTCAACATCCACATCAAGAACCCGACGATGGGCAAGCTTACGTCGATGCACTTCTACGGCTGGAAGAAGGGACTGAAGACGGGAATGTACTACCTGCGCACGATGGCTGCGTCGGCGCCGATCCAGTTCACTGTTGACCAGGAGGCGCTGCAGACGGTGGACACGAACCGCGCGCGCACGAGCGGGATGGGACTGCAGCGCAAGATGTACAAGCAGACGGTTGGCCGCGCGTCGGACGTGAAGCGGATGCTGTACAAGGACACCATGGACACGAGCGGCGGGGTTGTTGTGCTGGAGGACGGCGAGAAGCCGATTGCTGCCGGTGCTGCTGCTGCTGCTGCTAGTCCCTCGCCGGAGCCTATTTCTGCGACGGAGGAGAAGAGGTCTACGGGAGGAGGGCTGCTTGCGCGGAGACGGGCGATGGAGGCGGAGGCGGAGGAGAAGAGACGGAAGGAGGAGGAGGCTGTGCGGAAGAAACGGGCGAACGAGGAGATGACGGAGGAGGAGGTTGATATTTACAATGACAAGGTGTTGCAGTGTTCGATCGAGAACCGGGAGGCGTGCGAGATGTGCTCTGGTTAGATGTTGTTTGTGTTTGTGCTTATGTTAGTGTTATTGTATTTTATTTATTGTATTGTACTGTTTAATGGATGTATTTGATTCTATTCATCAGAAGCTGTTCTATAAATGAAATGATGACGCGTCCGAGGCTGAAGTGAGACGATGAGGATCACGTGCACTCAGCCCAAAGCTTAAAGTGAGTGACAATAACAAGATTGAGTCGGAACCTCATCTCTGTTTCAGCTCTGCTTCTCTTCACCGCCAACAGAGTAACGAAGAAAGAAGATATAAAGAAAGAAGAAGATGAGCGGCGAGAACAGCTTTGAACAACGGTTTCAGACAGGTCAGAAGCAGGACTTCCTGGCGCAGGGACTGGCGCCGCCTGAGGTGCCGGTGCTGGCGGTTTCGCCCCCGACATTTCACAGCGAGTTGATGGGCAGCAGCAGCGGGATTCAGAATGTGAATAGCGGCACTAGTGATCCAGGTCTGAGCAATAAAGGAGAGATGCAGGGAGAAGCAGGGATGCAGGAGTTCTCGACCGTGTTCACGAATTTTGCGGACTTTGATCCTGTCAGCGATCCCGCGCTCGACTTTACGCTGTTTCAATACAACGGCAACGATGCTCTTGATGTGGATAGCTCCAGCGCTGGGTTGATTGACAGCGGCATCAACAGCAGCAACAACATCGACATGAACGGCATCGGCGCACTCAGCACAGATCTGCTATCGAGCGCAACCATCGACTACGGCCGCATGCGCTCGAGCTCTATCCACTCCGACGCCTACTCGGCCGCCGTGTCGCCCGCGCACTCGCCGTTTCTGATGGCAAACCAGTCTCCGCTCATGCAGTCGATCGGGGACACCGGGCTCGAGGACTTTCTCAGTTTTTCAATCTCCGATAACCCATCGCCTGCGCCGTCTGCAGTCTCGACAGCAGCCGTGGCAGGCACTCCGCAGCAGCAGCAACAGCAGCAGCAGTATACACCCTCCCCACACCTCCCACCGCTAGAAATATTCTCGAGCTACTCGCCACAATTCAGCAGCAACTCAAACAGCAACGCAGGGTCGCCGTACGCGCTGCCGCAGGTGACGATCTCGGTCGACCCGTCTCCAGACACGGGGTTCACTCCCGCAGCGCCCCAGGCGTCGCCGGGACGACGGCGGTCGCATTCAGAGTCTAGCGTGCGTCTTGCGCCACCTTCTCCCGGCCGTGGCGGGCGCAGACGGATGAGCGGTGGCGGAGGGCCGATTAGTAGACGGCACCAACAGCGGGCGGGCGGGTTATCGCCTTATTCAGACGTGTCTGACTTTGACGCGGACAACGACGACGAAGACGAGGACGAGGACGAGGATTCGCGGTCCGAGTTTGACGTGAGCGGCGACGACGAAGAAGACGACGGGGACGACACGAGCAGTGTGGTTTCCGCGCAGTCGAGACGGTCGGCGTCATCCAACACCTCCCGCAAGAGCAATAACGCGAGCGACCGCAGCTTCATCCTCGAGCTCGCAGAGCCTAACCGGGCGGACCGGCGCGCGCCGCGGAATCCGCCGGCGTTTGCGTGCACGCTGTGTACGAAGCGGTTCACGCGGGCGTACAATCTACGATCGCATCTGCGCACGCACACGGACGAACGGCCGTTCGAGTGCTCGGTGTGCGGGAAGGCGTTTGCGCGGCAGCACGACCGCAAGCGGCACGAGGGACTACATTCTGGCGTGCGCAAGTTTGAGTGTCGCGGAGACCTGGCGGATGGCGCGGGCAAGTGGGGGTGTGGACGGAAGTTTGCGAGAGCGGACGCGTTGGGGAGACATTTTAGGAGTGAGGCGGGGAGGGTGTGTATACGGCCTTTGATCGAGGAGGAGCGCCGACTGCAGCAGCAGCAGCAGCAGCAACAACAACAGCAGCAGCAGTTGCAGCAGCAGATTCAGCAACAACAACAACAACAGCAGCAACAGCAACTATACATGCCCTTTGACGACAACCTGCTGAGCGTAAACAACACGATGGGCAGCTGGTTGCCCCAGGCGCTGCTGCAGCAGTACCCCGCGCTCTCCAACCTCAGTCTGGAAGGAGAAGGCTTGTCCGGTGGCAGCGGCAGTGAGCTCGACGAGGGCGAGTTCTCGTAGTCTGTGTGTTTGATGAGAGTGTAAGATAGGTGTATTATGGCGCTGTACGTTAACAATAGTAAACAATGAGTCAGACATTAGTAACACACTTAGTCATCAGTTAGTCACGAGATAGCACAAATGCGGCACAGCGTGGCTGCAGCAAGTGGCGATAGCTGATCACCCGCTTCCGCCTTCACCACTTCTCCTCCTCTTCACACCTCTTCTCCTCTCTTCTTCACCACAATGAAGTCCTCCATCATCATCTCCTCCCTGCTCTCCGCCCTCGCGGTCTCCGCAGACCAGGCCGTCTTCTCCTCGCCCGACAATGCCGCCGCCGCCGGCGTGGCCTCCCCTGCCTCGCTCTTCAAGGGCTCCTCCGCCCTCGGCCAGGCCGTCAAGGCGCTCGGCCAGTCCATGAACCAGATCACGCCCGAGACGGCAAAGATCTGGGCCGAGATGGAGCGCGACTTCCCCGAGGCCGTCGATGCGCTCACCTTCATGGCCGAGCCCAAGCCCGCGACCAAGCGCCCGGCGTCGGACTACGACTTCCACGTCAAGGCCGAGGACCTTCCCGGCCACGCGCTCCGCATCAAGAAGCCCGTCGACCTCGGCGTCGACACCGTCAAGCAGTACTCCGGATACCTCGACGTCGAGGAGGAGGACAAGCACTTCTTCTACTGGTTCTTCGAGTCCCGCAACGACCCCGCCAACGACCCCGTCATCCTCTGGCTCAACGGCGGTCCCGGCTGCTCGTCCATGACCGGTCTCTTCTTCGAGCTCGGCCCCAGCTCGGTCGACAGCCAGGGCAAGCTTGTCTACAACCCCAACGCTTGGAACCAGAACGCGTCCGTCATCTTCCTTGACCAGCCCGTCAACGTCGGATACTCGTACTCCTCGCAGTCGGTCTCGTCGACCGTCGCCGCCGGCAAGGACGTCTACGCGCTCCTGACCCTCTTCTTCAAGCAGTTCCCCGAGTACGCCAAGCTGCCCTTCCACATTGCCGGCGAGTCCTACGCGGGCCACTACATCCCCGTCTTTGCTGCCGAGATCCTCTCGCACAAGGAGCGCAACTTTGACCTCACCTCGGTCATGATCGGCAACGGTCTCACCGACGGTCTGACCCAGTACAAGTACTACGAGCCCATGGCGTGCGGCAAGGGCGGTGCCGAGTCTGTGCTGTCGGAGGAGGAGTGCTTGAAGATGGAGGCCTCGTACCCGCGCTGCGCCAACATGATTGAGAACTGCTACAACACCGAGTCCGTGTGGACCTGCGTGCCTGCTTCCATCTACTGCAACAACGCGATGATGGGCCCGTACCAGAAGACCGGCAAGAACGTCTACGACATCCGCACCACGTGCGAGGACACTGAGAACCTGTGCTACCCGCAGATGGGCTGGATCTCCAAGTACTTGAACGACGCTGCCGTCAAGGCCGCCGTCGGTGCCGAGGTCGATCTCTTTGAGTCGTGCAACTTTGACATCAACCGCAACTTCTTGTTCAACGGCGACTGGATGAAGCCGTACCACTACGCTGTGCCGCACATCCTCGCCTCGGGCGTTCCCGTCCTGATCTACGCGGGCGACAAGGACTTTATCTGCAACTGGCTCGGCAACCAGGCCTGGACCAACGCTCTCGAGTGGGAGGGCGCCAAGGACTTCCAGTCTGCGCCTACTAAGGACTGGGTCTTGGGCGACAAGGTCGTCGGTACTGTCCAGAACTCTGGAAACTTCACGTTCCTCAGAGTGTTCGAGGCCGGCCATATGACTCCTTTCGACCAGCCCGAGGCGGCCGGCGACATGGTCCTGCAGTGGATCCATGGCAACTTTGGCTATGCCAAGTAGGTAGTTGTAGCTGCTAGTGCTAGTGAGGTGTGAATGTTTATGGCGCGTGGTTGTCTTATTGTTTTCTACTATGGATTTATAAGGGGTTGCTGTTTTAACAATAAAGTATCGTGATACACAAATAGTCATAATACTAGTCTAGAATGTAGAGAGCAGAAGAGAAGTTAATTAGCATACTTCTTCTGGATGAGCTTGGCGATGGTCTGCAGCTGAATGTTTGAAGTTCCCTCATAAATAGCACCGATCTTTGCATCGCGATAAAACTTCTCAACCGACTCCTCGCGCGTGAACCCGACGCCGCCCATCCACTCGATCGCCTTACTCGCCGCCCTCTCAGCCACCTGCGAAGCATACAACTTCGCCATCGCCGCCTCAGTCACAAACTCCCCGCCCGCGTCCTTGATCGCGGCCGCGTTATAAAGCATCAACCTCGCGGCCTCGATCTCGGTCGCGACCTGCGCGATCTGAAACTGCATGCCCTGGAACTCGCCGACAAACTTGCCAAACTGCTTGCGATCGCGGTAGACGTACGAGACCGCGCGGTCGAATGCGCCCTGAGCGATGCCCGCCATCTGCGCGGCGATGCCGATGCGGCCTTCGTTGAGGCACTCGATTGCGATCTTGTAGCCCTTGCCGTAATGCCCGAGCACGTTTTTGGCAGGCACATGGACGTCGTCGAGCGCGAGGACGGCGGTGGAGGACGCGCGGATGCCGAGCTTGTGCTCTTTCTTGACGACTTTAACGCCCCAGTCCTTTTCGACGACGAACGCGGTGATGCCGCGGTACCCGATCTCCGGCTCCGCGTTTGCAAAGACGACAAAGATCTCGGCCTCGCCGCCGTTGGTGATCCACATTTTCCCGCCGTTGAGGACAAAGTCCCCGTCGGGCAGTTTGCGGGCGCGCGTCTTCAGCGCGAACGCGTCGGATCCCGCGGATGGTTCGGAGAGCGCGAAGGCGCCGAGCTTGGAGGTCGCGAGCTGCGGGAGGTAGGTTTGCTTGATGTAGTCTGATCCCCATTTGCGGACGCAGGTGTTTACGAGCGTGTTGTGGACGTCGTTGAGGACCGCGACGGAAGGGTCGCATTTCGCGAGTTCTTCGACGATCGCGACCGCGGCGGTGAACGACGCGCCCGCGCCGCCGTACTCTTCCGGGGTCTCGACGGCCATGAGACCGGTGTCGAACAGCGCGGAGACGAGCGACGCGGGGATTTGCTCGGCCGCGTCCATGGCGGAGACGTTGGGCTGGACGAGGTCGGTGTTGAAGCGGCGGACGACGTCGCGGAAGAGCTCGACGTCTTCGGAGAAGGAGAGGATGGAGTTGTGGCGGCGGGGGATGAGGGAGGGGGAGGGGGAGATGGAGGAGCGGAGGAGGGAACGGCGGGCGATGCGGAGCATGATGCGATGGCAGATCAACAATTGTAAGAGTAGAAGTAGATGCTATAACAATTACAACGGTTATAACAGTATTATAATAGTTATATCAACAAACAGAATCAAACCAAAGCAGCATCTGATTTAAACATCTCAACAAGGCCCCCCGCAACAATATCTCCCACGTGAAGACCCTAACCCAACGACCTCTACGCCGAAGCCGAGGTACACTACTGATGATAACTACTGTCTATATTCTATTAAATACTGTATAAGACTAAAGGTTGGCCTTTGCAGAGGCGTCGGCGTCGGTGAGCAGGTTGCGTTTGATGGTCGCGATGTCGGCGGGCGAGAAGCTGAGGTGGGTAGAAAGGTATCCCTCGACGCCGCCGAATTCGTCGTCAATCACGTCCAGCATTTTTCTCATCGTTTCGTATCTGTCGCAGTTATTGTCAGACAAGTAGATTATAATAGAGTAAAGAGAACAAAGGAGTAGATACCGAGAACTCATGATGCGCTCAAGAATCTGGTTCCGCGTTCCTTCCTCGGCTCCCGGCGGAAGCGAGCCATCTAATCCCGCGAGGATCTTTTCGTACTCGGCCGCGAGCCCGTGGGTCGTCAGTTCGTACTCGCGTGCGATCGTGTCGTGGTCTACGCCTGCGAGAAGGAGGATCAGGGCGCAGATCACGCCTGTTCTGTCTTTTCCGGCTGTCGTTCTTGTTAGTTGGTTGAAGTTGTGGGGGTGGGTGGAGAAGGTAGGTGACTTACCGGTGCAGTGGATGACGATAGGAGCTTGCGGTTCATCTTTGATATGATCAAAGACATACTTATAACTCCTCACTCCCTGATCCAAGAAATCCTTATAAACAGCCACAAACCCTTCCTCATCGCTGACATCAAGCGAACTCAACTTCTTTGCAATCTCCGCCGGCGACATATCCTCGTTCTTTCCTAGAGGTAAGTGCACGCGCTCCATACCCGGCACCGCGTAGATCCCGCCTTTGTGGCATTCGACTGTCGAGCGCAGATCAATCGACTTGCGCAGGCCGAGTTCTTTCGCGGCGTCGACGCCGGTGGGCGTGATTGTTGAGAGCGCAGCGGCGCGGTAGATGAATCCGGTGCGGACGCGCGGAGCTGCAGCAGCAGTAGTAGCAGACTTGACCTTCCAGCCGCCGAGGTCGCGGAAGTTGAGCACGCCGTCGACGGTTTTCCAGCGCCTGGTTTCGCCCATAAACAAATTCCTCTTCACGAATCGCTCGCGAATACGCTCGGGGGAAAGAAAGTCGACGATGGTGTCTGCGACCTCGGGGTTTTTATTCGCCAGCTTTGTGCCGTCAGCTGCGATCGCGTAGAAATTATGGCCGACCTCAGGGATGAGTTTCAGCGTATGAGCGCCCGCGAGGAGATTAGCGTAGCATGCTGCGTCGGTGACGGCGATCAACTCGTCTGCTAATCCAAAGATTGTCAAAAAGTCAGTGTCGTGCGCGGGCGGGAGCAGGCGCGCGAGCATCGACATGTCGACCGTGGACAGCGAGTGCGTCTCCGCGGCGGCGAACCATCTCTTGCTGACGCTGCCGTGGCGGAGGCATTTGAAGTACAACCCGTTGTCTTCTTGCCAGGTGGAGGACATCATGTTTGTGCGTTCGACGATGTCGTGCGAGGTGTAGCGGCCTGAGCAGTTGATGAGGTGGGGGATGGTTGGGTCGTAGAGCACAGAGTATGTGAGTGTCGCGATGGCGCCTGCAATATTGTTAGCAGGTACTTGCAGAATAAGAGGATGATATGAATACCTCTCGAATGGCCAACTGAAGCCAGAACAAACAGCTTGAGCTGCTGGCGAGCATAAGCCAACACATCCTTAAGATCGCTATAATCCTCTTCTAGCACGCGTTTCTCTTCTGTCTCAATCTCCGCGCTGTCGCCGCAGTCGCGAAAGTCAAACCGCAGACAATACACCCCAAGCTTAGAGGCGAGCTTGCTGGCGAGCACGCGGTGGTAGATGTAGTCTTTGTGGCCGGAGAAGCCGTGCGCGACGACGACGACCGAGGAGGGGTAGGAGGGTGTGGACGGGGTGGTGAGTGTGCCGATGATGAGGGAGTTTGGCGGGGAGGAGGAGGCGGAGACTGGGATCTCGACTCTTGATTCTGTGTAGTCCATTGCTGTTATTGTCAACAGCAATTGCTGATATCAGGTGAAGAGAGGAGGAGTGTGGGGTTTATATGTCAAACAGGGCTAAACCTTCACTGTTGAGCCCGGTCGGCTCAGCTCGGCATAGACTCCGACGTCGGATTCAAGCGGTGTCTGCAGTGCAGTTGCAGTTGTTAAGGACGTTATAGCAGTGAGATTGTAGAGAGAAGAGATCTGATAAGGATCAATAGTAAATAAATAAATATTCAAAATAGGAAAATAGAAAATAATCCAGAAAATAAGAAAATTAAAATAAAATAAAAATAAAAAATATTAAATCGGGCTAAACTCCGAGTGCGTGAACCTCGTGCGTTCAAGAGAGGATGTGGCGAAGTAGCGTCGTCGCGCGCCGAAGGGTTGTCGTTGGATGACATAATGAGGGGATAAGCGATGGATAAGTGGAAGGTAAGTGGGAGTTGTAGTGGAAGCGCAAGTGATTAGGAAGATAGTAGATGAAGGTTGATTATCAGGAAGACTGGGTAAGCCAGGCTTCCTTAAATATTACTCTACAAGATGCCTCATTCTATCCTCTCGCCGGAAGAGATTAGTCTCCACGTTCGCAGGACGAGGAGGCTGGCTCTCGAGGAGTAAGAATGTTAGTAAATGAGTGTGGTTTGTTGACAAGAAGAAACCGTGCGGAGGATGAAGGGATCTTTGATGAGGGGAAACCTCCCTGCTCATGCCTTAGCGTCCTGCGAAGTACTCTTCATGCGGGAGGGTGTAGGCGTGACCTTGTGAAGTGAGGCAGAGGTAATCTCCCGTGGATGGACTGCTGGTTAGGCGTTCTGAGGTGAGGCAAGATGGCTGGGCTCTTGCAGGGATAGATGTAGTAGACGGACAAGCATCGTGAGGTGAGGCAGGATGACAGGTCTCTGACACGGATGAGGGTTTGGAGGAGGCCGGGCAGTTCTGCCTCGCAACCTCATGACAGAGGAGCTGTGAGGTGATGGTGATGTTGTCATTCAAAAGCGATAGAATGAAATCAGAGAATAAAGAAATGAAGAAAGAATAAAGAAATGTCAAATCAAAAATCCAAAAACCTGTCTGAAAACAATCAAAATAACTGCTCTGTGATTAATACTGAGTGTAATCAACAGATACCTAGAACAAACCCACTCAAAAAACAGAGAAAAGACAAAAAAACTAGAAAAGAGACAAAAAAGTGATCAAACAGAACTCTTCCGACCAAGTCGTCGTTCAGATAAGACTTTCCCCTGCACCAAAGCTGCTTCTGAAAACCCCCACGATCCCGCGTTTGTTTTTCGTTTGCTTGCGTTGCTGTTGCTGTTGCTGTTGCTGTTTACTGATTCAATTGGCGAAGAGGAAGAAGAGGAAGGGGAAGAGGAGGGGGAAGAGGGGGATGACTCTGGTGATGGGAGATATGAAATAGAAGTCGACGAAGAAGAAGAGGAAGAAGAAGAAGAAGAAGAAGACTTCTTTGCAAAAGCAAGGGAATTAGCAAGCGTATGTCTAACCCCAGACCTCCACTTCTTCCCCTCATGGCTCGCAGCCGGGAACCTTGCAAAGAACGCGAAATGAGCCTCGATCGCGGCATAGATCTCAGACACGCGCATGCTTCGCTGCGGGTTGAGTTCGAACCGGGAGTGCTCTGCTTCGTCTTTGCCGCCGACGAGGAGCACGAAGGAGACGAGGTGGGAGTAGGGACAGCTCGGGCGGAGGGAGTAGGCTTTTTTGGGAGTAGTTGAAGACGACGACCCAGAAGACGCACATCGGGAGAGAGGAAGGAGGGAGTAGACTACTGTCGAGAACGGGATTGCTTGCGACGAGCGATAAGACGCTCCGTTTTGGCGACACTCGCGAAAGAGGTTGTCGTCCGCCATGCTTTCCCGTGGTGCAACCGAATCTTCTTCAGCAGAATTAAGAAGCATCCAGCTGGCTTGTTCTACTTCTGACTTGACGATGTCGTGGTAGGTGGTGGGCGCGAAGAGCTGGTACTCGTAGGACGAGAGGGAGAGGTATTCGGCTGAGAGGTGGGTGGAGAAGTAGTTGTTGCAGAGGGAGTCTGAGTTGTAGTTTCCGTCGAGCAGCAGCGATGCGTGTTGGTCCATGATACTACTATGTTTAGCAGAGCAGAGCAAGAGAGCAAGAGAGAGAGCAAGAGTGTTGTGAAGAGAGGAAGAGAAGAAGAGGAAGAGAGGAAATCGCCCGCTTTATATCCTCAGAAACCGCAGATCAATGCACTAAACCTCCTAATCTAAAGAACAATAACAAACAAACAATATCTCCTCCTTCATTTTATTCTCAGATCTGCAACGTTTTGTCTTAATCCCCATCACATCCGCAAATCAGATATATTTACTGTCGCACGAGTGATTTTGCGATTATTACCCAATCGGGTAATTCCCTTACCTCCCCTTCTGTTAGTACTTGTTCATTCACAGAGCACTTACGAGAGAAGAATAGGATAAGAATATAATGCATTCGCTTAAGCTACGTACAATGACATATAAAACAAACAGATCGATCGGCAGATAATAAGCAAAACACTATTTTGTGGCCGCAACACTCAGACTGACTGCACTGCACTGCACTAACGGTGACTTCCCACCAGCACCGCCTGCTTCTCCCACGCCTCCTCACTAAACGTCCAGTAAAACGTCCCCTCCGCGCTGTTTACTTCTCTAGCAGATTTAGTGCTGCGGCGGGGTGCACTATCACCCGACCGCGATCTTCTAGATCGCTTGTGTGCAGAACGCGTGTCCTCCTCCACCCTCACGCTCGGACGCAGATTCCCATCCGCGCTCTCGCTCATCAACACCTTCTTGAACGAGACCGAGTGACTCAGCGTATGCCTGATCCCGCTCTTCCACGAGTTCCGCGCTGACTTTGCAATGTCAAAGTAACTAAACCGCGTCGCGATAATCCCATAAATCTCGTCCACGCGAAGGACGTGGCCGCGCTCGGGCGGCGCATTCAAAAGCGCGCAGGCAATTAGAATCCGGTAGGCTACGCGCGGGTGCTCGGTTACAGATACAGGCCGGATCGATACAACTTCGCTGAAAGGAACGTCGCGGTTGCAGCGGTAAGAGCCGCCGTTGCGGCTTGCGCTGCTGGCGAACCGCGGATCGGGAGTGTTTGCCGCGGCGACTAGAGGCGTGGGATTTGCCGGCTGGAAGTAGGAGGAGATAGAGGAAGAGGAGGAGGTGGAGGAGGAGGAAGTAGAAGAGCAAGACGACCGGCGAGAAGATCGGCGATGAGAACGACGTCTGGAGGATTCAGCGATGGAAGCAGCGATAGCAGCGGCAGAGGCAGTCGATAGTTTCTTTCTACCACCGCGGGAGACTGATTGAGAGTGAGAGTGAGAGCGGGAGCGCAACGAACGAGGTTTCAGCACGGGATCATATCTTGGCTCGTAGTCTGAATCATCACTGTCTTCCTCCTGATCATCGTGATCATGATCCTCAGTCTCTTCTTCTTCTTCTTCCATGGCACTCTCGTGGCTGTCATCAGATCCAGGAAGTTTATCGTGATTTCCCAATTTCACATTCTTGGATCTTTCAACATTCATAGAAGTAGAAAACGATGGGATAGAAAGCGGGAGCCAGACACTAGCCATTCTAGGCGCGAGATCGGCAAAGGAGTGGCGTTCAAAGCCGGGGAGTAAGACGCCAGAGAAGAAAGATCCGGGAGAGGAAGCAGAGAGCGCGAGAGCAGTCGGAGGAGCAGATGATGATGGAGATGAATGAGAATAGAAAGATAGCGGAGATGAAGGAATAGAGAGTGATGAAGAGGCAGACGAAGCAGGCGATGAAGACGAAGACGATGTAGACGAAGCAGAGGACGCAGAAGCCAGGATCATATCAGCCGGATGAACGGTCAAGCAGTCCATTTCTCTGTTTATTGTAATCAATATAGAAACAGAACAAAATCAATTGCATTAAAGCTGCAATAAACGGCAAAGAAGAAAGAAAACAGGTTTCGAGGGCGGAGAGAAATCCGGCGGGTTTTATTTTCTACGACGCTCTGCAACTCTTGTGCTACTCCACCCTCTATCACGCACTTCTTCCTCTCTTCCTCTTCTTCTTCTTCTTATTTCATTCTCGTTTCCTTCTTCTTCTTATTCTTGTTATTCTCATCTTATGTTCTCTGTTTCATCTGCAGTCGCTTTGTCCTGCTCGCTGTGATTCTCTGTCTCAACATCACGATCTGTAGGGTATCAGTATCAGTCTCTATCAACAGTCAGATCAACAGATCATTCAGATCACAGTCAGATCATCTCTACCAACCCAGCACTACTCTGCTCAGAAAGGTCTGCTCTTCTTCTTCTCTCTGCTGTTATTCCTTCTCAACCTGATCAATCCACTCTGATCCTGCCTCTGAATCAGAACCACTTCACTCAATCACTACGCACTCCACACGCGTAGTCACGTGCTGAGCACGCTTGTTTTCATCGCGTCGCGTTCGCCAACAAACCCGCATCTTACCTCTCGCACGCGCTATGGCTCTCCCATTCTCCTCCATCTGCGATCTCTTCAGATCTATTGAGAAGGAGCAAAGTCTACCTGGTTGGGGGTCCCGCAACCGTGTCATGATGCACTACGCAAAGTGGTGCATCATGCACCGAGACGATCTTCTCGCTGATAAAAACCTGCTACTTTGCGCTCTCTCCTGCCTGTTTCCCGAGCTCCGGACTGATCGAAGATACGGTCTTTCGAAACTGGGCACTCTCAACTTATTTGGTACCGCAGCTGGCATTCGCCACACGCGAAGATTCGAGCAGGCAGAAGCGAGGATTAAGCGCGGTGAGGAGAATGCCTCTGTTATCTCTGACCTCCTCACCCCAACTGTATGCTGCGTCCTCCTGATATTTCAAGTGATTTGTTTGCACAGCTATTTAACTATAATTTTTCGCAAGGCATGTGCTACTCCACCATCCTCTCAGCCCCTTGTCACAGTCGCTCAGGTTGACGAGTTCTTCGCAACCCTTGCCGGCACTTGCCGTTTCTCCGCAGCAGGTGTCTACTGCGAAAGACAGGAAACATCTCCCGAGGAACTTTTACAGCCAATGATTGAGAAGCTGCAACCAAATGAGATCAAATGGCTGATTCGAATGCTCAACCGAAATATGCAGCCAGTCACCTTACCCGGTAAGTTTTGTTATTGATACTGGCCTCAATTGGTGCGCTGACATTGCTTTCATCGTAGTCGATGCCGTTTTAAGGAATATTCACTTTGCTCTCCCCATGTTCTATTCCTTCTACAGCAGCTTCCCTGACGCCCTTGATCACCTCTTCAGCCCTCCGTCTGATATCTTCCTAGCTCACCCTCGTCCGGATACCAAGCATCAGGAGATCTACAAGCAGACTCTTCTCCAGTGGCTCGCTCCGACTGTAGGCGTCCCAGTGCGCATTCCCGAATGCTACAAAGGCCGTAATCTCAACGAGCCCACTCGACGGTTCAACCCCGGCTCGCTCGTCAGCGTGGAGACAAAGTATGATGGGGAACGAATGCAGATCCACATTGATATAGACTGTCGCCCTGATTATGATGGTGCATTTGATGATTTAAATGAACCGCCCGAGATTATCAGACGATTTTCTATTTTCTCGAAATCCGGCAGAAACTCTACTAAGGATCGCTCAGGCGTCCTCGATGCGATCCGGAAAGGGCTTCGTCTGTCGAACGACGTATGTTGTCCTCACTTTTCAACGTCGATAATTCTAGAGGCCGAGATGGTCGTTTACGACCGGGTGAAACGAAAAATTGCTCCGTTCCACCGTATAACAGATCATGTCACCCGGGGCGGTTCGAAAATAGGTGCTGCGTACGACAAAGAGTCAATCAAAAACGAGCAGCTGATGGTCGTCTTTTTCGACGTGCTCGAGATTGATGGGATATCAATGCTCAACGAGTCATATGAAGCCAGACGGGGTGTACTCGAGAAAGTAGTCTCTGAAGTTGATGGCCATGCGATGCTGGCCGAGCGTACCGTTGTCAGATGTTCTGAATCTAGGTGCACCACGAAGGGCGTGGCTCCGGTGTTTGAGAGAGTCGTGGGGTCAGGAGGGGAGGGCGTTGTCGTCAAGCTGTGTGATTCGACATATTTAGAAGCCTCTATGAAGGTCGGGAATCAGCAGTGGATCAAGCTGAAGAAGGACTACTTGGCAGGGAGAGGTGATACAGAGGATTTCTGCGTGATCGGGGCAGGGGTGGATACCAAGCGGGCAGTCGAGCGCAAAAGTATTGCTGTGTTGAATTTGAGATGTCGATGATATATGCTAACGATATGATAGTGGGCCCCGGAGAGTACAATGTCTACTATATCGGCTGCATGAAGAATAAGGAAGAGGTACAGCGATTCGGTGTGCGACCAATGTTCGAGGTCATATTCACAGTCAAGTATCTGCTACACGCGGCCGACCAGGCACGCATGCAGGACATGATTCGAACATATGGATATCCTTATGATGATGTGAGTTTCAATTCTCTTTTGTGGCATGGCGCGTACTGACAAACTATCAAGTCGGATCAATTGGACTATGACATCACTCTCCACCCCTACCTCTCGCCCCGCAAACCCCTTGTTTTATTTTATCGCACCCAGATTTTTGAGATTATGTCTGCGGGCTTCGACAAGCCGTCTGGAAACAACTTTTACGTGCCGCGCTGGCCCAGGGTCGTCAAGATCCATGAAGACGGCCGCTCTTGGGTCGAATGCGTGGGGTTTGATGAGTTGCAGAATATAGCAGACGCGTGTGTACAGATGCCGGTTTCGCGCGTTCCGAGGGGTTATGAGAAAGAGTCTGAGGTTGAAGATGAAGATGAGGATGAGCGGAAGGCGAAGAGAGCAAAGACGCTGACGAGCTTGGAGATGAGCTCGATTCTCAACAAGTCTGATCCTTGGGAGCCCTCGCCGCTGGCTGTGAGCAGACGCGACGAGGTAAATTGGATGCTGGGGACGAGTATTGTTCTTGCTTCGTATGCGGCTCTCGCTCGAACAAAGTTGATTGACAATTACGAAGCGGTATATAAGGATCCGATAGAGATTGAATACATTAGTGAGCTGAACAGGTATCGACAAATTGTCATCAAAAGGTTTTCGTACAGAGCATCTCGCAGGATTGTGCTGTTGGTAGACCCCAGACGGTCTGAAAGAACGCATGATGAGATAGCAGAAGTACGAAAGTGGATTAAGAAGGAGTTTAGAGTGCGCAGAAAGGACTCGAGAACAACGTATGACTTTGGTCGCAAGACTGAGTCGGTTGAGTTGCTTGTTGTTGAGTGGCGGGTAGTTCAGGATGAGATGGGGAGCGAGTTTGACAGGAGGTTGTTGTTTGTGGATGAGTTTGTGTGAAATTATTCACTCGAATAGCAAATTAAGTAAAGCCAAGCAAGAACGCCATATGCACCAACAAATTAAACAATAGACAAGGTCAGAGATCATCATTATCACTCGAGTCAAAGATACTCATACCAGAAGCAGCCTGCGACTTTTGCGTCCTGCGAATCCTCTCCGTCAACGTCTGCGTCTTCACATTCCCCGCCCGTTCGCGATCATAGTCATCCTCCGCATCAGCACCGTCACCTTCGACCGGCAAAAACCGAAAATCAACAAACCCCTTCCTGCCGTCGCCGATGTCGCACATCGACTGGATACTCATGATCCCGTCCTCGTCCACGCGCAGACTGATCAGCGTCGCGAGACGGACTGCTTCGCGGACTTTTTGGAACATTGAGTAGGCGTAGGAGTGCGTGAGGTGCGCGATTTGGTCGCTCATGACGAAGTTCTCAATCACGTTTCGGTGGTCACGGGTGGTTACCAGCCACGCCACAGTACCTAATTCCCCCGTGCACGCCAGCTCCAGTTCCCCACCAGTACTATTCTTCCCGCTGCTGGCATTCTTCCGAGCAGAAACGGTAAGAGTGGGTTCAGACGTGCTGGGCGTGTCGAGCTCGCGGAAGGATTCGAGCAGGCTGGCGGGTTTCATGATCACGTTGAGATGGAGCGCGTCGGAGGAAAGAATGATGTCGCTGATTTCGTCGAGCTCGGTTGAGGTTGTGAATTCGCAGGTTGTCGTGAGACTGCCTTCGTCGAGCCTGTATATGTCGTGTTAGTGGCTGACGATCAATGGAGGGGTTAAGGATGGGAAAAAGGAAGGTACATTAGAAGGAAAGGGTCACCTGGGTAGTTATACCGCAGCTTGCAGACACTCGTGGACCCCAGAAATTTCTGCTGCTGCTCCTGCTGCTGCTGTCGTCGCTCACTATCGCCATCTCCTCCTCCTCCTCCTCCTCCCCCAGCTGCACGTCCACCGATCTGCATCCGACCGGCGCCAGATTCAGCAGTAGACTCACTGCCAAAGATCTGGAAACACTCAATCAGCGCATCCAGCTGTATACTAAATGCCACGCTTGGACTGTCGTCGTCTGAGGAGGTAGAGCGCGCGGTGGTGTAGGATCCTGGGGGAGCTTCGGGATGGTGGGGAGGATTGAAGAGGTATGTTGAGAAGAATGCCCGGTCAAGGAATACATGAGCTGCAGCAACCTCACACATTAACATTAAACCAACCAGCACAAACAGACAGAAGAAGAGACACACCCTGACAAGCCTTCGAGCTCTCGACCGAAACAGTGATTCCCTCGGCCGCAATCGACACCGTCGCTCGCCGCGACACGCGTCCGAGCGTGTTCAAGATCCGGTAAATAAACGACACGCACGTCGACACCGCGTCCAGCACCGGCGGCGGCTGCGAAAGCTCCACCATCTTTTGCTCTTTGAATCGTTCATCATCTCGACGCGATGCTGGTCAGTCAAATAGCAGACGCGTTGGAGTGCACGTGATTGTATTACTAAGTTATTTGTCATGCGGCTTTTTATGAGTCGATCCCGAGGAAGCAAAAGTCGAGGTCTGCTCTGATGCTGAGAGTTGACTTGACAGGTGGTCTTTCAGGCAGCTGTTGAGAGCATAAAAGAGAAGAAGGAATACAAGACAATACGCGACAAAGAAGAAAAGAAGAGAAAAAGGAGAAAAAATGACGGATCATATGCCTGTTTCGCGAGACTTCCCGCCGTTCCCAAGTCCGGACGAAATCAAGAAGCTCTATCCCTCCAACCTCGAGCTATTGCAGGTCCAGGTTCTGTTTCGCCATGGTATGTCTGCTCTTACTGATGATAATATACGGCGCTTGTGCTGATAACAATGTAGGTGAACGGACGCCTGTGCGCGCACGCTTCCAGACATGGGGTCTGCAGCCCTTCTGGCCGTTCTGCAAGATCGCAGAGCGCTTCACGCAGACAATCGTGAGCTTCCCGAACGAGGCCGCCACGCCGTTCGAGTACGTCCGCAGACTCGAGTCCGTCGCGCGCGAGCTGCCAAAGAACGTCCCCGTGCCGGCATCCGGCTTCAAGCCCGGCGAGCACGACGGCCTGTGTATGCTCGGCGAACTGACTGATCTCGGACGCCTGACCGGGTTCAAGCTCGGCGAGAAGCTGCGGAGGCTGTACGTTGACGAGCTCAAGTTCCTGCCGCAGATGTTTGCCGACCACTCTGATTTCTACTTTCGGTCGTCGCACGTCGCGCGGTCGAACGAGACCCTGCTCTCGCTCTTCCAGGCTCTTTATCCGACCACCTACCGCGCGCCCGGTCTCAAGCCCGTGATCTACACGCGCCTGTTTCCCCAGGAAAACGCGTACCCGAACGACGAGAACTGCAAACGGCTGTCCGAGCTCGGTTTTATGTTTGCCGAAATCGTCGCTCATAAATGGAACCCCGTCCTCGCCGGCCGCACCTCGGATCTCCTCCGCGACGTCCTCCCCAACGGCGTCGCCATCGACGGCTCCCCCGCGCGTCCGGCATCTTCGACACCGTCGCCGCCTGCGTGGCTCACGACGTCGCACTCCCGGACGGCTTCAAAGACGACCAGGTGATCGACACCCTCCGCAGCGCCGTGATCGAGGAATGGTACCTCGGCGTGCAAAAGTCAAAGGAGTACCGCACGCTGGCTGTCGGTGCTCTCGCGGGCGACTTCTTGCACCGCATCAAGCTCGCTGTCGCTGGCGACCAGAAAGCACACGGTATCAACTCCGGCTCGCTTGTCGATCTTTTCAAGGGCTCGTCGTCGGCGCCGAAAGAGCAGCCGGTTAAATTAGCCCTCTACGGTTCTCACGATACAACTATCGCCTCGCTTCTCTGCGCCCTCGACGCTTTCGACAACAAATGGCCCCCTTTCACATCCGACCTCACCTTTGAACTTTTCGCCAAACCCTCCCCCTCCTCCCCCTCCTCCTCCCCCTCCAGCTCACCCAAAAACCCGCGCGACTACTACGTCCGCCTATCCTACAACGACGAAATCCTCCACCTCCCCGCCTGCGCCTCCCCCGGCACAAACCTCGACGGCGACTCCTCGTTCTGCGCGCTCGCCGCGTTCTCCGCCGCCGTCGACGAGTTCGTCCCTCAAAACTGGGAACTCGGATGCCGCTCGAATCTGAATAAGACGATCGTTGACGCGCCGGAGATGGATGCTGCGTTTAAGGCTATTCCGCGGGTCGAGGGGGCTGCGATGCAGAAGCAGCAGGCGTAGTTTTCTGTGTGATTTGGTTTTATTTCGGGTTGGTTTAGTGTATTTATTCGTTTATCTCCTTGAGTTTTTGTTATCGCAACATGGATTCATTGTATTATATAAAACATCTGTAATAACTATAACTGTCATCAAACAAAACAAAACGACACAACAACAGAGTACACGAACGACAACTACATAAACCTTACAAATGAAAGAGACAGCAGAAGGATCGGGAAAAAGTAATGAATAAAACTCCATGATGAGAGAAGGAAACAATGAGAGAAAGAAACAAGAAAAAAATACACAGAACAAAACACAAAAGTCCCTATCCCAAGCATAACAACAGTATATATACAATATAAATATATCAATCACAGTCCTTACTCACGAGTAAAATGCATCATAACCCTTCGAATGAAAATATCTAGCACGAAGATTCTACTCCGCAGATTGATAACAGTAACATTCCCAAAAACAATTATAGAATAAGAAAAAGAATTAAAAGAAACGGCCAGGAACTATTCTTCGCTGGTTATGGCCGCTCAAGCCCTCCTCAACAGTCTGCGCAGCACGCTCCAGTCGGCCGCCGGCAGCTTGGTTGTGCTTCTCAATCTTATCTCTCCATCCGCCGTACTCCAGCACGATGCCATTCGCCCGCTTCAAAGCCTCGCGAACGACCAAGGCCCAGGCACGCGAGAGCTCATCGTACGCAGCATGCTTGAGAGAGTTGTTCGCCTCGGTCGTCCAGTCCGGCAGCTTGTGCACGAGCGTGGTGACGCCGTCGAGAAACTGCAGGCAGTTGCCTACTTGCTGCTCGCGCGGAGGCAAAAAGTGCGGAGTGTAGTCACTGACGGCGTCGAGAAACTCGCTGATTTGGGGACGAACCCGCAGATAGGCGTAGTCGCCGGCCGGGTCGCACTTGTAAGGAAACGCACCCGAGATGCGGTCGAAATACCGAGTGAGAAGTTCGAGGCTGCTGTGCACAGTAGGAACGGGGGCCATGCCACTAATCTCGTCGGAGAGATAGACGTGCTTGTCGGCGAGCTGGCAGATAATCGCCTTGAGCGCACGGGCATCGAGAGTCTCGAGCTGGCGCGCGAGTGGAAGAGGGCGGCCGATGATTTCTGTGCGGGCACGCTTGGGAAGCGATGCGTGTGGTCTGGAGTGGCTGTGATGGCTGATGGGAGAGGCATGTTGATGTGCGTAGTCGTGCGCCGACGCAGTGAAGGAAGGCGAGGTGCCCTCGGGCGAGCTCACCATTTCGTCGTCTGAATCATAGTCGTGCGTCTTTCTCTTTTGTCCTGCGATGATAAAGCTGTTAGTTGAGCTGATTCCTTGATCGGGTGGGGCGCGGTAATCACAGCTCCGGCTCATTCGAGCAATCACGAGCACGAGCAGACCGCCAATCGCGGCCAACAAGAAGACCGATAGATAAACGATAAAACACCACAAGAAGTACATACCAATTCTGGATTGATGCTGTGTAGGCGACTCCGGACCGCTCTCACGCAGCTGGGTGGAGAACGGGAAGCCTACATGGGGTCCAGCCAGTGGCAAGACGGCGCTCATAGTTCTTCTCTATGCGATGGCTGTGGATAGGATAAGAAGAGGATGATCAGAGTGATAGTATAATCGCAGCCTATTCCTTTGCAGAAGAAGACAGGAAGAGCAGGATCCCAAAGAAGAGAGCAGGCGGTGCGAAGGCGGGAAGAGCAAAGGAGTGGCCGAACGCAGCACCGAACCAGGATCGTCACCTTAAAAAGTTGTGTGCTGAAGGTTTAATTTATGTGGTTGCCATGCCAACAATGACGCTATTCTGTTTTGGGAAATGTGTAAATTTTATGTCCACCGACTGTTCATCACCGGTTCTGTCTAATTATGATTCAGAAGGATTAATTATGCTTAATGCGATCAATAATATAACAGAAAAAAAAAATAGAAAAAAGAGAAACGAAAAAATAAAATCGTAGAACACCATCTGCCAACCGTTTTTCATAAAAATCCATAACCTCAGCGCAGAAGAATATAAAAAAGAGGAATTCAACTACACCAACCAAAAGAAAATACTAAAGACAAAGCAATCAGCTTACTCGTCCTTGATGTAGGGAATTCCGGTAAGCTTGAAAGCGCGCTCGCTCAGGACGGGCTCGTGCAGGGGCTGCTGGCGGATAGCCGAATCAGGCTCGGGCACGCCTTCGCGGCGCGGGTGGTTGTCGCTGTAGAACTGGACATCGGGCCAGTGGCTGGTCGAGTATCTGTTCTCGAAGCACATCTTCTTCTTCTTGAGGTCCTCCTGCGACGCCTCCGCGGCAGGCATGTAGCAAGTGTAGACAGCCATGCGGTGGTTGTCACCCTCGGGGCCGCAGTTGTAGTGAGGCGCGCGAGAGTCCCAGAGAATGAGATCACCGGGGTCGGCGCAGACCTTGACCCATTCGCAGCCCTTGGAGGCGAACCAGGCGACGGCGTCGTCGCTGAGTGTGTAGTACTCGGTCGAGAAAACAGCGACCTCCTGCTCTTGTGTGTCGTTCAGCTTGTGGAACTCGTTGCTGAGCTTGTGGCCGCCCTTCATGACGACAAGACCGCCGTCGTTGGGGCCGTTGGGCAGCAGGTTGACGAGTCTAGAGAGCTGTTAGTATATAGCAAAGATGTACAGTTGAACACGATGTAGACTTACCCCTGCAGACATCTGAAGCCAGGCTTCTTGGGGTTCTGATCCTGATGCGGCCAGGGAGCATTTTTGGGCACATCCGTGCGCTTGGGGAAAGAGACGTTGATGGCGTCGAAAGAGACGATGAGGTCCTCGGTGTTGTAGATGCGCTCGAAAGTGCTGATGACGCCGGGCTCGGCGCGGACTTTCCAGACAAAGTCCTCGTGCGAGATGGCGTTGTCCTTGAGGATTCCCTTCTCGGTCATAGGAGGGAGCTTGGTCTTGTGAATAGTGGAGGGATCGCGGCGGTCGAATCCGAGTTTGCTGTATGGTTATTAGTATCAGATTCACACAAACGGAGGATAGACGGAGGAGAGATGAGACATACAAGGACTCGAGAAGCTCGTAGATGTTCTGGACGTACTCCTCGCAGTGCTCCTTCGAGACGGCGCCCTTGACGATGCAGTATCCGTCGCGGATGAGGTCGACGAACCAGTCCTCGAGGACGACGCCCGGGACCTGGACGAGCTCGCGCATGGTGATCGGCACCATCTGGCCCTCGTGGTTCTCGACGTGCTCGGTGACGGTTGTGATAGTAGCCATTTTTTGCTTTGGTTTTCGAGTGAGTGCAGGTACTTTACGCAGCAGAGAAAGAGTATGGATCTTACGGAGGGAGAGCAGAGAAGGAGAGGGAAAAGAGCAATATGGCAGGAGAGCCAGCTGGGAGAGCAAGATCTTCTTATCGCAGGCTCTGACAGGCTCAACGGCCCGTGCTGCCCTACATTTACGAGCTCTACTGTGGCCTGACGCAGCACTGAGTCATGCCATCGCCCGGGAGTTAACACGCGATAAGTCTTATCTTTCGGACACTGAGCCCTTATGCGGGAGAAGTGGTTCGAGGGAAGATAAAGGGCGAGATAAAGCGCAGCGGCCGAGCGGGCCATGAGCAGTTGGAGATAGCAGGCCGGGATCAAGGCCTGCACCCGCCACGCACAGGCTTAGTAAAGCACGCGCGGAGCGGACGAGGAGGTTGTCTGAGGCAGGAGTGCAAAGGATAACCTTTAAGTCCTTCGCGGGCCATCCTTGATCTCCGTGCGCTTAGCCGTAAACAGCCATGGCCGAGCCCGGAAGCTGCAGAGCAAACGCCACGCGACCGCCTCAGTGCAGGTACGTCTGGGTACGTTGCTGCTCTGCTCGTCGGTGGCGTAGTACCTGGCCGGGACATGTCTGATGATGTTCGATGGCTTTGCGATGGCTTACAGCTGGCTTTGGTGGCGGTCGATGGCACCGCTTGCCGATGTCGCTTTCTGTCTTGTTTTTGTCAGAATTACGGTTTTCTCTTTCTGAGTCTTTGGGCAAGAGCAGATTTAGTAATGTTATCCGCCTGCGCGCTGCTGTTTGGCTAAAGTTCTTGATGTCGTCTGTGCGTCCGCTGTTTGTTGAGGTTGAGCGTCGGGGTCCTCTTCTTCCCTTCACGACTTGTTTATGGCTGTTTAAACAGATAGCAGATAGATGAGAGAGCAGAAAGACAAATATATTATCCTTGATATACATATATCACTACATGAAACAACAACCCTACCTCAACCATCCAAAAGCAGGCGACGGAAGGCAGACCGAGAGCCGACATCTAACTCTAAAGCCTGTCTGTCGGCTTCAACCCAAGCGGCCCGCGACCGCCGAAATTTGTTTGCCTCTGAGCTTTTGTCCCCGGTGCCAACCCTCGCTGCTGCTTCAGTATGCCTCAGTAATTGGATCAGGACACCTGGGCATCAGCCTTAAGCTACTGACCAATGACCTGCTGGCCGATATCTGGGCGAAATAATTACGAAAAGGTCGAGCGTTCGTTCTTTATCGCGCTCTGTCTTGTTATCATATGAAACAAGAAGATAATGAGATGATAGTGATATTGAGAATCGTCATTCTTCCAACATCCTCTCTGTTTCCCGGCATTGTCTATTGTTCTAGCCTACTTCAGATTTAAACATGGCGATGGTGGCGGCTTCTGTGAACTAAAACGCCGCCGCCGCCATCAAAACCGAAGATCTCATCTGACAGCCCGACCTCACCTCTTCCTTTCCTCTCTCTTCTGCCTCGGTCTTTTGCCTTCTCTTCAGCCGTTTTCACTTTTAATAACTGCCTTATCGTGCTTGTGGGCCTATGCACTTTCACTGTGGTCCCTATCGAATCCGAGTACTTGCACGTTCCTCATTTCCCGTCCTGTCTGCCTCCAATCCCCGCGTAGTCATTACTCTTGTAGCTGTCCTCTAGTTTCCCTCTTTCACAGCAGTTCTTTCTCCTTACTATAATACTTCATTATCATCATTGCTTTATCTATTTCTAAATATATATTTAGTAATTACTCAACTACTAATAAAACTGCTCTGACACAACTGTCTCCTCGCTGAGTTTGATCCTGCGAAAGAGATCCGTGCGGCCGCTTAAGTTTTTCCGGTCTCGAAAAAGACTACAACCCGTCGTACCTTTTTGACTCCTTTCAAAACTGTATCAAATCTTGCCTGATAGTCCGATTAGGGCATCTGTTTCCCTCTTACCGATACCAAGCTGTGAAAATGACTGAAAAATAGTGCTCCAACAGAGGTGGGGGAAGCGCAAAAACTCATCTACTCCTCCGCAGTCCAGAACTACATCGCCTGACGCCCGCATCGCGGCTTCTCGGTGGAAGACTGAGCGAATGACTGGGGCGGCGGCGGCGGCGTCGGGCGGCGTCAGAGCGGCGTTGACTTTCAACACGAGTCATAATCTTTCTCTTATCGATCCACGGTCTGTGTATCCGCTCACTCACCCCTCGAGCCTTTGAGCCTTGACGCTCTCTGATACCGGGGGGAGAGGGGGGGCCTTATCGAGCTCCACATATTCCTGGCTACTACATAACCAGTCCTCTGTCCGCTCTGTTTCTGTTCTCTATCCGCTCACCTTCATCTCTCTACCCCCTCCTCTATCCCTCCCCTCCCCCCTCACATACAAAATGAGCAGCATCAATATGACAGAGAAGGAGGAGAGCATCGACATCATCTCCCCTACCATTCCTCGCTCGATCCCCGTCCCCACCGACGGCTCGTTCAAGTTCGAGTATGTGCACAAGCTTGTGCCCAAGACGAACATGGGACTCACCGCCCTCATCATCACCACCTCGATCGTCGATGCCTTCTCTCAGGGCTACGACGGTTCGCTCATGGGTTCCCTCAACGCCATGACTCCCTACCAGAACTACTTTGTCATGTCGAACGCCATGACCTCCTTCCGTACCGCCGCTACCTACATCGGCGGTATCACTGCTCTGTTCCTCATGCCATGGTACGCCAACAAGCGCGGTCGTCTCGAGTGTATGTTCATCGCCTTCTGCCTCATCATCATCGGTGGTGGTGTCCAGGGTGGCGCGCACAACACCGGCATGTTCATCGCCGGTCGCATCATCATCGGTCTCGGAACCGGTGTCGCTGCCGTCTCTGCTATTCCCTACATCGCCGAGACCTCGACCGATAAGTGGCGTCCGTTCGCGCAGGGCATGTACTACACCTGCTGGTACGTCGGAACCCTCGTCGCTGCCGGTGTCTGCTACGGAACCGAGGACATGAACACCAACTGGTCGTGGAGAATTCCCTCGCTTCTGCAGTGCGCTCCCGCTGTCATGGCTATCTTCATGCTTCTCTTCCTGCCCGGATCGCCCCGTTGGTTGCTGTACAAGGGCCGTCATCGTGACGCGTACGAGGTCTTCACCATTCTCTACGGAAACGGAGATCCTCTCCACGAGGACGTCAAGTCGCACTACTTCCAGGCCCTCGAGACGATCGAGTACGAGCGCAGCGACGGCAAGCAGTTAGATCTGCGTGGACTGTTCAGCACCTGGGGCAACTTCAGACGTACCGGTCTCGCGATGTCGACTTCGGTCATCACTATGCTTTCGGGATCAAACATCGTCACCTACTACTTCTCGACCATGTTGGATCAGGCTGGAATCACTTCCTCGCACACCCAGCTTGAGATCAACGTCATTCTCTCCGCTTTCTGTCTCGTGATTGCCGTCATCGGATCGCAGTGCGCTTGCTACATGGGCCGCCGCACTCTTGTTCTCTGGTCCCTCGGTGTCTGCACTATCTTCCTCTACATGTTTGGCGGTCTTACTGCCAAGTACGGCAACTCGACCAACAAGAGCGGAATCTACGGCACCATTGCCTGCATGTTCCTCTTCAACGGTGCTTACTCCTTCGGTCTGACCCCCATCACCTCGCTCTACCCCGCCGAAGTGCTCACCTACTCGATGCGCTCCGTCGGCATGGGTGTCACCATGTTCATCGCCAAGGGCTGCGGTCTGCTCGTCACCTTTGCGTTCCCCTACGCGATGGACAAGCTCGGCTGGAAGATCTACATGATCAACTCCTCGTTCAACGTCCTCTGCTGCATCTTTGTCTACTTCACCTGGGTCGAGACCCACAACAAGACGCTCGAGCAGATCGATGCCATGTTTGACGGCAAGACCCATTTCGAGCTCGCAGAGTTGGAGATGGAGCACCAGCGTGTCGTTTACGAATCGAAGGAGTAGTTCTTTTTTCTTTTTTATATCAAATCTCTCATCTTGTTGTTTCATTAGTTTTTTGCGTCCGTTGTATTTTTCGTATAGGTCTTTTTCTTTCTCTTTCTAATCCGGGGTGTTTTTTTCCTTCTTTTCTCATCTTTTGTGTAATGTGGTGTTTTCTATATTCTCATTCTGAGTATATACATCTTTTTTCCTCCTTGCCTATTTTAGATCGCATCTCTTTTAACTAATGAACTGTACATTACCATCTCATCAACCCCTCTCATTTCAGTTTCATTTTCACTCAACATTAATCGGAGCTAACCCACCCCCTAGTAAACTGACACGAGGCAAGGCTGCAAGGAAGACAATGGGAGCTTCGTCGGACGACTCGGATTCGTCCGAGATGGAAGTCAATTGGAGAGGGATTTAGTTTTGTAGCTGCGAGATTTGGTTTGACGACAGTGGGGTTTAAGAGATGGTATGTGCGCGCGCGACGGATGACAGTTGGCTCGTTTCTTGCTGAGGGGTGGAGAGATAGTCGTTTGATGTATCTCTTGACACTCTGAGAATATTGAAATCTAGTCGGACAGGAAAGGTAACGACGATATTTCAACACAGCAAAATGTGCCATTCAGACGCAGCGGCAGAGTAAGTTACCTGCGCCCACAGTAAAAGAAACATCGCCGCTAACAAACAGGACTAAAATTACTCTCCCCTATCTGGTCAATGCTCTCCCTTCCCCTCGTTCCCTTATATATCCTTTGATTTGAGATACAGAGGTAAGCAGCTGGTCAATGTAAAATTCGAGCAGCGCGATAGCACTGACCGGCCCGAGAACCGGGCACACGCGTACTTTGTTTTCACAGCAGAGAGATTTTTGTGTTTTTTCTTGTCTTACTGGAACTCTTTTTGCCGCTGGTTGATAGAGACAGTAGAACAGAACGAGAAGGTCTAAACTAGGCGTACACAGCACAGGATGACAGGCCAGACGGGTACATCTCGGATCTTGACAGGAGTCGACTTTCCGCTTGCGGCAGAGTATTGTATTTAGCCTCTCCCCCCTCTGTCCTGACATTTTCCCACCAATACACACACAGAGAAAGGAGTAAGAGGTCTCTCCAGAGGGAGAACCTGCAGGCTGAGCTCAACAGCGCGGACGCGCACTGGGCAGACTTCCCGCACGAGCCGCGAACAGACTGCCGCTTGGTCACATATGTGCAAAAAACACAAAACACAAACACAAACTCCGTGCCCGCTGCTCGCCACGTCTGCAACAGCCCAGCTCTTCTGCCTCCGTCTTGGCGTGAACGAGAGCGCAAGCTCGAAGCGGCAGATGAAGCACCGTAGTCATCTGCCCTTCTTTGTCCGGCGCCAGTCCAAAGTGAGCGACAAAACCGTAAAGTTGAGTTGGCAGCCGGCGATAGTTGCCGGCCCGTGCGGTTAAGAACCCCGTTTTCTATTTGCTCTACTGAACAAGCTTCCGGGTCCCCGGCAGCGTATCGGAAGGCCTCCTGTTGGTTTGTGTTATCGATTATCAAGCTTTGTCGATAAGCAGGACTGTTGGCTTGGCTCTCTTGCTCGCGCTCTGAGGAGGTGCTGTCTATAGCTACTTACTGTTGAGATAGTATTTAGGTGCTGTGTTTAATATCATAGGAATGAGTTATTTGAATGAAGACTGTGAGAACTTCTACGATCTCGCTAGGTCGATAAACACCGGAGCTAGAGCAGCTTTATGCTTTCCGCGGTTCTTTTCTGCGAGTCAGTCAATCTCAGGGCTACGATATCAGATACCGTCCTCGGCCGCAAAGGTACCTTCGCCGCGTACCTCGCAGACAGACGACGAGTCATACTGCGCTCTCTCCCGTTATCGGGCTCATACACCCACCCGCCCCCCTTCTCTTACTGCTCAGAAATCGACACATTCAGCGACAAGAAAAAACTCTGACGTCTGACAGCAATGACTTGCGCCTGGGATAAGAGGCGTTCTGGAGGACTATAAAGCTGTCGCCATGCCCTCTGCTGCTCGCTACCCCTCCTCGTTGCTGCTACATATTCCAAGCCGTCACTGAAGTAAGACATCGAGATGGCAAGCAAGGAAGAATCAATCATCGACGCTACCGAGCCAGCTGTTCCTCGCTCGCTGCCTGTTCCCCTCGACGGGTCGTTCAAGTACGAGTATGTGCACCGGTTCGTGCCAAAGTCCAACTTTGGCCTCACCTTTGTCGTCATCCTCGCGTCCATCGTCGACTCGTTCAGTCAGGGCTACGACGGCTCGCTCATGGGTTCGCTCAACGCTATGCCTCCCTATGTGGATTACTTTGCAAACACGTCCGAGGCCATGGCTTCGTTCCGTACGGCGGCGACTTATATCGGTGGTATCGTTGCTCTGTTTCTGATGCCGTACTATGCCAACGTGCGCGGTCGTCTTGAGTGCATGTTTATCGCCTTCTTGTTTGTTATCCTCGGTGGCGGTATCCAGGGTGGCGCGCACAACACCGGCATGTTCATCGCGGGCAGAATCATCATCGGTGTCGGCACCGGTATCGCCGCCGTCTCCGCCATTCCCTACATCACCGAGACCTCGACCGACAAGTGGCGTCCGTTCGCGCAGGGCATGTACTACACCTGCTGGTACGTCGGAACTTTGGTCGCCGCCGGTATCTGCTACGGAACCGAGGACATGAACACCAACTGGTCGTGGAGAATTCCGTCGCTGCTGCAGTGCGCGCCCGCCGTCATGGCTATCGGAGTCATCATGTTCCTGCCCGCTTCGCCGCGCTGGCTGCTGTACAAGGGTCGTCATCGTGACGCGTACGAGGTTTTCACGATCCTGTACGGAAACGGCGATCCCGCCAACGAGGAAGTCAAGGCTCACTATATTGAGGCTCTTGAGACGATCGAGTTTGAGCGCAGCTCTGGAAAGCAGATGGACGTCCGCGGACTGTTCAGCACCTGGGGAAATTTCAGACGTACTGGTCTCGCCATGTCGACGTCGGTGATTACTATGCTTTCGGGATCGAACATTGTCACTTACTACTTCTCGACCATGTTGGAGCAGGCTGGTGTCACTTCCTCGCACACCCAGCTTGAGATCAACGTCATTCTCTCTGCATTCTGTCTCGTGATTGCCGTCGTCGGATCCCACGCTGCGGTGTACATCGGCCGCAAACCTCTCGTGCTGTGGTCGCTTGGAACGTCGACGATCTTCCTGTACATGTTTGGCGGTCTTTCCGCCCGGTACGGCAACTCGGACAACAAGAGCGGGATCTACGGCACTATCGCCTGCATGTTCCTCTTCAACGGCGCGTACTCATTCGGCCAGACCCCGATCTCGTCCATGTACCCTGCCGAAGTGCTTTCCTACTCGATGCGCTCAGCCGGTACCGGAGTGACCTTTGTCGTCGCCAAAGGCTGCGGTCTGCTCGTCACTTTTGCGTTCCCGTACGCGATGGACAAGCTCGGCTGGAAGATTTACATGATCAACTCGTCGTTCAACGTGCTCTGCTTTATCTTTGTGTACTTTTGCTGGGTCGAGACGCATAACAAGACGCTCGAGGAGATCGACGAGATGTTTGACGGCAAGACGCACTTTGAGCTTCCTGACGAGCTCGAGATGCTCGAGAGTCAGAGAGTTGTTTATGAGCCCAAGTTGTAGTTTAGTTTGAATATATGCTGCTTTCTCATTATTAATCAGTAACGAGTAGATTATGTAATAGTCAGCAATGAGTGTGTTGTACTGTAGAGCCGCTCGCTCAGATACGGATCGAGGGCTGCCGCTGGCTTCTGCAACCGCGCAGCCCGACAACGAATTGCACTCACGCCAGCGATTCAACAGGAGAGAAGACGAAGATTAGAGAGATGGCAGTGCAGTACATTATCCTGCTGTCGCGGCAAGGCAAAGTGCGGTTGGCGAAATGGTTTCTGACGTTGTCGCTGAAGGAGAAGAGTAAGATTGTGAAGGACGTGTCGACGCTGGTGCTGGGTCGGCGGACGAAGATGTGCAGTTTTTTGGAGTATAAAGGTTTGTTTATCTGGAGATTGCTGTGATATAGTTGACGATGACGGGGGAGAGTTGTCGCGACTGATAGCAGGGTGAAGAGGATGCTAACAGGGATGGGCGGAATAGATAGCAAGGTTGTGTACAGACGATACGCATCGCTGTTTTTCATTGCCGGAATCGAGTCTACCGATAACGAGCTGATCACGCTTGAGATTGTGCACCGATATGTGGAACAGATGGATCGCTATTACGGCAACGTATGTTGAAGTAGCTGCACCCTGACCAAATCAACCAAGCCTGCTAACAAGTTCCTCCACAGGTCTGCGAGCTCGACATCATTTTCAACTTCCAGAAGGCGTACTACATCCTCGACGAGCTTTTGATTGCTGGTGAACTGCAAGAGTCGTCGAAACGGGACGTGCTGCGCCGGATCTCGCAGCAGGATTCGCTCGAGGAGGCGGAGGGCGACGAAGAGAAGTTTAGCAGGTTAGGAATCTAATTGTCTTTTGCTTGCTGTTTAGTTTTGTGCTGCTTTGCTTGATTTGATTGTGCTGCCTGTACTGTCTTTGTCAATTGTCTGGTCGAGTCCTGAGTTGTGGATGCAGTTAGAGGTCTGCTGGGACGTCGATGATTGTAGAGTGGACTTGTGGATAGTCTATGGCGTTGATTGTTTTAGTGAACGTGTATTTGTCTATGCTCGTGTGTATTTTTTATTTGTATTTTGTATGTGTGAGTGTATGTGTATGTTTATATGAAGATGTTATAAGAAGCAGGCAAAAACACTTCTCTCTCATTTCCTTCGTCATGTTTTGTTACTGCTTTATTTACCACTGCATTATTTACCACGGCAGATGCTTACACCACGACTTCTCCAGATTGATGCCCTACATCGGCCAACTTCCCGGCATGTCGGGCGACGGATCGAGCAGTCTCGGAAGCGGCAGCGGTGCAGGAGGCATGTCCTCATCCGGCGGGCCAGGCGGGTCGTTTGCGTCCGCGCGGGGACGGTCGGGCGCGAGTCGGATCGGACAGTCAAAGTCCGGGTATTACTGATGATGGTTATGTTGAATAAAGACCGCAACGGAGTAGTTGTTTTCGTGTTTTGGTTCTATTTGTAGAATAACCACTCGCTGGTTGGCGTAAAGGCGCTGTTTTGGCGTAAAAGCCGCACTGATTGTACGGCTGCTTCTTATACTCACCATCTCGTCTTCTCCACGCACTTCCTGCTTCTCTTCACACCGCCCTCTTCCCGGGCACACAGCAACCATTCCAGACCCAAAGTCGCAAGCAACCTCGCCGACGAGCGCGGTGGACACCGTCCGCGCGTCGCTGCTCTCGCGGTACTCGTCGGCGACCAGCCTTCCCGGGCTCGCCTCCTTCTCCTCCGTCGACGACAACCCGCTGCTCACCACCCTGCGCTCGCTCTACCTGAGCCCGCACACCGCGCTCGCGCACACCGTCCAGCGCGAAGACGGCACAATCACGTACACGCCGGGCGCGAACGCGTATCCGCCGGTGCGGCTGCTCAACCCGATCGAGAAGCAGCGGATCCTGGTCACCGGCGGCGCGGGCTTCGTGGGCTCGCACCTCGTCGACCGGCTCATGCTCATGGGCCACAACGTCATCTGTCTCGACAACTTCTTTACCGGGTCAAAGTCGAACGTCGCGCACTGGATCGGGCATCCGAATTTCGAGCTGATCAGGCACGACGTCGTGGATCCTATCCTCGTCGAGGTCGACCAGATCTACCATCTCGCGTGTCCCGCGAGCCCCGTGCATTACCAGTCCAACCCCGTGAAGACGCTCAAGACGGGATTCTTTGGCACGTACAACATGCTCGGTCTCGCGAAGCGCGTCAAGGCGCGCTTCTTGCTCTCGTCCACGTCCGAGATCTACGGCGACCCGGAAGAGCACCCGCAGAAGGAGTCGTACTGGGGCCACGTCAACTGCACTGGTCCGCGGGCGTGCTACGACGAAGGCAAGCGCGTGGCCGAGACGCTCGCGTACTCGTATCAGCGGCAGGAAGGCGTGGACGTGCGGGTCGCGCGGATTTTCAACACGTTCGGACCGCGCATGAACTGGAACGACGGGCGGGTGGTGTCGAACTTCATTCTGCAGGCGCTCAAGAGCGAGGATCTGACTGTGTACGGCGACGGCAAGTCGACGCGGTCGTTCCAGTACGTGCATGATCTGGTTGACGGGCTGATGAAGCTGATGAACTCGAACTGCGACGAGCCGGTGAATATCGGCACGCAGGAGGAGTTCACGATCGATCAGTTTGCGCAGATGGTGATTGATCTGGTGGCGGAAGAGACCGGGTTTTGCGGGTCGCAGGTCGTGCATATGGCGGCGCTTGAAGATGATCCGCAGAAGCGGAAACCGGACACGACGAGAGCAAAGGAGCGGTTGGACTGGGAGCCGCAGTGGAAAGTTATTGATGGCTTGCGAGAGACTGTAAAGTATTTCAAGACTACGCAGGTTGGCTCTGAGATATAGCATATGTTTATTCTTCTACATGTATTCTATTCCTGCAATATAGATTATATTCATCAGACATGTATTCTACGCCCGCTTCAGCATAACAGCAGTGTTGATAAACCCAGCCTCCTTGATCGTCATCCCCATATCCTCCGCGCCATATCTCTTTGTGGGAAACGTAGTGACAAACACCGCGCTGTCGGGCGCAACCCCGGAAACATCCTGGACCGAGTGCGCAATCTCAAAGAGCGTGGTCTCGACCGGGAACGTCTTGACGATCGGGGATTGGCCGTCCACTCTGATCTGCAGCCGCGACTCGGTGTACTCTTTCTTCTGTCTTGGAGTGGCGGGGGTTGACGTGGTCACGGTGGGTTGAGCAGACGGCTGGGACGGGGCAGCGACGCCGGCGCGCGCAGCACGTTCGCGTTCGAGCTTCTCTTGTCGGGCTTTCTTGTCGGCGGCGATAAGATCCTTGATCCGCTGCTTTGCAAGGACTTCCTCGCGCTGCTCGCGTCTGCGAGCCTCGGCCTCTTTCTGCACCTGCAGCTTCTTCTGCCTCTCGATCGCGGCCGCGGAGTCTTTATCCGCCTTCTTGCGCAGGTTCTCGTTATTGCGGTTCTCGAGCGCGTCGATCTTGGCCTGCGTGGCCTTGCGCTCTGCCGCGCGCAGACGCAGTTCCTCGAGCTTGGCTGCTTTCTGCTCCGGCGTGAGCTCAGGGATCTTCTCCGTCGACTCGGCAAAGTTGGTATGGTTCGTCCGCGTGGCGTGGTACTCAGCCGTGGCGGGCGTGCGAAACCGCTTGCCGCAGTCCTGGCACACGAGTGATCCGGCGGCGTCAGACATGTCGCCTTTCTCGATCGGCTCGCCGTCCGGGCCGACAGTGACCTCGGTCGAGTCGTCATCGGGGTCGCCTGTGGCTTGCACGGCGGCGTCGATCGGGTGCTGGTCGAGCCATTCGACGCAGGATTCGAGGGTAGCGGGGGACGTGTTGCGGAGCGCTGCCTCGATGCGCGAGACGGGGAAGCCCATCTCGACGAGCTGGGGGGGGGGGGGGTTAGTGGTTGTTGATACTGTAGAAGCAATAATAGAAGAGCATACCTGGTTTCGGACGTCCATGATTCTGTACTGTGCTGACTGCTGATGCTGTTGTGTCTAAAGAAGTCTACAAGAGCTAGAGCAGAGCTAGAGAGCACCAGATAATATTACCTAATCACTTACAAAGACGCTTACATAACCATGACGCAATAGTGATCTCCAAGACGCACATCAGTGATGGCGAACGCGAGCGATCCGCCGCAGTTGTGGGTTCTCGAAAGTCGACTGCGAGTCCGCCGGCGCCGTGTGCCTTCTTCCTCGTCTTTCCACTGTTCCGCATCCCATCCGCCTGCTGCTCTGCTGCCTGCTGCCTGAAAAGAATACAAGACACCGAATACCGCATAATGGAAGTCTCGCCGTCCACGCTCGAGTTCTCTGGTATGTCGTCCGCTCGCTGATGTGGTTTGTCTCGTGGGGACCGGCGCGCGTTGGAGGCTTGCTCACCTGTGTGCTTTGTTTAGGGCCCTTTTCGCAGTCCATCACCAGGCTCGTCACTCTGAGGAATAAAACCGCCGAGCCGCTGGCGTATAAGGTCAAGACGACCGCGCCGAAGCTGTATGTTGTGTTTGTGCTGTGGTGTGCTGTCGCGCGGTGCTGACCCTTGTCGTCTTCTGTTGTTGTAGGTACTGTGTCCGTCCGAATGCGTCCCGCGTCGACCCTGGCGAGACCGTCGAGGTCCAGAGTGAGTAGACTGCTGTGTTTGACTGTATTTTGGATGGATTACTGAACTCATGTCTAGTCATCCTGCAGGGCCTCAAGTTTGAGCCCGGTCCGGATTACAAATGCAAGGACAAGTTCCTTGTTCAAAGCGTGCCCATCGCAGCAGAGCTGGAGACCCTGTCGATCCATGATCTCGTATGTCTCCTCTTTTCTTCCTCTTCTTATTTCGTTATCTAGTTTTGTGCTAAGTATGTAGTGGTCTACCGTCGAGAAAACGTCAAAGGAAAAGATAGCAGACGCAAAGATCCGCGTGGCCTACAAATCCGGCACCACCTCGACCTCGCCCGACACCCCCGCGACCCCCGCCGCCGCCGCCGCCGCCGCCGTCGGCTCGTCGTTCTCGACCCCGTCCGCGCCGGAGTCGACAAGCAGCACAAGCAAGAGCATCAACAGCACGACCGTCGTCGACGAGAAAATCGCCGATCTCAACAGCGAGCTGAAGAAAGCTGTGCCGGGCGACTCGGTCGCGGGCGCGACGGAGAAATCCGCTCCGGCTGGTGGCGCGGTCGAGCAGCGGAGTGGTGGAGGACAGGGCGTGCCGATTCCGGTTGCGATGGTGCTCTGTCTTATCGCGTTCTTGCTTGCCTGGTTGTTTTTCTAAGCATGTCTACTGAGATAACTCTCAGTCTAGCTTTCTTTATTATATCACAAAGCAGATCACCCAGTTCTGTAAACAACAAGTTGCTTTTCTTTTTCCCTTTTTTTTGTTTTTGTTGTTCCGTCATAAAGTCACAAACGTGTCCGTGTGTGTGTATTTGTATATGCGAGCGAGCGAGAGGTAGAAGCGTGCGTGTGTTTTGTTATTATTTGTAGTTATTTATCTAGTGCTAGTTTATTAGTTTTATTTACTATCAGCTATCGACCATCGACTATCATTTCAGTATCGTACTTGATTCAGTATTAGCTCGGTATAGCTTCAGTTTGGGGTAAGGTGAAGTATCGACTTTGCTTGTTGCTTGTGGGTTGCGGTGATGCGGGTGGTGGTTTGTAGTGTATAGTTCAAGTATCTTGCAATCTTTGATGTTGAGGTGTATTCTGATATTAGATCAGACTACATCAAACTACAATAAACAAAAAGGAACAGCTACATCTCCTTCTTCTCAGCCAGTGCAGTGGTCGTATCCCCATCATCACCAACATCATCATCCCCCACAACCTTCGCCTTTTCAAAATCAAACACACTCCCCTGCCTCGTAACAACCCCACCTTTCCTCCCCACGATCTTCGCCGTATCCCGCTTGACCCTACACCACAAACTCACCCTCCGATCAAACACAAAGTCAAAGATCACCCGCGACCAGCTCTCGTGGAAGGGCAGGGGCTCGTAGAATTCGCTCGCGAGCTGCGTGAGCAGGGGAAGACGCGTCCAGGGGATGTAGGGGAAGTCGTGGTGTTCGTTGTGTAGGCCGACGTTGTAGGTGAAGAGGTTGAGGATGCCGTAGTAGGAGTAGGTTTCGGGGGGGGTCATGCCAGGGGGGTTTGTTTGGGGTTGAGGATGTACTGTTATGTTAGTCAAGAACAAGTAGAGGCATGTCAAGATTAAGTAGAGGGCATACATGTTCGGCGATAAAGTGGCCAGCGAGAGGGTGCCAACTTCCAGCAAGGAAATCAGACATGATAAAGTACAGCAGCGGCATCCACCCCCACCACCTCACGACGAGCGCGTCCACCGCAAGCTGCACGACGACGTTAAGAAGATGAATCGACGTAAACGGCAGCGTCATGACAAACATCGGCCGCAGCGCGTAAAACAAAATCTGAAAGGTCGCGAAGAACGCTTTCCCCGCGAGGTTCGAGAGCACGATCGCTTCAAGCGGCGTGGGCAGGTCGGCGTCGAGGTTCGCGTCGCCGAGGTGCTTGTGGTGGATGAGGTGGTACGGTCTGAAGCTGGCGGAGTAGGGGATGCCGATGGGCAGGTTTGCAAAGATGGCAAAGAGTCGGTTGTGCAGTGGTTTTTTGAAGCCGAGGTTATGGCTGAGTTCGTGGATGCAGAGAAAGACGTTTTGGTTCGCGGTCGCGCCGACGACGTATGCCACGACCCAGAACCACGCGCTCGAGAGGGATGAGTTGCGCAGCGCGTACGCGCAGCCGAATTGCAGCGCGACAACGCAGGTGATAACGTACTTTGTCAACGGCTCGATCCCGCACAACTTTGTGACTTCGGGATGGGCCTGCATGATTGCCATCCGGCGCGAGCGGTGGGGTTCTTCTTGGTACGTCCAGAAGAAGTCGTCGACGTGGGTCGCGAGCGCGGCTTGCTCGTCGGGAGAGAGTTTGCCGGTCGCGATGGCGGCGGAGATGGTTTCGTCGACGGAGGAGAGGGAGGTTGTGCTTGAGGAGAGGGGGGAGAGATCATCGGAGTCGGAGGAGGTGTCGGAGGAGTCATCTGTGGGGGAGGCAGGGGAAGAGGAGGGGGTAGAGACGGGGGAGGCAGAGAGTGGTTTGACGGGGAGGTAGAAGCGACGGACTTTGTATTTAGAGAAGTCAGCGTTGTCGCGGGCCAGTCTGGCGGAGGAGATGGTCGAGGTCATGGTGAAGTGAATTTTTGGTAGTAGTGGTGAGTGCACTTAGCTGCACGACATGTCAACAGAAGAGCAGAGAGATAATAGCAGATTCTCAAGCCCTTATATCAAAAGAGACTTCTTCTTTAGTCTTTATCTCAACAGTCTCAAGAGTCTAGTGGTAAATACAATCAGACGATGTCTTTACGCGTTGCAGCTCAGCTCACTGCTATCAGCTCTCGGTGCAGGCAGCAGCCAGGGGTCGGTTCTGGGTTCTAGACCGGGTAAGTTTTAATATAAGTCACGTGAGTAGTAGACAGACACGTGATTGTTCGGATCGGAGGGCGGAGGGCGGAGGGGCGGTGGACCGGAGCCGAACACGAGACGCGTGCTATTTATAGCTTGTTATGACAGTGAGTTGTTGTTGTTGTAAGGAGAGGAGTGCAGTGTGATGGAGGAGGAGATGTATTATGAAGAGTAGAGAAGAAGAAGGAAGGAAGGGTTGGATATACAGTCAGCACAGTAGTTAGCACAGCAGTTAGCGCAGCAGTGCACAGCAAGGGATGTGTAGAAGATGCAGCAAGTACACTCGGTATAGAACAGGAGATTGACGATCAGTAACAAGTCAAGAGAAACAGGGTCCAGGCCGGATTAAGGCATTTGATTAAAGTCAAGAGTTGTTGACGCATATTTTGTGTTGATCCGAGCCGGGCCGACGCACAGGTCTGGGAATTTTAAGAATTTCATGTGGAATGGAGGCGTAGGAGGATGAGAATGAGACTAGGCTGTAGCGTAGGGAAGAGAAGAGAAGATAGCGTGGATAGCAAGAGAAGAGGAGAAGAGGAGGCAGATAAGAGAGGAGTTTGTGGCCGAGGTAGTTTATGAGTATATTGGAGTAGAATATATTTGGTTATAGAGAAGGGGGAGGAAGAGTAAACAAGGGGCACGCGATAAGGAGGAGAGGAGGAGCAGAGCAGGCACAGCTGCGGGCGCAGTGGCAGATGCCAGCGGGATGGTGAATAGCTGCAGGCCGAATGTCACTGACGATTAATTGATGTTAATTGAGTGATCGGAGAGAGAAGAGAGGAAGGAGAAGAAGAAGAGGATCCGGCGGAGGGGATATCTATCTAGATCGTGGACGTGGAGAGCAACGACAACAACAACACATCAACACAACATCAACACAACATCATCAACACGGCAACAACACAACAACACAACTTCATCAACATCAACAAACAAACCCCGAACGCGGCATTATTGGAGTTGCGGTCGAGCAGGCAGCTAATGAGCAGCAGCATAATCCCTCAGCCGAGCTCTTCTTGGCTCTCTCTATCTTTACTTTTTGGATGCAGCGCTGCAGCAGTAGTAGTGCAGTGTAGTAGTAGCAACAACACAGCATACATCTTATTCACATTATATTCAACTATATACACATACAATGTATTCAATTACATACAATTGATATTCTCTCTCTTCTCTACCAACACCAGTAGTATATAATACAATAGTCACGGCACTCTGACCCGAGTCGAGCCGCGATAAAACGCCCGGCCAAACGCCGCACTTGCGTGGCTCTAGTCCCGATCGGGCAGTCTCAACACACGCACAGATCCGCGCTAGGCCGTCTTCGGTGAACTTAACACAAAACCTTAGTTCGCGCCAATCCGCACAGGGTTTTTTCCCGGTTTCTTTTTTCTTCCTCCTCTTCCCTCCTCTTCCTCTTCTCTCCCCCCACAACAGTCCCCTCAATCTCTGTTAATGTAAGTGTTGTTGTTGTTCTTCTTCTTCTTCTTCTTCTTCTTCATTGCATTGCATTCTAGAGCTCTTCTTGTCTACTCTACTGCTCTGCTCTGTACTTCCAGCCTCCTATCTCTACTCAGCCCGTATCCAAATCCTAACACTCTCCTCCAGCTCACAATGTTTGGAAAAGTCTTCGTCGCTGCTCTTGCCCTCACCGCGGCCGTCTCTGGTATGTCTTCTTCTTCTTCTTCTTCTTCTTCTTCTCTACTTCTTCTCTTGTGCTGTGTGCTGCGTGCTGTGCTGTGAGAGTGAGAGAGCAGAGCTGCTGTGTGGGCCTCCGCCGGGCTGTGTCATATCGGAGCTCGGGAAATTGCTGCATTCTATCCCCGGCGCCCTCTCCTCCTGCATACACCCCCCTGCACCCAGCCCCCACCCTCTCTCTCTCTCTTACTTCACATCTTCTATCTCTCTCTACTTTATACTCACACTCACACATCTACAGCCCAGAGCTCCAGTGCCAGCAGCGCCACCGCTACCTCCACCGCCTCCGCCTGCCTCCAGTCTGAGGTCACCGCCACCGCTCAGGCCGATCTCGACTCCCTCTCGTCATGCACCACCTTCTCCGGCAACATCATCCTCGCCGAGACCCTCTCGTCTGCTACCATCACTGGTATCCAGGAGATTGAGGGCAACCTCATCTGCAAGAACAACACCCAGATCAGCTCCATCTCGGCGCCCTCGCTCCAGTCTATTGGCGGCGCGTTCACCCTCAACGGCCTCACCGTCCTTGGAACCCTTTCCTTCCCCGAGCTCACCTCGATCGGTTCCATCAACTGGGTCACTCTCCCGGCCATTGACTCGCTCACCTTCACCACCGGTGTTACTTCTTGCGACCAGATCTACATCTCCGACACTGATCTCTCGACCTTGAACGGAATCACCCTTGACTCGGTCACCACTCTTGACATCAACAACAACTTGAACTTGAACGAGATTGAGATGCCCCTCACCTCGGTCTCTGACCAGATTGATGTTTCGTTCAACGGCGAGACCACTATCTCGTTCCCCAACCTCATCTGGGCCAACAACTTGACCTTCCAGGATGTTGAGTCGATCTCGACCCCCAAGCTCCAGACTGTCAACGCGTCGTACATCTTGATCTCCAACAACTTTGAGAAGTTGTCTGCTCCCAACCTTACCTCGGTCGGTGGTCTTTCGATCATCAAGAACGACGACTTGACCTCGATCTCTTTCCCCAAGCTTGCCACTATTGGCTCTGCCGGTCTTGAGATTTCGAACAACACCCAGCTCGAGGAGTTCTCCTTCCCCAAGGTCTCCGCTATCTCTGGTGCTATCGTTCTTTCTGGCTCGTTTGACAATGCCACTTTCGACGACCTCACTCTTGTTCGTGGAGCTGTCACTATCTCGTCTGACGAGGACTTTGACTGCTCTGCTTTTGACAAGATGAACGACGACAATGACATTCGTGGAAACGACTACGTTTGCTCTGCGGCTTCGTCTTCGTCGTCGTCTGTTCTGTCTTCGTCGGCTGCTTCGAGCAGTGTGACTAGCTCTGCGTCTGCGTCGTCTGCTGTTGCGACTTCGTCGTCTGCTGCTTCTACCTCTGCTGCTTCGTCTTCGTCGACTGCTGGTGCGGTTGCGTTCGGACCCAACACCCAGGGCGTTGCATTCGGTGGTATCATTGCCGCGCTTTTCTTTGGCATCTTTTAAGTGCTGTTTTGAGCAGTTATATCTTTATCAGAAAGAGACACTTCTAAATAAGGAAGAGTGAATGTGTTATTGTAATGAGAGAGTGTATCGACCCGAGTCTTTCTCTTTTTCTAAGTGTTTTTGTACAGGAGGACAGGGTCTTTTCTGTTTATTTTGGGGGTTTTTTTGAGTCCGAATGTGATAATAGGTATCCTGAGAGGGATAAGAGTGTAAAGCAGAACGGATAAAAGGGAAAGAAAGCACTGAGGAAGACGTATTATTAGTTTTAATAATAATGTATATTTACAGAGTAGTAGTGAGAAGTAGAAGAGTAGAAGAGGATTGAGTTTAGGTTGTCGGGGCAACGAAAGACCGACGGAGGCAGCTCCGTAGACAGCTCCGTAGACATCTCATAGGTGAGGAAGAGGTCCAAAGCATCGGATGTGATTAATATGCTGAGTTGTTATAGTTGGTATTAGAGCAGAAGGAGTAATAATAAACCAGGAAGAGCACGGCGAGAGTTGGGGGTCTGAAGATCGTTATGAATAGAGCAGTTATAGTTATAGTTATAGTTATACTTATAGTGATAGTTATAGTTATAGTTATAGTTAGAAGAAGAGAAGAAGAAGAAGGCGATTACGTCTTCCTTTTTATTTTTAGGTGGATGAATTGTCCGAAGAGAAACTGTGGATGAACTATCGACGGTGGAGGCAGCCGAGGTGTAAGTAAGATGTTATGTAATATTCACTCTTTACTTCTTCTATTACTCTAGTAGTATTTACTATATAGACAACATATGATAGGATACAGCCATCGCTTACTTTGTCTTGTTTTTGTTATTGCAATGTTCCCTTTTCTTTGATACTTCTCTTCTCTCTTCTCTCTTCTCTCTTCTCTTCTCTCTAATTAGTATATGTCACATGACCCTGACTCAGTCCTTTCCGCCTACTTCGACTGTTATCGCTCCTCAACTCAAACTCAATCTGCCTCGAACACACCTGTTCTCGACAAAGATACAGCAATCGCAGTCTCGTCAGATAGACAACGATATATTAGACCACACATCGATCCATAATGGCCACTGCCCGCGAACGACGCAACTCGCTCATCGACCAAGAGTCCGCGCGCTTACTCGGCGACTTTGACGAGCGCGACGACCTCGCTGTCGACGACGGTCCCGACGGCCCTTCCTCCGCCTCTGCTGTCGCGTCCGAGGACGTCGAGGCCGCTGTTGCCGAGCGCGAGGTCGACGAGCTTTCTACGAGGGCTCTTGTCACTCTCTTTTGCTCGCTTTATATCGGCGTCTTTCTGTGTGCGTTGGACGGAACGGTTATCGTCACGCTTATTTCGCATATCGCGTCCGAGTTTCATGATTTTAGATCGGTGTCCTGGATCGCGACTGCGTATTTGATTGCCGTCGCCGCCTTCCAGCCGTTGTATGGAAAGATCTCTGATATCTACGGTCGCAAGGCCCTCCTCATCTTCAGCAATGTCTGTCCCCTTCCTCTTTTTACTTACCTAAAACAACCCTGCTAACAGTACAGGCCGCATTCGCTATCGGCTGCGTTCTCTGCGGCCTCGCCTCCTCCGTCTGGTTCCTCGTCTTTGCCCGCGTGATCGCCGGCATCGGCGGCGCAGGCCTCAACTCGCTCTCCGTCATCACCCTCTCCGACCTCGTCCCGCTCCGCCAGCGCTCGCTCCTGCACGGCATCGGCAGCGTGCTCTACAACTCCGGCGCTGCCGTCGGCGGCGTCTTTGGCGGGCTGATTACCGATGCTGTGGGCTGGCGCTGGGCGTTTTATATTCAAGTTCCGTTCGTGCTGATTTCGGCGGTTACCATCCAGCTCAACTTGAAAGGCAAGCCCGTGTCTGAGATTGAGTCGGGGAGGTTGAAGCGGATTGACTTCCTCGGCTCGTTTGCGCTCGTGAGTGCGTTGACGCTGTTCATGCTCGCCATGTCGATCGGCGGAAACTACGTGCCCTGGACATCCCCCCTCATCTTTATCTTCTTCACACTCTCCTTCGCCTTCATCGCCGCGTTCGTGCACATCGAGCTCAAGGTCGCCGCCGAACCCGTGATCCCCGTGCAACTGCTCAAAGACCGCACGATCCTTGGCTCGGCCATCTCCAACGCGCTCATCTTCATGATCTCCTACTCCCACCTCTTCTACGTGCCCATCTACCTCATCTCCGTCCGCGGCGTGTCCGCCACCGCAGCCGGGACAAACATTATCTCAAACTTCATCGGCACCGGCATCGGCGCAATCTCAACCGGCACCTACATGCGCGCCACGGGCAAGTACTTCCGCGCCATGCTCTTCAACGCCTGCCTCCTCTTTCTCGGCTGCATCCTCGTCAGCACGTACTCCGAAACCACAAGCACATTCACCCAAGTCTTCTTCCTCCTCATCCCCGGCATCGGCTTCGGCTCCCTCCTCACCTCCACCCTCATCGCGCTCATCGCCTCCGTCCCGCACGAATTCCAAGCCGTCACGACATCAATCCAATACGGCTTCCGCGGCATGGGCTCCACGGTAGGCGTCACCATCGCCTCCGCCGTCTTCCAAAACGTGCTCGCGACCGAGCTCTACGAAAAAATCACGGGGCCAGGCGCCGCAGAGATGATTTCGCGCGTGCTCGACTCGGTCGAGGAAGTCGAGAACTTGCCGGACGAGTATCGCGAGATTGCGCGGGGCGGGTTTTTGGTCGCCAGTCGGTGGGTGTTTTATTTTGCGGTCGGGCTGGGGTTTTTGAATATTCTAGCGATTTCGATTATGAAGGAGCATACTTTGCATACCACAATCCAGAGAAGGGAGTAGAGAAAATGAGGGGGGGGTGCCTCTACATTAAAATATAAGTGTTTTTTTGGAATGAATATAAAGAGAAGAAAAGAGTTGCTGTTTAGTTTGGTTTAATAGAGAATAGAATATTTCTTTGAGTGTATACTTTCGACCGCAGACAAATATAACAAGTTATAGATATCTCTTGCTAGTGTGTAAAAGATTGGGAAGAGAGCAGGAGGGTGTAGTTGCCTGAATGAGATAGAGGTGAATTTTAGAGATGGGATGGTTACATGCGCGTATACGCGCACGTTAAACGCAGATAATGTGAAAAAAAAAAAAAAAAAAAAAAAAAAGACAAAGGTTTTAGATATTTCGTGATTGTCTCGAGATTATTGATCGAGAATGGTGAGAGGATTTGAAGGAGAGCAGGAGGAGAGAGTAATTGCTTGAACAGGTAATCCGCGCTTTTTGGCAGTGGAGAGGGTTTATTAAAAGAGTATAGAGCGTCGTACATTGTACGTACATTACATACTTCATCTTTAACTCACTAATAAAAATTTATAAAAGTTTGTAAAAATCAGAAAAATATTGATTTCGATCTCTATCTAAACAGAATAAATCCACTCAAAACTTGTAAGATCGTCATCCTCTTTAGACGTGCTCAGAACAAGATAAGTTAACCAGCTGATAAATAATCAATCTCCAAACCCTTATCGTCCGTCCCTCGGAACTTCTCGCTCCGATAACACCTTCCCCCCCTCTCTCTCCCTCCCTCCCTCTCCACGGTTTTGATTTCGCGGATTTGAGGTCAATTGGCTATAGAAACTGTTCGAGTTTGTGAATATTATAGAATTAAGGATTGAGAAAGAAGGAAGATGACGAAACCTACTGATCTTACGTTGTACACTGCGTCGGTGCCGAATGGGATTAAGGTCTCGACTGCGCTTGAGTATCTTGAGGTATCTCCTTCTCCTCCTTCTCCTCTCTCATCAATTGTCCTCAGAGCAATTACGTCTTCTAATTACTCTCTGAGAACAATTGCTTTGATCAAAATCTCACAGTACTAACAAACCACAGCTCCCCTACAAAGTCTACCCCATCGCCTTCAGCAAGCTCGAGCAAAAAGAACCCTGGTACCTCGAAATCAACCCAAACGGGCGCGTGCCCGCGATCGTCGACGTCGATTCCGCGGGCGAGAAGACGTGCGTGATGGAGTCGGGTGCGATCTTGCTCTACATCACAGACAAGTACGATCCCGAGAATAAGCTGTCGTATCCGTTTGGGTCGAAGGAGTATTATGAGATGCTGGAGTGGGTGTTTTGGCAGGTTGGCGGGTTGGGGCCTATGCAGGTTTGTCTCTCCTCTCTTTTATGTTTTGCTGTTGTGAAGATATGCTGATGAGGTGAGTACAGGGCCAAGCGTCTCACTTCCTCCGCTACTGTCTTTCAGACAACCCAGACGTCCAAGCCTACGGCGTCAACCGCTACCAAAACGAAACCCGCCGTCTCATGACCGTTCTCGAAACCCGTCTCGCGAAACAAAAAGCAACCCGCAACAGCGCCTACCTCGTCGGCGACCACCTCTCCGTCGCGGACCTCGCCTGCCTCGGCTGGGTCCTGTTCGACACCTACGTCGGGATCGAGTCGAGCGAGTTCCCGTTGTTGGAGAAGTGGCAGGATGAGATTAGCGCGATGCCGTTGATTAAGAAGGGGTTGGATGTGCCGACGGAGTTTAGGATTAAACAGGTCGCGAAGGATCCCGAGTTGTTGAAGCAGGCGAGTGCTGCGGGACAGAGTTGGATCAAGAAGGGCGGCGAGGCGGAGAAGAAGTAGGAGACCAGACTATGAGAGAACTAAAACTATATAAACTAAATGACACTAATACAAACACCAAACTTCCCCATCAATCTTCAATACTACTGCGCATCATCCACATTCCTCAAAAACCCCGCGACGCGCACCATATCGACCTCTCCCGGATCGCTCTCGACAGCCTGCACGAGTCCCTCGAGCAACGAGTCCACCCGGCTCTTCTCCACGCCCGTGCATTTCGCTACAACTCCGCGGAACTTGTCTTCCAAGTCTGAGCTCCGGCTTCGTAGGTCGCGCGCGAGCGAGGAGAGGTGCGCGCGGTTGCGCTTGTATGCTGAGACGCGGGCGCGGAGGACGGCGAGTGGGGGGAGGGGGGCGGTGAATTTGATAGTAGTAGACTCCTTCGTTGTTGTCGTTGTTGTTGGTGTAGTCGACTGCTCGAGACTACTACTCCCATTCACCCCCTCCCCACTTCCTCCCCCGCCGCTCTGCTCAACCTCAACCCCTTCGATCTTAAACGCACTATCGGCGTCGATATCCGCCGGAATCTCCTCGTCCGCATGACTGTGATTGGTATCCGGCCGGCCATCAATCGCGTCCAAATCCGCCATCGTCACGTCCCCGCCCTCGCCTACGTTCATAACCTCATCCGACGCCGGCTCTTGCTCCATCCGTCGCTTCTTCTCTTCGCTGAGAGTATTATCCGCACTAGGAGCACCAGCAGCAGACGCAGCGACAGCAGCAACAGCAGCACCGATCGCCGCCGCAGCCCGGAACCGCGCGTCTTCCTCGCGGATCGCGTTCTCGAGATTCCGGTCGCGCTGCTGCAGCTCGTTCAGCTTGTTTGCGCGCCGGCGCAAGTGCTCGGTCTTTGTGCGCGCGCGCGTCAGCGTCACCGTCGCCTCGCGCAGTCGCTGGTGCAGTTGGTCGAGCGCGGTTTGCTTGGCTTGTAGTTCTTCTTGGAAGTCTTTGTCGAGGGTCGAGATCATTAATGTCATTGCTGCTGCTGTTAGTAAGGAGTTTATATAAGAGTAATATATGGAGAGTGAGGACTCACAGGCGATAATATCTTCGCTCTTCTGCTGCACCGCCGGCGGAACCAACGCCGCGCTCTTGCGCAACCACTGCGTAGGCTGCTGCTGCGCCTGCTGCGCTGCCGCCTCGCCAAGTTCAGGCCCCACACCGAAATCAACCGGCCTTAACCCCGCGCGATTCGGAATGCTCGCGTCGGCGCCGACCTCGAGCAGCTGCTGCACGATCGCCTTGTTTCCGATCCGCGCCGCGATGTTGAGCGACGTGTCGCCGTTCTTGTCCTGCGCGTTCACGACCTCCGACATGAACCGGCCGAGACTCAGACCGCCTTGCTCGGGCGCGCCGCCGTGCCGGACGATCCACTCGAGTAGGCATTCGAGGTAGTACCTGCTCGCGGCCGCGCGGCCTTTGATTCCCGCCGTCAGCGCGATGTGGTGCAGCACCGTGCGGTTGAGTTTGTCGGTCAGCGCGATCGCAGGATGCAGCAGGTCGAGGATGGCGGGGAACGTCGACTGGTCGAGGTTATTCGTCACGGTAACTGCTCTCACGAGCGCGGTCTCGCCCGCGTAGTTTCCCCGTCGCGGATCGGCTCCGCGCGAGACAAGGTCGCGCACGAGCTGCACGCGCGCGAGCGCGGCCGCCCAGTGCAGCGACGCGTGGCCGACGTCGTCGATCGCGACGTCGACGTCGACGTGCGGCGTGTTTGCGTTGTCGAGGAGCGAGATCTGCGAGACGCCAGAGGTCTCGTTGGTCATGAATATCTGCGTCATGATTTGTCTGGATTGCTCGTATGTCGCGCCGAGCGCGTGCTGGTCGAGGGGGTCGAGCGGTTGTTCGCGGGAGGGAGGCGGGTCGGTGTGTTGCTGCTGTTGTTGTGAGTGTTGCTGTGGGAGAGGGGGTTGGAATTGCGTATCGATCTCGGTGCGTGAGCGTTTCCGAGGAGGTCCGTCTGCGTCCGCGAGCGGTTCGTCGTCGTCGACGTCGGTGGCGGTCTCGCCAGAGAACGAGCCCATGGCTTCTGTCGGCTGTCTGCTAACTGTCGCCGCGTCGCTTGCGGCCGAAAAGGACGCGCGTGAAGCTGCTTTTCCTAGTGCGTTGAGCGCGGCTGTGGCAGAGGACATTGGCGTCGCGAAGGAGGACTGCTGCTGTTGCAGTTGCGGAGCGGGCGCGGGTTGCTGCTGGCTACCGTTGCCTGGTTGAGAGGTAATACTGCTCTGGGCGGAAGCGACTGCGTACATCTGCTTCCGCCTGGCGGCCATAGCTTGTTCTTTGGTAGGCGTCTGCTCGCTCTGGGGCGCGGCGGGATCAAAGTTAAGCAGTGGCAGAAGAACGTCTTCGACCGAGTACTGCCGGCAAAACTCGCGGCCGCGCGCGAACGGGATCCAGGTGCCCTGGTACTTGCCGTAGCCGCCCTGGACCTTTTCGTGCTCGCCCGTGTGGATCTCTTTCTCGAGGATCTTTGTCCGACGGCCTTTGTCGACGCCGCCGACTTTGAGGATCTGGGTTGCGTTGAGGTAGGAATCTGAGCGGCGGCGCATGACGGCTACGCCGTTGACCATCATTTCGTAGACGGGGATGCCAGAGTAGACGGCCTAACAGCACAAGAAAGCAGAAGAAGTTAGAAGGAGACTGGTAGAGGAAGAGCGAGAGAGGAGGGTGTGTACGGTGTATATGGAGGAGGTGGCCGGTGCCTGCGAGAGGAGCTGAGGCGGCGGCGGAGTCTCCTGCGAGTGCGGAGTGGAGGTACGCGACCCGGACATGACAGAATCTGTGAATAGAGAAGGGGATTCAGCAGCGTCTGCTGGATTATTCATAAACAACGAGAAGCAGTCAACAAGAAGAAGAGCAGCAGCAATTGAGCAGGGAAGTAGCAGAGGAGGAGGAAAGGGACGAAAAACGCGTCGGTCGCGTTCTGGTCATCGCGCGCTCGGGACGCGGGTCTTCACTGCGGCAAAGACCCGTGGTTCGGGACCCAGGACTAAAACCTGAATGCAGACGCGCTAGGCCGGATGCAGCTGGAGGATTACCCGGATTGAGGAGAGGGTAAGGGCGGATCCGGGGCGCTGGCTTTGCTGGTGATCTGATCTGATCTGCTTCTTCCAGGTGTTGTTGTGTTGTTGTTGTTGTTGTTGTGGTTGTTTTAGTGATCTTGATCTTACAATTGATCCTGTATTACTGTATGGGGGACATGCAAACCGACTCGCTCGTCTCAATCATCGAAAACCACCAGCGCTCACGACAACGGCTACGCGTCAAACACGCTCGAGCAAAGCGCGACATTCTCGCGCTGCTGTTTGACGAGCTGTGTGAGAAGCTCGAGCAGATCAGGGCCGAGCAGGAGCGCGGTGGTGATGATGATGGTGACGATGATTTTGTAAATGAGTCTGAGGATGTGCAGAGTGAACAGCAGCTGCATACTGCGTGTGTAGTCAACAACGAGCATACAGATCATGGTCAACACAGGACTGGCAAGATGAATACAGTCTGCAGAGAGATCGTGCTCGCGGCTTCGGTTTGCGTTGGAATCTTTTGGCTCTCGAGGGAGTCAATTGCTCTGCTTGGCCATCGCTAGTCTGCTGTTATACTTCTGCTGCTTTTCTTTGCTTTCCTTTGCTTTTGTCTGCTTGTGCTTTGCTTTGGTTTATTATCTCTACATAGGATGGATTGATGTTTATAGTGGAGCTCGGCGTATCGGTATCGGTCTTGCATAGTTATAATGAATATAATGATATATCTCTAATTATATATACATTCTATCGGCGACCCTCGACCTAGAATCATCATGTCAGTATAACAACGTAGATGATCCACAACAAAGATAAATACCATAATAATATGATATCCAAACGAGCTCTTAATCGGCGGATTCGTATATATCGGCTGTATAACATCATCATCAGATCAAAAATTACACAATCATCATAAAGAACACTCACCTTATCAACAGTACTCGGCTGCAGAGCATACGCAGCATCTTCGTACACGCGCGTCAAACTGCCCCGCGGTTTCCAGCCCAAATCGCCGCCTTGTCGGGCTTTGTCTTCGCTGTATTCACGGGCCTGTGTGAATCGTAGTTAGTCGTCGTGCAGAGCAGAGAAGAGCAGAGAAGAGCAGAGAAGAGGAGGAGGACAACGTACAATCGCATCAAACTTTGCTCCGGCTTGCAGTTTCTCAAGGGCTTCCATTGCTTTTGAATGTTTTTCGCATAGAATGTGTCGTGTCTAGAGAATATTCATAATCGATCAGCAAGATCCTCCAGTATACAATGGCACAGCGCGGCGGCCTTCAACAGACAGACTCACCTTTATAACATTCGCAGGCTTCAACTTCTTTTCGTCTGCGGATTCTGCTTTCGACGATCCTTTGCCTGATTTGCCTTTTGGTGCCATTGCTTTTCTGTGCTGTGGTGTGGAGATGTGAGAATGTGGAGATGCGAATATTTGTGAGTGGGAGTTGGGATGGGACTAAAGTCTACTGTACGCACTATGACAATCATGCACATTTACATTTCTATTATACAATACAACAACACCTCTTTTATCTACTCAGTATCTGTAATATCCCCCGTAGCCATTCCCTCCCTGCTGTCCATACCCTCCATACCCGCCTCCATAGTCACCGTACCCATTCCCCTGCTGTCCACCTCCACCAGACGGTCCCGACGGCGGCACAGCCTGCTGAGCCTGCTGCGTCTGTGCGGTCTGAGACTGCTGCTGCTGCTGTTGTTGCTGTTGTGCTTGCTGCTGCTGTTGTTGTTGCTGCTGCTGCTGCTGTTGTTGCTGTTGGCCGGCGGGGAGGTGTGAGCTGGGTTGTTGCTGGTTCGGGTTTGTGAAGAGATCTGGTGGTGGTTGCGGAAGGTATGGCATTGTCATTTGTAGTTGCTGGATTTGTTGCATTTGTTGCATCATATGCTATGCAATTATCAATCGTCAGTTCTCAAGCCCACACAAGCACACAAGCACACAAGAAGAAACTCACAGCCATAAGCTTATTACTATCATACTCATCCCTCAGCTTATCCTGCCGCAGACAATACGTCGTCCACGAAAACTCATCAAACCCGTAGTTGAAGTAATCAGTGATATCCGCGCCCGGCTTCCGCCACGGCTTGTCTTCGAGCGAATCAAGATCGACCTGGGTGATTGGCACGCCGTCGAGCTCTGGCACTTTGTCGAGATCGACAAGGCCTGTTTTTTGCGCTGTCCCCGGCTTTGCGTCTTCTGCAGAAGTAATTTGTTAGCAATGTTAGCTGTATTGTGCTCGGCTGGAGGTAGTACCTTTCTGTGGGGTTTTGATGGTGTAGCCTGATCTTCCGGACGGCGCCTCGACTTCCTGTCCGGGTTTTGCTTCAATCACGAATTCAATGTCCTGCAGTTTGTTAGCATCTTTTGTTTCTTATAAGCAACACAGACAGCAACTTCAACGCACCGAATCGTCGTCGTCATCTTCATCATCTTCACCGTCCTCGTCCTCATCGCCCCCTTCACCCTCCTGCTCCTCTGCATCTTCCTCCTTCTTCACATCTGCTTCCTGCTTTAATTCCTTCCCTGCCGATTCATGCTCAGCGGGCTCAGCAGGCTCATAATCCTGTTCATCCTCGTCCTCTGGCGCGGTAGCATCTTCTTTGCCTGGCTGAAGTTAGCCCCAACGTCACCGCAGCGTCACAAGAATCAACAAAAATTAGCACCCACTTTCTAGTCTCTGCCGCTTTGCTGATGATCCGTAAAGAAACTCGTCGTCGTCGTCGTCGTCGCCGTAGTCCATTTTGCTGAGGTGACTGTTAATATGGATGAGGTGCTGATGAGTGCAGAACGAGAGAAGAAGACTCCGCCGACCCGACCCGCCTCATCCGGGTCTGCCTCCCCGGGTCAGACACGAAAAGCACCCACATCCTCAGCAGCAGCAAACATCTCCAACGACCTTTTGTCCGCCAAACCTCCTCCAATTCCCATCCCACCCTCTTCTCCCTTCTTCATCCCTACTCAACTCACTCCCAATGGCGTTCTGGCGAGTGAGCGCGAACTTCGCCTCACTGAACGCCGTTTCCGGCATCAACCGCCTGCTCGAGAAGCCCGAATCCTGCTCGCTCACCGACCTGCTCGAGGAAGACGATATCCTCCAGGAGCTGCGCGAGCACAACGCCCGTCTCATCGAGTACCTCCGCGAGCCACGTATCCTGCGGCAGCTCCTGCGCTACGTCGCCCACTGGACCCCGCCGCGGCCGGACGACTCGGTCGCGGGCGCGGACGACGGCGAGGGTGACGGCGCGGCAAACAAAGAGCCAGGGCAGGAAGACCACGACGCCGAGAGCGAGACCGGCAGCGCAAGCGGTCGGCGGAGCTCCGCCTCTTCCTCGTCTTCGTCTTCGTCCGAGCAGGCGACTGACGCCGACGGCGGCGACATTGGCTCTGCAAAGACAAAAGGCGACAGCAAATCCTCGTCGTCGCCGTCTGAGAGCGGACAAACTGAAAAGGAAGATGCTGATGAACAGGCAGCTGCTCCAGGCAATGAGGAAAAGGAAGACGACGACGAGGAAGATGAGGAGGAAGACGACGACGATGAAGACCAGGACCTTGGTCTCACGCGCATCGCGGCCTCACCCGACCCCGACTCGAGCTCTGCCTTTGATGAGGAGAAGGCCTGGAGGTACTGATTCTACTTTTTGCATCTGCACACATAACCCCGGTTTGACTAACAACATCATGTATATATAGGTACGCCCGATTGGCTACCGAAGTCTTTTCCTCTGAAATCTGGTCGATTTACGAGACAGTCATGCGCGAGACCGAGCTCCTCGAAGAGTTCTGGACCTTTCTCGACAACCCCGCGCCTCTAGACCCCGTCTACGCCGGCTACTTCACCAAGACGAACGAGCAATTCCTCGAGCGCAAGACCGACCAAATGGTCGAGTTCCTCAAAACCCAGCCAAACCTCGTCGAGCGCTTCATGCGCCACATCGATACCCCCTCCACCATGGACTTGCTCCTCAAGATCCTCTGCACCGACAAGCCCGACTCGCCGACCGGCATCATCGACTACCTGCAGGTCCAGCGTCTGATTCCTTCGCTAATCGGCTTCCTGTCCGCCGACACCCCTTCCAACTCGCAGTCCGCCGCGGGCGACTTCCTCAAGGCCCTCATCACAATATCGGCAAACGCGACAAACGACTACACCTCGATCGGACCGAACGAGCTCACGCGGGAACTCGTCTCGCCAGAGATAATCACAAAACTGGCCGACCAGATGGTCTTATCTGGCGGCACCGCGCTCGCGACCGCGGTAGGCGTCATCATCGAACTCATCCGCAAAAACAACTCAGACTACGACGCCGAGCCAATGATGTCGATGACTTTGGAGTCGCACCCGCCGTCGCCGCGGGACCCGGTCTATTTGGGCCACCTGCTCAAGATCCTTGCGCAGAACATCCCGCGGTTCGAAGCGCTGCTGACAAAGAAGCACACCGAGAAGCTGGATACCTCGTTTGGCACGATCGAGCCCTTGGGATTCGAGAGGTTCAAGATCTGCGAGCTCGTGGCTGAGTTGCTGCATTGTAGTAACATGGCGCTGCTGAACGATCCCCGGAGCGAGGCCGTAGCGTTAGAGCGCGACACCGTGCGACGACAGCTTTTGAAAGAGCACGATGACGCCGCTAACCAAGCTGCTGCTGCTGGCGGCGACGAGGACGAGGATGAGGACGACGACGAAGCAGATGATTTCCGGAGTAGAAACAGCGAGCCTGTTGGCAGTGACTTGGGAATCGGCGAGCTCTCGGTCGAGGACTCGGACGCGCACGCCGAGTCCCGCGGCGGCTGGTGGAACCTCGGAAAGAAGAAAAACACACCGGGATCAAGTCCTACGAAGGAGAGCGGGCTGATTATGAGATCTTCGACGCCGACTATCGAGGAGGAGGATCTTGGTGATGAACTCGAAGAGGAAGGAGAGAAGATCGAGAAGGAAGGCGGAGAGGAGGACGATGACGAGGAAGAGCCGATTGGTACTTCGACGCCGCCGGCGTCTGCAGAAGTCATTTCTGTGGACGAGTCCGAGGACGAAGGCGACGACACGCAGCTTGTGCCGAAACGCAGCAATTCGCCATCCGAGCAGACCGAGGACCTGAACGTTGACGAGATCCCCGACGGCGGCGAAGATCTGGTGGTGGGCGACTTCCTCAAATACCAGCTGATCAAGTTCAGCGTGGTGTCGACAATCACCGACCTTTTCTTCAAGTTTCCCTGGAACAACTTTCTACACAACGTCGTCTTTGACATCATCCAGCAAATCTTCAACGGCCCGTTCGACCACGGATACAACCGGTACCTCGCGATCGAGCTGTTCAAGACCGACCGCATCACCGACCAGATCGTGGCCGGCACGAAGGCGTCGAACGAGCACGAAGCCAAGACGCGCATGCGGTTGGGATACATGGGTCACTTGACTCTGATCTCTGAAGAAATCGTCAAGTTCCTGCAGCGCTACCGTCCCGAGACACTCGGCCCGTCAGTTGTTGCCGTGACGGTCGAGAACGAGAATTGGAACCACTACGTGAACGAGACGTTGATGCAGATCCGGATCCGAGATAACTCGATCCTGGGCGGACAGCGGCCGAGCTCGGACATGCCCGCGCAGGACTTGCTTGCGATCTGTGGCATGATTGGAGGCTCGGGTAGTGGCGACGATGGCGATGGAGATGCGGAGATCGCGGCGGGATATGATAATGAGGATGGTAATGAACGGGATGAGGATGATGAGGAGGAGGCTGGAGGACTTGGAAAGAACAGCGATCAGGTGGGTTCCCCATTTTTTCTAAGCAAGTTCAAGCAAGCTGATTTACTAACTTTCCATCTACAGAAATGGTCGCGATACATGTCTCAACAAATGACACCCGACCGCTTCGGTTCGTCAGACGAAGACGACGAAGACGAAGAAATCGAAGAACAAGAAGACGACGAGGAAGAAGAAGACGACGACGAGGAAGATGAGGACGACGACGACGACGGAATCGACGAGATTGCGCCGCAAGACCGGTACATAGACGACGACAGCATGGGCGTCGAGTTGGCTCGGACTAGCTCTCATGAGTTGTAAATTCTGTACACTTTTTTTATTCCTATGTCTACTCATTCAAGTTATTGTTGATTTCCTAGTGTTTTTTATTTGTTTTGTTTATATCATTTGAGATACGTGTGTGTTTCTGTGTGCTTTTATTTCATCCACCATCATTCGTTATTTTTTGTCACTTATCCTCTACAACATTGCACAAGGGCCGATGACTCCATTACACCGCTATTCCGCACCACTGGTGATTGTAGAGTATACAACGTACATAGTAATCATATTCATCATCTGTACAATAACTAATCACTTCTAACAACTACAACTCCAGGGAACGAAACAATGGGCTCAAATCCAATGACGTCACCTTTCCCTGGCCGCGTTTCAACATTCAAACGGTCGCAGGAGATTAACCACGGACGTCCTTCCTCTGCTCTCTTTCTTGATTCCCGACCAATTCTCCATATTCTGACTCCATCACAAGAACAATGTCGTCGTCCTTCTTCAAACTGGCGCACGACCTCAACGTGCCGAACCTGCACGTCACATACACCTCGGTCCCGGTCGCAAACTCGACAACCATCCTCGGCACAGACATCTACACATACCAACCCACGACCTCCACGATGTCGTCCTACACCGAGTCCGCCGTCCCGCGCAAAAACCTCTCCTCGCAAGACGACCCCAAGGACACAGCGGCAAAACTCGCAAACGCGCAAAACGCGAGCGGAAGCGGCGGCGGCGCGTCGAATCCCTGGGGCGCGGTCAAGCCCTCGCTCGGGGTCGTCATCGCGCATCCGTATCCGCCCCTGGGCGGGTCGAAATCCGACGGGCTGGTGCGGTCGCTTGCGCACCACTTTGTCGCGACTTTCGAGACCTCTGTCGTCGTCTACGCGTTCAACTTCCGCGGCGTGACGACCCGCACCAGTTGGTCGTCCAAGACCGAGCAGCAGGACATGCTCGCTGTCTCCACCGCCATGATCAACGCGTACAACCCAACCCTGCGCACAGTGCTCCTGGTGGGCTACTCCTACGGCGCGCTCATTTCCTGCAAGCTCGCGGCCGAACACCTCGACACCTTATCCCAAACCGTCGACGTCGCGCTCTGGCTCATCTCCCCGCCTCTCTGGCCCGTCTGCGGCCTTCTCACGCTCTCCGTCCGCGCGCGCGACTCGGAGCCCCAGTTTTACAAATTCGTCGGCAAAGTCAAGCAGCGCCAAGTCGCCACGCTACCCGCGACCGCGGCCGCAAACTCCCCCGACGGCCACGTCCTCGTCGTGTACGGCACAGACGACACCTTCACGCGCAAAGGCCGGTTCCAGAAATGGATCCGCACGCAGCACGACCGGATCGCGGAGGAATACCACGGGTTCGACGTCGACGACTCGGCCTACGACGGCGGGGGCGAGAACTCGGCCGTGTCGGTCGTCGAGATCGACGGCGGATCGCATTTCTGGCAGCAGGACGACGTCGATATGATTTGGCAGAACCCGGTCGTCCAGAGGTTTCTGAGTAAGGTCAGTGGGAAGGATTTGAGCGCTGTCGCGAAGAAATCGTTGGATGGGCCTGGTAGTGGGGCGAGTAGTGTTACTGAGGCTAGTAGTCCGGGCGGGTCGCGGAGTAGCAATCAGTGGGGTAGAAAGAGCGGGTCTCCTTAAGCTTGTGGTTTTGTGTGTTTTTTCTGGGAAAATTGTATTATAATAATATACAGGCATTATAGACAAACAAATCAGCTCCGATGCAAACCATCTGATCCCACAACACCTCATGAAAACCTCTTGAAAACTCATGAAAGCAGAAACAATGTACAGACCAGCCTACCACTTATCACCCACCAACACCGCAGGCATCACGTTCGCATCAAACCCTTCGACCGCGCGATACCCCGTCTCCACCAACCTCTCCACGCTCTCCGCCTCCGCCGGACCCGCCCACACGCGATCCACCCACCCCGCCACCCCGTCATCATCCACCGCCGCGCTCGCGATCGTGCGGTACGCGGCCTCGACGGTCTCGCGCCAGTCTTTCTCGCTGCTGCCAGACTCGGCCGGAGCCCCGATTTGGCCGCCGCCGTTGATGCAGCCGCCGGGGCAGGCCATTACTTCGATGTAGTCGTATTCCGCAGGATTCATCGTCGCGACCGCCGCCGTCGTAGCTCGGCGACGAGACACGACTGCGCGGGCGTTGCCTTTTCCGGGGAGTTTCAGCTTGCGGACTAAGTTCTGGATGTTTCTGAATCCGTAGACCTGTGCTGCTTTCGCAATCACCTCGCCTGTCGACGTGTCGAGCAGGTGGTATTCCACCATATCCGAGTTCTTGCCCGGCACAGCCTTCACGCTCGACTGTCTGTTTTCGGTCTTTTGAGCGTGCTGCGCGATCGATGATAGGACGTGGTGCAGGTATCCGCCTGACGAGCTACCCTCGTTCGATTCCCAGCTCTGCTCAACAGGCCACTCACCAGGCGCCATGCTCTTCAACGTCCCCAGCATCTCCTCCGCAGGCGTCTCCTTGATCCCCATGAAATCAATATTCTCATCCAACAGCAACTGCACCACCTCCTTCGTCGTAATCACACAGTCCACATCCTTCACATTCTCACAGCTCGCGAAATCTTTCCGGCTCGCCTCCAGCTTCTTGTCAAAGCACGGCATCACGCTCACGTGGTATATCTCGCTTTCGCAAATCCCCGGGTTCTCGCGCGCAATCAGCCGTTTGAGAAGCGAGCCTGTGATTTGCTGGGGGGATTTGATCGCGGACAGATGCGGTATTATATGCGGATGCGTCTTTTCGACGTAGCAGATCCATCCCGGGCACGCGCTCGAGATTATCGGTTTCTTCTGTGTGTTGCTCTTCGTCGCCGATTTCTCGCTGTCGTCATCGCTTATCCTCATCGAGCTGAAATCAACAACGTCGGTATCAGTCGCTCCGCTGGCCTTGCTCATCCGCCCGCTGTTCACCAAAACCTCTCGCGCAGAGTATGTCAATGAAATCTGTCGTCCGACTCCGGTGCCGACCATATACTGGAACCCGAGGATGTCTTTGAACAGAGTCGCGAGTTTTGCGTCGACCGCTGCGACAGGGATGTTAAATGCCGCCGCGAGGGATGCGCGGGATTGATGCGATATCGAGACCGCAAAGAGCTTTTTGTGCTCTGTTGTTGCTGTCGTCGTCGTCGCGTCACTCATCTCCACATCAACCTCGCCACCGCTCTTTGCTCGCGCCGCTCTCAGAACCGAAAGAAGCTCGGTATGGCTTTGCAGCGAGATCAGCACGGACTCGGCAGAGGTGACGCATCCGCTGCAGGCGAGACAGTCTGAGAGGTTTATTTGCGCGGGCGTGAGTGAAGTTGTCTGGGGAGCTGCGTTCGCGTCGCCGTCGAGCGAGACTTCGACGGGGTTGCCTGTAGCGTCGATTCTGATTTCGGTGTGGCCCTGCAATAGATAGTTCACGATGGTCAGATTGTTTATCCAATAAATAACTTCATGTGAGAACGACGTACAGCATTGTCAGACTTGTTGACAACAACAGGGTTGATGCACGCCAGTCCGGGTCCGATGAAATCGTTCAAATCCTGAGCAGAGAGGATCGCACTCATGTTGACTATCCGGAATCTGAGCTTTCTGTTCTGGCAATATGTGTAGTCTGTGTGGGGTGTAGGATCACGGGTCTGTCTGCTTGATGGCAAATTTCCGGACAAGCTGCTGACTGACTTATCCCAAACGCTGACAGAACAAAACCAAGCACAAGCTGTAGTCAGATACTCTTCCTTTCGTTATCTTACTTCTCTCGACCTCTTTTATCCGCAGACCAGCGGGTGCAATAGTTCAGAACAGATGAAGAGGATCAGAAGAATGAAAAATTGGATGATTTCAAATAATTATTCAAGCCGTGCGGCTGGTCACATGTTTGCATTATGGCATGACTAATCGCTATTGAGCGAGCTATGAGAGGTTCAATGCTGGTTATGAGCCTTTATTAAGATTATTACAAGTTCCTATTCAATGACTACTCTTCAGCATATCTATAAAAGACAAGCTTAGATACGCTCGACAGTCGGGCGCCACTCGTTCTTCCAGGCGTCCTGGGTGATGTCGTCAAACAAGACCTGGTTCTTTGCGTACCAGCTCTTCTCGCGCGGGACGTACTTTCCGAATCCCTTCTTGCCCGTGACCTCGCCCTTCTCGCCATCCCAGACGGTTTCGCCGCGGAGGATGGTGTAGCGGGGCCAGTTGAGCATCTCCAGGCCCTCGAAAGCGGTGTAGTCGCAGTTGTGGTGCAGCATGTCGTTGGTGAGCTTCGTGGGCTTGTACTTGTCCTGCGGGAACCAGATGATGAGGTCCGCGTCGGCGCCGGGCATGATCGAGCCCTTTTGCGGGTACATGCCGTAGAGCTTGGCGGTGTTTGTCGACGTGAGCTGCACAAAGCGCTCGATCGACAGACGGCCGGTGCAGACGCCGAACGTGAACATCAGCGGCACACGGGTCTCGATTCCGGGGATACCGTTGGGGATCAAGCGCCAGTCACCGCCGGCCTTGCCCGAGTCCTTGATAGCGACCGGCTTTCCGAGCGGCTCGTCGGTGCGGAACGGGCAGTGGTCGGAGGAGACCATTGTGAAGGTTCCGTTGCGGAGACCGTTCCAGAGGCCGTCGAGGTCCTCCTTGGACGGGCGCAGAGGCGGCGAGCAGACGCAGTTGGCGCCCTCGTAGTTGGGCTTCTGCAGACCGGCGTCGGTCAGGAGAAGGTACTGAGGGCAGGTCTCGGCGTAGATTGGCAGACCCTTGCCTTGGCCCTTGCGGATGCGCTGGACCGATCCGGGGGAGGAGACGTGCACGAGAAGGATGGGCACGTTGACGACCTCGGAGAGGGTGATGGCGCGGTTGGTAGCCTCGTGCTCGGCGAGGGCGGGCCGCGAGCGGGCGTGCGAGTAGGGGTCGAGCAGGTCAAGCTTCTCGAGCTCTTCGGAGAAGAACGAGATGATGTCGATGTTTTCGGCGTGGATCATGGGGGTGATGCCGTTCTTGCGCGCGCTCGAGATGGTGTGCAGGACCTCGTAGTCCGAGAGCTTGAGGCGGTCGTAGGTCATGTAGAGCTTGACGGACGAGATGCCGAACTTGGGGATCAGGTCCGGGAACTCGGACAGGCGCTCGGGGGTGGGGTCGGTGATGATCAGATGGAAAGCATAGTCGGCGTACGAGTTGCCGTTGGCGCAGTCGTGGTAGTGGCCGATGACGTCGGAGAGGGTGTGCTCGGGACGGTGCTTGTGCTGCATCGCGAAGCCGATGAAGGTGGTCGTGCCACCGGCGATGGACGAGCGCGAACCGGTCTCGAAGCCGTCGGCTCCGCGGTAGGGGTAGTCCGCACCGCCGGGGGTGGACTCCTGGTCGACGTGGGTGTGTCCGTCGACACCGCCGGGGGTGACGTAGGCGCCCTCGGCATCGATGACGTTCTTGGCTTTGCAGGCCTTGAGATCGGGAGCGATGGCGAAGATCTTGCCGTCCTTGATGGCGATGTCACCGGGGAAGCATTCGGAGGCGGTACCGATTTTGGCGTTGATGATGAGGGTCTAGAAGATGTTAGAATGTGGGTCGGAGGAGAGGAGGATAGGAGAGCGTACGTCGAATTCGGAGTCCATTGTGGTCAATTGTGAGGTCAATTGTGATATCAATTGGATGTAGGAGGAGACAGAGAAGAAGAGCAGCGACGAAGAGGAAAAGAAGAAGAGGAGAGGAAGCAGAGAAGAATCGAGGTCGACCAACGAGCAGCGAGGCGAGTTTATCGCGATATCAGCGTCGGGACCTCCGCGAGTCAGAAGATAAAGAAAACCCTAAATTCACTCCACCAAACAACCGACTTCCTCGCAGACTTCGTCCTGATGACTCGGACGCCACATCCTCACTCTGCTTCTGCTGTTGCTGCTGGTTCTCTCTAAAGAGCTGCTCAGCGAAGTGCTGCTTCGTAGAGACCCGCGCGGTGTGGCAACCTGCTCTGCTCTGCGCTCGATAAGCTCTTATCGCTCTTTATACTTTCCTCGCCGCCGGCCAACCCGCCGGCCCAAGACCTCGTCCCCGGCTTACATACTACATCTCACTAATTCGTATGCCCAAACGCCTGCTCTCATTAAACACCTATATACAACAACACATCTCTAAGCAGTAACGCTCAGCCGGCGTCGGCCCTCCCGCTCTAACGGTGGCAGATGCACGTTCGTATGCGCCTGGGGCTCCACAATCGGCGACACCAACCCGCGGCTGGCTGCAAAGTCGCTGCTTCGCGAGATCGACGGGTCCGTCTGGTAGAACTCGTCAATGATCGGGTGCAGGAGTACTGTTTGGTTGTTGATCGTGAGGATCGTGTTGGTCGGCACCGTCACCCAGTCACCTAGATCATTTCATCAGTCAGCTATGCCATCCAACCTGCGAAGCTGTAAAAAAGTAAACTCACTTCGTTCAAACGTCAATGGCTCAGAGGCAACCAAAATCACATCCTGTCGACGATCTCGTCGCTCCATACGATACTGCCCGGGCTTGTACTCAATAAACTTCGACCCCGTCGAGAAATGCAAGCTCGCGGCCTCCTCGGTTCGCGACGTGATGTAGCGCGTAACAACCACCGAATGTCCATCCGTGACTGCAAAGTTCAGCAGCGATGGCTCGTCGCCGCCCGTACTGCACTCCTTTGTCCATTCTCTGATGTACCCAATCGTGGTCTCCATAGCATGTCTAATCACCTCGTGGCCAAACCCGTCTGTTCCCTCGGTCTTTCTCGCCGGATCCACGCCGAGCTTCGACAACGTATCCAAAAACAAAGCAAACGCCCACTCAGAGTCCGTTCCACCCTGGATATGCGTAAAATACTCATCCTTCATATGCTGCACGAACCTCCTCTTTATACGGCTGAAATTCGTGATCTGCCCGTTGTGCATAAACATAAGCGAATGGTACGAAAACGGATGGCAGTTCGTTTCCGACAAGACACCAGACGTCGACGCCCGCACGTGGGCAAAAACCATGCTCGACTTTGTCTTCTCGGCCAGACGAGCGAGGTTCATATTGTTCCACGCTGGCGTCGTGGCGCAGAAAATGCAGGGAGCGTCACCGAGCTCGGGATCAGACTCGGTCGTGTAGTAACCTACTCCAAAACCATCTCCGTTGATAGGCCGTCTAAAGCTGTTAGTCTACAGTGTGTGCTGTACTCAGATCAAGAATTCATACCTCTTGTCTATACGCAGTCTCGAGTCATAAGATTGACTAGACCGATCAGTCAGCACTTCTCTTTCAACAGCACACTACAGTCTAGTTCATACTTGATAATAGAATGCTCCGGCCTCGTCAGAAGATGCGCCAGCAGAATAGGATCACGACCTGAACAACATCACGGCGTTAGCGGTATGAAAAAAGAATCGCCGAAATCACAGAACCTCAGCAGATCAGCACACAGAGCACACAAACCTTTAAATATAAGAAACCGACACATATCTCCGCTATATTACAACGCTTTCGCTCAACTCTGCAAAGAACAGCAACTTGTGTGTGAGGAAAAAGGAGAGAGCGTGCGCTTTTTGAACAGGTTTGCGAAATCAAGTAGGAAGTGTGCGTCATAATAAGGTTCTGTCACTAGTCACGTGTGTTAAATCACGTGACTTGACTCAGTGTTCGGAGCCTCATAAATTTTTGCTTTGGAGAGATATCGAGTAGCATCGGTTGTTGATTCAGAATCAATTGCAAAAGATCCAGCGCGGATCAGAGATCAGACGAGGATAAAATACAGAATGGCATCAATGGCATCCATCAGAGTTAGCAGACGGGCGATTTTACCGTCGACTCCAATGCCATTCTACACGTCGTCGCTGCTTCCTCGCAAGGTGCAGCTGCAGCGGAAGAACGTCGACCCGCAGCTCGAATTCGGAAAGAAGATGCCGCAACTGAAGCGACGAGCGTCGTCGCATATTCCAGTATACTTGCGAATCCTGTCTGCTATTGCGGAGAACGATACGTTCATGGTCTGGTTGTGGTATCTCGAGCTGCGCGAGTTTGCAATCAATGTGCTTGCGACACATGGTGCGCGGCCGTTGTCGGACTTGCACCTCGACAGACAGGTTTTCACGCAGGTTTTTTTGTCATTGAGAGGAGAGAGAATGATGCGCGCAGAGTATATCGAGCATTACGAAAAGTTATACGCGGACCGGATACAGACGTACGAATGCGACACCTTCTACGATGTCAGCACAGGCTCGAGCATGTCCCCTACGCACGATACAGATCATCTGAGAGAGAATGTGCTGAGAAGATCAAAGTCGTCTTCGACGGCAGTGATATCCCCGCTGCCGGCCGAGCAAGCCGACCACTCGCCGTCGAATGCACTCACCAGGCATATGCCGGCTGCACCCAATCTAATGAATGAGTTTTGGAGGCGCATGACCGCAGTCCGATCAGACATCGAGAAGCTGTTTGGCCCGCTCAACCGGATCGAGCTGACGCACTGGCTGAACCAGGCGCGCTCGACGGGTGCGTTTGACCAGATGAACCGTGTCTGGTACCGCATCCACTCCGGGCAAGACCCGGAGACTGCGGCTGCGGAGGACGCAAAGTTGGGGGGAGCTCTGGACGATATACCCACGCGGGTTCGCGAGCTTGCCCTGGCGTCCAAGAGCGGAGCGGAGGTTGAGGAGCTGATGAAGATGTTTCATCCGCCCTCGCCTGAAGCGTGTCGGTTGCCGGCAGACACAAAGATGTGGAATATCTACATTTCGGGAATCGCAGGCACACGCACGTACGATCTCAAGCGTTCGGATCGGTTCGGACGCGTGATGGGCACCGAGCTCGACCCGATCAGATCAATGGATCCTGATGATCGAGCGTGGATTCTCGAGGCGCTCGAAGGCGATATCGGCGGAGAATCCTCATACGCTGAGTACGCCGAGTATGCCAGCGATTCTATATTTGACGCAGCGGTGTCCCCGACGGTGGATACAGCCAAGGAGGTTGCTGATGAGCTGCGAAGCCGAGCGGCGGACGCGCTGCGACTGTCGGAGATGATGATCAGCGCAGGCGCGGTGCCGGACGCGACCACGTACGAGACGCTTTTGCTGGCGTTCGCACAGGCAGGCGACCTTCCATCGATCAAGGCGATTCTCGAGAACGTGTGGGGATTGATCTACGAGATTGATGAAGAAGGTGCAATTAGCGTGTCCTTGTCCCGTGAGCTGAGGGTGAGGCCCGGTGCACTGCGGTTTCCGACTTCGTTTACTATCCGGGCGATTTACAATGCCTACAACATCAACGGGCAACGGCGGCTGGGCGGAAGACTTGCGCGCGAGATGGTGAAATGCTTCCGTCCGCGACTCACGCCCAAGATCGGCGACATCATAGCTTCCACAAAGATCGACGAGATGCTGGCAGAGGGCGAGAAGAAGAGCAGGAACAAGAGCACTACCAAATCCAGCAAAGATGATTCTTCTAGTGAAGTTGGAAATTCTTCTAACGAATCTGGCGAAGTCGAAGGACGCCAAATCCTGAAGAATTTCATCAAGAATGAGTTTGGTGAGCCATGGCGCGCATAATAAGGTTTAGCTTTAAACCTTAATGTACATCCCTTCCGCGCCCTGGCTCGCGTCTGAGGCCCTTGGCCCGTTCCCTTTCTTCCTCTTCCTCTCCTTCGTTTCTCCTGTCCTCTGCTCTGTTCAGCTGTATAGGCCTGCACGAGTACTTGTCGCTGCCGGTTCTTGCTGATTTATAGTTGTTTTTACGCGTAATGGCTACCAGAGGTATGTTGTTTGTTGCTGCCGGTCACCTGATATTTTTTTTCGCTCTGCTGACCCCTTTGTTTACTTAGAATACAACATCGTCGTCCTCGGCGCAGGAGGCGTGGGAAAATCTGCTCTTACTGGTAGGGAAACTGCTTTGATTTTGCTGTATTTTATGGCCGTGTTTTTGTTGATATGCAAGGGTGGCTAACAATTTTTTCTAGTTCAATTTTCACAAGGCGTGTTTCTCGACTCGTATGACCCGACCATCGAAGACTCCTACCGCCGCCAGATCGACGTCGACGGGCGATCGTGTATGCTTGAGATTCTCGACACGGCGGGCGTGGAGCAGTTCACGGCGATGCGCGAGCTGTACATAAAGTCCGGCCAGGGCTTTCTTCTCGTGTATTCGGTGACGGACCGCGCGAGTCTGCAGGAGCTCATCAAGCTGCGCGATCAGGTGTGTCGGATCAAAGATTCGAAGAATGTGCCGATTGTGCTGGTGGGAAATAAAGCCGATCTTGCGCACGCGCGCACAGTCTCTTTTCAGGAGGCGAAGACACTAGCTCAGAATTGGGGGACTAGTTCTTTCTACGAGGTGCGTACAAGACCACGCGTCAAATAGCTTGTTTTTTGTTGCTAACAGATGGTTTCATGATATAGACCTCTGCGCGTACAGCTGCCCATGTTGATGACGTGTTTGCGGATATTGTGCGACAAATACAGCGACGCGAGTCTGCGAGCAGCTCTTCAACAGCCGCCACATTCCCGGTCCCGCCTACGCCTTCCTCTTCGTCTAGCTACTCCTCGAATGGGCATGGGCGCAATCCGTCCGCTTCAGAGAAGCACGGGCACGGGCACAGCTACAGCATTAGCGCGCTCTCGGACAAGCGGTCGTCGGGGAAGCGCAACAGCGGGCGCAACAGCGATCTTCCGGTGTCCAAAGGCGGATTCGAGCCCAAGAAGAAGAAGAAAACCGGCGGTCTCTGCGTGATTCTGTGACCGGTGCAAATCACTCGCTTTCACTGATATGAAAAGTCCACACACACTCGTTTAATTCGGTTGATATAGCCGGAAAGATACTGAACATACTTGTTCCATTAGCCCCGGAGTGCTACTTCCACTCTGCCACCATTGCCGTCCCTGCCTACGGCCTACATCGACTAATCTGCTGGCGGTGCCAGACAGATGGTTGAGAGACTGGTGTCCCGGCTCGGTGCCGCTACGCGCATATATACACTAATACAGTTGGTTAGTGTGCGCGCTGAAATCTCGAGGCCGCGACTCCTGTCGTTCACTCTTTATGTGATTATGTTGTTATGATGAGGGTGATTTCACCGTCTTCTGATCATGACGCGTCAATGCTTGCTTTTGTATTTTTCTTGGAGTTTTGTTTTGTTTATAATGTTTTGGCACAGTAATGACGCCGGCTGCTACTCACAGCGCGTTTTTCTCTTTTTCTTCTTCACGATTGGTTTTGTTTTGGATATTTTTTTCTTTTTTTCTTCTTAGCTTCGCTATTGTATTAGTAGACATGATCATACGACCGACCTGACGAGTATGAAATTTTATTTCTTTTAACTATATATTTCCATGTTTTGATGCCGGGGATTTCAGGGGTCGCGTCGACTGATCGCGCACGCGCCGGGTGATGGCGAAGACGTGACGCGTGTTGGCGATGACGGCGTTGGTTGTTCTGGTTTCCTGATTTGGATAGATATTTCCCGAAAAGGTAATATGGGAACAATACGATGAATGAGTAGATTTGAGTAGACTGAAGCGCTGCAGAGGATCGCAGTTTGTATTTGAGCAGTTGGATACTTGTTTCTGAGCTGCTTTAAACTAACGAAGAGCGGAGAGGAAGAGCAGAAGTACGGCCCGAATACGAGCGTATGTCAAAGCCGCGCGACGAAGAGGCTCAACGCTGAACAGGAACCCGCTGCCGCTGCTATCGCTGCCAAAACCACACCCGCCCCGCAGTCCTTTCTGATCGCTCAATAGAACGCCCAGCAGCAGCAGCGATCTTAAGATATCGAAGATCTCACATAGCACAGCGACTCCGATGGCGGACTCGGGTCCGTATTCTCATGCGGGCCGCGGCGCTGCGTCGTCGCAGAACCAGTTCTCGCGATATGGCGGGCTTGTGCTGAGTTCGGATGAGGAGGAAGAGGAGGAAGAGGTTCTTGAGCCGGTGCGGACGCATGAATCGGTTAGTGGTGCTGAAGTGTTTCGATGGCGAGTTGATGCTAATGTTGCGCAGCAGGATCTGGCTCGAGAAGCTGAGTTCTACGACACTCAAGACTATGAGATCCATAACGAGGTATCTTGCCCACGTTCTTGAAATCAGCAAGTCTATTCTTTACTAACTTTCCTTACAAGTCCCATTTTGAAGAAGCTGAGACTTCTCTGGTCGAGGAGACTTTTATCGTTAGTCGCGATACGGTCGCTGAAACCGCAAATATCGTGAGTGTTGTCCAGATCCATTGCTTCAGATCAGATCTTGGTACTGACCACTCGAGATATAGCCCATCCCCGCCGTGCCTGATTTGCCTGTGCATAATTTGGAAATACCTGAATCGGTAAATATTGTTTACACCAGTGTTTTATAAATCAATGCTAATGATACTAACGCTATGTAGAAGCACGTAACTCGGGCAGGTACAAAGGTATGAACTCTCTCCGTCCTATTCCGTGCTTTTCACCAACAATACTAACACAGTATCCTACAGAACTGGTCCCGCCATGCGCAAAAAAAGTTTGCCATACTCAGCTACAGCGACACCGAAGATGATGATTCAGAACGCGAAGAGGATGCGCCCAGGCCGTCGACTTCGGAACAGCCTTTGAAGCCAGCTGTGACTGCCACACCTGCCGTTGTCGTTCCTGAGCCGTCGGCGTCTGCACCTTCTGCTTCTTCCGAGTCGCCATATAATCCGTACTCATTTGCAACCAGATCTACATCTCCGGCTGTATCTGCCACGCCTGCTCCTACACCTGCCGTTGTTGTTCCTGAGCCGGCGGAGCCTGCACCTTCTGCTTCTCCTGAGTCGCCATACAATCCGTACTCATACGCATCCAGATCTACATCTCCAGCGGTGACTGCCACGCCTACACCTGCCGTTGTTGTTCCTGAGTCATCTACGTCTGCACCTTCTGCTTCTCCTGAGTCACCGTACAATCCGTACTCATACGCATCTACATCTACGTCTGCCCTTACTCCTCAGCAGTCGGCATCTTCTATTACTCCCCTACAGCCGGCACCTTCCGTTACTCCAGCAGAATCCTCGTCTCGAATCGGGCCAAATCCGCCGATCCCGACCCTGCTGGTGAAGCCGCCTACCATGCCGTTATCACCAATAACCCCCGATCACGATCAACGGCGAATGTCATCAGATAGGAACTCAGGCTATTCGCTCGTGGATTCACAGAATTCATCTCCTACCGACGAACGCGCGCCCTCGCGAAGCTCGTCGGTGAACTCACAGGCCAGCCTCAACAATATTCCAGCGCGCAACTCCTCGATCAAGTCAAGCACTTCAATCAAGAGAGTACCTGTGCGAACATCTTCAGCTGCCTCGCGCTCTTCATCCGTCAAATCTGCTCAATCTGTCCACGACAATCTGTCTCGGACCGCATCTGTCCATTCACAGGCCCCCTCAATTTCTAGAGCTCCCTCTGAATCCGAGAGACGATCACCCTCGATTCGCTCAGATGAGACGGCAGTGGAAAATCAAAAGCCGGCTCGAAGCGGCTCGGGGTACAGATCGAATCCGCCCTCGCGACACGATTCAGCCAGGTCCGGCGCTTCGTCAATGAGCAGGCAGTCATCTCGCGAGGGATCCTCGTCAATCAGCAGACAACCCTCTCAGGAAATCTCTAACGCATATATCCGGCCACCTGTGCTACCTGCGCTAAACCTACTCTCACGGACCGATTCGCTCATCTCTGGAAGTCCGACTGTCGCGGCTCTGAATATCCCTTCGCGGAATGTGTCGCCGGCTCCACCGTCGGCTGGGTTTACTGATAATCCATATTCCCGCCTCGAGCATAATGATAGTTATAGCTCGACCCGGGAGTATCTAACCTCCCCGGCGAATGAAGTTGGCGAGGAAGCGTTTGCTGAGAGTGCACTTTCTGTTTCTTCTCAGCACTCTGCCTACGACTCGATCCAAAATACGCCAGAGCTGAAACCGTCGACAATGAGCGATCAGCTGGATCCTGAGAGTCTGATGGAAGAAATCAGTCAGTGGGGAAATGATGTTGAACCTCTACCGGTCAGTCTTCTTGCGCAAAGTACAGTGTCGCCGCCATCGCCTGCTCTACAGAGTGCGCGGATTGTCGTATCGATTGATGATCAAGCGCAGGAATTCCAGTCGCTTCCGTATCCGGAAGAAGAGGTAGAAGAAACCTCGCAGTTTGAAGAGCAGCAGTTCAACTTCAGGATGCCATGGGAAGACTACACAGGCCCGCCGTCACCGCCCCGGGGACCGGCGGTTGAAGGATATGTCCCTGCGTGCTACGAGCAAGAACGTAATGAGCAGCTTGAGATTGACTCTGAAGTAGTTGAAAATCTCACGAATGAGCTTGAATTCTCTTCTTTGGCTGATCTGAGGCAACAACCATTACAGACCGAAACACCTCTGATCAGTCCGGTCGCGGCACGATCCAACGGAGAAGCCAACCTTGGTCTTGGACTACTCCCAGCCAGACCCTTATCTTCCGTCGACGGCATGTTCCCGAGCACTGGTCGCTCTGAAGTGTCTGAGATTATGGTCCCGTCGCGGTCAAATTCGGACGCGGCCTCGGAATACAGCTTTTCTTCGTCCGGACGGAACCAGTCGGTGTCCTCGGCGATGGGCGAGACGGATACTTCGTCGCTGGCTCCGGCTTCCGAAACTGATCTGCACAGGGCGCCGTCTGATGCGTCATATAGCGCGGCGTACTCGTCCTCCGCTGACGCCTATTCTCCTGCGCTGACGAGCGAGAGTGAAGGTGAGCGGTCGTACGCTAGTACCTCGTCTGCCTACCTCAGCACATCAGGCGTGTACGAGTATTCGAGCGCGGTAGTCACCAGCCGTGCGCGCTCCTTGCAAGGTCCTCGCCCTGCTGCGCAGCGTCTGAGCGTCGACACTACGCCTCATCCCACGAGGTCGAATACCACCGGTAGCGTTCCCCTGACTTTGGACGGAAGTCTCGAGTACCAACGGGTTATGGACCGCGGTCTCAGCCGAAACGCCGCGCCGGTGGACTCAGAGAGCGCAGCAGGACCTACCTCGCAAGCGGATCTGGCATCGACCACCGACGCAGAGTCGACGTATACTCCGGAGCCGCCGGAGCCGCTTGTATTCCAGACTATGGATCTGGCCGATCGTATGGCGCTCTTGAACGCCGATCTCTATGACGATTTCGAAGAAGAGGAGCCAGTACAGGAAGAAGCGCCCACACCGATCGAACCTCCTATGGTAGTCAGACCGTCTGTGAGTAGTCTTGTTGGGGAGATGCTGCCGACTCCGATCTCGGCCGTCAGTCCTGATTCGGTCGTGGCGCAGGACTACGCGGTGTTTCAGGAGTATGGGCAGCACAGCGATACCGACCTCTACGATGACTATGAGGAAGCGATGGGCGGCGAAGACTCCGCCGGCGTTCCTGATATTGCGCCGCTGGGCTTTAATGCGTCCATGACCTCGTTTGGAAGCGTTCGGAGCAATCATTCTCAGTTGGAAGAGGAAGATCAAGGCATTATCACGATCAATGAAAACGGTATTCCCTATGTCTCCACTGAAACGAGACAGTACTTTGTGATTGGGACTCGAAGGATCAAGGTCCCGGGTGAGAAACTTGACGAGTGCAAGGAGCCGTGGATGCTGAGACCGTTGTATCTATGGGTGCGCACGATTATGGCTGCCGAGTCGAATTCGATGGCGGAAGGTACGCTCAGCGACGTGCTCACCGATCTGTTTATGCGCCACATTGAAGGCATCAGTTTTGCCGAGGCCGAAGACTTGGGGATCCAGGCCCTTGAGTGGTTCATCGACCGAGGCGTGATGACTCGGGCTAACGACGGCGGGTTGATCGTTCCGGAGGCAGAGAATCGCGGGTATATCGGGCGTCTGGCAAAGTTCCGACCTGCGCGGCTGGATATCTCGGCAGTAAGGCGGGAGTCGCAGCGGGCGCAACCGGACATGAATATCGAGTACGACAAAAACATCGATAATTGGACGGCTGCGGTGCCGCAGCACGTTAGGTCGACGGTATCGGTTGCGATGGAAAAGCTGCAGAACGTTTACTTTGAGATGGTGATGTCTGAAAGTATGTTCCTCAACAACCTGCGCGCGCTGCTGGTCGACTTCAAAGACGTCATGTTGCGCACGTTAGGCACCGGTCGGCATATCGTTGACGACCCGGTGCAGTTCACGACGGCTGTAGTTCACAACACCGACGAGGTTCTGCAGCTCCACGAGCGGTATCTGTTTTTCCCGCTTCGAGAACGACAGCGGCAAGCACACGTGATGTCCGGAGTCGGTGATATTCTTGTCATCTGGATTCGGCATGGCATCGAGCCCTACCTGCGGCACGCGGACGGTCTCGGACCCGCGTCCGAGATGAGCGAGACGGAGCGGCGGCAGAACCCGCACTACGCGCAGTTTGTGAGCGACTTTCAGTCTGCAAACTCGGGCGCGAGCGTGTCGACGGTGATGACGAAGCTGCTGCGGTATCCGCTGCTGATTGGGCGGATGTTGAAGTGCCTTATCGAGCTCGAGACCGAGCAAGGCATTCAGCAGAGTGCGGAGAGACGGTACCTTGAGCGCGCGCACGGGCGGATCACGCAGCTTGCGTCTGTGTTTCAGTCGCGGTTTGTGTCGAGTCAGCGGCAGTACGTGTTGAGAAATTTGCGCAGCACAATCTATTTCTCAAATCAGAGCTTAAAGGTCGAATTGGGTTTGAGTTCACGCACGCGAGAGATGCTCAACAATGGCTCGGTGGAGGTTGATAGTCGCCGGCAGTCGATGAACATGATTCTGCTCGACAACTATCTACTTATGACACGGGTCATTGTGGTGGCCGACCGACTGCGGTACGATGTCGTTTATCCCCCGATCCCGATCGATTTCCTGACGCTGGTATCGCAAGACGACGGGCAAGTGAACGCGACGTTCCATCGCGCGAGCGTGGCGACGATCAACTCGAGCTCGTCCGCCAACGCGGAGGAGATGCGCGAGTTTGCAGAGGCCGGCGGCGAGGATAACAAGATCTACCCGTTCCGGATCAAGCATCTGGGCCGGCACGGCGCGACGTACCAGATCTTTGTCGCGAGCGACGGCGATCGCAAGCAGTGGTGCGCGGCAATCTTGAGAGCGATTGACAAACGCCATGAGTCGCGTCAAATGCCGCTCTCGCTCCAGGTCGTGTCTGACTCGGATTTCGGGTACCGGGACCGGCATATGCGGGGAGCTGTTGCGGAGCCGTATGTCTCGTCGCAAAGGTCGACGGTGAGAGTGGCTTTGGATCAGAATGGGTACAGTGCCCCGACTAGTCCTATAGCCAAGAGCGCAAACTGCACCGCGCTCTTCTACGAGGATGAAATCAACCCGACAAACAAAGAGAGCCGACTCATCAGGCCCGAGGATTACTTGAAGAAAGATCCGTATGTCTTGGTTGGCTGCAAGACTGGGATTTTCATGAGATATGGGTTCAGTGGAACGTGGTACTGCGTTTTGAGAGTCGACCACGTGCGGCAGATGAAGGTGTTGCCTGAATTCGGCCTCGTGATTTTCCTCGCGGACAAAAAACTGTTTGCGTACAGTCTCGACGCGTTTTTCGCACACGATACAGTTCAGAACCGCGCGCAAATCGCGCAGCAGTCGCAACTGCAGCGGCTTATGAACGCGCGGTCGATGGGCGATAACGACGGACTGTTTCTGCAAGAGATTTGCGAGATGCGGAGTTTCGACTGGTTCAATGTCGGCATCCTCAACAAGCGCACCGTGATTGTCGCGCACCAGAAGGACACGGAGTCGGACCTGCGCGTGTTTGAGCCGATCGCGGGTAAGTGTCAAGAGTTTCGCGGCCAGTACGATACCGGCGAGATACTGGAGGACCCGTATCAGCGGCGGATCCGGATTATGAATCTGCGCAACTCTGAGTTCTATGGGACGATGCCGGTTCGCGTGGGGCAGGATATGGTGCGCGAGATCGAGCCTATCTATTTGAATAGTGTGTGTTTGAACGTGACGATTACGAAGGGGATGATTGTGCTTCATACGAAGAAAGGTTTGTCTCTCTGCTTACTGCTTTTGCTTGTGCGGTTACTTACAGTGTGTGCCAGGTTTCCAAGCGCTGGTGTATCCCTCGATGATCATCGCGGCACTCCCGCAACTCACCGAGTCCGATCCGATAAAGACGCACGAGCTCTCGGCACAGACGCCACTCGGCTTCTTCCGCGTGTCCGAGCACTTTTATCTGCTCTGCTACTCGCACATGTGTCTGAGCTGCGACAGCCAAGGCTTTCTCTCGCGGCAGGTGATTATCCGTTTCACCGGCACCGCTCGATCCGTCGCCGTGATGCCGCCGTACGTGCTCGGGCTCTGCGACGACTTTGTCGAGATCCGATTGATCCAGACCGGCGACCTCGTGAGCCTCGTCACGGGAACAGACGTGCAGTTGATCGGACCGCAGAGCTATAGCAGCGACAGCGCGAATATCGCGTACAGCAACCCGTGCGGATTGACGGGAGAGCATGTGTTGGTCAGGATGGCGCATCCGGTGGAGAGGGGACGGCAGGTCATTTTGAGGTTTGTGAGAAACACCGAGGCGGTTTAGTGAGCGCGGGGAGGGGGAGTAAATCTCTTTTTGTATATGCATGGCTGCGGTTCGTGATGTATGTAAATTTCTTGATGATTTCCAATGTGAAATAGTTCTTCAATGATTTTGCTATCTCGTAAATGCGGAGTATGTCGTTACGTATATTTGTTCTTCTCCCTTGATCATATCGCTAGAAGTTGGCTTCTTTTTCGTAGGCCCCAATCAGGACAGAAATTAGAAAATTGTCACATAGAGCGCAACTCAATTGGTATTAAGGCTACTAAAATATATCGTGGCTTAGGGAGATAACTACTCACATAGTTGAGAAGCAGGAGCCATGTATATTTATTATACTTGCCTTCCCAATTGATTGTACGCTGTTTTCTTCTGTTCTGCACAGCTCTACATTTCATTAAACACATATTGATGATTTCAACTCTCTTTTGCAGCATATTCTATGCTACCATTCCATAATAGACAGGAGAGCCTTCACAAAGTCACTCTATACGGCGGAGAAGCTTCACCCGCTCTCATGCGCTCTTTCCCTGCAGATTCGCTACCTTTGTTGTAGCCAATGTCTTCTCAATTTATCAATCTTGAGCTTATCTCTTTTGAACAGTTTCTTCTATAGATCGTCCGGGTCGCAACCAGCTAATCGGTGGACCTGTATGCTTCTCATGCTTTTCTTGGTATGATATCTCTGTACAACACAAAATTAGGAGACGGACAGCGCGTTAGCTACGCGTTTAGCTTTTTACAGATCGGGAACCCGCAACATACTAGTCACGCGCCCGCCTGAACTGAAATCCGCACTTTTCAGCGCGCTCGCCACTTTCTCCTCCTTTCCCTTCTCTTTTCCTTTCCCCGATCCACTTCGGTGTCTTGAATAAACCCCCCCAGCAGTCCGATCGTCTCTGTGAAGAAGTATCGACTCTGACAGAATGGATCGACTGCTGCGTGCACTATTTATAAAACATCTATGCTGCTTTTTTGGATATCTTGCGTTGTGTGTACAGCTTTAGCTGCCGTAGAATGCCCGCCCCCCATCTCTGTGAAGAAGTATCGACTCTGACAGAGATGGATCGGACAGCTGGGCATAAGTTTTGGAGTTTGTTTTGCGTTGTGTGTACAGCTTTAGCTGCCTGCTAACCCACCAAACAATCCTGGCCGTATGGATCGCGCTCTGAGTGAGTCTTTCTATATGACCTGGTTTGTTTGGTTCTTTCTAGGTACCCGGGCAGATGATACGATGGCGGCTGCCCCGGCGCGTCGTCCATCGATCTCTCCCAGAATCACGGCAAAAACAGTCAGTACAGCTTTACAGTCAATCTAGCACCCTCAACTAACAGAAATCATACAGATGCGCGCAACCTCCCTGTGCGCCCTGCTGCAAAGGCGCCTTTGGCATACCGAAGAGGTTCCCAAAGCCGTCTCCACCATCAACGATCACCGCGGATGCCGTTGATGCCGTAGTCACTCGACTCTAGGGAAAGCAAGCGCGATCAGCAAGACAGAGTCCGGACCCTTTCTCTCTAGGACTTTCCTATGAGCGATGAGTTTCTTTCGCATCATAATCTTGACTCTTTAACGCTGACCGCGAATCTCATCTCTAGGACAATATCGCACTTCCGGCCGGATCTGGAACATGGACTCCGATCCTCTTCTCTCTCGTGTGCGTGGTACCCCGCGGACCTGCCAGAGAGTAGCATATACCACGCTAGGTAGACTCTCTGAGAATAGCATATACCTTCAGAGGTAGCATTCTCATGCAGAGAGTCGCCGATGATGCACCGGTAGCATTCTGTGGCAGACATCCGCGGAGACGCCTGAGAGTAGCCTATGCCGTTCACGGTAGCACTCTCCTTTGAGGTGGCGTTGTGCCGCTCATGCGCGAGACAGAGGATCGAAGCCGGCTCTTGCGAGAGAACATGTCAAGCAGACTGGCGCCCGTCTGTTGATCGGAAGACTTGCAGGCCCTTGACCACCGGCTGGCCAGGGGAGAGTCTTGTCCTGTCTCTGTCTTGCACGGTCGCGCTTGCTCGGTGCTTCGTGCACCATGGCCACCAGACAGCTTTCGGGCTTGGGAGTTGATGCTCTGGTGTCGCCTTGCAGCAGCCCTAGCAGCATGACAACGTCCGCGCGCAGATGCCGAGTGAGCATGTATATGCTCAGGGAGATACTCCTTTGCCGGCTCGGTACGCTGCATGACCGCCCTCAGCGCCCTGCAGGTCATGGGTGCTGGTGACCAGGGCGGTCGATCTGATGAGATTCTTCTTTAGCCAGGTTGCTCAACGGATTTAAAACGTCTAAGTTGTCGCGTCTCTGAAACACGCGCGCCGGCAGGCCGTGCCGTTGCACTGGGCCGGTAGCGACGGAGTTGACAAGAGTCCGCGCGACCGACCGTCTTGCCGAAGATGGGCTCTGCGGCCACAGAGCCCTCGGAGACAAGACGGGTGGATCATGCGACCACGCTGACAAACCATCAATACGGGGGTTGCCCTCGGGCTGCCTTTGGTTGAGGTCGGGTCTTAGTGGGTATGGCGACCATTGAGAGATGGTCGCAGAGTCCCACATAACTCTTGGGCACGATTTTGTGTTCAAGAGTATGCGTAACGCATTCTTCCCGATCCTGGCACCAGCCGCTCCATTTCCACGCGTGCTCTTACTATTCTGTCTTTCCTGTCTATGCTGCCCATCTTTCTCAAGAAGATCTGTCTTGGCTGTGACGGGGTTACTATTTAGTAACAGACAGGATAGAAGAACACGCGCGGAGCGGTACCGTATTGTAAAACCCAGAAAGAAAAAAAAATAAACGGTAGTCATTCTCTCAGTATTTAACACTAGTAGTTGGGCAGTACACCAGGAAACAGTAAACAGGACAACCATATATACAGTATAAGCAACGATTAAAGAGAAGCCCATTCAGACAGTTTCAAACCCAACCTCTGCAATAATAGAGAAGGTGAACGCCACAGCGTGCGACTAGCTTCGATAGAAAGAGACAGGCCATCTGTGCATCATCCCATCCCTTCTTAGCCAGTCTCGATGCCGTTTCGAGCACCATCCTCATGTTAGCCGCTAATATCTCCAGACAACATCAAGCCAGCCAAGTCCAGGCCTACCTGCGCCTGGTTAGCTCCAATTCCCCCATCCACATCGTCGCCGGCTCCCGCTCTCTGATCAACAGACAACACGCGCTTTCTGCCTCGTGGCAAGCGTCAACATCGCCTGCAAGAAAATGCACAGCATTATCTGCTCGGATGTGGAAAACCCTCCCCACTAGCTGCAGGCTCAGTCCCGCGAAGTTGTAGGATAACGTTGTCGCAGTCTGCAAGGTGTGGCTGGTAAGCTGCGCCGTCGCATGGAGTCGTAGGCGACGATAGTTAAGAGAGTCCGCGCGACCAAAGGTCTTGTCGACGAGGGAAGTCCTCCGACGACAAGACCAGCGGGTCATGCGACAACAACAGACAAACCATCAATACGGAGGGTAGTATCCGGACTGTCTTTGGGTGAAGTTGGGTCTTAGTGGGTATAGCGACATTGAGAACGCGCATGTTCTAAACGACAAGCGTGGTCGCAGAGTCCCACATAACTCTAGTATTCTGAATTCCAGAGTATGCGTAACGCATTCTTCCTGATCCTGGCACCAGCCGCTTTGCGCGGGCTTTTCCTGTTCTGTTTTTCCTGTCTATGCTGTGTATCTTCCTCTGCGATCGAGGCCGTGATGGGGTTACTGTTCCTTGGTAGTGACTGACAGAAGAGGAAGAGTACGCGTGGGGCGGTACCGTATTGTAAAACCAAAAAAGAAAAAAAAATATTCTCTAGAGGTTTTGGAGATGTTATCAAGATTGATGTATCGGTGGTGGTGGTGGTGGTGGTAATTTGAGTTGATCAAAAATCGCGTAAGTATAGTTTAGCAGTCTGTGAATATACTCAGATCTCGACCATTTTGTTCTTTCGGTCTCCGTATTTTCAGCGTCCCGGTCTGGTTGATTCCTGTAGTTTCACTCGTTTCTGCTGCTTTTTTTCCATCTACTCTACACCACACTCACTACATTACAAACCACCGACACGACAGAAAAACTAAAAGTACTATTCACTAATATATTATACACAAAGCGACAGGACTAGCCAATTTCATGCGTCTTCGTCGTCCTGCTCCCGATAAGACACAAATAATTATGGAAAAAAACATCAACAACAACAACTGGAACAGAAGGTGGGGGATGGCGGGGTGGGAGAAAAAGAGAAAAGGGACTACATCATGTGCATGAGTAAGCTGCCTGCCAGATAAAAATTTTGTGATTGTCATTATCCATACAGTTGATATCAAAAATACAAAAAGAACAAAAAAAGAGAGAGAAAGAGAGACTATAGCGTAGACTCGAGTGATAAATCTGCTATTTCTGTAGCAGAAGCAGAAGCAGAAGGCGCTGCCGAAGGAGTAGCCAGTGCAGCAGCAGCTTTCTGCAAAGCCTCAGGAGACGGCTTGATGACTTTTCTGCGACGCCAGAAATCGCGCCATCGCGAGTCGCATTCTCTGGTGACCCAGCAGCCCGCGAAATGGACGACGAGGTCGCCCGTGATCCAACCCATGTCGTCAGCGCCGACGGAGAAGGCGTTGATCAGACGGAGGTCGACGAAGGCGACGTGTTTTTGCATTTCCGGGTTGCTGGTGATGATTTTATTGAGCGCGTCCTGTTCGAGACGCTCGTAGTTTGCTTTCATGAATTGCGGGTCTTGCCATAGGCTCAGGAACTGGGCTGTCCACTCCGAGCGGCGGATCATGAACGAGCCCGCGTTGACGCCATGGTGGTCTTGTGCAACGACGAGGTCGACGATCGAAGGGTCGATCGTGCTCGAGACGTTGTAGCCTGAGGTCTTGCCGTTTGGCAGGCGGATTTTCTTGCCGGCCGTGATGCGCGTCTGCATGACCTCCGGGCTGAGCACGAGCGACGCGAGGTCGAGCGCGGGAGTCATGATGATGGCGTCGGTGTCGAGCCACCAGACCCATTCGGCGTCGGGGTTGATTTGGAAGGCCTCGATTATGGCGGGGATCTTTCCCCACACTGCCGGCCGGCCGTCTTTCTGGTACTTTGTGATGTTTGAGAATTGATATGTGTAGTCTGTTTTGTTAGCCTAATCCTTATCTTTTGAAAAGAAAAGGGACTTACTGTGGTAGGCGCAATAATCCTCGCGGTTTTCATTCACGTTTCGGAAAAGATCCTTGATTTCGTTGTTATGGCCCTTGCCGTCCGATGCCGTGAGCAAGACAATCTTACTCCCCTTCGGCTCCAGCACATCATTCGCAGTCGCGCGAATCGCGTTTAAATGCGTCTGTCGCGCCAACGAGTATTCTTCCACAAACGACGCGTTACTGTTCTCAAACAAGGCCGCCATCGGAATCATCTCCTTCTCGCCCAGCAACCGCTGCTTCGCGCGGTCGATCAGCGTGTCCTTGCTCGCCAGCGGCCGCCCGAACTTGCTCTTGTACGTCTCGCCGTAGAAATCGGTCTCGAACTTTGGCATCGCTTTCGCCGGTCGCAGCTGCGGCTTCGCGCCGTGGCTGCGCTGGGGAGGCGGGATCGGGACGCGACGGGAGGAAGAAGACGTGGTCGACGAGGTCGAGCCGGCTTTCGTGCCTTTCGCGCCTGCTTTGCCTGCGTGGGTGAGAACGGTCGCGCCCCGCGCGGGTGCACCGGCGCCGGCTTTTCCAAGCTGACGGTTGGCGCCGGATAATATCCGGCCTCTGTAGCTGGCTACTGTGTCGTCTGCGTCCGAGGTGGAGTATATGCTGTTGTCTGCGAGGGGTGTTGGTAGCGAGAGGTATATGAAGACTGTAGCGGAGATGAGAAGCAGCACGAGCGCGAGCTGCAGCTTTTTGATGTACATCATCGCTCTTGTCTTCTTCTTCTTTCTCTTCTTCGTTCTCTTCAAGCAGTCGGTCGCGGTCGTGGAGGCAGTTCGAAGGCGGACGGGTGCACACGCGCAGACAAATCACTTTAAATAAAACCAAAACAGAGAGCAAAGCGAGTTACCCGGAATTTGCTATTTTTGCCTCCACAATAAGCCAAACCTTAATCGATTCGCTGTTCGCGCTTACTTTGGCGTCTGCCGCACCTGTGTTTAGCTGCTTTCAAGAGTAGTTGTGATTGCGACGGAGTACTGAGGATTTGTTTGTGGTTTGGATGGTGTTGTTTGGATGGTGAATGGATTGGAGATGATCTGTTTGCTTTGTCTGTTTTGATTACGGAGAACTGGTGCTGCGCAGGAGTGCAGGTGCAGCAGGTCGTGATATTCACGAACCCAAATCACAGTGGCCGCACGCTGATCTTCTGTTCTCGATATCTGTGTCTGTGTCTGTGTTCTGTATCTGTATTGTTCAGAAATAAATAGTGCATATATATCAATTCAATATCGTGGTTCTTTGAATACAAAAGACCAATGGCATTGCAAACTAATCAAAAACCTCTCTGGGCAGCACCTCATCCCTCTGTCAACTCTGCTGCATTCTACCTGCTCTCTGCCGTCACAAGAGTGCAGCATAGCACAAACCTGTAGTCATCTATCTACTACACGCAATCAAAGCCTGGCCGTCGCCGCATCCCTCATCCCCACAACCACATCTCCCTTCCGCTCCTTCAAAATCCGTCTCAAGATCTTGCCCGACGGACTCTTCGGAACCTCATTCACAACCACAATCCCTCCGTAAAGTCGTTTATGCTTCGCGACCTTGCCGTCCACCCACTGCTTGATCTCCAGCGGCGTCACGCCCGGGGCGAGCACGACGTACGCGCGCGCAAGCTCGGTCGCTTCGGACTCGGAGTACGTGCCGACCACGGCTGCGTCGACGACTTTCGGGTGCGTGAGAAGTAGCGCTTCGAGCTCTGCGGGCGCGACTTGGAAGCCCTTGTATTTAATCAGCTCTTTGGAGCGGTCGATGATTGTCCAGAACCCGTCGTCGCCGACGGACGCGATGTCGCCTGTGCGCAGCCAGCCGCCGTCGAGCAGCGTGGCGCGCGTGGCTTCTTCGTTGTTGAGATAGCCCATCATGATATTTGGCCCGCGCACCACCAGCTCGCCTTCGTGGCCGCGCGGGACGTCTTTTCCCGTCTCGGGGTCGACGAGCCGCGCTTCGACGTTGGCGACGAGGTTGCCGATCGTGCCCAGTTTCTCGTCCGGCTGGTCGAGCGGCGAGTAGTGCGTGACGGGGGTGCACTCGGTCATGCCGTATCCCTGGCCGATGCGCACGTTAGCCGGCTGCAGGCGCTGCTTGACTGCTTCGCCAAGCGAGCGACTGAGCGGCGCGGCGCCGGAGCCAAGGTAGAAGATGTGCTCGCGGATCTGGGGATACTTGTCGATGAGCGGGGATTTCGCGAGCAGGATCAAGATGGGCGGGACGAGGTGCAGGTGGCTCATCTTGTAGCGCACGATGCACTGCAAGAACGGCTCGAGCTCGAACTTGGGAAAGACGATGAGCCGGCCGGTGAGGTAGACTGCAGCGTAGAGGTGGAGCGTGAGCGCGTAGATGTGCGACATGGGCAGAAAACCCGCGTACACGCCCTCCGGGGAGAAGATGCGGTTGTCAAAGTTGATTGTCTGCAGGACGTTGCTGGTGAGGTTGTGATGCGACGTCATGACGCCTTTGAACTTGCCGGTCGTGCCGGAGGAGAAGCAGAGGTAAGCGAGGGTCTCGGCAGCGGGTTTTGTGAGTTTGACGGGGTCTCCGGCCGGGCCGTCGCCGGCTCTGAGGTTTGCGAGCGCGTCGTCGCAGAGGGCGGTGAAGGGGACGAGCGAGCACGAGGACAGGGTCGAGACGGCCTCTGTTGCGGCGTCGCCCATTGAGGGGACGCCGGTGAAGGCGATGAGCAGGCGCGCGTCGGCGGTGGAGAGCTGTTCGCGCAGATCACGGGCCGGATAGGCGGAGTTGACGGGAGAGACGACGCCGCCGCACCAGAGGATGGCGTAGTGGATCGCGATGAGGTAGATGTGGTTGGGAGAGTAGACGGCGACGACGGTGCCGGGGTTGACGGCGTACTTTGATCTGAGGAGAGCGGCGAGCGAGCGGACGAGGGTGATGTTTTCGGCGGCGGTGAGGGAGCGGTCGTTTACGGCGTCGGTGAGGACGATGGAGTTGGGTCTGGCGCGGAGGTGCGGGGAGGAGAGGATGAATTCGGGGATGGAGCCATTGAAGAGGGGGATGTCTGGTTTGGGTGATTTGTAGATGGTCATTGACATTGTGGTTACTGAAGAACAGAGGAAGAAGAAGAGAAGAAGAGAAGAAGAAGAGAGTCTACGGTGGTGAGGAAGTTGTTTGCGAGCCGAAGTCCGACTGATTTCCCCGCAAAGTCACTTGGCCAAGAAGAGAAGCAGCGGACAACTCGCTCGGCGTTGACTTGAGCGGTGACGTCAGCGGGGTGTTCTGTCAGCGATGGGGTTTGTACTGAGAGAGAAAAGGCAGGAGTGAGAGTAACTACTGATTGCAGACAACTGTTGGAACACCAGATGTGGATGGAATGAGCTGATATCATATTCGTGCCGGGGTATCTTCTTTTTTGATTAATCCTGGATACATCCGACGATAAATGCGATGAGATGCGATGAGACGCGATGAGATGCCGATCGATATCAGTCAATATCGACAGCAATCAACATCAATCAATATCTTTTCCAAAATTAGAAGCAGTATCAGGCATCATGAAACGAATGAGAAGACACAGACCAGTTAATGAGGCGGGGGAGGATATTTTTATCAACGATTACGGGTGTGTGTGTAGTCAGATGGTATGTCTGTGCTGTTCTGTTTGAGGATCTGATGATTGTTGACGATGAGGTGCTGTGTCTGTTTTGTGATTTCGTGTCTGTGTTCTGAGATGGCAATGGAGGAGATGACGATGGAGGAGAGGAGGAGAGGAGGAAGAGCAGGAAGGCAGGAAGAGCAGGAAGAGCAGGGAGGAGAGGAGGACATGGAAGAACAGCACATGGAGAGCTCGTGAGCTGGCTATGACTATCTATCCGCCATATCAAAGCATGACAACAAACAACAATACACATATACACACACACAATACACACATACACTGCATATCAAAAATAGAAACAACACATGAAGCTGTGAAAACAACCCGGAACGAGAACGAAAGCGACAGGGTAGAGGTCCCTGTCCGAGTCTATTTTGATTATACTATCGCCAACACTATAACAGCTCTCTATACAAACCACAGATATCCGGATTTAGCAGCCCGTATGCATAAATTATAGAGTGTTTGCGGCTGTTGCTATTATTTGTCACTAGCTATCTGCTGAGAGTATGCATGTTTATATATTCTATCTGCGTGATTTTTTCTGCTGCAGGAAACGCAGGACTGTCGATAGTGTCGATGGTCTGCATCGTGAAGTCCGGCATCGCACGCCGCGCCGCCGCGCTATCGCGATAGTGTGCACACGAGCAGCTGACCGAGTCAGCGGGGGAGGGCCAAGATACGTTTGGTATGTTTTTGTGTTAGTTTATCTGTATTCGTATTCGATATATGTGCAATATACGTATTCAGCCGTGCGCGGCTGAGGAGGGAAGACGGCGACGGTTAGTTATTGGTTATTAGTTATTGCGGTTGCGGTTATTGTTGCTATTCTTGCTGTTCGTGTCTGAGATGTGTTGCTGGTGCTGGTGCTGGTGCTGGTGCTGCTACGGGTCCAAGAGCCAGCTTCTCCTCACAGAAGACCTACCATCGAAGGGCCCTGAGCAGAGAATTAGAATGACAGCTATGACGACTCGTTCTTCATACAAGAACATCAAGCAGAAGTACGCATACCCAACGAATCAGGAAGCTCGGAATTATTACCGCAGGAGAGGCAAGCGCAAGAAAGTTCATGGAGCCGATGGGCTACGAGGCAGGGTTGGAGTATGCACGGGAGATGCCGCCGCTTGGAAAAAGACAGTATTATAGTGAATATATATTGCACTATAGCGGATATTGGATGTAGGGCATGTATGCGGTATATTTATATATTCGATGGAGATGTACAGCGTTAGAAATGGGATGCGTATTGGTGTTAGTGCCGGGTGCAGCGTAATACGCATGCTTGTGAGGCTGGAGAAGGGACAGAAGGAGGATGAGAGGTGGCAATGAGATGTGTTATGTCCGGGGCTAGCAGACCAGACTAGCAGATAGACTAGTAGATAGACTAGCAGTACAGAGTAGCAGACGATAGATATCTAGTAGATGAGATATACAGAAATAGAAGACCGTGGCATGATTATTTGACGGTAATGGAGGCAAGCTTTGAATCCCTGCAGATGATAGTGAGGGATCAGAGGAGGATGGAGAGCATGTAAGTAAGCTATAGTGAGTATGTAAGTAAACTATAGTGAAGATGTAAGTATAATATAGTGAACATAGTCAAAACTCAAACTACTCCTAATTGACGTCAGTCCGTCCGTACACTACAGCCCTGACATCTGCTCTGCATGAGAGCGTACGCATATATACAACATACAACATACAACAGACAGCATACAACGTACAGCAAACATGGCTCAGGCCAGATGCGGAGTGCGCATACTCACGATAGCAGGAGAATAGGGCTACCGAGGCGAGCAAAGAGCAAAGAGTAAAGGGCAACGAGGATGTGGAATTTAATCTAATAAACATAAACATAAAGAAGATACCTGCAGCTAAGGACAAGTAAGCATATGCTCTTCGCATTTTTCGAAAAAAACCGCAAACTTTGTTGCAGTGACGATTGTTTATTTCGCAGAGAGTTATGAACAAATTGACGGCGGCGGGGTGGATTTATTGTTGACGTGCCGGAAACGGGCTTGCGAAAGCGAGCTTGATCTGCAGAGATGTTGGTGATCTGTTGGATTCACCATAGTGGTCACGATACTCTGGATTATATACAACAGTTCTCATCAACAGGTTCATCAACAGTTCTCGTTTACATCGATCTACATCTACAGTGATAGCAAGCAAGAGCAGTCTCTGTTATGATCGTTCGTACCCTCGGCACCCTTCCGATAAGGGACATTGTATATAAACCAACAAGAGTAATGAAGGGTCAATTAGAACTGGCGGTCTATTTTACTTCCGCGCTCGGATCAGCTTCGAGACATCTTCCTCTTCCTGCCCGAACCGTAAAAGGAGACAGACACAGACCTTTTGCGGCAGGCATTGACTGATTGACTGGATCGAGCTGTTGAGCTGCTTCGTCGGCTGCTGTGGATATCGTCGGTCAAGTGTGCAATATCCATATCAGAGTCTAGTGGTTGTGCGTACTGATCCAAACTGGTCAGCCGTGCAGAATAACCACTACTTCTTGTTGCTATATCATCTCTTTTATCTTTTATTTATTTGACAGATGTCGCTTGTATTTACATCTTCACGTGTCCACCAAGCATCTATTCGCATCAAGCAGCGACAAGCAGCGACAAGCGGCCGGCTAATTTATACACATTCCGCATAGACCACAGCCTTGGAGAAAACCCTTTTTTCGCTGTCTGACGCTCAATCCGGGCCATACATAAATCAAAAATAGTGCCAATATCTCCGATCAGCGCTGTCCAGTTTGGTTCAAAACCAGTAATCCGTCGTATAGCAAAACAGAAGATTGTAAACAATTTATTCTTCTTCGGCTTCAACCGTACGATTGATGAGAGCCTCTCGGAGCTTAGCTTTCGGTGCCGCTTCGTCTTTGGTTCAATGACGTATTCTCCTCTCGCTCGTCCTCACCTCACTCAACCTCTCTTCTCTCTTCCCACCTCTCCTCCTCCTCTATCTCCTCGGATTTTCGCAGACTCAACCTCATCTCGGCTCTTTTTCTCCTATCTTATTCCCCAGATCTTACCCTTCCCTCCCTCGGATGATCGTACTCGCAAATCCGACGATCAGCTAGCGACCTCATCTCGCATCCCGCTCTCCTCCTGTCATTCTCTCTGTCCAATACTTTCCCTTTTCGTTCTCTGTTTTTTTGTTCAGAAAAGATACCAATCTATTTCAAATTCTGTTTATATTACCTCTTCATCTTCGTACCTCTTCTCTGCTTTCGTATTTCCGGCCGCTTTCTGCGTTTTCTGTTTTCCCGAATTGCCGTTACCGTCCCAGTCCTCCTCGGCTGTTCGTACTCTTCGTCTCTCTCCATCTCTCTATCTTCCCTCTCTCTCTCTCTTTCTCTCTTTCTCTATGCTTTCTCTCTCGCGCTTCTCTCCACCTCGTCCGTGCGGTTCGGTACTCGTACATACCCAGCCATCGCCTTATACCTCACCTCGCAACCGTACGCTACATCATTATTCCCGACTCGGCTCGTTTACTCTCTCCTAACCACCCCATATCCTGCCCGCTCGTATTCTGCTCTTGTGTACTGCCATCATGATATCAGTTCACTTTCTGTCCATAAATAGCGCCTTGCTCCCTCCACTACACTCCCCTTCCTCCTCCTTCTCATCCTCATCCTCTCTCCTCTCTCTCCTCTCTCATCTCCTCTCTCTCTCCTCATGTTCTTGGTTGAAGAAACCCCCGTCATTCTTGATGACGCGTCGAAGCGCGGCACGCCTGTCCGCCGTCGCTACCGCGTCTGGATCGTCATGGCTGCCCTGACCCTCCTCGGCACCATGGCTCTCCTGCTCTCCAACATGGTCTCCGTCCTTCCCTCCGCCTCCGCCGGTGCTCTCTCTCTCGTCCCGCACTCCCTCGTCCCGCGCTCGCTCTGGTCCCGCCGCGTCAGCAACAGCTTCCGCCGCAACACGTTCACCGACTATGCCTGCACGGCTGCCACGAGCGTGCTCAAGAAGTCGTCCAAGACGCGTTACTACACCTTCACGGTCACGCAGGTGACGACGCAGCCGGACGGATACGAGCGCGTGATGACGCTCATCAACGGCCAGTTCCCCGGCCCGCTGATCGAGGCCAACGCGTACGACACGCTCATCATCACCGTCGTCAACCAGGGCGTCGAGCCCACGTCGCTCCATCTCCACGGTCTCTTCCAGGAGGGTGAGGGATACTACGACGGCCCGGTCGGCAACACGCAGTGCGCCATCCCCGTCGGCGAGTCCTTCACCTACAAGGTCAAGCTCCACGGCCAGTACGGCACGTTCTGGTACCACTCGCACTACCTGACGCAGTACAACGACGGCGTCGTCGGCCCGCTCGTTATCCACGGCACGGAGGAGACGTCGTTGATGAACCAGTACGACTTTGACCAGGTTATCATGGTCCAGGACTACTACCACACCGAGTCGTCGGTGCTGCTTGGCCAGTACATCGTCCAGGGCAAAATCAACTTCCCTCCCGTTCCCGACAACGCGCTCATCAACGGCGCGGGCTACTACAACTGCTCGGGCGAGGATGTTGACGGCACGTGCACGCAGTCCGAGGCCAAGCGCAACGTTCTCTACTTCAAGAAGGGCGCGACTTATCGTTTGCGCGTGATCAACGTCGGCGCGCTGTCGTCGATCGAGTTCTCGGTCGATAACCACAAGCTGACTATTGTGGAGGGTGACGCTGTGTTGACTGATCATTACGAGGTGGATTCGCTGCACGTTGCGGTTGCGCAGCGATACTCTGTGCTGTTGACGACCGACCAGACCAACGCGGACGCGTTCTGGATGCGGGCCAACATCGACACGAGCTGTCTTCCGCCCTCGGCGAGCACGAACTGGAACCCGAACGGTACTGCGGTGGTCGTGTACAAGAAGTACTACTCGATCATCGAGCAGCTCTTGGGTCTTACGCACATTCTGTCGGCCTCGATCACTGCGGACACTTCTTACACCGGTTCGGCGACGGGCACGCTCAACTTTGGTGGCTGCGAGGTGATGGATGACTCGATGCTCACGCCGTCGATCAGCGATGATCCGGGTGAGCCGGATTTTATGTACGAGGTCGACGTCAGCTTTGCAATCAACGGGACCGATTTCTTTTCCGCGTACATCAACGGCACGCAGTACATCTCGCCGGCGCAGGCAACTCTCTACCAGACCATCATGATGTACCGGGACGCGGACACGGAGGACACGAACAGCACGATCTTGTCGAACCACACGGGCGTGCTTCCTACCGGCACCTACAACGGCGATCCGAACCAGTTTGTTATCAACTTCCCGGAGCGAGGAAAGACGGCGGATATCCTGATCATGAACAAAGCGGGAGGTCTGCACCCGTTCCATTTGCACGGACATGTGTTTTCTGTGCGCGGAATGGGCGCGTCGGGAACGTGGGATTACAGTATGCTTGATACGCTGCCGACTACGAATCTGATGCGTCGCGACACGGTCATGGTTCCTGGATGGACGTTGATCAGAGTGTACTTCAACAACCCGGGCTTGTGGAGTTTCCACTGTGAGTTTTCTTCCTCTATTTTTTATACTATCGACAAGTTACTAACTATTTTGATAGGCCACATTGCCTGGCATTTGGAGGACGGCATGTACATGCAATGGCTAGTTGACGCAGACAGCATCTCGACCTGGTCTCCTCCGCAAGCCTGGTTCGACCTCTGCCCGAGCTAATTCCTTCCACCCAATTTTCATCTATTTTCCATTTTATTTTATTTTTTTCAATTACCAGCTTTGATTTGGCGGATAATTGATAATCGCTTGACGTGTTTTTTAATTTCCATGGATGGCTACGAAATACGGAGTACGCAATACGCAACTCTCTCTCTTTCTTTTAGTGAACTATAACCAGTTTGTTTGCTTGAATTTTTTGATAACCATAATAATACTTATAATCTTTTCTTATCTCCTAATGACTCCATTCTCTCTTGTGTACTATTACTCACTCACTCATTTTGTGAAGAATTTTGCGTGTTGGATACTATGTTTGTGTGTACGATGACGTTATTTCGCTATCTTTTACTCCTTAGTTTGGTTAGTTCAATCCAACAAGTTAAAAACACATTCCTCCTTTCTTTGAGAACCCCGAGAACCCCATCTCCGAACAGGAAATTGCCCCACGTCGGAAAACGAGCGGAGATGAGGAGGAGGACGTGTAATCAGGAATGAATGACGTAGATGTGTGTGTGTATAGTGTATGTATAGGGATGATAACAGAGTTCGAGCGAGCCTCATCCAGCGAAGAAGGTTAGAGCGGTGCGGTAGAGTAGTAGTGGAGGAGGTGGAGGAGAGAAGCGACTGTGGGATGCGTTGGGGAGAAGCAGAGATGATGATGATGATGATGATTCAATTAAACCACAAAAACTCCTTCCTAGCCAATTATTAAAAGCACAAAGCAAACCAAAAGAACACTTCTAATCCCGAGGAAAGAGAGAGAAACCCCAGTCGAATAAAGAAAATAATAAGAAAAATAGTAGTAGAGTAGTTGCGCCCCAAACCTCGCAAAAATCGAACGTCAGATATAATAAATAAATAATGAGTAGATAATGAAAGTATTCTGAATGCGGAAACAAAGAAGTCGGTACCCTCGACCACAACTAGTTGGCAACGACAACGATACGCAGACTATTCCAATCCGAGCGCCTACATCCTCCTCAGAGGGTTCACGCCCCCGCCGGCGCTCACCGTACCCAAGTTCGTCGCGCGTACACCAGCCGTGTTGGGTAACCCGCTCCCCGGCGGACCTGCTCGCGTACCCGCTCCTGCTGGCCCTGCTGCTCCGTTCGTCGGTGGCCTTGACAGATGCGGCGAGGATTGGTGCATCGTCATCTGTGGCCGCGTCGCGTTGGTTCTCGCGTTGGTCGGCGTCGCGCTGCCTGCTGTTGTGTTTGGCGGGACGTTGCCGCCTGTGATGCTGTTGCTGCTGTTGCTGTTGCTGTTGCTCTCGTCAATCAGCTTCCACTTGCCGCTCCACATCCGCATCAGCACCCGGCCCAGCTCCTCAGACGTCACCGCCTTGCCCGCCCGCACAAACTCGATCGCCTCTTTCTCCTCCTGCTCGGGCGTGCTATCGCGTCCCGGCACCGCGCTGAACGACCACACCATCTTCGCGCCTGCAATCGGCTCGCCCAGCCCGACTGAGTTCGCCATCACCCGCACCCGCACCCGCTCAATCGCTTCAACAGCCGGGTCCCGGTACCGCTTCACGTTCTTCAGCTCTTTCGACAACGAGTCGAGCTCGCGCTGCGCGGCTGGGCCGCCGGCTGCGGCAGCCAGTAGCGCTGACGCCGACAGCTGCGACGACGAGGTTTGCTGCTCGCCGCTCCTGCTCGCGCCTCCAGGTGAGGACGTAGATGAGGCTGAGTTGGACTCGTGCTGGTGCTGCTTAAACATGTACCGCTGCTGCGCGTGCGTACTTCCCTCCGACGCAGCCGCGGCGGCCGCTATGTCGGCCAGCGACGCTCCTGCCGGCATCTTTGGGAACGCGTCCGTGTTGGCGACTGCCGCGACCGCTGCTGCTGCTGCCGCCGCTGCTGCCGCCGAGGCCTCGGCGTCCGTTATGAGATGGGGCCGTGGCGAGTAGGCCGCTGTCGCGGACGGGCCTGGCGTAGGTGGCGTCGCTTGTGACTGCGTGTGTTGCTCTGTCTGCGTCTGCTGTGTGGTGTCTGTTGTGGGGTGCATCGCATGCTGCGTTGGCACCCATGTCGACGAGTTCGAGTCCGCAGACGACGAGAGCACCGAGTGCGGAACGGTCAGTTCTCGCGCGGCGGCCTGCGACGCTGAGATGTGGGCCGCGCTCGGCTGCGGCTGGGATGGGTTGAACCGCGACGAGCCCGCGCTGCTGGCTTGTTGGTCGACCAGGAAGCGCGACCGGATCGCGGGGTTTGAGTCCACAGACCCGTCTGGCTGTGTAGGTGTAGGGATCGGGTCTTGCATCCCGCGACGTAGTTCTGCTGAGAGACTTGTTTTCTCGTCCGCTTGCTGCTGCTGCTGCTGCTGTTGCTTCTGCTGGTCTTTAGCAATTGTATTGGCTGCCTCATCGACGGCGTTGAGAAGCGCGGACTTGTTGTTCGGATCGAGTTGTTTGGTAGAGTTGACGGGCGAGGCCAGGAGTGACTGCGAGCCCGAGGCCGGTGCTGAGGTCGACGACGCACGCTGCTGCACGCGATTGAGCTCCGAATCGGCTTCAGACATGAACGCCGCCGACGCCTTCTGATCGCGTTCGATTCCTGCAAACGTCGATAGCCTGCGCGGAGGCACCTCGATCGAGAGACCTATCTCGTCCTCTTCCTCCTCCTCCTCCTCCTCCTCCTCGTCGTCAGATTGTCCCTTTGCTGTAGTCGAGGATGTGTTGCCGGACTTTTTAGAGTGCTTGTCAGGGTGTTTGTGCCGGCGAGACTTGGGCTGCGCGGGCGTGAGCGCCGAGAGCGTGCGCTTACCCGCGACCAGATTGACCCGCGAGCCTTTGCGTCCCGTGAGCGCGAGGCCCGAAGCTGACCTCCGCAGCAGCGCATCCGACGACTTTGACTTGCGCAGCGCGTCGGCCTGCTGCGCAAGCTGCTGCGACTTGACGCCAAACTGGCCCGCCAGGCCCGCGTGCGGAGGGATGAACCCGGGAGGCACTTGCGCGGCCGGCGACTGCTGCGGGGGAGTCATCTGCTCGAGACGGTTGAGCCGGTTGAGGTTCTTGCCGACGGAGGCATTGCGGTGGTGTGTCCCGACGACGAAGTGCTTCGAGCTCGTGCGCTTAAGCTGCGCACCGGATCCCGCCTGCTGCTGCTGCTGCTGCTGCGCCTGCGAGGAGGACATTGTGCTTGCTGCGGTGGTGCTCGGGGCCGGGGCGTGTGAGCCCTGGCCGCAACGAGAAGGGCAGGCGTAGTCCACGTGACCGCTGCTCACGTGCGCTCTAATCACGTGCCTGATACGTGTCATTATTTCTGGCGCCACTGGAACCCTTTCGAAGCCATGCGGCGTTGCGGTTGCGTCGATGCCACAGTGGCCTTTTCGCGTGTACTTAAGCCCGCGCTGCCCCCGGACGCTTTTGTTTCTGTTGATTCCGATACCATCTACTTCTATTCCACACACAATGGCTGGACCATCTAGAAACACAGTCTTCTGGTCGCTCTTCGTCTGGGCACTCGTGCTCGTCGTCGCCCCGTTCGCCCTCCAGGGTGTGAGCGCTGACGACACCGATTCCTATGGCACCGGTAGGTCCCTGTTTTTCTCTTCTGAAGAATATAGAATACATTACTAACTTCCCCAGTCATCGGCATCGATCTCGGAACTACATACTCCTGCGTCGGCGTCATGAAGGGCGGTCGCGTCGAGATCCTCGCAAACGACCAGGGCAACCGTATTACTCCTTCCTACGTCGCCTTCACCGCCGAAGAGCGTCTCGTTGGTGACGCCGCTAAGAACCAGGCCGCCGCCAACCCCACAAACACAATCTTCGATATCAAGTGAGTCTTGATCCTATTCTTCTCCTCTTTCTAATTGATCCTCTCTAACAAGTACACAGGCGCCTCATCGGCCGCAACTTCAACGACAAGGACGTCCAGGCTGATATCAAGACCTTCCCCTTCCCCGTCAAGAACAAGGACTCCAAGCCCGTCGTCCAGGTCAAGGTCGGCGACGAGGAGAAGACCTTCACTCCCGAAGAAATCTCCGGCATGATCCTCGGAAAGATGAAGGAGATTGCCGAGTCCTACCTCGGAAAGAAGGTCACCCACGCCGTCGTCACCGTCCCCGCCTACTTCAACGACGCCCAGCGCCAGGCTACCAAGGACGCCGGCACCATCTCCGGTCTCAACGTCCTCCGTATCGTCAACGAGCCCACCGCCGCCGCTATCGCCTACGGTCTCAACAAGGGCGACGGCGAGCGCCAGATCATCGTCTACGATCTCGGTGGAGGTACCTTCGATGTCTCCCTTCTCTCGATCGAGTCTGGTGTCTTTGAGGTCATGGCCACCGCCGGTGACACCCATCTCGGTGGTGAGGATTTCGACAACCGCGTCATCAAGTACTTCACCAAGCTCTACAACAAGAAGCACAACGTCGACATCACCGACAACCTCAAGACTCTCGGTAAGCTCAAGCGCGAGGTCGAGAAGGCCAAGCGCACTCTTTCCTCGCAGATGTCGACCCGCATCGAGATCGAGGCTTTCTACGACGGCGAGGACTTTTCCGAGACCCTGACCCGCGCCAAGTTCGAGGAGCTCAACTACGACCTCTTCAAGAAGACCCTCAAGCCTGTCGAGCAGGTTCTCAAGGACGCCGGCTTGAAGAAGACCGAGATCGACGACATCGTCCTCGTCGGTGGATCGACCCGTATCCCCAAGGTCCAGCAGCTTCTCGAGGAGTACTTTGACGGCAAGAAGGCGTCCAAGGGTATCAACCCCGACGAGGCCGTTGCCTACGGTGCTGCCGTCCAGGGTGGTATTCTCTCTGGCGAGGAAGGTGTCGAGGACATTGTCTTGCTCGACGTCAACCCGCTCACGCTCGGAATCGAGACCACCGGCGGCGTCATGACCAAGCTCATCCCGCGCAACACCGCCATCCCGACCCGCAAGTCGCAGATCTTCTCGACCGCGGCCGACAACCAGCCCACTGTCTTGATCCAGGTCTACGAGGGTGAGCGTACCATGTGCAAGGACAACAACCGTCTCGGCAAGTTCGAGCTCAACGGCATCCCGCCTGCTCCCCGCGGCGTTCCCCAGATCGAAGTCACTTTCGAGCTCGACGCCAACGGAATCCTCAAGGTCTCTGCGACCGACAAGGGAACCGGCAAGTCCGAGTCCATCACCATCACCAACGACAAGGGCCGTTTGACGCAGGAGGAGATCGACCGTATGGTCGAGGAGGCCGAGATGTACGCCGAGCAGGACGCCGAGCTTCGTCAAAAGATCGAGGCCCGCAACACGCTCGAGAACTACGCGGCCTCGCTGCGCAACCAGGTCAACGACGAGTCCGAGACCGGTCTCGGCTCGAAGATCGACGAGGCCGACAAGGAAACCATCATGGATGCCGTCAAGGAGGTCCTCGACTGGATCGACGACAACGCGGCTACCGCCACCAAGGAGGAGTACGACGAGCAGCGCGACAAGCTGAGTCAAGTCGCGTACCCGATCACTCAGAAGCTCTACGGTGACGCTGGCGCTCCTGGTGGTTTTGATGAGGACGACTTTGAGATGCCTGATCATGACGAGTTGTAAAATGTTGTCTTTTTTATGCTTTTGTTTTTCGTTCGCGTTGCTGATAAATATTGCTAATTAATGTACTTTATATGTTACCTTCCAAAAGTCTCAACAGCGTAGAACTCTTGTGTTCTCTTTTTCTCTTCTATATACTTTTGTAATATAGTTCATTTTGATTCTTATATCTTTTGATAAACCAGAGCGCAGAAGGGCTCCAAACCGTAAGTAGAACTGAAATTACGTAGTCACGTGTATTGAGTTTACTCATTCTCAACAACTCAATTCATCTCAGCAAACACAACAGCACCAGCAATGCTCTCGATACTACGACAGCAACGCGCGTGTTTCTCGACGAGCGCGTGTCGGGCCGCAGCGGGCGGGATCCCGATGCACGACGGCAAAGGACGGGGCGCGGCGCCGGGGATTCCGCGGACGATGCGCGGGTTGCCGGAGAAGCGGCGGTTGCGCGGGGTGGATAAGATTGTTGCGGTATCGTCTGCGAAGGGAGGGGTTGGGAAGAGTACTGTTGCTGGTGAGTGATGCTCTTCTTAGAAAAGAGAGAGAGATAGGAGGCTGACGCTGAAGTAGTTAATTTGGCGCTGGCGATGGCGATGAAGCAGAAGCGGGTTGGCATTCTCGACGCCGATATCTTTGGTCCGTCGGTGCCCAAGCTGCTGAACTTGACCGGCGGCGAACCGAACGTGACCGAGACCACGAACCGACTGATTCCGCTCCAAAACTACGGTCTGAAAGCCATGTCGATGGGCTTTCTCCTTCCCGACGACGACTCGCCGATCGTCTGGCGCGGGCTGATGGTGATGAAGGCGTTGCAGCAATTGCTGCACGATGTCGAGTGGGACGGGCTTGATGTCCTTGTGCTGGATCTGCCGCCCGGGACAGGCGACGTGCAGCTGACAATCACGCAGCAGCTCGTGGTCGACGGCGCGGTGATTGTGTCTACGCCGCAGGACATTGCGCTGCTGGACGCGGTCAAGGGGATCAACATGTTTAAGAAAGTGAACGTGCCGATCCTGGGCATGGTGCAGAACATGAGCGTCTTTGTGTGTCCGAACTGCGACCACGAGTACCATATCTTTGGCGAGGACGGAGTGCCGAAGCAGGCAAAGAGGTTGGAGGTCGATGTGCTGGGGTCGGTGCCGTTGCATCCTAAGATTTGCGAGTTGTCGGATAAGGGCACGCCGGTCGTCATTGCGGAGCCGGAGAGTAAGAACGCGAAAGCGTATATCGATATCGCAGAGAAAGTTCTCGAGAAGCTGAAAAGTTCATAGAGGGTGTTATTTTATAATGAGATTTCATATGTACATAGTTTGATTGTAATATAGAGCTTCAACGACGCTTGTACTTGCGCGGATCCTTCCTGCTCATCTTGACTTTATCCCTAGTCCCCATCCCGCCTTCCCAGAACCCAGTAGACTTGCGATGAAACGAATGTCTACAATACGCGCAATTATCCGGCATATAATTCTGCTCGCGACTGCACATCCCGCACACCATCCTACTCGCGTGCTCGTTCACATGATCGCTATGCTCGTCGTGGCATTTATCGCACGGGAACACGCGCCCGCAGCACGAAAACCGGAACCACCGCGTCGACCGCCGGTAGTGCTGGCACGTTCCGTTGAGCGGCAACGGCGTGCCGGCTACGATCCCCAGTTTCTTCGCCGCCGCGGATTTCGACTTTGACACGTCGCGCGCAGTTAGCGCCTGCCCGGTCTCGTCCGACACGCGGATGAACTTGATTGACGGGATGAAGATTGACATTTTGCTGTGGCAGTTGCGGCAGTTTGTGCTCATCGTCTGCGCCAGACCGAGACCGGCGATCCCGGTCCCGGACACGGGCTCGGAGCAGTCGGCGCAGGTAGGTCTGAACGAGCTCGGAAGGATGTCGACAGCGGTGCAACCCAGCAGGTCGACATAGCCCAATCTTTCGGCGATGGGAGGGTGAACAAACTCGGTATAGAACGAGTCGACGGCGAGCACGCTGCTGCATTTCTCGCAGGTCTGCGAGTGAGCGCCCGAGTTTGCTGTCGACGCGTGCGGTCGGATGTCGCGTAATTCGGCCTCGGTCTTGCAGCGCGTGCACTTGACGACTAGGGATAGAAGCGTACACTCTAGCACCGCGACGTTGAGCAGTTTGATACCTGGTAGGTTTAATGCCGTCGCGTTCGCGGGAGGTGTGAATTTTCTCGCGTCTTCTTGCGCGCCTTGCTCGTCGTCGTCGTCGTCGTCGCTGACTCTGTTTTCGCCGCCGTTGTCTTTCAGTTGGGCGTCGGCAGTGTTTAACTGCTCCCATCCTTCACTGTAATCGACAGAGTCGTAATCGAACCCGTACTCATCATCATCCTCCTCCTCGTCATCGTCCAAAATATCCCACTCTGGAGGATTCCGGTACTCATCCTCTCCATCCTGCTCTACGTCTTCTTTCGCAGTGCTCTCGCTCCCTCCCGAAACCGCAAGTTTCCCCACATTCTGCACGAAAAAATTCGCATGCGCAAAGAGTGAAAACTCACCCCGCTCAGACGCATGCTTCTTGAACCCGTTCTCCGCCGCATCCTTGACTTCCCGATCCGCGATATCGACCTCGACCTCGCACGGCGCAAGCCAGTACAGCTTCGGCACCACGAGCGTGAACGATGTCAGGCCCGCGAGCGAGGCGGGAAGTTCAGATTTGAGCTGTGCCGGGGGTTCGAACGGGATCGCGAACTTGTCGGGCTCGTCGTCTTCTGTGCTCGTGCGGATGATCTTGGCTGAGGGGAGACGGACTAGGAGTTGCTTGACCTCGCGCTCGCGCCGTTTCTGGGCCTCTTGAAGTTGCTGGGGAGTGAACTCGGGCTCTGGCTCGGTCGTGGGTTCTTTGCTGCCGTGGTTGGGATCGATGCCCCACTCGTCAAAAGCGTTGTATTCTTTATTCTCTTTGCTCTCTTTCTGCTCTGCCTGCGCAGGCGCCGCCGTCGTCGTCTTTGCAATATTCACAATCTTAATCGTCTCCCTCTTCTGCGCCTTCAAAAACTCCTCCAACCGCCTATCCAGCTCCACAACCATCTCCACCAGCGACCGCGTGTACAGCCCGGGCTTGCTGATCAAGTCGAGAAAGCCATGCTCGATGTTTAGCGCAAAGCCGCGCGGGATGTCGCTGTTTGTCACGACGATCGACGGCGCGACCGCGTCGAGATCTTCGGGCTCGTCGTCGGCGGGCGAGAGCGGGTAGCGGGCGGGGATCAGGAGGGTGAATTCGAGGGAGTCGAGGTCGAAGGGGAATTCGGGATCGGAGGGTTTGAACGCGGTGTGGATTTTGTCGCTGGCGGAGTTAGTATGGAAAGCTGGCTGATTGATTTTGGAGAAGGAAGAACTCACCCTTCAACTTCAGAGTAGGGGAACTTCTCAAGCACTTGAGAAATTTCTTTACTCCTCGGCGTCGAGTCGTCTACGACAACCGCTGGTTTCACAGACTCGAGTTTCTGGTGCTTGTAAGGACATTCGCTGCCACGCTGACACCCTAAGCACATGTAAATGTCAGTCGTCTCAAGCTATAAAGAAGGAACAAAGAAGACGCACCAGCTGGCGTGTTGTAGAACCGGCAGATAGTGTACCGAATCGGCGTCAGCGACGGGAAATTCAAAGCCATCTTCTCCTTCGCTTTATGTTGAATCCGTATGAACATCTGTTGAAGATTCGAAGAAGAGCAAAGCGATTAAAGATCACGTGAGACGCAGAGATCTCCGAGGAGCCAAATCTTGAAAAAGTGGGTTTGGACCAAGTTCATCCGTTCCACGCAAAACAAAAGAAGGAGCAGCGAAAGAAGATGTTGTCGATATTTGGATCTAGTGGGAGACTACTGCTGCGGTCGACTACGACTATGCCGACGACCGCGAGCTCGGTGTTTAGGAGTTCGAGTGTTTTGTTTCCGCTTTCGAGGACTAGATTGGCGACTACGGCTATCACTATCAACAGCATCAGCAGCCTACGACGATTCACGACAACCCCTCACAGAAGCGCAATCGAACCCCCTCGCCTCTCACCAGAAGAAACGATCCGGCTGCAACAGCAAGCCGAAAAAGAAGCCAAAATCAAGCGCGCAAAAGACCATGCCCAGCGGATCCTCGCAAAAGTACCAGCCCGGTTCCGCCCGCACGCCGAGAAACTGCTGACCGAACCCGGCTCGTTTGTCTTTTGCTTTCTGATCCTGCACGAGCTGTCGGCGGTGTTGCCGCTGTTTGCACTGTTTTGGCTGTTTCAGTATCTGGATTGGGCGCCGCCGTTGCCGGACAACTTGATTGAGAAGGGCACCGAGTTTTTCTCGAAAGCGGTCGAGCCGGAGAAAATCCCGGCGGGGGCGGCGGGGGCAAAGTATCTTGCGCAGGGAGCTACCGCGTATATTCTAGTCAAAGTGAGCTTCTATTCATCGTCATCGTCCTCATCTCTCTCTTCTATGCTAATCCGGCGATCCTAGTTCCTACTCCCGGTCAGAATCCCGCTCTGCCTGCTCGCCACGCCATGGCTGGTCCGGAGAACAATCGACCCCATCAAGGAAGTCTTCCGGCTCAGACGAGCAATCAAGGCCCACAAACAAGGCCCAAAGCTGCGCCGGCCATCATGAGTCTTTGTACATTATTATTGACTGTACATTACTACTACTGACGGACACTTACACAAACCCCGTCGCTGACATAAATACACAAACACCTCAGCGCTTACACGACGCGTCCGGGGACGCGTGGGACGCGTTCTCATTTAACTTAAAAAGGCAAAAATAAAAAACCTTAAAATCAATAAATCAATCAAGGGGCCTCCTCCTCCTTTCACCGTCTTTTCCTGCTCTCCTTCTCTCTCTCCTTCTCTACACCCCCCATCCTCTACCCGATTACTATACAACATGGCCTCTGAAGTAGACCATCTCGCTGCTCTGGCTTCGGATCCCTTCGAGCCACAGACACCTATCGGCCGTCGTCGTCGGCCGTCGGCGAATCCGCCCTCGTCCGTGGGCGGGGCGCCGAGTTCGTCTGTCGGTGGAGCGCAGCAGCAGCAGCAGCAGCAGCATCCTACCTCGTCGCAGGCAGGCGAGGAAGACTACGCTGCTGACGCGGAGGAACGTCCGCGGCGCAGGTTTGATAACGCGATTCCGAAGCTGGTTGACAAGACCGGCGAGGAAGTCGGCGAGACGTTTCGCGAGTTTCTCGAGACGTTTGTGGATCCTGCGTCCGAGTTGGTGGGTGGTCAGCGCGAGCTGTATTATATCCTTCTGATTCGGGAACTGAAGATCGAAGACCGATCGACGCTGTTTGTGGATTACGCGCATCTGGTGACTGTGCATAACGGCGTGCTCGCGCAGGCGATTACCGAGCAGTATTACCGGTTCCAGCCGTTCCTCCTGCGCGCGCTGCACAAGCTGATTGCAAAGTACGAGCCTAGTCTGGTATACTCCCAGCAACAGCACGGCTCCGGCAGCAGCACTGCGGCCGGCTCAACCTCGCTCGGCCGCACTAGTACGGCGTCGAACGCATCTAAGTCGAAAGCGAACGAGAAACTGTTCCAGATCTCATTCTACAACCTCCCGCTCGTGCAGCGCATCCGCGATCTCCGCACCGAGCGCGTCGGCTGCCTCATGTCGATCTCAGGCACCGTTACCCGCACGTCTGAAGTCCGGCCTGAGCTGTACAAGGGCAGCTTCACGTGCGACGCATGTCACGCGGTCGTCGACGACGTCGAGCAGATGTTTAAGTACACCGAGCCTACGATCTGTCCGAACGAGACGTGTCAGAATCGCACGGCGTGGAGTCTGAATGTGCCGAGCTCGGCGTTTGCGGATTGGCAGAAGGTTAGGATTCAGGAGAATTCGTCGGAGATTCCTACTGGTTCGATGCCCCGGACGTATGTTCCCCCCCACTTCTCTCCCTTCTTTTCTTGTGAAGAAAATACTAACAGCGCTGTAGAATGGACGTAATCCTCCGCGGCGAAATCGTCGAGAAAGCAAAAGCAGGCGACAAAGTCGTCTGCGTCGGCACACTAATCGTCATCCCCGACGTCACGCAACTCGGTCTCCCCGGCGTAAAACCCGAAGCCACGCGGGACGGCCGCAACGCGCCGCGCTCGACCGAGGGTTTGAACTCGGGCGTGTCTGGGCTAAGGTCGCTCGGCGTGCGGGATCTGACGTATCGGCTTGCGTTTCTGGCGTGTTTTGTGAATTCGGCGGATGCGAAGGATTCGGGCGTGGCTGATGTGCGCGGAGAGGGGGATCAGGGTGAGCAGGAGCAGGAGGAGTTTTTGAACTCGTTGAGTCAGGAGGAAGTTGATGAGTTGAAAGCGATGGTGCGGGCGGACCACACCTACGCGAATCTGGTGGACTCGATCGCGCCGTCGATTTACGGGCACGAGATTATCAAGAAGGGAATCCTGCTGCAGCTGATGGGCGGCGTGCACAAGACCACGCCGGACGGGATTAATCTGCGCGGAGACATCAATATTTGTATCGTGGGCGACCCGTCGACGTCCAAATCGCAGTTTCTGAAATACGTCTGCAGCATCCTCCCGCGGACGGTGTACACCTCCGGCAAGGCGTCCTCTGCCGCCGGTTTGACTGCCGCGGTGGTGAAAGACGAGGAGTCCGGCGAGTTCACGATCGAGGCGGGCGCGCTGATGTTGGCGGACAACGGCATCTGCGCGATCGACGAGTTCGACAAGATGGATATCTCTGACCAGGTCGCGATCCACGAGGCGATGGAGCAGCAGACAATCTCGATTGCGAAAGCGGGGATCCACGCGACGCTGAACGCGCGCACGTCGATCCTGGCGGCGGCGAATCCGGTCGGCGGGCGGTATAACCGCAAAATGTCACTGCGGGCGAATATCAACATGTCGGCGCCGATCATGTCGCGCTTCGACCTGTTCTTCATCGTGCTGGACGACTGCAACGAGCGGGTGGATACGATGCTCGCAAGCCATATTATCGACATCCACCGCCGCCGCGACGAGGCAATCAACCCGCCGTTCTCGACCGAGCAGCTCCAGCGATACATCCGCTACGCGCGCACGTTCAAGCCCAAGATGACGAAGGAGTCGCGCGATCTGATGATTGAGAAGTACAAGGAGCTCAGATCCGACGACGCGCAGGGGTTGGGACGGAATTCGTACCGGATCACGGTCAGACAGCTTGAGTCGATGATTCGTCTGTCGGAGGCGATTGCGCGAGCGAATTGCGTGGATGAGATTACGCCGGCGTTTGTGAGGGAGGCGTTTAATTTGCTGAGGCAGTCGATTATTCATGTCGAGAAGGATGATGTTGATGTTGATGAGGAGGATGAGGATGAGCAGGACGAGACCCCGCAGAATGCAGAGGTCGAGCAGCAGCCACAACAGCAGCAGCAGGAGCAGCAGGAGCAGCAGCCCGCGCCTACTCACACAAAGCAAAAACTAAGCTACGAGCGCTACACCTCCATCGTCAACATGCTCCTCCGCCGCGTCCTCGCCGCCGAATCCCCCTCCTCCCCCACCTCAAGCGAAGGCATCTCCCGCGACGAACTAGTTCAATACTACCTCGAGCAACGCGAAGACGATCTTCACTCGGAAGAAGACTTTGAGTTTGAGCGCGCGACGGTGAAGAAGGTGATTAGACGGATGGAGAAGGAGAGTTTGTTGATGGGGATTCGCGGGGAGATTCGCGAGAAGGAGGGGGAGACGCCGTTGGTGCAGACGTTGTATGTCGTGCATCCTAATTGCTCTATTGAGGATCAATGATTCTCTTTTTTTTAAGTTGTGTTGTGATTTGGTTTTGCGGTTGTGTATGTTATGTTTACGGAAAGGTCGTTATGGTTGTTTATATTCCTACTAGTTTTCATATAATATATCGTTAGTTATCATTTTCTTATTCACAAAAACTACGTCACGCTATATGCATCGCATGGACGTCCTCCAGGGCTCGAAAACATCCGGAGACGTAGTTGGTGCAGACGTATGCCGTGCATCCTAATTGCTCGATTGTGGACCAGTAGTACTCTTTCTTTACTGTTGTGTTGTGGTTTAGTTTGCGGTTGTAGGCTATGTTTTGTTATGGATAGGTCGTTAGGTTGTTTATATCACTACTATTCTTCATATAATATATCGTTATCATTTTTTATTCACAAAGACTACGTCACGCATTTATGCATCGCATGGACGACTACAGTTCTCGGAAACATCCGTCTTCACCCCACTCGCCTACGATATCAGTCGCGACCCAATCACGACCAATCGCCGCCGGTCCTCGAACAAACAACTAAAAACAAATCGTCAGTCACCACGCTCTCTCCACTCAACTCAAAATAAAAAAAAAAAGAACTCACCTGCCCACGTCTATCAGCCCCCTTCAAAGTCTCAACATCTCTAACCATCGCCTCAAGACTCGGCATCACGGACCCAAAATTTCGCACTTTCCCCAGATCCCTGTAATCCAACAAATGCGTCTGACAAATCGCGCCCGCGACCTGCGCGTGCGTCAGCGCGTAAATCACGCGCGCGCCGAGCAGCGCCCGGATCTGCGTCAACTGCGTCGACGTCAGCGAGGTTTCTTTCGGTAGGGTCGCGGGGGTGCTGCTGGCGCGGGGAAAGGCCGAGGTGAGGAGCGGGGGCTGGTCTTCGTGCGTGTAGAGGATGCGGAGGGAGGCGTATTCTGGGATGACGGCGGAGGGAAGGGAGCCTTGCGCGAGGAGACCTAGTGCGCGGCGGAGTTTGAAGCCGGTGTGGAACGAGGGTGCGAATTCGCACATTTTCAGTAGCGTGTTTGCGGATCTTATAATCTCAGTCAGCATCAAAGCATATCTCTAGAGAAATGGGGGGGGGGGGGGGGGGCGTACGCGATCAAAACGGTAGGCTGGATGGACTTTACGACCTCGAGATCATGCGCGCCGCCGCCTGAGGTGCCGCAGAGGACTATGTGTGCGCCGGCGGCCATGCCGGTGAGGAGCATGATGCGGTTGTAGAGTTCGTGCCATGAGTCGAGCGGCGCGACGACGTCTGTCGTGCGTAGCTGTTCGTGCTGGGGAAGCGACCGTAGCTGGGCTGCTACTGCCGAGACAATGTTCTAGGAATTGTTAATAGTGAGCTTAGAATGACAAGAGAGAGGGGATGTACATGGTGAGCAAACTCTACAGCTTGCATTTTTCCGTCAGGAGTCGTATACGTCGCGACAAACGCCGGCAACCTAGCAAACGCATCTCCGTCCAGAACATCAACCTTCTCCTCGGCTTTATACCCAATCATCTCCGACAAGGTATGCACGCCCACCCCCCGACCCGCCAACTTCGTCTCCAACTGCTCCGTCCACTCCGCCACGTCCTTCGTCTCCGCATCCACCCCGCCTTTGACGGCATCCGACAAATCAAAGTTCTGCGGCACGAGCACGACGGAGGTTATAGACGCTGGAAGCTCGAGTGAGAGGAAATCGATAGTGCCGGCGTTGCAGACGAGCACGTCGGGCAAAGTGGCTGCCAGATGCGCAGAAAGCTCGCGCATGTCTTTTGTCAGCGGGACGAGCACGACCGCGAAGCCGTGGTTCGCGCACGCGGAGGAGATTAGAAAGTTCGCGAGTGAGTTGGGGAGGTACACTGCGACCTTAACAGGACTGCTACTAGCAGCCTTTGCAAACTTCAGCAACGCCGCCGCGATCGCGTCGACTTTCGGCGTGAGCGCAGCGTACCCAAGCACAGTCTTCTCCCCGCTCACGCTATCCACGACCGTCAAATCCCCCCTCTCCGCAAGCCCCCAAACATCCCTCAAATCCCCGTCACGAAAAGTATGTCCCTCGCGGATATTCAATCCTGAAATCAGCGGGTACGTGAACGGCGTCATGTTCGCGCGGTGCACGGCGGATTCATCCGGCTTGCGCACGGGCGAGATCGAGGTCTGGTTGTAGAGGGCGAAGGGGTGGATGTCTGGGTAGCGCTTCGCGAACCAGCGCAGGAGGACGAGGGTCGTTGTTAGGCCGGCGAGGCCGAGGGTTAGCGGGGGGAGGTTGAGGAAGGTCATGTTGGTTGTGTGGCAGTGAAGAAGAGAAGAGGAAGAGCGGAGAGGGAGCGGAGAGGTGGTTTTGACGATCGTTGGGATTAGTCAGGGATGAGTAAGTTGTGAAGTGCAGTGCTGCATGCGCGTGCAGCAAGGCTGATTCTACACTATACAGCAGATCCATCAGTGTTTCTGGTCTTTTACATTACAGGGAATTAAAGAATCAACAGAAACTGATGACAACCAGACAACAGACAACAAACAACTACAAAGCAGAATCCACTCGCTAAGAAGACACTCCACAAAGCCGCACGTGTGGAGAAGTGGAGTTGGAGTTGGTCCGAGGGGCAGTAAGTGTATGAAAACGGAAGTTGCTCTCTGCAACTGACGACTGACTACAATGATTTATGTAATAAGAGTAATGAGATATGTATGAATATGAATTCTTGCGCGATATAAAACAATGAAGAGAGAAAACATGTGTACCCAAACCTGGACGACAAAACCGCCTGAAGAACAAACAAATAATCAAATCAGAGCGAAAGAGAAATAAAGAAAAAAAAAAACCTCAAAACACTGAGAACTAGCATATTCAGATCATAAAAAGAAAACGAAGGATTAAAAGTGTAACCATAACCAAAGATTGAAAAAAGAAGAGAAGATAAGGAAGAGAAGAGAAGAGAAGAGAGAGAGGAGGGGGAAGAGGGGAGGATTAGTACTTCTCGACGCTCTTCTCGGTCTCCTCAGAGTCCAGGGTCTCGCGCTGGACGACGATCGAGTCCGAGTCCATCTCGTTGGCGCCGCCGGCAGCCTCGATCTCGACAGCTTCCGACTCGGGCTCGTCCTCGGGGATGAAGAGGTTGAGGAAGAGTCCCATAAAGGCAGTAACAGTGAAACCCGACTCCATGAAGATGACGATGGCGTCGAAGAAACCCTTGAGGCCCGAGTTGTCGCCTTCGTAGGTGAAGACGTAGGAGAAGTAGTCCGGGACGAGGATGGCGCCGAGACCCATGCTGAGGGAGCCGGTGAGGACGAAGCGGGTGCGGCGGGTGAAGGGGACGGTGGAGATGATGCGGAGGCCGGAGACGGCGACGGAGCAGAAGAGGAAGGTCTGCATGCCGCCGATGACGGAGTCGGGGATGGAGGTGATGGCGGCGGCGAACTTGGAGAAGATGCCCATGATGAGGAGGAAGAAGCAGCAGAAGTAGCCGACGGTGCGGTTGGCGCACTTGGTGAGCGAGATGACACCGTTGTTCTGCGCAAAGGTCGACATGGGGGTCATCGTCATGAGGCCGGCGAGGATGCCGTTGAGACCGTCGGCGAGGACACCGCCCTGGATGCGGGACTCGAAAGTGCGGCCCTCGACCTCGAGACGGGAGACGTCGCAGGTCGCGGTGATGTCACCGATGGCCTCCATCATGAGCACGAGGTAGACTGCGAGCATGGGGAGCACGACGGGGCCGTAGAGAGAGAGCTTGAAGGTGTGGACCCAGAGGAAGGTGGCGGCGGGGGCGGAGTTGACCTTGTCGGGGGAGAAGTAACCGCAGGCGGCGGCGACGATGCAGCCGACGAGCAGGCCGAGGATGACGGCGCAGGACTGCATGATGGGGGAGCCCCACTTCTCAAAGATGATGATGGAGACAAAGACGAGGAAGCCGAGACCGATGAACTCGGCAGAGCCCCAGGGGAGAGGGTGAGGGGCGGCGGTGGAAGGGCACATGGAGTAGAGACCGGTGGCGGGACGGTCCATGCAGGAGCCCGAGCCACCAGCCCAGGACTCGAAGCCAGTGCCGACGAGGTGGACTCCGATGAGGAGGACGGTAGGGCCGGTGACGAGAGGCGGGAAGAGCTTCTTGAGGATCTGAGGAGGGGTGAAGGAGAGGAGGACCTCGAGAAGAGCGCAGAGACAGGCGGTGCCGATGATGGCGCCGTATCCGTCGGGGCAGGGGAGCTTGTTTCCGTCTGCGTCAAGAGGGCAGGTGCCGTTCTCGTACATCTTTGCGAAGGCGCCGGTGGCGGCGGGGATGGTCGCGAAGGAGGTGCCGACGACCGAGATAAGACCGGTGCCGATGTAGTACTTTGTCTTGTAGATGTGGAAGCGGGTGATCTGGATGGCGGAGAGGAGGCCGCAGCAGATCATGGAGGCGGAGACGACGTACTCCTGGAGATCCGAGCCGAAGTTTGCGCCGGCGGAGCCCGCGAGGATGATGGGCGGGGAGATGATACCGGCGAGCATGGCGAGGGCGTGCTGGAAGCCGAGGATGATGGCGAGGACGACGGGCATTTTGTCGTTGAGGCCGAAGAAGGGGCCGGGCTTGCGCTCGCGGGAGACGAAGGGGATGCGGGGGGTGAAGAGGTAGGCATAGTCGTAGTCGCCGAGCCAGCCGTCTTTGGTGGTGATTTTGGAGGAGGCGCGGGAGATGAAGGAGGGTCTGGTGCGGGCGGCGGGGTGGGCGAGGTCGCCGGCGGAGGTGTTGTCGTCGTAGGAGAGGGCGGCGGGGGCGACCATGGTGAAGATGAGAGAGGGGGGTGTGAGGGAGGAGTGAGGGGGAGTGGTGGGATGAGGATGAGGGGAGGAAGAGAGGAGGAGGGCAGGTTATATAGAGGAAGGTGGGTCCAGGGTCTTGAGTACGGACGAGGGTCGGGAAGAGGGACAGCCGAGAAGCTTTGGGAGGGCGGATTAAGGTTTTGAGTCGCCCGCACGAGCCCGAGATAAGTTGATATCTGGTGAGTGTCTGGTGAGTGGTTGTTGGATGTGGTGTATGTTGTGTGGTGTGTATATGTATTGTATATTATAGACTGTATCTGTATAATACATCTCTACTCACCATCATCTTTCTCTTCTTCACCTCTCCTCCTGCTGCTCTGCACATCGATCTGGATCCGATACACACTGCGGCGCGTGGCGTCCATCTCAGAATTCAAAATTTGCACTTTGAGCAGAGAAGAAAGTACAAACTCATTGCCTCAACGCTAAAAACGCCACCAACTGGCTCGACGCCTTCCACTTCCGCACATCGACGACGGCGACGGAGGAGGGCGTAGACTGTATATTATGATCATGAACAGTAGTTGTTGTTGTTGTTGTTGTTGTTGTTCTTATTCAACAGAGGAATACCAATGCTCAGTAGTATACATCCTTATCTCCAACGAATCACCCGCGTCGACGGCAAAGATAGCGAAATTCATTATCCGACGACGAGGCCAAACCCGGCGCTGCACTTTTTTTTTCTCATTAATTTCCAAACTTGTCCTCGTCGGAGTCCACCGCCGGCTTCTTCTTACTATTCTTCTTCTATTCTACTATTCTTCTATACTCTTTCTATATTCTATCTACTCTCTATAACTTAGTCAACCGAGTCATCACTCTCATGCATTCTATTACCATCCCCCCGGAGCTGTCCTGGACTTTGCTAAAATCACCTCTGCGCTCTCCGACGCTCTTCGCCGCCATCCCGCTCGCGCACCGTCCACCTCCGACGTACCTCTTCTTCAACCGTCTGACGATGTCTCTGTCTCTCATTATCCCTCGTTGCCACTCATCCTCTTCCAATCCACTCCTGATCTGCTTTCAGTCAGGCGGTTCTTCCAGCTGCAGTCTTTGTATAGCTCTCATCTCTGTAGTCACTCAACCCTGTCTAACTCACAGTAATCCCAGTCTCGCCGACAACTATCTCTCTCCACTTCTTCTCATCCCCCTCCTCTCGTCTACGCCAGATCCCTCCGAACTCGCCGAATCCACGCTCGCTAACCACTCCTCCTCCTCCTCCTCCTCCTCCGACCTCGACCGGCTTCGTCGTCCTTGCCCGCCCGCCGTCGTCGACTCTCTCCTGCGCCACACCTGCACCGCTCCATCTCCACTTTCCGCTTTCGGTACTAGTCCTCACGCTCTTGTTCCAGAACCCTTCTGTCTTACTCTCTTGTAGATCTCTGCGTTTTGAAAACTGCATTCGTGTCGGTCGCTGACATGGCCGCGTCGCTTCCTTCTGTTCTCGCCTGTCTTGATCGTGGGGATGGCTTTGCAGAGGACGTTGTTGCCAAAGCTAAACTTCTCGCAAACCTCTCGCCCTCTGCTATAGAAGACCTCAGAGCGTTCTGGTCTGCCGAATACTCTCTGCAGTGATACTCTCTGATATCTATTCTTGCTAATCACTACTTCTACACCTATCTCCTTATTAAATCTCTTCAATCTCGGCCGCCGCCGCGCGCGTCTTATCCTCCTCAAGATAACCGTAGCGAGTCGTAGCCATAGCAGAGTGGGGGTTGCTGTCTCCGACTCACTGTAGAGCAGACGAGTCGGACTTCTCCGAGCCGAACACCTCCCAAACAGGAAACACCCAAACACGATCCTCTCTTGACTTCTTTGACTCGGCGCCCGTGCGAGAAGACCGAGGAGGTGGTCTGAGTCATTTATAACTCAAAAGTAGTTTTAAAGGCCTCGGCTTTGTCGGAAAGGGCGAGGGCGAGGGCGAGGGCGAGGGCGAGGGCGAGGGCGAGGGCGAGGGGAGGAGGGGTGCGGACGGGGCTGCCGGCGCGCGCCGAGTCTGCAGAGAGGGAGCGAGGGTTGATAGCAGTTAATTTGGATTGATTGAAGATAAGCATGAGTCGTTCTGATTAGTAGATGCTGCTAGTCTAGTCTGGCTGGTCAGAGGTAGGAGATAGCAGAACACAGAAGCCAGCGGCCAACTGCGACATCTCCATCTCCATCTCCATCTCCATCTCCAGCTCATCTGGCGCAGTGAGTGTGCACAGAGACACGGCAAAAAAACGCCACCACCGTCACCACACATCTCCCACACTTCCTCTCGCTCTATAAAAAATTTTACTCTTCGCAAACAGGCTTCTTGTTCGGCGATGCACGGTGTTCGACGCCTCCTCCGCAATCTGCCAGGGTACTGCTAGATGTAGGTTTGGTGGTGGTCTGCGATATAGAACTGTAAATGCGCCACCGGAGTGGAGATCTTGTCTGAGATGTGTGTGCGGTGTGCTGCGGTGTGCTGCAGTCGGTGTCTTGTGTGGTGTTCTAGAGCAGGAAGAGAGAAGAGAAGAGAAGAGAAGAGAAGATGAAGAGAAGATGAAGAGTTGGTGATGAGGAACTGCTTCAGACATCTGTCTACTCTCACTCTGCGAAATATAACATCACCCTCACCACCACCCCACCACTGCACTCCCCTCCACTCCACTCCACTACTCTCTCTACTCTACTCTACTCTGCACTCAACATATATTAAGCCTAACCAACCCCGGCATCAATCAACCCGCGATCGCCCGATAGCCCGATAGCGCTATAGTGCCTCGTTTATACTTCACCGCGATCTCGCGTAAGTAGTTCGCGTCGTGGAGGGTGGATGGATGACTGCAGGGTACTTCTGTTCTTGATAGCGAGGATGGGGAGTAGATGCTGCGATCTACAATCTACAATCAATCTGATCCTTCTACATCTCAACTACTCACTACTCACTACCCAACAGCTCTCTACACCTTGCTATCTACTACTACAACACCTCTACTGACAAACACATCTTGACTCAAAAACACCTCTTAGCTCTACACCCCGCCACAACGGCGCACCAACGGCGTACTCACAAGATCCATCGTTATCTGTCTTCCATCCCGATCCAGCTGCCCACCGCCCACCCTCCTCCTCCTCTTCCTCCTTCTATATCCCTCCTCTCCTCCTCTCCTCCTTCTCCTCCTCCTTCTCCTCCTTCTCCTTCATCATGTTGACTACAGCAAACACTACATCCCACCCCATCGCCAGCACCCCGCGGACTTGCGCAAAAATGCATGTCACGTGCGGGTAGTGATTATTAAGCGGTTGGGAGATGTGATGTCGTAGGGTGAGGGTTCTGTTATGTAATTTATTATAAAGATTATAAAGAGGAAGAGAGAGAGAGAGAAGAGAGAGAAGAGAGAGAAGAGAGAGAAGTGGTGGAGGGTGGAGGGTAGTTGCTGTGCTGTGCTGTGTGGTTAGTAATGGGTTTATTCGAGCTCAAGAAACAATGTCTGTTTATCGAGAGACAATGTCTGGTTGGTCGTTATACGTTATTTTCCAGATTCTCGTCAGAGTTGAAGATTCTCTGTCAGAAGGGAAGGTGAAGGGAGAGCCTACTCGATCTCGCGAGACCCAGCAGTAATTCTATCTTGTAATTCTAGTCAGGCCCAGCTGATTCATCATCATCATCATCATCATTCTACTTCAACTGATTTTTCTACACGCGCTATAAGCATTGCTGTTTATCTGTGAATTATCAAACTATGGAGTCCAGTGCGGTGTGGGATGCTAATACACGGTGCTCTGTATTTGTTGTCGTCATAATTGTGTGTGTTTGTAATAATCACCTGCTCTCTGTCTTTCTAAGTAGTAGAGTCGAGTATCTCTCTTTCTTATATACATGGAGATGAGGATTGACGACGACGCAATCTACACGGTCAAGTCGTTATGTTGCTGCGCCAGAGAGTATCTGCTCATTGCACAGTAGTCACTACACAACACTTCACTTCTGAGATGTACAGTATGAGAATAGTTACTACACAACTGACAATATCTGCTGCTCACGTAGAAGAGGGCAGGAAGCATCCTACAATCAGTCTCCTCCTCCTTATCAGTACCCCAAACACTCTCCACCTATGCCACAACCCTCCCACCAACCCGCCGCGATAAAGAGTGATAACGCCGGCAGCCATCCTCGCGCTAACCGCTTCGGGCTCCGGCGCGATAGTCCAGCGTGCGATTGGCTCTCCGGCTACGGCACAACCGCACAAACACCGCCGGCACCGCCTGCGCGCCTCTTTTCTCTTCCTCCTTCCCTCCCTCTTCCTTCCCTCTGCATCCTCCCCCAACAGCCCTCCCACCTCACATCACACTCTCCCGTCGCAATGTTGTTGCAGCCCATCGCTCAGGTCGCTGCCGTCGCCGCGGCTCTCCTCGCCCCGCTCGCCGACGCGGCCGCCGCCCACCCGGCATCCGTCTTTGCCTTCCCCAAGACCGGCGCCGCTAACCAGCACGACATCCCTTCCCTCCGCCCCGCTGAGGCCCGTCTTGTCTTTGCCGAGCGTCTCGGTGTCTCGCGTTTCCATAAGCTTGGATATCAGGTGGGTTTTTATTCTAGTGAAGTCGATAAGAGATGCCAGATGATTATATGAAGAGTGAGATGCAGAAGCAAGATAGCACAACAGAGAAGCACAAGTCATGCAGTGCTCAATTTTCATCAATCAAGTTGCACTCATCAAAGGAATCATCTCTGGAGGCCACATCATCTGGACTCTACAGTCAGAAAGAAGACAGAAAAGTTTAGAGCAAGCGACACGCAGCGATAACACAATCTACTCTGCATTCATCTGTGCACTCATCTCTTCATAGCATCATCTTATCGCATCATTATCTATCTCTCTCTCTCGAGTCACACTAACAACGTCACAGGGCCAAGACATGAAGGTCCTCGAGCTCGACCGCTTCAGCGGCGAGCACACCGGCCTCTGGAAAGACAAGAGCGAGAACGTCGTCGTCATCGTCTCCGGTGTGAGCAACACCAAGGACGTCTTCGTCGAGTCCCGCCCGGCCTTCTTCATCGCCGACACCCCCGACGCCGACTCCTTCTCCACCCTTGCCAACGGCTTCATCAAGGAGGCCCAGCAGCTTATCGGCGACCTCGGCGTCCGCGTCTTTGGCTCGTCCGAGGAGTCCTTCATCACCGTCGTCCCCGACATGGACCTCTGTGTCCAGGGCCACCAGGAGTCCATCTCGCGCTCCCAGTGCGCTGCCGCTGCCGACGCTGACCTCACCAAGGACTTCACTCACGTCTTTGGCGAGGAGTTTGGCGCCGTCTTTGACGCCGACTCCTCCGTCGACGCTGCCTTCATGGACGAGGCTCTCGCCATGAACTCCTTCATCGAGGGATTCTCCCAGGCCGTCCGGTCCGACAACCAGCTCGCGGTCTTGTTCTTCAACGGCTTGAACTCCGTCATGCTCAAGTACGGCACCGACTCGATGCAGTACCAGGTCGGCTCTGCTCTCTTCGCCAAGCTTCTCCAGAAGCTCGCGCTCGAGACCTCGCCCTCGACCCCCATCACCGCCGTCCTCCTCCCCGGTGGCGAGAAGCAGCAGGTTTCGTCCAAGAAGGCCAAGCGCTCGCTCGAGGCCCGCGCCTTTGGCGACCAGCACTCCTCGCCCGCTCTCTCCGTCGGCATCCTCGCCGAGGCCGACTCGTACACCACCCAGGAGGAGTGCGAGATCATGACCAACTACTGCTCCGGCGGCCACGGCTACTGCATGGAGATGTACGGCCAGGAGGGATACTTTGGCTGCCAGTGCATCTCGACCTACGACGAGACCACCCGTCAACGAACGTACTGGGCCGGTGACTACTGCCAGAAGTACGACGTCAGCGTCCCCTTCAACATCTTCTTCTGGGGTCTCATCCTCTCCCTCTTGTTTGTCGGATTCATGATCAAGGCTATGGTCTCCATGGGCGCCGAGGAGCTTCCTGCCGTCCTGGCCGCCGCCACCATGGTCCAGACCAAGGCCTAAAAAAGATTAGAAAAGGGTTTGTGTACAGTTTTATTACTAAAACCACTTCTTATTACCTAAACTAGAGAAGGACTTTTTTTCATCATTTATACAGTTTTTTTATTATTATTGGTTTGTGCTTTTGTATGTTGTGTTGGCTTTTCCAAAGGGTTGCAGGGTTTTCTTTTTCTTATTTCATTCACATCTTCTTTCTACTATTTGACAATGTACCTATCTTTATATCTCTTTTTATATAAATGATGGTTTCACACGACATTTTTTTTTATTTCTTTTCATTGTCCATTTATACAGGTTTCCTCTTTTTTCTCTTTACTCTTTATTATTCATAATGTTTGTGTGGGTTCTCTCTCTTTTTTTTTTACATTCATGTTAACGCGACGTAATATTTTATTATTGATTTTTCTTTAGAAGATGAGGATGAGGACGAGGGTGTTGGTGCAGAGCGAGAAGAGGGGAAGAAGAGAGGATGGATGGATGGATGGATGGATGCAGAGAGGGTAGTAGAAATATCTGAATATCAACGCATTTTCCAAAAATTAGAAGAAGATAGAAATTAGAAGGGGGTGGGGAGGGGTGTAGATATAGGTGGATGATGGAGGAGGGAGGGAAGTTGCTCGTTTCCTCGACGCAGATGCGCGCGCCCTCGCTATCTTTACAGAATTTCTCACGTATTTTGAACCTTCTCTTCGTCCGCTTTTTGGTCTTATTCCGGAACGAGTTGCAATTCTAGTTCAAATCTGCTACTGTTTGTGTATTTGTTTGGGGGATGGAATGGGGGTATCTCTGCGAGACGCAGTGCTCTCGCGTCACGTATGTTTATGACTGGTGGGGTTGAGATAAGTCGTGCTTGATGAGATGACTGCGACTGTTAGCTCGTGTTTGAATCTTCTTCTTCTTCTTCGTTTTGCTCTTGCTCTTCTTTATCTTGTTTTGATTTTGGTTCTGGTTCTGGTTCTGGCTCTGTTTTTGTTGGAAATGGGATCGAAGTATCTACACGAATGCAAAGATCTCGCGTCGCGTATGTGTAACTGTCATCTGCAACGCTGGTCTTAAGGAGAAGAAGTACATATCTCAGTGAGAACTCGCGCGTGCTAAGATGATTGCGACTGCAACTGCAGAGCTACAGACAAACAAATCCACGAATTGGGAAAGAAACGCGGCTGTCACTGGATGAGAATGAGAAGGGCGCACAAAGTAGAGCTCTACTATGCATGAAGGTATACACGCTACAACACCACCCGCTCTTGAATGTATCCAGCACCTCTCTTATTTCCATCGCAAGAAAGAGAGAGAGAGAGAGGAGACATGCTGTCACTTTAAAAGAGCATAGCAGGGCTGAGTTTAGTTTTTTGGATGGGAGTAGAGACACAAACACACGCGGGTTTGTGAATTACCTAAAACGGCTACTGCTACCGCTACGATTAAAAGATGTTTATAAAATCAGTTGATGTTTTATTTGTCGGCGTGGGAGATAAGACAAGACTTGAGACTGGACTAAACTGCTAAAGACATTTTAAACGGTTTTAATAATTGATAAAGACATGCAAAATGAGAGGAAAGCAAGCAAAGCGTAAAAACACAAACACGCGGATTTGTAAATTTCGTATTACGGCTACGGCTTCATCTACAGTTGTGAGATTTTTAATAATGATAATTGGTATTTTATTTGTCGGCGTGGGAACAAGACAAAACATGAGACTAAACTAAACTGACAAAGACATTTTAAACAATTTGAATAACTGATTAAAGACATGCAAAAAGAGAGAAAAGAAAGCATAGCAAAGCAAAGTAATTAGTTAATCACCCTTGACTCCACACCAATGAATAATTCATAAAAACCCCAGCCGACAAACATCTTTTCACCGCTGAAATGATCACTCCTCAGTCTGCACCTCGATGCGCTTCGCAGTCGGATTCTCGACAGCCTTCGGCACCTTGACGTTCAAGATGCCGTTGCGCAGACTGGCGGCCACGTGCTCGGTATCCACCGGCGACGGGAACCTGAACGCGCGCTGGAACTCGCCGTACACGCGCTCGGAAGCCCATGTTGTTCCTGCGGATTTGGCGGCGGGCGTGAGGTCGGATGAGGGGGTGGTGGCTGTGACGGCTGTGGAGGAGGATGATGCAGTGGAGGATGAGGGGTCAGTCGGCGCGGAGAATTCCTGGGATCTCTCAACGACGCCCTTAACCCTCAACGTCTGCGGATCGACAAACTCGATATCCAAATCCTTCTTCTCAACACCCGGCAGTTCGCCCTGGAGAATAAACTCCTTCTCCGTCTCCTTCACGTCAAAGTTCGGCGTGCGCGAGAACGGCAGGTCGTTAGACGAGGACGACAGAAGAGAGGAGGCGAACGGAGATTGGAATTGTGCGGAGAGAGGGGCGGAGAAGAAGGGGTCGTCGAGGAGTTTGAAGAGGTTGCGCGAGGGGCCGAAGCCGAGTGCGGAGGAGTTGAGTAGTCTTGAGAGAGACATGTTGATGTTGATGTTGTTGATACTATCGCTTGATGTATTTGATTCAAAGACAGAGAACAGAAACAGACCAGAACAGCATCCAGCAGGTATATTTATATCCATCCCTCCCCCTCTTACTCAACACCATCGAAATTCCATCGCTTTCCCATCCTGATCCCGCGATCCGGTCAATGCCCTTCTCGCGCGCACGCGAACTTTCGGCGCGTTTCCAAGGGTCTCGTGGTATCGCCACTTTACGTCATTCAATGTGGCACGTGAGGTCGGTCGGTTCTTCTGGATCGCTGTTCTGTTCGCACCTGGAGCAGTCTTGTCATGAGGCCACAAGGCTGGCTATCCACGCTGCACCTCACGAATCATCTCGTCTCCACAAGATCCAGCCCCCTCGCTCCTTCCGGCGAGTAGACTGACTTCTTACGACGAGAGGATAGAACGAGGCAGCCCGCAGAGTAACATATAAGGAAGCCTAGCCTGGCTTACCCAGTCTTCCGGATAATCAACTCAACCTTACCTACAACCTTCATCTACGATCCTCCTAATCACTTGCGCTTCCACTATAACATCCACTTCCATTTCTACCCTTAATCATCGCTTATCCCCTCACTATGTCCTCCAACGACAACCCTTCGGCGCGCGACGACGCGACTTCGTCACAAGTCTGGTGCTGGCTTTTCCCTTTCTGATTGATCTTCTTGGTGATCTTTGATTGTGGAAGTGTGTAAGTTTGCAGAATGGCATGAGATGAGCACGATCTCAATCCTTCTCTCTACCGCATAAACTATGCGCTCATCTCTTCTTCCCTACGTAAATAGCAGGCTACATCAAACAAGTATGAGCACAGTGCATTGACGCATAAATCGTCCTGCGCATGTGAATAGAGCTGCTCTAGTCTACGCGGATATCTCGGAATCACGCAATTGGTTTGCTGGATAGTGCAACTAATGTAGAAGAGACGGTTTAGTAAAGTATTATTATCTAAATCAGATGACAGCAAAACAAACAGACACTACATCAAACAAATACTATACGAATAAATACACATCAATAAACACAACTAATTCCCCTCCGACCCAAAATCCGCCGTAAACTCATCATGTTTGCGAATATCATCCGCATTCACCGTCGGTCTCGACGACTTGACCGCCTTGACAAAGTCCTTGAACGTCAACGGCGGTTCCTGCAGCTGATCGCCCGCGATATCCATCCACGACATCTCGATCGCGTTCTGCTCGCCGGGCGAGCACGGCGTCAGTTTCTGCGTGCCGTCGCTGGCCTCGACCCATTTGAAATGCGTCGCCATCTGCACTTTCCGCACCGGCTGCATCAGCGCGTCGCGCACCGCCACCGCGATATCAGAGCCAGAGTACCCGTCCGTCATCTCGCCCAGCGCGCGGTAGTCGGCCTGCGTGAGCTCGCACGGCGTCGTGCCCACGTTTAACTTGAACATCGTCGTCCGCGCCTCGACCTCCGGAAGCGCAATGTAGATGCGGCGCTCGAAGCGGCGGCGGATGGCAGAGTCGAGTTGCCAGGGGATATTCGTCGCGCCGAGCACGAGCACGCCCGAGGCGTCGTTGCCCACGCCGTTCATCTGCACCAGCAGCTCGGTCTTGATCCGTCGCGAGGCCTCGGACTCGCCTTCGCCACGGGGGCCGCAGAGAGCGTCCACTTCGTCGATGAAGATCACCGACGGCCGGTTCTCGCGCGCCATCGTAAACAACTGCTTGACCAAGCGCTCGGACTCGCCCATCCATTTACTCACGAGATCGGACGAGCTGACAGAGAAGAAGGTTGAGTTTGCTTCGGTCGCGACTGCTTTCGCGAGGTACGATTTTCCGGTTCCGGGCGGGCCGTAGAGTAGGATACCGGCGACTGGTCGTCGTTTTCCCGTGAATAGGTGCGGGAACTTGATCGGTAGGATGACGGCTTCTTTCAGAGCTTCTTTCGCGAGCTCGAGACCGGCGACGTCTTCCCATTTCACATTGGGCTTTTCAGAGAGAATAGCGCCTGCGGGGGTTAGCATTTCCTATAGAAAAAGACGAATTGAAGACACGACATACCTGAGAGTGCGCTCCGTAGCTTCTTTGCATCCGCATCGTCGTCATCGCTATCATCACCTTTCTTCCTACACCACTGTCAGCACCACTCCTCACTCACTCAAATAATAGTAGACATACTTTGACTTGCCGCCACTCTTACCAGTCTCCTTCCCATTCGCGCCCACAGCCCGCTTAGATTTCTTATCCTGAGTCTCGATATAACTCTTCAACTTCTCCGCGCGGTCCATGTATTCCGCCGTCTTGCTTCTAATCATCTCTTTGTTCTTTGTGTTTTTCTCGTCTGCTGTCGTTAGCCATGCTCCTTGCTCCATATAAGTCCAGTCATGGAAGCAAAGGAGGAAAACGTACACTTCAAGGCCATCATGAAATACTCCAAACTGGCGTAGTACTGCTTATAAGCCTCCTCAAAGTTCTCCGCCGTATCGGCCTGAATCGCCTTCTGCACGATCTCGATGGCCTTGCCTAGGAAATCCGTCGTCGCCATCGCTGATTGCTCTCTTGCTTGAGTGTGCTGGTGAAGTAGATAGAAAGCGGGCGGTCCTGCTTTTAATGTGGCGAGTTGAAACTAAACGTCTGTCTGACTGATTCAACCTGAATAAGATCGCTCTAAGATAGATAGATCGACCTCAGATCCAAAACTATACTTTCAGCTCAACGGATTCAATTCCCGCACTCTCTCAATATTATTCTCTCTGTCCTCTTCTTCTCTCTGTTTATAAATACTCCCGCTCGTAGTATCAGCGACTCTCGCAATTCGCTGTTCTTTCTCTGTCGGACTATCGCTGTCTTAATACCCACGAAGCCAGACCCGGGGCCGAAAGTGATAAGCTCTCCCCCCGACGCCGCCGCCGCCGCTTTGCTCAGCTCACGTGATAAGTGGTCACATGATGTACTCTGATTATCAAGCAGGCTTTAATTAACAGACTAGTTGACTAGTTTTTGGCTTTTGAATTGTTGTAGTGGGTTTGGAGAGGAGGTAGGTTTGGATTGGAGGTGATTGGTAAGGATTATGGCATGTTTGGTAAGGATGAGGGAGTGGCGAGGGGATGGTGGAGTGGAGGTTGATATCAGAATCAGCGAGCAGCAACTGCTACGAACACTCTCTACTTTTTACAATGAACGTAGAAGTTCACATTTATTGCACCGCATCAAAACGCATGGCAGAGACATATACGTACCCCTCTCTCATTTCACATCATGCCCTCTCCACGAAGAGCTTCTTACCTCCTCGCCAACTCACTACAAAAAGACATACACAAACCAAAAAACGCAGACAAGCAGGAGATAAACAACAAATAGATAGATCAAGAAAAGTGCAGGAAAGAAAACAAGACCGAGCTGGTAGCTGAGACGTAGATATAGACGTATAGTATAAGCAATGGAGATGGATTTCGATAGCTGGTGGAATAAAGTAGAGTGAGGGAGGTTATGGGAGGAAAGGGACCGCGAGCAAGGGTAGGGAACGATAGAATCAAACAATGAGGACAAATGCGTAGAAGCGAGATGATTGATAGGACAAGCAAGGCTGAATGATTCCTGTTGACCTTGTATCTGACTCAAGACAAAAGACAAGAGATCAAACCAGACTCACTCGTCCTCACAACCACCTACATCCTACCCATCCTCGCATTCAACAAAAACTCTCAACTCTCAAGCCGCGCCGCTTATAATATCGTGCACACCTTCTTACTCTTCTTCGGCACCGGCGGTTCAAGCGCGGCCACGATCGCCTCGTCAAAGACCGACTTGAGCCCCTTCTGCGTGAGCGCCGAGCACTCGACGTACTTGACCGCGCCGAGCTCCTTCGCGAGCCGCTCGCCGGTCTCGTGCGAGATCGGATGTGTCTTTTGTCGGCCGAGGCGCTCGATTATTGTTGGGTCGTCGCGCAGATCGATTTGGGTGCCGACGATGAGGCATGGGACGCCTAGGAGAGTTGATTAGTTCTGCTTTGCTGCTGCTTTCTTCAAACAGCTACTAACAACACAAAAACAATCGAGACTCACCTGGACAGTGGTGATGCACCTCCGGCAGCCACTTCTCCTTCACGTTCTCAAACGAGGCCGGCGAGGTGACGCTGAAACAAACAAGGAAGACGTCTGTCTGCGGATAACTGAGTGGCCGGAGACGGTCGTAGTCCTCCTGACCGGCGGTATCAAACAGTCCGAGTGTGTATGGCTCGTCGCCGATCCTAGATGGGCAGATAGTATCTGGTTAGCTGCGTAGATATGAGAGGGCGTTGAGGTGGGGGGAAGTGAGGTGTACATTACGGTGACGGCGTAGTTGTCAAACACGGTCGGCACGTAGTCGGCAGGGAACTTATTTGTAGTGTAGGAGATCAAAAGACATGTCTGAATGCATTCAATAGTCAGTAACAACTTCAGATGTAGCAACCAGCAAGAACCAGAGCCAAAGCCAGACCTTTCCCACCGCACCGTCGCCCACGACGACACATTTTATGGTCTGCATGGCCTCGAGCGCGCAGAGCAGAGATGAGTGTAGTTAAAGAGAATAAAGAACAATCACCACAGCCAAACAAAAACAACAAGAAGAGCAGAAAAGAGCAGGCGCGACGAGGAAATGAGGAAGCGGTGGGCTGTTTGCTTGTTGTGTCTCTGCTTCACCGACTACGCGCTCAAAGGGGCCTCGTTACCCGGCCACATTTCCGCCAACTCTTCCTCCTCCTCCATATCATATACTCTCTTCTATACTCTCCTCTATACATATCCTTTATATTCGTATAGCTCTGTCTAGCCGAACGCCGTGAACCGCAAAAATCAGAATCAGATATACAGACCCAAAAATATCATGACAAAATCAAAATATCAACATAGTAAACAAATAGTAAAGTACAAGTTCTACGCTCCGATGTGCGCCGAACCCAGATCCACCCCTGTCCCAAAAATACCCCTCATCTCAGACATCGACGTCGTGAACCCCATCCGCTCCTGGTTCATCTCCGGGATCTTCACCTGCAGCAGCCGCTTCCACGGAATCACCACGCCGTCCGCCGGATCGTCCGTCGGCTCCAGACCTTCCAGCCACCCCTTGTACAGATCGTCGTCCTTCCACACCGACGCCATCTGCCACCGCACTTGCTCCGGGAAGTTGTACCCCATCGCCTGGATGTGCGCCAGTGTCCGCCGCACCCACACGTGCAGTTTAGGTGGCAGGAACAAGGCCGCCGTGCACAGGTAGTTGTGCAGCACAAACAGTGCGCCGGGATGCGTCCGGTTCAGCGCGCGGAAGCCGTTGACTATCCGCGCAATCATCACCGCAATCTCCGTCGTCTCCTGCGGATCCTCGATCGTGCCAGTTGTGGAAAGCGCCGCGTAGGACGAAAAGTAGAGCTTCCAGGCGTAGTAAATCACCATGATAAACCCAATCTCGCGCCGCTTGTAGATTATCGGCGGAATCAGCTCGTGATCTTCTTGCGAGAGACCGTGGTTCTCGGGAATCTCGTCGGTTTCAAACAGAGCGCGGTCAAAGGACTCGATCCAGGTCATGCTCCGCACGCGCAGGACCTCGATCCTGCGCACGGCGCTGTGGCCCGCGAGTTTTTCCTCGCGCACGTCGGCGCCGAACTTGCATACTTCGGAGAAGATGGCGCCCATGTCGACGATGTACTTGAAAATCAAAAGTTGCATCGAGACCTCTTCGTTTGTGCCGCAGATGGCAGACAGCTGCGCGAGCAGAGTGCGGTGGGTGTTGTTCCACTTTGTGTTGAAGACCAGGTAGTGGCCTGACAGCATCGCGCGTCGGACGTCGATCGTGCGCAGCCAGACGAAAATGTACATGTGGTACTGGTCGACAAAGAAGTTTTCGGGTGTGTAGTTTGTCTCTACCAGATGGAAGACGACGTCCTGGTGCTGGACCTCGTTCGAGACGTCGCCGAGATACATCTCGATGCAGGACAGCGTGAGGATGGCGGTCATGACGAGGATGTTTGGCTGCGCGAGCGCGTCGTGCAGACTGTGCACGCACTTTTCGTAGTACTCAAACATGTCAACCAGATAGCGCTCGCCATGCCGGAGGGCGTAGTGGTAGGACGTGAACGAGGCGAGCGCGTACATGAGCGGTTCACATGTCGGTGCGGCGTCGATGATGTAGGGGAAAAAGTCAAACGGGTCGAGCGAGAGGAAGTAGTGGTAGGGCGTGATGTGCTCGGCATGGTATTTGAACAGGCGCGCGATTTCGGGAGAGACTGTGCAGGCCTGTGAGGGGTTGGGTTGGGGGGTCACTAGGCTGAGGGGGATGGCCGAGGGCGTGATTGAGAGTTTTGTCGCGGAGGCGGGAGAGGTTGAGGAGGACGAGAAGGAGGCGGGGGCGTCGGTCGAGGAGGAGGAGGATACGAAGTTGGAAGAGAGTGATGGTGATATCGAGGAGACTGTGGTCGATGTGTTTTGGTGGAGATTTGAAGCTGGGATAGTAGTCGCGCTCGAGGGTAGTGTGAGCGGATCAGGATTCGTAGTGGTCACCTCGAGCAGCGCGTTGCCTCCAAAACCGGGAGTAGGTGCAAAAGCAGCAGCAGAACCATTCAGACCAGTGCTATTTGCATTCGCATTCGCAGCAGCAGCGGCGGCAGCAGCAGCAGCGCGTCGCAGTTTGCGCTCTTGAATGGCCCGCTGCTTCTTGGACATGGTCAGCCGCTCTGGAGGGAAGACGCATTCGCGGTTGCCTTTTTGACAGCGCTTGCAGTGAGGCCGCAGTTCGTCGCACTACAAACAAGAGGTTAGAATCATCACAAACACATAGAACATACAACAACAAACCCACCTTCACGCGACGCTTGCGGCAGGTGTAGCAACCAGACCTCGTGCGTCGATGCGAGGGCTGGGTAGCCGCTTGCGACGGGCCGGGGTCGTCGTCACAGCTCTTCTCGGCTGGGTCCATGCCAAAGACACGCGAGACTGAGCTGTCTGAGCTGGCTGAGCGACGGCAGGTTGGTTTGAGCGCGCGCAGACAGACGAATGCTGGACGGTCGGGCAGAGGACGAGCTGGTGATGATTGCAAACCAGAACGCAGCCGGGCGCGCGAGACGACCTCCGAGGCCAGGATAGTGTTGATTAGTCAGTGCTTATACTATCAGCTTACATAACACGCTTACCTAATCTATTACACTTGCCTCGGCACATGCGGGCCCAACCCCACGAGACGATTTAAATCACCTCGGGCCGAACGTCTTCCCCACAGCGTCGATATAACTGCTCCTCCGCGCTGTCGATGCTTCCTGTTCCTCATTCACTCCTCCTCTCCTCCTCTTCTGCTACTCCTCTACCCTTCCCTACTCTCTCTCAACCTACACAATGGCTCTCCGCTACGACGGCCAGACCGTCGTCGTCACCGGCGCTGGCGGCGGACTAGGCAGGACCTACGCCCTCTTCTTCGCCTCCCGCGGTGCAAACGTCGTCGTCAACGATCTCGGCGCCTCCACCAACGGCGAGGGTGCCTCCTCCAAGGCCGCCGACGTCGTCGTCGACGAGATCAAGAAAGCCGGCGGCAAGGCCGTCGCAAACTACGACTCTGTCGAGAACGGCGAGCGCATCATCCAGACCGCGCTCGACGCCTTTGGCGCAGTCCACATCCTCATCAACAACGCCGGCATCCTCCGCGACGTCTCCTTCAAAAACATGAAAGACTCCGACTGGGACCTCATCATGCTCGTCCACCTCAAGGGCGCGTTCAAGACCACAAAAGCCGCCTGGCCCGTCTTCCGCAAGCAAAAGTTCGGCCGCATCATCAACACCGCCTCCGCTGCCGGTCTCTACGGATCCTTTGGCCAGGCAAACTACTCCGCCGCCAAGCTCGGCCTTGTCGGTTTCACCGAGACGCTCGCAAAGGAAGGAGAGAAGTACAACATCCTCGCAAACGTCATCGCGCCCATCGCCGCCTCGCGCATGACGCAGACAATCATGACCGAGGACGTTCTCAAGGCACTCAAGCCCGAGAAGGTCGTCCCTCTCGTCGCCTACCTCGCCCACGCCGACACTGGCGAGACCAACGGCATCTACGAAGTCGGCGCCGGCTACGTCGCCAAGCTGCGCTGGGAGCGCGCGCAGGGCACTCTCTTCAAGACCGACGAGTCCTTCACTCCCGCCTCGATCCTCAACCGCTGGGCCGAGATCGAGGACTTCAAGGGCGCGCAGTACCCCTCTGGACCCAACGACTTCCTCGCCCTCCTTGAGTCCGCCAAGAACCTGCCTACCAACGCGCAGGGCTCGATCCCCGTCGACGTCAAGGACAAGGTCGTCATCGTCACCGGCTCCGGCGCTGGTCTCGGACGCGCCTACGCGCTGCTGTTTGCCAAGCTCGGCGCAAAGCTCGTCATCAACGATCTCGCCAACCCCGACGACACCGTCAACGAGATCAACAAGCTTTACGGCGCCGGCACCGCCGTTCCCGACAAGCACTCGGCCGAGGACGGAGACGCTGTCGTCAAGACCGCCATCGACGCTTTCGGCACCGTGCACGTCGTCGTCAACAACGCCGGTATTCTGCGCGACAAGTCGTTTGCGGGCATGACTGAGCAGCAGTGGGATATGGTGCTCTCCGTTCACTTGCGCGGAACCTACAAGGTCACAAAGGCGGCGTGGCCCTATTTCCTCAAGCAAAAGTACGGCCGGATCGTCAACACGACCTCGACCTCGGGCATTTACGGCAACTTTGGCCAGGCGAACTACTCGGCCGCAAAGTGCGGCATCCTCGGCTTCACCAAGACGATCGCGATCGAGGGCAAGAAGTACAACATTCTCGCCAACTGCATTGCTCCCAACGCCGGCACAAACATGACGCGCACGATTTTGCCCGAGGAAATCGTTCAGGCGTTCAAGCCCGACTACGTCGCCCCGCTCACCGTCCTCCTCAGCTCCGACAAGGCGCCGACCACCGGCTCGGTCTTTGAGATCGGCTCCGGCTGGATCGGCCAGACTCGCTGGCAACGCACCGGAGGCGTCAGTTTCCCTGTCGACCAGACGCTTCTTCCCGAGGCTATTCAGAGCAAGTGGGCTGCCATCACCAACTTTGACGACGGCCGCGCGACGCATCCCAAGAACACGCAGGAGAGTCTTGCGCCGATTCTTGGAAATATGGAGAACGTGTCTGGCGACAGTAGCAGCAGTGGCTCGTCCGTGCCTCAGGAGATGACCTTTGACGACTACGAGTCTTCTTACGACACTCGCGATCTTATCCTGTACAACATCGGCATTGGCGCAAAGGCCTCTGAGCTGCAGTATGTCTTTGAGGGAGACGAGAACTTCACCGTCATTCCTTCTTATGGCGTCGTGCCGTACTTGGCCGCTCAGCAGGCAGTTGATATGGGCTCTCTAGTTCCCAACTTCAACCCGGTATGTCATTCTGCACCTTTTTCTTTTTCAGTTCACTGGCTAACCTCCTCTAGATGATGCTTCTTCACGGAGAGCAGTACCTCGAGATCAAGTCCTGGCCGCTCAACACAGAAGGAGGCAAGCTAGTCTCCAAGCCGAAGCTGCTGGAGATTGTCGACAAGGGCAAGGCCGCCGTCGTCGTTATCGGCACCGAGACCTTCGACGTCGCGACCGGCAAGCCCATCTTCTACAACCAGTCCTCGATCTTCCTGCGCGGCTCCGGTGGCTTCGGCGGTCCCAAGAAGGGCAAGGACCGCGGCGCCTCGACTGCCGCCAACACGCCTCCCAAGCGCGCTCCGGACTTTGTCACGACGTTCAAGACCTCGGAAGACCAGGCGGCTATCTACCGTCTGTCTGGCGACTACAACCCTCTGCACATCGACCCCGAGTACGCCAAGGTGGGCAAGTGGCCGCGCCCGATTCTGCACGGCCTGTGCTCGTTCGGCGTGAGCGCGAAGAAGCTGTACGAGAAGTACGGCATGTTCAAGAACATCAAGGTGCGGTTTGCGGGCCACGTGTTTCCGGGCGAGACGCTCAAGATCGAGATGTGGAAGGTCGACGGAGGCAAGAAGGTTATTTTCCAGACGAAGGTGGTTGAGCGTGGAGACGCGCTTGCGATTTCGTCGGCGGCGGTGGAGTTGGTTGATGAGGGGAAAGCAAAGTTGTAATTAAATACTTGGGAAGTGATTGTTCTGTTTTATTGTTAGCCAGCAATGACAATACATAAATTGCAATATGAGTGTGTAAATACAGTAAGCATATGTAGTTACTCAATCAGGAAGCTGAACTGAACCTAAAGTGGCGCACCGAGGGCGGTGCAGCAGTTTATTGCTTAACACCTGCCATCCCCTCCTCCTCCTCCTCCTCCCACCACCCCAACAGCCATGGCGACCAAACGGGTGTTTTCGCCCTGCGAAATCGAGGCGCAGATAGCCTCAGGCAAGATGATTGTGATCTTTGAGAACCGCGTGCTGCGCGTGCCAGACAGCTGGCTGCCTCGGCACCCGGGCAGCGACAAAGTCGTGCTGCACATGGTCGGTCGCGACGCGACGGACGAGATCAACTCGTACCATTCCGAGGAAGCAAAGGATATGGCGCGCAAGTACCAGATTGGCGTTATTGAGGAGCCCTGGGTGAACATGATCCCGCCGATCCAGGGCGGCGTGTTTCGAACTGCAGAGCAGATCGCGGCCACGGAGGACGAAGGTGTGTCGGTCGGCGCCATGTCTTCGGGCTCGGCCACGAGTTCGGACGATGATGACACCTGCGAGAATGCTGCTGCCCGGCGGCGGGTCATTACACACAACAAGGGCGGCGCTACTGCCGCGAGCAGCATCGAGAAGAAATCAGAGAAGCCGATAGTAGTCGCGCCGACTGCGCGCGATGTTCCTACGTCTGAGGAGTTGTTTGCAAAGTACGAAGAGCAGCTGCTGGCCGAGGACCTGGAGAAATACCCTTCGCTCGACTACGCGACGCAGCGGTCGATTACGGAAAAGTACCGCGCGCTGGAGGAGAAGCTGTTCCGGGAAGGATACTTCCAGTGCACCTACTGGGGCTACGCGCGCGAGTGCGTGCGCTACGTCATGTTCGGCGGGCTGGCGTATTTTTTCCTGCAGGTAAAGTGGTACATGACCTCTGCCTTTTTCCTCGGCTTCATGTGGCATCAGCTTGTGTTTACAGTGCACGACGCCGGGCATTACGCCATCACGCACAATTTCTTCATCGACAACTTTGTCGGCGCCTTCATTGCCTCGTACGTCGGCGGTCTGTCGGTCGGCTGGTGGAAATACAACCACAACGTGCACCACTTTGTCACCAACGATCCCGTGCACGACCCGGATATCCAGCACCTGCCGTTCTTTGCCATCTCGACAAAGCTGTTTGGCAACGTCTTTTCGACATACTACGAGAAAACGCTCTGGTTCGACGCCGCCGCGCAGGTGTTTGTGCGCTTCCAAAACTACCTCTATTACCCGATCCTCTGCTTCGGCCGCTTCAACCTCTACCGGCTCGCGTGGCAGTACCTGCTCCTGGGCCAGGGACCTACAAAAGGCAGGGCCGCGTTCTGGCGGTACTTTGAGATCGTCGGCCAGTTTTTCTTCTGGTACTGGTTCGGCTACAAACTCGTGTACCAATCGCTCCCCTCCGCCTCGGTCCGCATCGGCTACGTGCTGATCTCGCACATCGTGACGATGCCGCTGCACGTCCAGATCACGCTCTCGCACTTTGCAATGTCGACCGCAGACCTGGGCGCGTCCGAGTCCTTTGCGCAAAAGATGCTGCGCACGACAATGGACGTCGACTGCCCGACCTGGCTCGACTTCTTCCACGGCGGCCTCCAGTTCCAGGCCGTGCACCACCTGTTCCCGCGCATGCCGCGACATAACTTCCGTAGCGCGCAGAAATCGGTGATTGAGTTTTGCAAGGACGTCGGCGTGCAGTATTGCATCTACGGCTTCGCGGAGGGGAATAAAGAGGTCATTGATCGGCTGGCGGAGATCGCGAAGCAGGCTACTATCTTGAGAGATTGCACGAAGCATATTAATCAGGAACTGCTCGCGACGGGGAAAGTCGATATGTAGTTCTGTCTTTGTGTTCTTTTTTTTTGTAGTTTGGGTAGACGGCATATTTACTGAAACAGTCATCGATGTTTTCTTATCATTATTCCTCTTTGTTTTTTATCTCCGTTTTTCATCATCTCGCGCTAGGTTAATAGAAGCAAAAATTCGTTGTTATAAAATATATACAGTGCCGCTCCACCTCTGTAGTCTTTCCTTGTTCTCTTTGATTATATCCCGTGATTTAACTGCATCTTAAATAAATACTCTAGTCTATTTCAATATTCGAATTAAAACTTGTACAAAGCGTGAGATACAGCGAGAAGGCGGGGTTGAGAGGATTTTTTAAAAATCACGCAGAATTGGGAGTTCACTGGCGTTGCGAACACTACCTGCCAATTTTTCTCTTTTTTCTGCATTTTTTTTTCATATTCTTTTGGTCGGTCTGTTAAACATCATGGCGCTATAAAAACATACCGACCCGCTATAACTACTTAAAGGCGAGATACGATTTTACAGCTTTTTTTATGTTGTGAGTGTAGGTGTTGATTTATGATCCGTATGAACGCGAAGTGGGTTGAGTATTGCTAACTCAGTACCAGCAACTCCCTCCGCGTTTGATAACTCGAAAGATATATAAAAATATGAATTATATTTATACTATTGTCTCTGACGAATCTACACTACTTCATACAAACTAAAAACAATAGAAAAATAAATAGAAATGGAAAAAATACCCCATCAGTGCACGCAAGCAAATTTTACAAATTAACCGCTCTCTTCACCCTCTCTGCGGTCGCGCCCATGATTGCGTTCTGCTCTGTAGCTTTCTTCACGCTCTCGACGATATGCTGCGCGTGCTTCGACACCGCAGGGTGCTGCGCCTCAATCAAATCAACCAGGAACGAATACGCGTAGCTCGCGGCTTCTTCGTCGTTCACGATCGGCAAAGTCGTGATCCACGCGTCAATGACCTCGTCCACGTTCGCGACGTGCGTGCGGTTGAATCGCAGGATCTTGGCGATCGCAGCAGACGCGTTCTCGGTCGCGTGCACGTTCTCTTCCGATCTCGCGTCCGGAACCGAAATCACCTGGAACAGCGTCGGGATCACCGACGCAACCGTCGCGCTGAACGGTTCGCCGCCAAACTGCGCCGCCACGCCTACGCCGTACGCAGACGCCTGTCGCAGTGTCGAGTCAGGGTCCATCAGCGACTGCGCGATCGGCTGCAGGAACATGTCCTTGTACCGCCACGAGTCCGGTCCGCAGAACTCAATCAGGTCGTCGTACACGCAGAGCGCAAACTCGCGGCACTCGACCTCGACCCGCGACGAAAACTCCGTCAGCAGCGGAATCACTTTCTCAAACGTGGGCAGGAACGACGACCGCTGCGCGTTGAAGACCGAGTGAATCGCCTTGTTCATCTCGCTCGCGAGCTCTTCGTCCGCAATCGCGTCCTCGGCCTTGTCCTCGGGATCATACTCCTCGTACTCGTCGTCCTGCGTGTCTCGTTGCCTGACGCGCGTCAAGAAATTCGACAGATTCGACTCCAGCGACGTGGCAAAGTTCGCCATGTCCTCCTGCGTCAGACAGTTGACGCCGACGGTCTCGATGCACTGGTAAAGCGACTGGTAGAGCGCCGTCAGCATCTCCACAAACATCTCGGACGAGGTCGCGTCCAGCAGCTTCTTGACGACCGCGCGCCAGTACTCGGCGAGTTTGGCCGGGTTCGAGTTCGACGACGCCTTGACGCAAGCCAGCAGATGCGGCAGCGCCTGCGCGGACGCAAAGCGCACGTTGTCGAGGAAGAAGAAGTTCAGCGACGGCAGCACGATATCGTTCAGCACCTCGGCCACGTAGGGCTCGAAGCCCGCGCCGAGCTCGGCAGCGTAAATGCTCAGCAGCTCGATCGCGGTGCACTTGTCCTCGAGGAAACTGGTGCGGATGCCGACGTGCTTGCCCTGCAGCGGCATAACATCCCACCCTTCTTGATCAAACTGCTCGGCCTCGGCCGCGTCCTCAATCACTTGGATATCAGGCTCGAGCTTGCCGGCTTCGAGCAACGGCGGCATGACGCCGCTGAGGTACGGCAAAAAGTCTGCGCCGAGCACGCGGCAGACGCGGCCCCAGGCCTGGATAAGGTACGAGGCAGCCGGGTCGTCGGTGTCGACGATGCCTTGCTGGATGGCGGCGTAGGTGTGGATGAGCTGGGCCGACATGGGCGCAAACATCTCCTTGCCGACCGCGAGCGCGATGAGCGACGAGCACTCGATGCACTTGGCCTTGAGCATGCGGTACTCCTTGCCCATGTCGCCTTGCAGGACCTGGAACAGAATCGGCATGATTGTGTCGTAGTACTTTGCAAACTTTGTCTCCGCCGCGTCGGCCACGATCGCAATCGTCGTGAGCACCTGCTCCTGCACATACCGCTTCGGGCTCTGCAGCAGCACAACCAGATGGCTCAGCAGACTGTCGAGGTAGGGCTCCAACCACTCTTTCTCGGCCTCCTCGGCAAAGTTGACGAGCGCCGCCGCCGCGTGCGCCTGGACTCGCGGCTCGGGTGTCTCGAGCGTCTGGATGAGCGCGGGGAGCACGCGCGCGCTGAAATCGCGTTGCAGCTCGGGCGCAAAGTCAGTAGACATCTGGCCGACGGCGTTACAGGCCGCCCAGCGCGCGCGCGGGTGCGGGTCCTGCATCAGCGGCAGGACCATGTCGAGCACCTTTGACAGCTCGCCAATCATGACCTCGCGACAGCCCTCGGCAAAGGACGAGATGGCCATGAGAGCCGCGTGGCGCTCCTGCCAGTTTGCAGACGAGATCATCTGCGGCAGCCACTGGAAGAGCGGCGGGAGGAGGACGTTGCCACCCAGCTTGAGCGCAAGACGATCGAGCGACTGGCGCGCGGCGACGTGCACAGAGTCGGCGTCGTCATTGTCGAGATCGTCGTCCTCGCGCCAGGAGGTAGCCTGCTCGTCGTCGTCCTCGCCGACTTCGGTCATCATCGCCAGCAGCTGCACGACCATCGACGACGCGTAGGTCGGCTCTTTCTTGCTCATTCCGGGGGTTTCCTCGGCAAACGTCGTCAGCAGCTCGAGCGCGCTCTCGCGCGTGGTGTCGTCCATCTCTTTGTTTTTCATGACGGAAATGCCAAACTCGATAATTGTCGAAAACATCGGGCGGAAGATCTTGGGCGCGAACGAGGCGAGCTCGATCAGCGGCGTCAGCGCATTCGTCAGCTTCTCGGTATTGTCAGGAGTGTTGAGCGGAGGCAGCACGTTCAGCAGATCGGGAAGCAGAGGCTGCAAGGTCGGCCAGGAGGACTTGGGGAGAGTGCCAAACAGGGCCGTGTAGGCGACGATAGCCGAGATCTGCACGTCCTGGTCGGGATCGTGGAAACCGGCGCGAAATATCTCGGCGACGGCTGGAAGATGGGGCTTGCTGATGATGTCGGGCGTCGAGGCGAATATCCGGAAACAGGCTTCCCGGAGGCCTGCGACGGGGCTCTTTGCAGCGTTGAACAGGAATTCGAGGAGTTCAGGCCATCGATCTATTAAATATCCAATCAGCCATCTCTTCGACCGAGATCATCAAATCACACAAAGAAAAAGTAACCAACCATTATTGCCGATAGTAAGCTCAGAGATGGTATCGCTGATCTTATGCCGGACGTCGTTCACGCTCTCATTATTCAAAGCCTGCAGAAGCAGCGACTTGACGGTCGCGCGAGCGGACTCGCTGAGCTGATCCGACATTCTGCTGGTGATGTTGTCGGTGCCCTCGGGTTGCTTCGAGGCGATCCTGCGGAAAAGCACGGCCGCGAAAGAACGCACCTGTTCACATGAAATCAGTATTCCCTTCTTCCCACCTCTCTCTATCTCCTCTCATAAAAAAACAGAAAAACACATACGCTAGGCTCAGACGCAACAACCGTCTGCTCCGCAAGCCCGACCATCAAGATCTCGAACCGCTGCGCGATCCACTCCTCGTTCAAACTAGTTTCCGCATTCGATCGCACGGCGTTGTCGGCCGACGTCAGACTCGCGAGCAGTGTAATCAGCGCGGTCGACGCCTCGGGTGGTAATGACGACATGGTTGGTGCTGTGTGTGGTCGTCGACGTGTGTGGGTGGGTGTAGGTGATGATTCAGTTGTAGACTGTGAACGAGGTTTCGTCGGAGGTCTTTTCGTCACTAATCAACGAGGCAAGAACAAATCACCGCGCGAGAACTGAATAAAAGAAAAAATAACAAAGCGCTGAAAAGTCGTCAATCAAATCAATCAACCTCTTTGCAGGGAATCGGTGTCTGTCTGTCCTTCCCGCTTCTCAGTGCAAAAACCGTGAACAAACGCAGCAAGAAAAACCCAGAAGAGCTGATCGGATCCCACAGCTCAGGACGGTGATTCCAGAAGAATAAACAAGATATCGCTCGAGCGAGAAAGCAGAGGACGAGGATACGGAGCGGAGGAGCAGAAAGGTCAATAAACAGGTTTTCTCCTCTTTCTGGTTTTTTTTTTTACTTTTTGAACTTTGTTCTTCTCTCTACGTGCGTACATCAGAACCCTTTTACACTCCGCCTTTTCACCACCGCGCGTGCCTGACGCGTTCTGTTTCTGCTCGGGTCTATTTGCAAATGACGATGGTATTAACGTTTAGAATATATATCAACAGAAGAATAGAAATAAAGAAGAGAAAAAACACCAGCTCTGTAAATCAACGTAAATCAACGTAAATCAAAATGTACGGTCTACTTGCCCGTCGCAGCCCGACTGAGCACAAACACAATCATAATCGACGCCGCAAGCGTCACCAGCGCGCCGGGAAGCAGCAACTCGTTCGGAATCCCGGGGATCGCGTCCTTGTCTGAACCCACGGCGCCGTACGAGTACCGCTTGTACCGCGGCCGCCGGACTTCGTCCTCGCCCGCGCCTGCGCCTGCGCGCGAAGGCGATGTGCCTTCTTTCGACGGCGTGCCTGGCGCGGAGGACGAAGGGGCAGGCACGGCGGCAGCAGCAGCAGCAGGCACCGGCGTCGAAGGCACGGGCGGCGGCGCGGGGACGCTGGGCGCTTCGTCGGGGTGGTGGACAAAGATGTCGACTTTACTGACGCCCGACTGTCGCGCGAGCGCGATGGCTTCGAGCAGATCCATATCGGACGAGACGAGGACGACGTCGCCTTCGTCGTCAACGTAGCTGATTGCAAAGCCGGCGGAGGAGAGGTTGCCTTCGTCGTCGTACTCGCCCGCGCCGCCAACCAGCGCAAGCTCGGCGCCGAGCTTTTGCGCAATCACGTCGCGCAGGGAGTTGAAGCCCTCGTCGGCAGGGTGGTGGATGCGGTGCACGCGGCCGCCGGGGGTCTTGAATTTGAACGTGAAGGAGGTCAAGCTTTCGTCTTCGCCGGCCTTGCTTCCGCCGCCGGCGCTGAGCATGACGGAGCGGTTGGCGAGCGTGGACTCGTCGGCAGCGTAGTGCGAGGCCGAGTCTGTCGGCCCGAGTTCAGAGTGAAACTCGTTTGTAGGCGACGGACCCGCGAACGAGGACGGCGCCGGGGGTGGGGACGACGGCAGCGCGCCGCCGAGGTCAGAGTAGGATGGGGTTCCGGCGCGGTGCGAGCTGAGGTGGTCGGAGTGCAGCGAGTCCGCGTCGTTGTCGAGCGACAGCCAGAATTTGTTCCATGCCGGTCCTTCGTTTTCGGCGGTCTGCATCGAGTTGATTTGCTCGAGCGTGGCGTACGTGAGCTTGAGGACGTCGACCATCCCCACGATCTCCGAGTCGTCGCCCATGACGGGCAGGTTGAGGTAGTGCCCGTCGTGCATCTTACGGAGCGCGGCCTGGATGCTCATTTCCTTTGGCGCAAAGTCCGGGTGCGGGGTCATGACGCGCACGACCGAGCAGCGCGAGGGATCGAGGCCGGCGGCGATGACGCGCAGGACAACGTCCTTGCTGGTGAAGATTCCCGAGATTGCGTTCTTGTCGGTGACGAGCACGGCGGTGGTGTGGTTCTCGCGCATGAGCGCGGCGGCTTCGCGGACGGACGTGCGGATGTTGACAAACGTGGGCGGGTTGCCGTCCAGTACGGACTCGAGGCTGGGGCCCGACATCTTTGTGCGCAGGGCCTCGACGTACTGGATGATCTGGGCGGGCTGGGACGCGCCGAGCTCGGACTGGACGCCTTCGAGCGCGTCGTAGAGCTTGCGCGAGGACTGGTACGCGCGCTCGAGTTTCTCCATCGCCTCGTGGAAGCACTTTGTGATGTCGAGCACGCCCGAGATATCCTGGTTCTCGTCCATGACGGGTAAATGGCGAAACCCCTTGCGCACCATGAGATCGAGCGCGTCGGTAGCAGACGTATCTGTGCGGGCGCAGAGCGGGTTCTTTGTCATGATCTGCTCGATCGTGACGTCTCTGGCGTCGACGCCCGCGCCGACGACGCGGAAGGCGAGGTCCTTTGCGGTGAAGATGCCGGCGATGCGGTCGTCGTCGTCGGTGACAAGTACGCAGTTCTCGCGCTTGGCGGACATCAGCTGGGCGGCTTCGGCGACGGTCGTGTTGGGCTTGATCTGGAGCGCGGCACTTGGGCGGAGCGCGAGAACGGTGCCGGGCGGAGGACGGCGCACTTGGCGGTTCTTGCCGGCGACGACTTTTTTCTTGGATAAGTCGCTTTCATTTTTACGACGAATGGCCTAAGACAGTTAGCAGAGAGCAGACAACTGCAGATTAGATATATAAAGGTACCTCATCGCGCCGGGTCTGGCGGAGTCTGCTGTCGGTCATTGGAGGAGCCGGGGACGGGGAATCAAAGTCGCTCGGCGCGGTAGGCGAGGACGGGATCGGGATGCTGGACGGGGGCGGGAGGTTCGGAGCGCGTCTGGAGGTGGTTTGGGCCGTGGTTACTGGCAGCGGCGGACGGAGGGAGGACATGCAATTGAGAGCTGCGATATCGCGTCGAGGAAGCAAGCATCAAAACATCAAAACATTGATTAGCACCAAAACAAACAACAGATGATGACATAAGGTGTTAGTAAATGTGGATGACATAAGAGGTGTAGGGTTATGACTATAGTGTAGGGCTGCTAACGTGTGACTGCTCTTTTGAGTGCGCCATCGCACGCTCTCCGCCCGGCAGCTCAGCGCAGACGCAGACTCGGCGCCGGTCAAACACCACGAACGCTACTCGAACGACGAGCTTTCCTCACCTCTTTTCTCTTTTCCCACCAACAAAAGACAACAGAAACATCAGCAAATATGCCTAAGAAGCGCCAGTCTAACGGACGTAACAAGAAGGGTCGTGGACACGTTGGATTCGTCCGATGCTCCAACTGTGCTCGCTGCACTCCTAAGGTACGAGATGGATATATGAGGATATAAGGATATCAGGATATATAAGGATGTGGAGCAACGGAATGCTGACAATCAGTGCAGGACAAGAGCATAAAGAGATTCACCATCCGAAACATCGTCGAGAGCGCCGGTATGCATCACCTATACACCATCATTTGTTCAACAACCCGCAGATCTAACAAGCATTAGCCATCCGTGATATCTCTGACGCCTCGGTCTACTCGGAGTACGCTCTTCCCAAGCTCTACCTCAAGCTCCACTACTGTGTTTCGTGCGCTATCCACAGCAAGATTGTCCGTGTTCGCTCGCGGGAGGGACGTCGTATCCGTACTCCCCCTGTCCGTGTCCGCTACAACCGCGTATGTATCCCTTCCTCTCAAGTTTGAATATAGTGAGGCAAGTACTAATAAGAGAATACAGGACGGAAAGAAGATCACTCCCCAGGCTGCTGCCCGATCGGCATTCGCTTAAATATATAATCGATAATGACGAAGGGAAAACAAAAAAATTGGGAGCAGAGCTTGTGTATTTTCTTGAATAGTCGACAGGCTAGGTTAAATAAAATGTATCAAAGTTATCCAAGTGCAGAAGTGTATATTCAAATGCGCAAGCAGTGTCGAGTGCATGAGCAGTGTGTAGCCTGAGGTACAAGCGAAGGATCGTACTTAAGAGTTGTAGATGTCTATATTACATTAACTGACTACTAACGATCCATCCATATAATACATAAACAGCACCAATCCTACACCAAAGATTCTCGAATTGTCTGCATGATATAGTAGTAAAGAAGACGGCAGAGATCAACATCGATGATCACCCTTAATCTTCTCTCTAACCTCAATAATCGCCTCATTAAGTCTTCCCTCTACACCATCACCAACGTTAGCCACGTCTCTTTCCCCCTATCTCTCCCCATTCTCTCACCAACCCACAACCTCTCACCCTCTCCACAGAAAACAAAAAGAAGAAGAAAACTCACCTCGATAAGCAGCTTTCAAAAGCTTGATATGCTCACGCTCTAATTTCGCACCGACGCGCTCCTCGAGCTCGCGCGTGTGGATCTTGAGCTCGGTGGAGGGCGTGTTTGATGTAGGTTCGCGGTGGCGGAAGTGGGATTGTATGCGGATGCTGTTTTGTTAGTATATAATCGAGAAAAAGAGAGAGGGGGGGGGGGGGTAGGTACTGGAATAGTTCGGATTGGGATATGGAGTCAGAGTCGCATCTTATTGACGGCGATGAGGGGGATGAGACATCGATAGCGAGATATTTATCATACGCGACCGAGCGGAGCGCGAATCTGTTCTGCTCTTTCTCCTGCTCTTTGGAAGACTTGACAACCTCAAAGATCTGCTCAGGACCAATGGCCTCGGCCGTCGCGTCCACCCCGCCGAACTTTGACACGGAGAGGTATTTCCCTAGATGTGATTTCAACGTAACCTGCCTCTCCGCCTCCTCTTTCTTGTCTTTCTCGGTAGAAGTAGAGGAAGGTCGCTTGGAAACAGTCAAAGGCAGACGCGCGAGAACAAAGACTTGCTGGACGGAGCGCGGGGTGAGTGAGGCGAGGGGGGTGGTGAAGAGTTTGCCTAGGGAGTCGGATGATATGCCGAGGGGTGGGGAGTCCTGGTTATTAACATCCAAGCAACAAGAAGTAAAGAAGAAGAAGAAGAAGAAGAAGAGGGAGACATACGAGTAAGATCATACAAGGCCCATTCAAATCCTCCACAACCTCAGCAGAAACCCACGTCGTCTCCGTCTCCTCTGCTGCTGATGGACTGCTCTCTTTTAACTTCTTGTCAAGCACATCGGTGCTCTTTGTAGTATCTGTGATCTTCCGCTTTTTCTTTGACGGACCGTCGTTTTTGAATTTCAGCTTGGAGACCATTGCGCTGTTAACAGTCTTGTGTGTTGTATTCCTATTTCTGATCTGGGAGTTCTGCACTGATAAGGGTCTCGTATGCATTTATAATCAACTCCGCTGACATAATGCATTTGTAACATGGCCTGAGCGCCGACGGGGTAGCGTAGGAGGGGGCACCTACGGCGTGTTGCCTAAAGCAGCCTAGCGCGGTGCGGTTAAAGATTGAGTTTAAATGACGCACAGGCCGCGGCGCGAGGGTCTTTGGCGCCCGATCGGGAAGGAGGATGCACGGTCCAGACGTACCTGAGACTGCGCCGGGGAGGTGGTGGCTTCTGGGCGGAGGGGGGGGGGGGTGTTTGGTATGGAGAGGAAGGTGGAGATTAGGAGAGGAAGATGATAGTGGAGATAACAGCGATACTGGAGATGTTGGAGAGAGGAGGAGGAGAGAAGGGGGAGGAGAGGGTTCAGAGCAGGCAATTTCGGTACGCACGTTCGTTTCTGGTAATCCGATCCCGAGGTGAACAGCGAGATATTTGCAGAAGGAATAGCACCAACAGACACTATCAATATACTACATATGAAGTCAATGCAGATATATACGACTACAATCATGCTATTATTCTTATGATGACGATATGGTAGAAGAATACAGGAGCAGCGGGGCATTGTTGGACAGCAAGAGGCCTCAGCGGTGACTCTAACTCCGGCGCCGTCGTGCGCCTCCGCCGCCGCTGGTGCTGGGTGGGTGTCTGTGGGTGTCTGTGCCGCATGGCTGAGGTGACTATTGACTGATTGAGCAGTTGACGTGGTCTGATGGCTGTAGAAGTAGCATAGACCCGAGATGGATATAGAGATAGATATAGAGATAGAGCATAGGACTATAGGAACAACAGAACACAGACAAGAAGCGAGCGCACAGATGGCAACTACGACAGCGACGTGGCAGGGACATCAGAGCACCAGCAGCAGCATGGACATAAGGGCCATCGTACGAGCGAGCAGGCAAAAAATACCAGAACGAGCAACGGGCGATGGTTTAATCAGATAGCAGGCGATAGGATTGATAAGGCGGAGGCAGCAGTCTGGGCAGGGCACGACCGGCGCACGACCTCCCGTCTGGCACATGGTTGCGCACGACCTGGTGGAGATAGTAGATACGAGGAGGGTAGTAGTTGAGTAGTTGAGTATTGAGAGTGTAGATGTATAGACAGCAGATATACTAGACATACAACAAACAACAACAACAACAACAACAACAACAACAACAACAAACAACAAACAGCACATATAAAGAACAACAGCAACAACAACACAGTAATAATACACATCTCCTCCGGCGACGTGGCCGTGGCGATGAGGGTGGCTTATCAAGTACAGACAGGAGCAGGCAGCCACCGGGAGATTTCTTATTTGAACACGACTAGCGAGGTACTTGACGGAGAAGAGGCCTAAGACCGGGAGGTCTGTTGTCTCTGTGTGTGTATATATATAACTGTGTCTGTTCATTTGAATAGAGATGATGAGGATGATGATGATGTTGATTGACATAAGAACAAGTAGATGACAATACAACTACTATCAACACACATCTCTCTACTAATGCATCAACTATCTACAACAGTGCAGAGAATTACCAGAAGAAGAGTTATATTCCGCGCACGGGGAATTGCCTGATCGGGACTAGACTACCCGCTCCTGCAGGCCACGCAACATTAGCGGCGGAAGTGGCGCGACCGTGCACAGCGAAAGATAGAGAACAGAGGAGAGGAGGGGGGGAGAGGGGGGGGTAAAGAGAGAGGGGGAGGGGGAAGAAGGGGCGGAGAAGACGGTGAAGGTGTTTGTTTTGCTGTATTATGAATATATATCGACCATACAACAATAACAGTAGTAGTAACTACTAAACACCTCTTACCGCATCGGGCAGCCGAAAGCGCCCCGGGCGGACGCAGAGACGCAGACACCGGCGGTTGATCCGACGAAAACGTGACAAAGCGCAACCTTAAAAAACCTTCTGCTCTGGCTATAAACACCCTCCCTCGCTCTTCCTCACTCCTCCCTACTCCTTCTCCATCTTACATCGCCATGTCCTCCGCTATGGACATCACCTCCATCCTCAACTCCGGCAAGGCCGCCGCCGCCCTCGCTGCCTCGCAACAGCAGCAGCAGCAGCAGCAGCAGCAGCAACACCAGCCCCCCTCCTGGTCCCTCATGTCCCCCTCCCGCTCCCTCCGCAACCAATCCCAGTCCCCGACCCCCTCGCTCGTCAAGTCAGAGACCGACCGCACCTCCGTCGCCTCCCTCGTCTCCGCCGTCTCCTCTCCCAACCTCATCGGCCTGCCCTCCCCGCGCTCGCCCGCCTACCCGCAGCACCAGCAGCACCTCCCCCAGCTGCCCCAGCAGCAGCAGCAGCGGTACATGCCTCACCAGCTGCACCCGCCTGCCGGTCAGAACCCCTACGCGCAGGCCGCCTATGGCTCTCCGCAGTACGCGCCCTCGCATAGTCCGTACATGGACGCTGCGCACTACTCGCCGGCTGCCCACGACTACTTTCCTTCTTACCTCCCGCAGGAGACGTCGGGGTCTTCTTACCTGCAAGCCTACGCGGCCGCTGCTGCCGGCGGCATCCCTTCTTCCGCTCCCCGGCCCATGCCTCCTCAGCAGCAGCAGATGCAAATGCAGATGCACATGCAAATGCAGCAGCAGCAGCAGCCTCAGCAGCCCCAGCCCCAGCAGCAGCCCCAGCCCCAGCAACAACAACAGCAGCAGCAACCCCCCCTCCTCCCCTCCCCCCGCGCGATGCTCCCTGTCCCACCCACCCTCCCCGGCCCCGCCCAGCTCGGCGTCGGCCAGGGCGCGTACGGAGTCAAGCAGTTTGTCTGCGGCACCTGCACGAAGCGGTTCGCGCGGCGCTCAGACCTGGCCCGGCACGAGCGCATCCACACGGGCGTGAAACCGCACGTGTGCGAGGTCTGCAAGAAGCCGTTCATCCAGCGGTCGGCGCTGACTGTCCACCTGCGGGTGCACACGGGCGAGAAGCCGCACAAGTGCGATACCTGCAACAAGGCGTTTTCGGACTCGTCGTCGCTTGCGCGGCACAGACGGGTGCATACTGGCAAGCGGCCGTATATGTGCACGCAGCCGGACTGCGCGAAGACGTTCACGCGGCGGACGACGCTGACGAGACATCTGAGCACGCACGCGTGCGCGACGATTCCGCTCACGCATCATCAGCAGCAGCAGCAGCAGTACTACGAGCAGGCGCAGGCGGCGGAGGAGTATCATCGCCAGCAGGTCGCCTACGCGGCCGCGCCGGGGTACCACCTCACTGCTTAAAACCACCACCTTTGCTTCTATGACCGGGCTATAGACGTGCGCGGTCGATTTGTATATATTTTCTGTTATGGGTATTTAATCGGGTTCAGTTATGTTGTGTGTTAAGATATCAAAATGTACATTATGTAAATATCAAAAAGAGTCAGAGAATAAGCTCGAGCAGGGACCGCTGTCAGTTACCCCGTGGCGTCAGCCCTGAGGTCAGACGAGTGCTGACTCAGTCTACGCAAGACCGTTGCAGTACCATCTACTATTCTGCAGTAATACACCAAACTACACCATCTATATTCTACACAACAGTCAGTATCCACAATGACTATACTGCAGGAAGATAAAAGAAGCAGGCAAATTTGCAAAATAGACTTTTGCTCGTCTTTTTAGGCTTTGCAGATTGCGTGCTCTGACCTGAGCTTTGAGAGTTGCCTTCAGTTGGCTCCAGTTGGCTTTGAGTTTCGGGATACTGTTCCTGTGTTGGTGCTGTTGTTCCTGTTGTTGAGAAGAGCGGTGTTGTTGTTGTTGTTGTTGTTGTTGTTGTTGTTGTTGTTGTTGAAGGTGTCGGAGGTGATATAGAGATGATATAGAAGAGACTACTATTCATACAAAGTACTAAGTACTAACACTCCACCACAGCACTACAGTCTAAGAACACTCAGGGCCCTCAATTCATTCGCCGGGATCAAGTCCGTGCCGAAGAGTCCGTGTCTGTCCAATCTTTCTCTTCCGTTCTCTCCTCTCGCTTTCTATTTTCATCTCCAGCACTGACCTGACTCACGAATCATCTTATTCATATTCTGTAACTAAATGCCTCACTAATAACCGCAACTGCCGAGGTCCATCAGTTGTGGTCTTATCGACTTTTATCCTCTTGAGTTTGAACTTGATCTCAACGGCAAGAAGATGGACTGGGAAGCAGTCGTCAAGATCCCGTTTGTGGACGAGGGCAGATTGCTGAGTCCGTACTTCACTAATTATACACGTCTGATCATACAGGCACATCATCGCCAACTCCCCTCTCCTCCTCCACCTCCTCACCCTCCCCCACCACCTTACCATACACCAGCGCTTTATAAACACACGTCCCCTCACCCCCCCAATTCTGCACGAACCGAAACACGAAATTCCGCACGGGCGTTCGGCGGAGTACTTTCTGCGCCGCCCGAGGGATCCCGAATTGCTGCAGGTGGAAGGGGGACCGCACGTCGTATCTGAACTTGCCTAGCTTCACGTAGTTTGCTCCTGCTCCGCCCGGCTGCACTAGTTTCTCGAACTCGCTCTCTGCTCCCTCCTCCTCCTCCTCCTCTTCATCAGTGGAGTCATCACTGGAGATCCTCACAGCAGAACTCGCTCTGCACTCCACCGCCTCCCTCACAGCCCGCCTCTCCTCCTCCCCCTCGATCTCAACCCACACCTCAAACTCCTTCGGCGCAGCCCCCTTCGCGCCCCCCGCCAACTCTCCCGGCACATGACTCAGCCCGACCTCGTCCACGTAGATCCACTCTCCAAGTCGTATCCCCAACCACCCTTCCTGGCCCGCAAACCACCAGCAGCTGCTTCCACTACTCTCCATCCTCGTCAGCGCGCTCTGTTCTCGCCATGACATACCCGTCGCGAACCGACTAGGTCGACCTAACACCATCCGCGCCATAAACTCAACAAACCCCTCCCCCTCCCCCCCTCCCCCTCCTCCTCTCTGCAGCGCACCAGTCATCGCGCGAATAACACGCGCCCCGCGCTGCACATCCGCGAAATCAACCTTCTCGCGCTGTCTAATCTCAAACCGCTCAATAGCCTCCCCAACCATCGTCTCGATCGCCGCCATCGTCAAATTATCCCCTTCCTCCTCGCCCTGGAAGAACCTCTGTTCTTTCTGTCCTGCACGACTCTTCCGCAACCGCGCAAGCCAGCCTAGATCTTCTTTCTTTGGTCCGGAAAAGTACCCGCGCGCGGCATCCATGATCTTCTTCTCGATCGCGTACTCGGCTTCGTTCACGCGGCGCGAGAATTCGTCGCGCGCAGAGCCTAGTTCGGCACGTACGAGGTCCATGAACGTGTCGCGCGTTAGAACTGTTTGTGCGGACACTAGTTTCTCGTATTCCTCTGTAAACTGCGCTCGCGACATCGTTCGCACCGCGTCGCTGTTCTTCGCCAGAAACTCCTCCCAGCTCAGGTAGGACTCTTCATCTCCTGCTGCTACCGACGGCAGCTCACGCAGACTTTCCCTCGCGCTCTCAACCTCCCCCCTCACCCTCTCCATCTCCTCCCGGCTCGAGAACGCAGCACTCAGGTACCCCCAAAACTCAGGCTTGACAGCCACCTCTCCCCCCTCTCCAATCCGCACCGCGATCCGCTCCGGCAAAATCTCCTCGATCGCCTTCGCCGCCGCCGTCTCCGCCGCGCTCACAACCTGCCCCAGCGTGCGCTCCACCCGCGCCTCTAACGTCCGCACCGCGCCATCCAGCCGCGCGACTTCCGCGTCCTGCGCTGTGAGCCGGGGAGTGAACCCTTTCAGCGCGGTCTGTGCGTCGAGAAAGACGTCGTACGCTTTCTTGATTTGCTCTTCAAATTCGGAGAATCTGCTCTCTGCATGGCTCTCCGCGCTCTCGACCTGCCTACCCAACTCCTCGAGCTTCTGCCCCGTCTCCGCGCACCGTCTCTCGACGTCGCTGATAATCGTCTCAAGCTCGGCTACCGCGGCCGTAGCGAGATACTTCACTTTCTCAGCCTGCTCTTTAACATCCTCGTACCTGCCCGCCTGCGCCATCAGTTTCTGTGTAACCTCGTTCTCGAGACTCTTGAACTTTTGCCCGTCTTTCTTCACGTAGGCTTCGTACTCGCGCGCAAACTCTCGCGAGGTGGAGGATAGTTGGGCGAGGCGCGTCTCGAGCTTGACGAGGCGTGACATGACCTCTTCTGTTGTCTCGGGGAGGGCTTGTTTGTTGCTCCATCTTGTTGACACCGACATCGCAAGCACAGAAATCACCAGCGCGAGAATCAAATACGCCACCGCACGCTTCAGAATCCTCGTCTGACCACCTTCCCCCACCTCATCGTCCTCAGGAGGCAGCCGATTCTCAATCGAGTGGTTCGCGCCAATATTGTAGTACGCCGCCTCCTCCTCTGCAAACGAGTAACTTCCGTCAATCGAGTTCTTCCCGCGTAGGTTGACGTTGATGTTTTCGTTCTCGCTAGAGTGTTTGCGGCGAGATCGCGTCGATGAAGCTATACTTGAAGTGCTAGAGTACACGCTCATCTTGTCGTCCTCGGTATCTATACCCATTAGCCACTGATCCTGCACATATCTCAACAAGAAGATACTAACCACCCCGCCTTCTTCGGCGTCTCGTCTTCTCATTCGTCGCACTAGCAAGCGTAACCTCCTGCAACGCACCCCGCCTCCTCGTCCCCCTCACACTACTCCTCTCCGATCCACCCTCACCACCTTCCCCACCCTCTTCCTCACCCTCTTCCCCCGACATCTGCATCTCCTCAGACGACAACACAAGCGACGAACTCCGCACCATCTCTCCTCCCCCATCAACCATCCTCCTAGTGTTATTGGCAAACAAACTCGCGCTACCCCCAAGCGGCAACGAGGGCAGATTCGGCGCTCCTCCTCCAGATCGCACGCCCCGACGACGAGAAGGCGAGCCTCCTACTACTCCACCTGCCTTCTCTCCATCCGCTTCTTTGAACGAAAACATTTCAAGAGTTGGAAGTACACCTGCTTCTTTCGCCCTGTTGCGATCCAGCCTGGGCTCGGTTCACAGTTTATACGTGTTTTGACCGACGCGCTGGGAAACTCTAATTCATTGTGATTAGGTAAGAGGTCTGTCAGTCGACGCGTTCTGTTTATTTACATCCTGACCGGCCCGAGTATCTTCTGCTCAAGAAAACTGTTTTGAAGAGAAAAGAAAGATGAGTAGACGAACACCACTCGCGCGGTCTCGTTCCCTTCCAGAGCTCCGCAACATCGCCACCTCCCCCCTCGCCGCCGCCGCCGCCGCCGCCATCTGCACCGCGTCTGCCTTAGCTCCTTCAGGAGAGGGCAAGCGGCAGAGGAGACATAGATCGTGCCATGCGCTGATCTCGGCGCTGAAACTCGACGTGCTGTTTACTTGTATTTATTCTAGGACTATACAGCTGTGCTTTGAGGTTCAGGAGTGGGCTAGGCGGAGGCGGATGCGTGAGCGGGAGAGGGGTGCCGAGCAGACTGCGAGGACGCAGGTGCAGCTTAAAGTCCCGCCTCCGCCTCCGCCGCCTTCGGTGTCGACGATACCACCGACGCCGACGCTGGTTCGTAACCGTCGCCAATTTGACTCCGCAGACACCGAGGACGCTCCGCAGCATCTACCAAAAATCAGACTGCCTTCCTCCTCCTCTTCCTCCGCCGCTACACCTTCCACGCGCGGCCGCCGCAGCTATACTCTCCCCGCCCTCCTCCGCCGCGTCTCGTCCTCCTTCGCAGGATGTTCCTCCTTCCCCTCCTCTCTCTGTGGCGGTTCTCTCTCTCTACACCTAAAATCCTCCTCCTCGGCAGGAAATAATAATACCCCCCGCGCCGTCTCCGGCGTCTGTTTCTGCTGCGCAACGGGGTGTTGAAAGGGACCTCTGAGCCCGCGTACCGGGCTGCTGCTGTGAGGATTTACTCTGCCATGCCGCTGTATTGAGGCTCTGCTGCTTCGTTATTTTATATCCTTTCTGCTGTACTGCTTTTCCAGGTGGGCTGTTTGAGGAGTTTTGTTATTTCTTATTCAATGCAGAAACCTGTTGAACGCGCGAAAACAGACGTACGACAAACTGAATTAAATGACACTAGCGCCCTTACCAACGATGTATTATTTACACTCATGCTAAACACACACACACAAACAAAAGAAAAAATTAGGCAAGATAATTATAAACCTGTCGGTTATCGCTCGACCGCTCGATATACTCGCGCTCCAGCATCGCGTCGATTCGTTTCTTGATCAGACTAGCATCGGGATGAAACCTGCTCGACAGCTGCGACGTGACCTCGGCCACCAGAATATTATGCTCGAGCGTCTTGCGCGCTTTCATAATACGCACGATCGCAGCGTCGGTTTGGTACCGTCGTAACTCGTCGACCTTGTCCACCGTCTCCTTGCGTTCTTTCTCGGTCTCCGTCTTGTTGATGTAGGCGACCGTCGGGATCTTGATTTTCAGGTAATGCGACTCGAAGTTGACGTTGACCGAGAAGCGATCGGTCGGTTTGATGTCTTTGGACATTGGCTCTTTGAGCAGCACGCGCGTGTTGGGGACCACCGCGAGCGACTGCAGATTGCGCACGAGCTCAGGCTCGGAAATCGATGTCGCCGCGCGAATCTCTTCGAACGAGAGCGCGTCGCCGTCCGCGACGTCGTTGAATAGCGTCAAGATGACCATCGCGTAAGTCGACACGTTCAGCCCGTACTTTCGCTTCTTGAACGTCGCGCGCAGGTCCGCGTTGCCCATATTTGGTTTCCACGTCAGCACGCGGCCGCTGTGGCGGTCCACGTAGAATTTCTCAAACGACCGCTTCACGTGCTCGATCTCGGACGGGTACACGCACGTGCTGCTGCTGCTTTGCTCGCCGCTCGAGAGCGAGACCGGCCAGTTTGTTGAGGTCAGGACAGAGACTGAGAGCTCGGTCCGCCGATCGCTGTCGTGCTCTTGGCTGTAGGTTTTGTATTCTTCCGTCATGTCGCGGGACACTTTCATGTCTGTATCTGTGTTAGAAGATACTTGAAATAAAAAAAACTGAAAGATGATCTTACCTTTGAACATCCCCTCTAACTTTGTGGTAAATGAAAATCCAACTTCCATCTTCAGCTTTGTAATCATCATCCGCTCGACATCATCCGATATCGACCGCCCGCCCAATAACCGCTTCGCGAGATGCGACTTGTAATACGTCTCAAACACATCCTTGTCATCGATATACCGAAACAACGTAATCGCGCGGTCGAGCACCGCCTCTGCTTCCTCCTCCGTCTTGCCTTTCAGTCCTTTCTTGAGATTATCGTCGATAAACAGCGACAGAAACTCGCTACACCGGCTCATCTGGTTGATGAAGGTAGAAAACGCTTTTGTCAGCGACGTCTGGACTTTGTTGTCGCCGTCCATTGTATCGTTCAGGATCCGGTCGTAGCGCTCTTTGAGACCCAGCACCGCCTCGACCCACTTGAACGCCGTCATCGTGGCCGCGTTCTGCGCAGACACGCCCTTTGCTCGCTCGGGTTTCTTGAGATCTTCGAGCGCGTCGCGGTTGATCTCGGTACCCTGCTGCGTGACCCTGGTCATGAGCGAGTTCCGTAAATCTGTCTTTTCAGGGTCGACGCGGGCGACGAGCCGGTAGAGACGTTGCAGGTCGTCCATGCGCTCGTTGAGGATCATCTGGTTGATGCCGGATTTCTCAGAGTGCATGACGGCGATGATGTTCTTTGTAATCATCGTCTCCTCGACTATGCTGATTATCTTGGGCTCCGTCGAGACCGACAGGTACGTCATTGCGCGCTCGTGCTCTTCTTTAAGCCGTTTCTCGGTCTCGACCAGGTACTGGCCGGACAGGCACTCGCGCGAAATCTTCGCCGCCTCGGCAACGTAAAACTCGGTCGACGAGCGCAGGAACTTGGGCTCGAACGAGCGCGAGTAGACTGTCTCGCCGTCGATCTTGTCCTCGGTCAGCGACTCGAGCATCAGCACCGCCGCCTTGATCGCCGAGGTATCGACGAGATCCCCGTCCCGCTGCAGTCGGATCTGGTTCAAGATCACGGCGTAGATGTGCTCTCCGACTTGGAATTCCTTGTTGCGGATAACGTGGTCGCGGAACAAAGCCAAGCCCGCGTCGTAGATCAGCGGGAGCTGCAACTCCTTGCAATAAACCCGGTCCATGTACATCAGGATATCGCTAATCATCCGCATGCACAGACAATGGTCATCCCACTGCACTTTCACCGCTTTCAAGAACCGTATCCCGGCCTCGCGCTGATCCGCCGTCGCCAGCGGGACCGCAACCGTCGAGCCCAAGCCGTCTGCCGAGAGCGAGTTCGCGGTGTTGCTCGCCAGCGGCGCGAGTTCGTTTGCGACCATGTCGCGCAGGTGCTGCGCTACAAACGATTTGAACGCGTTGTACAGTTTCTCGGCATGCTTCTTCAGCACGAGCGTGTAGGCGGTTCGGTAGAGCTCTTCGTATGACAGCCGAGACGCGTTCTTCTTGTACATTTCTTGCATCGCAGTGGACAGCACGTTCCACGAGTCGTCAAAGTTGACGTCCGCTGAGTCCCGCTAGATAACAAAGAGGTTGTCTGTGAGCTGTTGCACTCTGAGACGAGCAGGTATTAGAGAGAAGAGCAAGGTGGGAACATACATTGCGCGGGGGACGCATCTTGACGCGAGACTTGCCGCTCGACATCGTCACTTATGCGCACGGCTCTGAGGAATTAGACAAAAGCAAACCAAGCGCACCCGGGAAGAAGTACGATCTGCAATTCACCGGCCACGGAGGGAATAGCGAGGCGCTCAGGAAGATCTGCTGCCCTCGTGCGGGAAGATTAAAGAGTTTTGATGGAGAAGGCAGAGGCGCCTCGGAAGTAGAGTTTCACGAGACCCTGAGTACTATCTCGAGCTGATTGCACCTCTGCGGAGAAATTCTTTGCAATTGTCAGAGGAGGAGTAACAAGATTAGAATAAAAGACGATAGATTATAATTCGTGTTCTGTAGATGCATTGTCGATGCCTGGGGGATACCGCGAGTGCGGGTGAATATCGCTGATTCAGATGTTATGTCAGCGAGCTGTGTGCTGGCCGGCATCTCCAGGAAGTCTGTGGAATTACGGCAGAGAAGTCATCGTGTGTATTTACCAGCGAGAAGAAAGAAAGAAACAAAGGGCACTCAAATATAAAAAAGAGTGAGAAAAAGAGATGTATTGACAGTTTTGTGGTTGTCTGACGACACCAGCAGACTGAGCTTTTGGTATTCAATTCAATTCACACCTAAATAAATAGACAAAGAAACCACCAAACTGATCTGCTTGGATCAATCTGCAAAAACACAAGACAACATCAAAATCAAATAAACTCCGAAACTTCCTAGTATTCAATCAGTAGAAGAGATAGGCGGTGGTCCACGATCATGCATGAGATGAGCGTACATCTGTTTGTGCATGAACGTATGCTTATGCAGTGTATGTAGACAAATAGAGAGCCGGGATTTTCCAATAAACCCAAAAGTAAAGAGTGAGATTGGCTGGGTGGGGTCAGGATTTACTTGTCCTCGGGGACGAATTTCATGCTGATGCTGTTCACGCAGTGCCGTTCGTCGACGGGGGTGTTGTATCCTAATTGATGATCAGTAAGATGCACAGCAGAAACGGCCAGAAATCAACGCATAAACAAAACAAGAGACAATACCCTCTCCCTGGAAGATGTGTCCGAGGTGCCCACCACAGTTTGCGCAGACCATCTCAATTCTGACCATGCCGAAACTACGATCCTCAAACCGTTTGATCGCGCCCGGGATCGCCTGGTAAAACGCCGGCCACCCGCATCCCGAGTCAAATTTAGCAGAGGACTCGTAGAGCGGCGAGTTGCAGGCTGCGCAGTTGTAGATTCCCTTTTCGTGGTGGTATTCGTACTCGCCGGTGAACGGACGCTCGGTGCCCTTCTCGCGCAGGACTCTGAACTGCTGAGGCGAGAGCACTGCGCGCCACTCGTCCTCGGATTTGACGGTAGGATACTCTTGTTTCTCGCTGGGGGACATTGTGGAAGAGGTAGTTGATGGAGGTGAGTGTGGGGAGGAGGAGGAGGAAGAGGAGGAACAAAGCAGCGATTTTACAGAGAAAGGGCGGGGAAGAAGCCCAACTCTCCACGATGATGATAAATCTATGCCTCGCTGGCTTCCTCTCGCCACTCCGCCACCCGCTGACCGCATTAACGCTGCTGACCAGTTTACGATTGCTGGAAACCGACGCATTTCTTTCTGCTTTTTTTAGAATCAAACAGCGACCTGTTCTCGAGCTGCCGACTCTGTCCTGCGCCGTGGCTGTGAGCGCAAATAGTATCAGCATATCCGTCGCAGCGTCGTGGCTCTCACTCAAAAACTGTCAACAAACAACCGCGACGCGTCCCGCTCACGTCTGCTCTCGCCCTCTCACGTCTTCTGCAGCAAAATCAACAACAAACGATGGACGTGGCTTCGCGATGGACGCCGGACAGCACGGTTGACGCTCTCGCCACCTCTGTCAGCTCGGTCTCTTTGCAGACGCAGGGCGACATCCTTGCCTCGAACAGAGCCCCGACAGGTACGGCTACACCCTCTCCACCGCTCTTCCTGTGCTCTGTTTACTGACCTCTTCAAGATCCGCCGGAGACAAAGATCCTCCGTGATATACCAAGCACTCTACAAGGACTCAACTCTGCAACCCTTCCATTTTCTTCACAGGCAAGCATCACTCTGCCTACCACCCTGCCTCTTCCCTCAATCTCAGTCCTGCACTCCGTAGTCGAGCCCGCGCTCATCTACAAAAGCCTTTTACAATTCGTCGACTCTCCAAGCGGTCTGACCGGCCAAGCTTTCCGTCGAGTGGTCGACGCAGAGATGCGTGGTTATCTGACCCTCGTCACTCGTATCGATGAGGAAATCCGCAAAGAACTACAGCACGAGAAAACCAGCCCTGAGTGGAAGCAAGGCTGGACGTCGGGAGGTGTCACGCTTAAAAAATGCGTGTACTGGCTGAGAGAGCCGACTATGGTCTTACGTTTGATAGCTGACATGGTGTCGAAATGTGCAGGTGCGTATCCCACACTCCACTCCCCAATTGTTCACGCTCTAATCTCATCATCTAGATCTAAACGGAGGCGAACTCATCAACGAGCTCTACCAATACACATCTCACGGTGACCCGTTTATATCAGATTTTGCAAACCGGATCCTGCAAGACGTCTGCCGTCCGTTCTACGAGTTTGTCCAGCAATGGATCTACACCGGCGACTTCCGCGACCCGTACGCCGAGTTCTTTATCCGCAAAGCCGGACCGCAGGAAGAAAATTGGGGGTCAAAGTATAGTCTCGAGAGCAAACATGTGCCTGCTTTTATTGATGAGGATCTGGTGCAGAAGATTTTCCAGACCGGGAAGAGTTTGAATTTCCTGCGGGCGTCCTGCGGCGATGGCGAGTGGGTTGATCAGCATGGCGCGAGCTTGTCGAGACAGTTTTCGTACGGCGAAGAGGCAAAAGACTTGGAAGGTGCGATTGATGTGGCGTATAAAGCTACGCTGCGACACTTGATGAGTCTGTTGACGTCCAAGTTCCAGCTCCACGACCACATTCTCGCCTTAAAGAACTATATCCTGCTCGGACAGGGTGACTTTGTCGCCATGCTGATCGAACTCTTGGCCCCGTCGCTCGGTCGTCCGGCAAATACTCTATACCGACACCACCTGACGTCTACTTTAGAGACTGCGATCCGCGGCTCGAACGCTCAGTACTCTAGACCAGAAGTGCTTCGAAACCTGGACGCGCGAATGCTAGAGTTTGTCCACGGAGAGATCGGCTGGGACGTCTTCACGCTCGAATACCGAGTCGAGGCTCCTCTGGACGTCATAATCAACCCGTACGCTACCCGGCAATATCTGAAAATATTCAATTTCCTCTGGCGCGTGAAGCACGTCGGCTTTGTCTTGAACGTCACCTGGGCAAAGTCAATCACCGGCGCTCGCGGTGTGCTGGGCGACGTAGGCGATCTCGTGGGCCAGGACTGGAAGCTTGCGCGGGCATGCTGTGGGGAGATGCTTCATTTTATATGCCAGCTGGAGTACTACGTGCTCTACGAGGTGATTGAGTCGTCGTGGTCGGAGCTGCAGACCGAGCTAAAGCGCGAAGATCTCACGCTCGATCAACTGATTGAAGTACACAAGAAATATCTCGAAAACATCACAAGGAAAGCACTGCTCGCGTCTAGTCGGCAAGGGAAAGAAGACGTTTACCGCGGTCTCCTCCACGAGATTTTAAAGACCATGCTCGCGTTCTCAGACGCGATGGAAACCCTCTACGCGTTCTCGGTCGAGGAGTACACGCGCCGCCAGACGGGCGAGCAAGACCAGGCGGACGAAGCGCTCCTGTCCTCGATCCGGACGACGATGAAGACGCTCAAGTCCGAGTTCCAGACGTTGGTGGGGAAACTGCTGGCTAATCTGGCGTATCAGAGTGATATGGAAATGCGATTTTTAGGAGTCCGGTTGAATTATAATGAGTACTATGCGGTTTCGAGAAAGAATCGGACTACAGAGATGTGAGGTTATGTATTTTTACTTGTGGTTGTTTGTACTGGCGTATTATTTTTTTTTCGTTAGACGTAGGTAGTAATGTATCATCTGTCTGTATTATCGTACACTCTCTAGTGGCTGGCAGCAAACCTACTCCTCGTCTTCAAGTTGAACATGCCTTATCTTCTTTAAGTCATCCGCCACTGGCTCATCGAAACTTCCCGCCCGCTTCCTCTGCTGTTGCATGCGCTGCACCGAAGCCGGGACAAACGCCGCGCTTTCTTTCTTCAAGTCACGCACGACCGGCGCTGCCTCATACGTAGTCTTTGGAGCTGTCGACGACGACGACGACGACGACGACTCGGTCGATGTCTTTGCGCCTCGTTCGTAGCGTAGTGCTGGACCTTTGGGTAACGGAATTCCCTTTGCAGAGCGTTCACCCAGATCTGGCCTGAAAAAGATCTCATCCTCGACCTCGCTCTCGTCGTCGCTGATTTCGCCCTGGTCCCATTCCGCGTACTTGTAACCATCGGGAGGCAGGCCGGTAGGATTGAACACCGGATCCCAGTATATACTCCGCCGCTCGCGGCCTTTGAGAACAAACACCCCCGACGCATTCACATGCCTGTCCAACTCCGCTGTCCGCGCACCACCAGACCTCTCGCTCTCCTGCGCTACAGCTCCTTTCCCACCCTGAAGCTTCTCCTTAGCCTGCCGCACGAGCACGATCTGCCTCTCGAGATCGGCCAGCAGTTTTTTATCTGGACCCTGCAGCCGGCCCTGCGAATCGAGATCTTTAAGAGCCTGGATCTGCTTCTCCATCCGCTCGGGATTCCGCTGCGCAAGCTTCTCAGTCATGCGCTCTGCGCGCTCGGCTTTTGCTTTTTTGATCGCATTGGCTTTGTCTTTCTTGTCTGCATGACGTGTAATAGTTAGCCAGTGCGTGCTTTTGGAAGCAACATGTTGATTTCGAGGGGAGCACTTACGTTGGGCCTGGGCAGGATTCAGCCCGCCTTTCTCGCGCGCCATATTGAAACGTGTCAGACAGCAGTTTAAGACTATCCGCAGATCTTCAAAGAAGAAAACAAAATATCGTCGAATCCGCGTCCTCGAAGCCGTCCTCGTGTCAATTCCTCAAAGCGCAGCTCATCTCGGGTTCGGGTTCGGCTAAAGTCGAGGTTAGGGCAAACTCAATTTTTTTTTCTCTGCGCGAAACTTTTTTTGTTTTCTCTCCTCGCCCTCGCTCTTATCCTCCTCTCCTTCTTTATCAACCACCCTCCTTCTTCCCTACCCGCTCCTCACCACATCCACCACAATCAAAATGTCTGCCCCTGCTGCTACTTACAAGGTCGCCGATATCAGCCTTGCTGCCTTCGGTCGCCGCGAGATTGAGCTCGCCGAAAACGTATGCTCTTCTTGTCCTTTTTTCCTTGTGAAAGCGCGTAGCTGCTGCTCGGGCTCACCTGCAATTGTACACGTATACTAACACACCTTGAATCTCCAGGAGATGCCCGGTCTCATGGCCACCCGCGCTCGCTTCGCCACCGCCCAGCCTTTGAAGGGCGCTAAGATTGCTGGATGTCTCCACATGACCATCCAGACTGCTGTCCTCATCGAGACCCTTACTGCTCTCGGTGCCGAGGTCACCTGGTCGTCTTGCAACATTTTCTCCACCCAGGACCACGCCGTAAGTACCTGTTCTGACATTAATTCAAGCAATTGAGTGGCTCTAACTAAAATATATCTATAGGCTGCCGCTATCGCTGCCGCTGGTGTCCCCGTCTTTGCCTGGAAGGGAGAGACCGAGGAGGAGTACCTCTGGTGTATCGAGCAGCAGCTCAAGTCCTTCAAGGACGGCGGCAAGCTCAACCTCATCCTCGACGACGGTGGTGATCTCACCTCGCTCGTCCACGCCAAGTACCCCGAGCTTCTCGAGGGCTGCTTCGGTCTGTCTGAGGAGACCACCACCGGTGTCCACCATCTCTACAAGATGATGAAGGAGGGCACCCTCAAGGTCCCTGCCATCAACGTCAACGACTCGGTCACCAAGTCCAAGTTCGACAATTTGTACGGATGCCGTGAGTCGCTCGTCGACGGAATCAAGCGTGCTACCGACGTCATGATTGCCGGTAAGACCGCTGTCGTTGCCGGATTCGGTGATGTCGGCAAGGGCTGCGCCATGGCTCTCCACAGCATGGGTGCCCGCGTCATCGTTACCGAGATTGACCCTATCAACGCTCTCCAGGCCGCTGTCTCTGGATACCAGGTCATCCCCATGGAGGAGGCTGCCCCCATCGGCCAGATCTTCGTCACCACCACCGGCTGCCGTGACATCATCACCAGCGAGCACTTCTCGGTCATGCCCAACGACGCCATTGTCTGCAACATCGGCCACTTCGATGTCGAGATCGACGTTGCCTGGATCAAGGCCAACGCCACCTCGGTCGTCAACATCAAGCCCCAGGTCGACAGATTCTTGCTTGCCAACGGCAGACACATCATCCTCCTCGCCGAGGGCCGTCTCGTCAACCTTGGCTGCGCCACCGGCCACTCGTCGTTCGTCATGTCGTGCTCGTTCACCAACCAGGTCCTTGCCCAGATCGCTCTCTTCAAGGTCAACGACCAGAAGTTCCGCGAGGAGTTTGTCGAGTTCGCCAAGACCGGCCCCTTCGACGTCGGTGTCCACGTCTTGCCCAAGATTCTTGACGAGACCGTCGCCCGTCTCCACCTTGACCACCTTAACGTCAAGTTGACCCCTCTTAGCGCCGTCCAGTCTGAGTACCTCGGCATCGCCCCCGAGGGACCTTACAAGTCTGAGATCTACCGTTACTAAGCGTGCGGTGTTTGACCAGCGCGGTCGCTCGCTTATAGATCATAGCAGATACATTACGCAACTCTTATTTTTGTCTCAGAGTATGAGAATTGTCTAGATCTAGAGCAGGAAAGATGTGTGTGAAGCTAAACCTGGAACGGAATGAATGAATTGGGGTACATGAGTATTGTATATCTACCTTCTTACAACGGCGTTTATGTTTGGCTTTTCGACATTGCTTTTTTTGTTTTATGTGAAGAGAAGGAGATAGATGAGATGAGATTAAGCTAGGCTAGGATCTATAAGCTATATATAGTTTTCTATTATAATAAAAAAGTTGATTTTTCTAACATGACTCGTTATCGTCTTATCTGGAGATGTGGTTTCGGTGATGAGGCGTGGCTCGTGTTGAGAGTCTAGCGATTCGATACGCAAGGACCAGAGCGGAAAATTTATTTTTATGCTTTCAACAGTATCGAGAAGTTAACTTGATAATTGGAGATAATTACTGAAATTTTTTTGTTCTACAGTGCTGTGAATTGCTGTAGATTTGTTGCTGGTTGGACTGGTGGAGTTAGGGATGGATGGTTGTGATGTGCATCTGGGAGTTGCGTAGAAATCGACTTGACTGGTTGCAGTGGCTACCCTCAGCGTGGACAGTTTTCTGAATATATTTGTTGCAATTAAGCAAGAGATAATTCATGATACGATCGCCGATAGGCTAAATTATTGGCTATATATTTAATGTAAGAATACAGTCTATTTATGACATGTGTACGAGATAATAATATGATATTCAAGAAATATCTGCCCGCTAAACTATTCGATCAAAACTTGAAAACTCCGAATAAATGCAACTCAGCTTTTCCTCCCCACAGCAAACAGAAACGGCAGCAACACCTCCACCTTCCGCGTATTCTTGTCCTCTCCATCAGCGTTGCTCGCGCTCGATCCAGCAGTCGCTTCCTGTTCGGGAAGTAGTGACTCTGGGACCATCACCGGGACTTCGAACGCGTGCTCAAACACCTCGACGTCAGTTAGACCAGCTGAGACTAAGCTCTGCCGTAGGTCCGCGGGATGGAGACCTCCGACGTGGACTGTGTGATTGTGATTATGACTGTGGGTATGACTGTGGCTGTGACTGCTATCGCGCTGGTCGTGATGAGTGTGAGAGTGAGTGTGGGAGTGAGTATGAGCTTGCTGCTTGGCTGTTTTCAGGTTTGTAAAGACGGCTGCTGTGTGCTCGGTCCAAAGTAGATCCACGACGCAGAACCATCCCTTAGGCTTGAGAAATTTGCTGGCTATAGCTTTTGTAACCGCAGTCATGTCTTGTAGATGGTGAAACCCCATTGCGCACGCTGCCACATCAATTGCCGAAAACCACTCTTTACACGATACATCATCATCACCAGTTTCGTCGGAGAGAGTGAGTACGTCGCATACTACCGCGTGCATTTCTGATTCATCCAGACCTTGGTTTTGCGCGCGCTGGTTGTACGCCGAGACAGCGGCAGGATCAACATCGATACCCAGGATGTGGTCAACGTGTTGCACAATTTCGCGAGACAACGCACCGGATCCGCAGGCAAAGTCTAGAAAGACAGAGTCTGGCGAGGAAAGCGTAGACCGGATGGGCTCATGCTGCAGGATGACCTCGGCCGCGAGCGATCTTGCTCTGAGCAGCGGCGGCGGTGGAGGAGTGGTCCGGCGACGGGGCGGAAGGTCTGAGTCGGAGTCGCTGTCGTCGGAGGATGATGATGAAGAGTCTTGCAGAGTACTCGGGATAGCGGCTTGCTTCCCTTTGAACTCCGGAGCCATTACGACAATGTTTGTATCTGGATATTTGTGGTTTATATGGGCTACAAGAGAAATCCGGAGAGATCAAGCCGCCAAGGTTGGTTCCATCGGGCTAGGGCACGCCTATTTCTGTTCCCTCGGAGTCGGGAAAAGCTGACGTTGGAGGCGTAGCCAATCGTCAAGATGCCAGATTCAAGATGATCTCGTAGATCGAGACATCTGCTGCCTTTGTTTCGCGACCGGTGCGGGTTGGAGGTGATTCATCCGCTCGAAGTGGCTCTTCGACGCTAGCTTATCGACCCTAAAGACGTGCTCGCAGCCTTGTGGGTTTCGTCTGTGATATACAAACAAAGCCTTCTTCTATGCAAAATAGCACTGTACATTGATTATCAACTACCTTACAAACAAAGCAATAAACAATAAAAAAGATCAACAAGCAAGCTGAAAGGCTCAGACAAAAGCCACGTTAAATCCGCCGGAGCCGGTCTGTTTGCTTCCGGTTACCGATCTTCGCCGCGCGCCTAATCTGGGTCCACAGCACCAGAGAATAGACAGCCTACAGCCCGCCTATATGCATCCATTATAAAGACTGATCATGCACACAAATAATCCACGATACTTCTCTCCGCCCGTTTCGCTCTTGTTTGCTCCTCACCACTTTTCCTCTCCGTCCTGATCCTCGCTGTTCTTACGTCTCTTATAGCCTTGAACTTATTGCCTGCCGCCGGCTTCCGGCTCTACTTTGTACCCTGCGTGTTGGATTTATGGTACGCGCGCTGTCTCTTTGTGTATTGTTGATCATGAGAGTATTCGTACTGACCACACCCATCTAGAATCTCGCAAGATGCAACTACCAGAGGGAATATCTCTACTAGCCGCTGAGCTTGTCGCGCTCATCTGCTTCACTCATATCGTTGCCTTTGTGCTTTTCGCCGTCATCCGCATCCTTACCGGCGTCTCCATCCAACGACTCGGCTACTTCTCTCTCCGCCATATATCCTTCACTCTACCTAGCGGCATTCTCATCGAAATAAGGCGTATACAGCTTGCATTCCACCGCCCCGCGTTTGCTCGTCCGTCATGGCTCACCTTGACCGTCGCTGATGTGTCTGTCTATTTCGACCCGATCGAGGATTCGACTTCCACACCTGTCAGCCGCGCATCCGGCTCGACAACGCCAACTCCCGCAGTCTCTCCCCTGGGTTCGCCAACGAAGGACCGGATGGACTCGACTCCCTCGTCACCGACTTCTGAAAGCGACCGTCCGAGGAAGAAGAAACAGTCGACCTGGAAAGAGACAATTAAGAGGCTGACCTACGCGAGTCGCAAGCTCCACAAACTGCTAAAGTACCTTCGGCTTTTAGATTTGAGCATTAAGAACGTCACGCTCATAGCCGAAGACATTGGCAAAATGCACATTCGCAGCTTGGCCGTCAGCGTTGACTCGATCGAGAAGAACTCAAAGTTCTTCGGCACCGTCTTGGCAGCCTGCTCCTGCGACTCGATCCAAGATGCTGGCAAGTACGGCGTCGTGTGCTGGAAATTTGCAGTCAAAGACGTGTTTTACGAACCTGATGACTCGCCGGCTGAAGAGCTGCTTGACGTGTTCCAGTTTGAGCTGCTTGATGTCTTCAAGAAGGAGACCTTGCTCACCGTTGATCTGTCGCTCAATGTGCGTGTCGGCAACATCACTGTCCCTTACGACACCTTCTCGCTCTTTCATGAACGCCTCGATCTGCGGAAGCGACGGCTGTTACGGAAAAGATCCTCTTTGGCTGGCGGATCGTTTCCTCAGAAGCTGGAGGCACCGACTGCCGAGGAGGAGAATCCTTCAGAAGATTTGGTGAACGGTTTATATCTACTCGTCGATGCCGTGCGCGAGGTTCGTGTCCATGTCGCGAAAGTTGGGGTTTACAAATTCTCTCCAGAGTGCGACTATTTGAATGCTAGAGAGCAGCCAGTCTACTTTAGTTTGTCGACAAAGGACTTCACCATCGATCTGCGCAGACTGAACCAGAACAGCCCGGGTCATCGCATGTTCTTCCCTCGACAAGACGTGTCTCATCAAGCCATCATGACGGCCATCTCAATCACTGTTGGTCTGGATGACACGAAGACGGGAGCGCACGATGAACTCGTCTATGTGCCGATGATCACAATGACTTCGACTACCAATGTCTTGCGCAAGGCGCTCGATATCTTCACCGGCGCGGAGACAGATCGAAACTCGAGTCTGCTCAAGGGAAGTTTATCCATCAATTCTCCCGCTGTCGATGTCCGGGCACGGCATCTACCCTTGTTTATCTCTATGCTCCTCGGTACAAAGAAGCAAAACGACAAGGCGACTGTCAAAAAGACCTCCCAGGCAAGGATCCCAGGCTCGCGGATAAGATTGGTCGAGCTGCTGCCGCGCACAATCATCAAGCTCTCTATCGAAGAACCTGGTGCCCGTGTGAAGCTCGACAACTTCCCCGTTCCAAAAGTCACCAACGCCAAAGTTGACCTGGACGAGCCGGCACTGCTGGCTTCCACATGCTCAATCATCAATTGCGAGATCGAGTCGTCGCACACGCTGACGCCGTATCCTCACTACAGTCTCACAATGTCGTTCCGTATGACTGAGTTTACAACCTGGCTGCGCGGACCGACTGGTCGGTACGAGCTCGTCAAGACTGAGTCACTATCTCTCAAAACGATAGCCGAGACCAGCCCTCAGCTTGACGTCTCGATCTCGGGCACGCTGTCATCTCTCAGCATTTTCCTGACTCGTCCTGAAAACGTCAATGGTCTCAAGGATATCTTTTCGCGCTTGAGAGGCGAGGTTCGGTCGCTTGAGTCAGCTTCGTCCAAGTCGCCGGATCTTGAGAAGTCCGATAAAAAGATGAGGAAGAATCCCTTGCGGCTGCTTCCGTCTTGGATTTCTCGCATCAGGCTCGATGGCTCGGATATCCTGATGTGTGCTTCGAGTAAAGATCATCATCAATCTGCTTCAGAAGTCAAGGACATTGCGCGAGGGCTCGCTCTACAGACAGAGTCCTTCATCATTGACTACAAATCCAACAGTACACCACGCCACAGATCATCCCTGGTGAAGCGACACCAACGAACCAACGCACACGCTGACTCGATTGCAGATCTCAACGGGACTGCGACGGAATTCCCTCATGCCATCGAGACATTGGGTGCGAAGTCGTTCAACGGAAAGTCTGGGAGACGCAAACTTGCGGTTGGGTTTCGCTGTATCGACGTGTGTACTATGGATACGAACGACATCATTGAGCAAACTACTCCTCTGGTGCACATTCCGGATGTGGAGGTCGCTATCGTCTCGTACGCCACTGAGTCGAAGCAGATCGTGGAGGTCAATGCGCTACTCAAGAAGATGGTTATCAACTACTCGCTGTTTCATCACTATTCGATGCTCTTGGCAGTGCAGGCCATCATGGAGACTGTGAGTCCAGTTGAGAAGGGCAAGCCCAAAGCACCGAAAGTGTCACAACCCTCAGACGAGGTTCTTTACTTGGATTTCCGATCGCGCCATATTCGTATCAAGGCGGACTTGCCGCTATCTCCGCCTCTCATGATTGAGTCCGTGGGTCTTGAATATTCAAAACGAGCAGACCACATGCCCATAATATCGGCCAAGTTCTTCCGGATGTTTGTCGAGACCACCGACGGAAGCAGTCTCTGGGAGAGATTCATCGTACTGCGACATCTGCGGGTTGAGTTGGCAAGGAAGAGACCGCGGTTGGATCTGAAGGTTCCGGCGCTGTCTACTAAGCAGGAGACTCCGGTAGAGGCCGTTGAGGACGATATTGTCATTGGGACCGACGCTCTTTCTCTCTCTGTCCCTCCTGGATTACTGGTCTACGAACTTGTCGAGGGTATCGTTACCAGTTTCAAAGCCATCAAGCAGCTGACCCACGAATTCAAGTACGATAGCGACGAGTACGTTTTGAAACCTACCGCGAAGGAACCAGTCAAAATGCCGAGGGTTCGATTGCGGTCTAAAGTCATCGAAATGAGGTTGGACGATGACCCGTTCGAGGCGCGATTGGGGATCATTTTCACCGTGGGAATGATTGAGATGAAATCGCGACTTGCGCGAGAGGCTGCGTTTGAGGCAAAAGTTCAGGCGCTGAAGATTGCTTCGACGAGGAAACCTTCGCTGTCGCATGATCCTACGCTCCCGCCTGATCCTGAGGAGCCGCTGAAGCGAAAGCATACGTTCAAGTCGATGAAGGGGATGAAACACCACAAAAATCCTCGGCTGAAGCGTGCGACGCCTATCAGATACACACCGACGGAGGCCGAGATGCCTTCGGACAGTGCAGAGATTTCAACAGAGGAAGCGTACACCAAGTTGAAAGAGCTGCACTCTAGTTCGTGGATTCGACGGATCACAAGAGCTAGACGGATTCGTGCTACAACTGTCATGTCAAGGAGACATAATATCCTGGGCTCTGATGGCGTGGACGTTGATCTCACAAGTGATGAGAAGATTGTCAGTATTCCTGATTCTCCTCCCTTGTTTCAAATCCTCTTTAGCGATCCGGACATTCTTCTCAGCAAGCCTAGCTTTCCATTGGAGAAGGTTCACACGTTTCTTCATGATGTCGGCAAAGGTGTTCCGGAGAATACAATCTACTCACTGCTTGTGCCATTCTACTGGTGCATGGAAATGACTGAATTCAGAATCTTGCTGCGCGACTATCCCCTACCGTTCGTGCATGTCCCGTCGATGAACAATTCACAGGCGGCCAAGGGCCCCGCATGGTGTCTGAAGAGCGATTTTGTCATAGCCGAGGAGTTATTTGACGAGGCTTCTTCTCGATATATCCAATGCCCTATCGTTCCGCGGGTTGGAGAGTCTGAGGATGCATACTATCTGACTGTGACACGAACCATTGCCGCCGTCAAGATGTACTCCAATATCAACATCGACATCGCAACATCCTCGCCGACTCGAATCACCTGGGCGCCGTCATTGCAACCTGCGATCCAACAGACGATGATGAGGTTCGATACCATGACGAAACCGCCGGTTGATCCATCACCAAAGGTTGGATTCTGGGACAAGATCCGTCTTATTTTCCACTCCAAAATTCGATTTTCCTGGATTGATGGTGCTGTACATCTACTTCTCAAGGGTTCTCGTGATCCGTATAGCATCACGGGTACCGGAGCTGGTTTTGCCATGTGCTGGGAGAATAATGTTACATTTGATATCAACCCGACCGGCAATCAGCAGGACTTCATGGTCGTCGATAGTGAGCAGTTCTTGCTTGCTGTTCCGGATTTCAATTACTACGTGCGCCAACTCAACAGCGCTCAGGAACTGGTTGAGGATTCTTTGAGTACGCACTCTGACTATCAGACACACTCTCGGTTCAACAAGGTTGTCATGAAACTGTCCGGGAATGTGCGATGGAAGGCGGGCTTGTTGTTTGAGCGCGATCAGGCTGATGGCACGCGCGCGTTTGAATCTGTTCCTCATTACACTGTGCAGCTCCGACGACCCGACTCTGTAGACCCTTCGAAACAACATGATTCCTATGCCGGTTTCCGGAGTGATTATATTCACCTTGCGCTTTCTGTTACCTCGCCCAGGGATGAACAGTGGTCGCCGTCTGCTCGGAAGCAACTGTCTCACAGCGTCAACAGTATTCATCTGTCGCCGCGTGCCTTTACTCACTTCTTCCAATGGTGGGATCTATTTGCGGGCGAGATGTCGCTTCCTGTTCGTAACGGAGAACTGTTCCCGCCTATTATGGTCTCAAAGAAGTTTGGAAGACATCTTGCTACTATCAAGTATCAGTTTGCGCTGCGTTCATTTTCTGTCAGTCATGTGTACTTGTACAAGCGCGATGAGGATATGCACAAGAAGGTGATGAACTCCGTTGGAATCAAGGGACGCATCGATAGTTTCATGATGGATCTTCATCAGCGGCGAGAGTTTATCACATACACAGACAAGGTGACGAATCAAACGCGCAAGCGACGGAAGATGAGACTCAATGTTGGCGAACTTGATTTCCAAAGTGCTGATATTCGGGGAGTCACTGCCTCTTTCAAAGAGCGCTCGGCCGAGGAACTGGCTACGGACGTCAGCGGACTGCTTGCTGAAAACTTGGAGACAAACTATTCTGAGGAGTCTCCGTTCAGCAACTCATTCCCCATGGCAAAGCTCAAAGTGTCTGACAACGATCTTACGTGGGTCGATATTGACGACTACAGAGAGTTGGATTCGTTCTGTGGAACTGCGAATTTGACTTCCGTCAAGGTCCTTCCTCTTATATTCACTCCTCGATTTACCTACTACCGACAAACCGAGCACGCGGCAAGCGGAAATGGTGATCAGTCTGGTGTCAGCACCAGTTCCTTTGGAAACGAGCCTTCTCATAGCTGTTTATTGAGGCGGACTGGTAAGTGGTGTCAATTTATTAAACCCGTGCATCGATTCAAAATACTGACTTTTCTCTTACAGATACGGTGAAATTCCAGACGGATTTGATTTCGGCGAGAGCAAGGGAGCTGGAGGAGCAAATCGTGATGAATGCGGAGCAAATTGAAGAGTACAGAAGGTCTGCGAGACTTTCTACAGCTGATCATTTCGCCCGGCAGCGCGTAAGTTTCCATTGTGTCGTGTATTTCTCTCTTCAAAGTCTCTTGAGCTAATATCTTTATTTTTTAGTTCCTACAAGCCAAGAAAGACGCAGAGCTGCTAGAACTGAAACGGCATACGCTGCATCAGCTATGGTTTTCACTTTTGCAGTCAACCGGGCACATGTCGGAAGCCGACGTCAAGAAGCACGACGATTATCAGAGCGAGTGCTGCAAAACCGGTGCAGAGATTTTCGGCGACGACAAGCTCGATCTCATGTCCAATCTTCAGTCGTTACGATCACTCGAGGACGAGTCATTCTCGGACTTCAACAACCGGTTTATTTTCCATAATGTGCAAATCAAGTGGTCCAATTCCGTTCGAAATGTGTTTTTGAGATATATCCATCAGATCGGACAGCGGAAAGGTCTCATTTATTACATGTCGCGACGAGCGGTTAAGTTCATTGACGACCTGGATAAAGAGCGGAAGAAGAATGTGCCTGATACTCCTATCGCGGCAGCCCGGGCATCGTTTGAAAACAAAAAGTCAAAGCCTCGGCATTCTGTTTCTTCGGACACGGACGAGTTGCGCGATCTCGAGGACAGAGTGATGTCACGGTTAACTCCGGCAAAGTCGAAAGAGGAGGTTGAAAAGCTGCAGACAGATACTATGATTGAGTATCTGCTGTCTGACGCTAAGCAGCATCTCGTCGTCGCGGACCCAGAAAATGGCAACGCATCGACATCTGGGGCACATCATCACCATCACGACCATCATCATCATGAAGACGGAAGTTCGGGCAATGGAATAGCTCCTGAAGACACGTCGTTCGCAGATAACGAGGCTGCGTACGAAGAAGACTCAGCGTCAAGTGACTCTGACGGTTCAGATGACGAATTTGAGAGCGATGAGGCCTCGGATAACAAGATGCTTGAGAATCTTGCGGCACAATACGTCGCTAGAAGCAGTTATGTTATTCGATTACTCGGTCCGCAGATCCAGCTTCAGAGTGAGGTTAACCCTGACTCTACGCTGTTGGTGACTTCTCAAAATATCGAGCTCAAGATCATTTCGATCATGGACAAGTCTGAACTCGAGGATGATGTGAGCGGTCTCGTGCAGTCTAGATATTCGGCTCATTTGGACAATGCTCAATTCTTTGTGTTCCATAAGAGTGACCTGATCCGTCAGTCTCACTGGCTGTTTGCCAACAGCGAGTATGGAAGTTCGAGGGTTTACACAGGCATTCAGAAACCGCATCAGTCTCCAATGTCGTCACCCACAGTGGAGGATGAGCCTGCGGCAACATGTATCTGGCCTCCTTGGGTTCCGCTTGAAAGTATATACGAGGGTTCAGCGCTGAAGAGCTCACGTATTGCTGAACGAACGTCTGCGTCGCTACTATACGACAAGCACAATTCTCTACGTCTCAAATATGGTGACAAGGTTACTGATCAAGCACCATCGATCAACGGTACTCATTCCATAGCTAGGCAGGTTGATCAGTTGTCAGTTGATTTCCCGAAGGTGGTTGCTTTCATTGATTCGTTACAATATTATGCCGTTTACATTATTGTGATGGATCTACTGATATACTCGGAGCCGCATTCCAAGAAATCGAATGAGAGGCTGGAGAAGATTCTGCTGGCCACCGATTTCAGCGATCTATCGGGAGCAGCGGAAATGGTTGAGACTTTGCAGCGTGAGATCAGACAGTTGGAGGAGATCAAGACCCAGTTCTTGGTATACTCTTCTGAGCTTGACGAGCAGAGTTGGAGTGATTTACGGAACGTGATTGGCGAGTTGCGGAGTGCACAGTCTGAGTTGTTTTACATCATGAAAGCTATCACGATTAGCCAACGGCGCCGAGAAGAGAAGAAGTCTGCGACAACCGGCACGCTACAGTGGCTCATCACTGGCCAGCAAATCATTGCTCATCTGCTGATTGAGGACCGCACTCCGTTTGTCGACATTGCGCTTGCGAAGGGGTCATTCCGAAGACTTGAAAACTCTGACGGGTCAAACTATAATACGATCGAGATCGATATGCTTCAGGGTATCAATCTTCTCAAGGGTGCCCTCTATCCGGAGATGCTTTCTCCTTACTTTGAAGGGATGAAAGATACGGACAAGAAGCGGAAGGCCGTCAGAATTGACTGGTACATGCTGGAAGCGATTGGCGGAATCCCTGTCATGGACCACTTGGAAGTTGATCTGATCCCGTTGAAGATTCAGCTGGAATACGATATCGGACAAAAGTTGTTCCAGTACATCTTCCCTAATCAGGCGCAGTCGCCTCTACAAGTTCCGAGCGCTATTCCGGCAGAGTCTAGTGGCTCGGTCGCAACCGGCGCTACTGGTGACGGGCGAAGAGGAAGCCCAACGGTGCCTCAGACAGGTAGCGCTTTCTCTTCATCCTCTGATTCCGAAGATGCGGACGACCGCAAATCGTTACGGTCTATGAAGGACAATAACTCCTCGCAAATGAACTTGAGCATGTCGAGTGACACGCGAAGCATTCATTCGACCCACTCGTTTGTATCACGCCACAGACCCGTCGTTCCTGAGCATAAGGCGCAGAAATTGCGTCTGTCGTCTACCGGTTCAACCATGAGCTTGAAAGAGAAAAACAGCGATACAGTCTCGTTGCGATCGTTCAATTCTGCAGCTAGCGATATGTCAAAGGCACATACCGGCGTCTCTGGACGGGTTCAGTCATTCGAGCAGAATTTGATTGACGATGATGACCTGTCGAAGATGGTCACTCGGGCATCGAACTTTACCACGTTTGTCTACGTCACTATACCTTCTGTCGTATTGTGTATCAGTTACAAGGTGAGAATAGCTGTTATGTGTATTGCGAGAATGACCGGAATACTAACGCTTACTTATCTTATAGGGCAAGGGATCGCGGAACATTGAAGATGTGAACGAGTTTGTCTTCCGGTTGCCGACAATTGAGTATCGGAATAAGACCTGGTCTAATCTTGATCTTGCATTGCGGATGAAGAAGGGTACGTTTCCTCCATTATTTCCATAGTACTGTGATTGACGACTAACATTTGTCTCGAAATAGACATCATCAAAGCGTTAATCTCCCACACCGGCGCTCTGATCGAAAACAAAATCAAACGCCGCCAGCCGAATTCTCGCAAAGTCAACTCTGGACCGCTGATTCGACAGATTTCAGAGTATGCTGCGTTCACAAGTCTGGCGGATCTGAGCGAGACGCGGATTAACAAGGAGTAGTTTTGATTGATGCTTTGCTTTCTATTGCGTGGGTGGAGTTGAGTTTTATCTATATCGCTATTTATATTTCTATTTCTTCCTTATTTTTTGTATTATTAGCTGTTGTAGATGATATAATATTCTGAATTTATTTTTGTTGATGGTTGATTTCTAGTATAACTCGATGATTGAATGAGAAGACATTTATAAATTGCGACATGCCATCAAGCGTACAAAGTCCCAGCTTCATAGTCGATCCGATCCGCAAGACTCGTCCTCTCCGGTAACGCCCTCAATTTCTTTTCCGCCAGCTTCTTCAATGCTGTCAAGATCCCCGAGGAGCTAACATCAGACGCGGAGACAAGACATCCGAGGTCTTCGAGAGCGTTTGCGATCTCAGCTTGATGGCCGTGCATCAGCACTGGATTAGGGACGACTAGTAGTTTCGGAGGGGACTTTGAGCGTAACGTGTCGAGAATTGTACCTGTACCTGTTTGCCGATAACGCGTCAGTATATAAGACCCTCTTCAGAAGCAATTGACCGGAGAACAAAGATCCAAGAGTAATCAGAAACTTACCAGCATGCGAGACAACAACGTCACAATCCGCAATCTCATCCGCCATCCGCTCCGTCATTCCAAACCCCGAAACCTGGATCCCCGCATCCACCTCCGCCAAAGCCTTCTCAAATTTGACCTTCGAGCTCGAACTGGGCCCGTACTGCACTCTGACATGCGTGATCTTGAGCTCGGCGGTTAGGTAGCTGAGAACGTCGGCCGAGCGCAGGATGCTCTCGAACAGGGCGTCGAAGGGGTATGTCGCGCCGGTGCAGATTAGGAGTTTTTGGGTAGTCATCACGGCAGGACTTGATCTTCACCGGGCTCTCGATCGGCCCATATCAATTCTCGCGTGGATCCGATGGAAGACTGCGGAGATCATCTCAGATCAGACCGGGATCAATCTCGTTGGGAGATATCATACCCCGAAACCCTTATCCACGTTCCGGTAGTAGAGGGATCGATGGGACTTATGTCGGTTGGAGACTTGTTGATATTTTGAAATATATTCGGTTTATAGACGATTACTGGTAGGCCGCAACGAGAGATACCTTACATTTGGTAGCGGTGCTATATTGATCCTCGATCCGAAAAATAGCAATACCTCGAACCCTGTGACTTTGTTTGACCACGATGTCGAAATCATTCACGTCCAACAATCTTGACTTTCCGGCCTCTTGGTTTCAACCACCCCCGAAATTCAAATGGGGAACCGAGAACGTATATGACGAATATCCCAATTGGAAAATTTAACTGCTGAATTGCCTCGAGTACGTTCCAAAGGAACTTACTCGAGGGTGATGCGTTGACCGCGGTCCGGCCCTACCTTGATTCGATCAAATCGGTGGACGAACTTTTTGAGCGCATGGACCGGCTGTTTCTTCCGATGGACTACGAGATAAGAATCTATCGCGAATGGAGACAGTTGCGCCAGACCAAGGATCTGGACACCTACATCCAGGAGTACACACGTCTCGCGGGACGTTTTCGGGAGATGTCAAAGGAGTTTCCGTATGGGATGCCGGAATTCCTCCTGGTAGATCAATCTATCCAAGGCTTGAGCCCGGAGATCTACACTCATGTTAACATGTCGAATTCCCGCACTCTCAACGAGGCGACACGAAAGGCTAGAGATGTGGATTATGCGTTGTTCACCATGCCATCCTACTACCGGGAGACGATGACTTTCGATAAGCCGCCTACCCGCGGTCACAGCGGAAATAATCCGAGTCCGCGCACCCAGACTACTGAAGCAGGAAGGAGGGAGCGCGTGGGCTCGAACGCGGAAGGAACACACGGCTCATCCGAGAGAGAGGAATGTCTTGCGTTGGACCGTTGTTTCAATTGTGGTGACCACGGACACATACAAAGGGAGTGCACGTCTCCACCCAGCCGGGGAAACAACACAAGTCAGCGGGTGCGGGGCGCCAACTGATGATGTCGAAGTGAGATGGGCAGACTGAACGCATGAATAACACGCTCGAACGACTCCTACGCCATTTCCTCAACACGACTGGGATAATCTACTCCCGTCGAGTTTGCATACAACAACGCGATACATGTCAGCATTGACACCACCACGTTCCCGATTGATCAAGGTTATCATCCCCTACTACTGGGACAACTGAGAGGAAACTTATTCAGCTATGTCTACGCTATCGGAAGATGAATCATGGGACAATTTGTTCAAAATTCAATACTATATTACTATTTTACAGACAAACCATATTTTAATCTTAAGCAGAAGCACCCAAAAAGAAAATAAAATCCCTGACTAGTGAGACTGCCAACATATATATTTATCATAATCATTGTACGAGATCGATCAACTCAACTCGCCGCCTTCAAAAGAGAACCTACGGCGACGCCGCCGCGTATCTCGGAGTCTCGGGCTCGTCTCCCCAAGCAGCCGGCGTGGGCGCAGAGAAACCTGGTGTTTTCGCATCAAACGGCGCAGGCGTAGTCGCATCATCCCAGACTCCGGGTGTAGGAGCTGACATGACTCCCGGGGTAGGCGCAGAGATAGCTCCTGGAGTAGGCGCGCCGTTGTAAGGTGTATAAGCCGTGGTACCAGGATCGTGATAGGCACCTGGAGTCCGGCCTTCATCCCACGGTGTCGGCGCAGTCGCATCCGCATTCCATGCCGGTGTTTTACCACCATCGGCCCTGGGAGTGGGGGCACCTACATCCCAGGCAGCTCTGCTAGGAGTACGTCCACCATCATTATTGTAAGCAGGAGTTTGAGCACTCGCGTTCCAAGCTGGTGTGCGACCGCCGGAACCGTAAGCTGGAGTCTTGCTTCCTGAGTTCCAGGCCGGAGTGCGCGATGAAGAGTTCCACGCAGGAGTCCTACCGCCGTCACCCCAAGCTGGAGTTCTACCGCCGTCACCCCACGCAGGAGTACGACCGCCATTACCCGATGCTGCCCAAGATGGCGTCTTCGAACCGCCCGAAGCTGCCCAGGCCGGAGTTCTTCCACCAGCGCCCCACCCAGGAGTCGCACTGCCCTGCTGCCATGAGCTATCACGTCCCTGATACTGCGGCAATGTCTCAGCACTACCAGTCAGGATCTTCTTTGGCGTGATAAATTCCTCATAACTCAATGTCCGGCCGCCCCTATCCTTAAATCCCAACTTTGTCTTTTCTAGCGAGATCATCTTGCTCTTCGAATGAAGCTCAACTCTTGCAGTCACATCCGTAGCATCCTTGACAATTCCCAGTAAACCTTTATACGGTCCTTGTCGCACAATAACTGTCTGTCCGATTGTCTTGTCGCGACCGCCCTGTCGGGGAATGTTCTTGGGAGGAGCCATGCCACGAGCGCCGACCTGCATGTTGGGATTCATCTTTGAGAGATCAGGACCGCCGACTCCGGCTGCCCGGCTTTCTTTGACAGCAACCGCCACCACATTTCGAGTGTGCACAAGCGATACACCAGAGTTCTCACTCTGAGAACGATTGTGAATGAACGCAAAGGTTCGATAGATGTGAAGAATAACACCCTGATTTCCGTTACCGTCAATCTCTTTGACTGTGTCGCCCACTCGGATCTCAGAACCATTGTGGTCAGTTGCGAAAGAGAATTTGTTTTCGACCTTCATGCTTATAGCTGACGGGAGAATAGTCTGAGCGACGCCATTGATATTCAGCACTCTGAAAGCATCACGCTCGATTTTGACAACGCAAGCAACATTGTTTGCGCTCAACTGTACCAAATCGTGAATCTGGTACTTTCCGAGAACATTTCTGCCTCCGATATCAGAAGCCTCTTTGAGATCCTTGGAGAAAACGGTGAACTCTTGCATCGAGAGATCACTGAGAATCGTCACAACATCGTCCTTGGCTCTCACGACCATACCTGTTTCGTCCTTGTATTTACCTCCAATGACTCGCACATGATCACCCTGATTAAAGCGCTTTCGCAAACTTTTCGCGGGGATCTCAATAACTTGTCCTCGCAAGTCACCTTCTTCGGCGCGGACAGTAACAATGTCACGATCTGAAGACACAACACGACCATGGACTCCAGTCTGTTCACCCTCGTGAACCTCGACATGGTCTCCAGCCTGGAAACTAGCAGTGGAAGACGATTGCTTCAAACTTTGGGCAAGAGCTTGCAGATCAACGCCCTCATCATCCTGGGAGGAAGAAAATCTGGTGACTTCCTCAAGTTTGGGCTCAACGTTCTCAGTCATCACCATCGTCAATCGGAAATCTTTAATCAGATATCCATTAACGTATTCCTCTCCCTGGAAGATATAGTGATTGTCCCTAGTCTGTCGCTGCTGAAAGTTCTTGGGGTCAGCCATACGCGCCTCCATAGGAGAAAACAGACGAGGCGCTGCTCTCGACGCTAAATGATTAGGCCGCTTTCTCTTTCCGTCAGGGCCCACTTGGCTCATAATATCTTGCGTTCTTCCGTAATCCAGACGAGGAACAAGCTTGAGCTGAACCTCCAGGCCGTTCTCACTCAGGTCGACCACCACCGCCAGATCTCCTTGGTATTTGCCACGCTTGATGCGGACATACGATCCAGGCACTAGCTCGGTATCGGCTCCCTTGTTGACACGAAGAAGATCTGTATATTCGGTGACGGGAATGAGGATCATTTGTCTGGCATAAACGTTGGGTATACCTTTGAGCGCATACTCCACGTCAGGCAGTTTGCGAGCTTCGACGTAGACATATCCTGAGAAGTTGTCACGCTGGAAAGCCGAGAGAATTTCAACGGGCGCTTTGGAGTACTGCAGACTGGCTTTTTTCCGCCAGATCGTCTTCACGATCTGCTTTTCTTTTCCAGTTTTACATCTCACACCCCAGATATTCGGATCAGCAACCGAAGGAACGAGAAGTCGCTGGGGCACAATGCTCATATCGCCACGGAATTTTGAAGTCGCCGAGCGTCCGTACTTTTCACGATATTCAGAGGCGAGCCTCTCAGCGTCTTCTTCGGCGATGGCGGCTCGTTGACGATCCACCTCACGATGCAGACGATCATCGCCTCGACCAAAATCATCGCCTTCAGCAGCATCCTGAATGAAGCCATCTATAACAAAATGAAAATAAAGACAGTCAGTAATCGGATCGAGCGCATGAAGAATATAATTGCAGAGTAATCACCTTCTCTTCCTAATTCGTCTTCGTCTTCTTCCATCTCTTCTTCGTCCTCGTCTACCTCGGCTTCGACATCGAGGAACTGATTCCTACGCTCTTTGCGAGGTCTCTTTCGCCGTCTCTGCAGAGATGAGTAGTAGTTAGTAGAAGTTCCAGATCTGAGATCGCATTCTTGCTAGGTTGAACATACACCTCCAGATTCTCCTTCGTCATCTTCGTCATCTTCGTCGTCCTCTTCATCGTCCTCTTCATCGTCCTCTTCGTCATCATTCTGCGGTTCATCCGCAATGTCATTTTCACCCTCGTCGGCATCGTCTTCGTCGTTCTCGGTCGCGCGGCCGGCTGATTGATTGCCACGACCACGTTGCCGCGATGGCGCATTGCTGGCGTCGTCGGGGGCCCCGGACTCCTCCAACTCCTCCTCAGGGTCCGAGTCATCAAATATGTTCTCAAGGCTAGACATTGCGTGAAATAAAAGAACCAACAGGAGCTGTGTTGAGCGATGCCAGTGTCGGGCTGCCTTGATTTACAATTTGTATTGTTACAGCAACGAGAGAGGAATCAAACAACCGGCACCAGCAGCCAGAGGCATGTTGTTTTGAGGCTTTAATGCGGTCAGCGTTTTGAGCATCAAAAGAAGCTGACTAAAACATGACAAATTGGTTTTAAACTTCAATAAGTTATTTTAACTTCTGCCAAACTCCCAACTTCTGAATTATTTTTTCGGGATAAAATCTGCGCGCCGCGCTGTTCCAACTTTCTCTCGCCAGAGCCTGATAGCAGAATTGTTTTGCTACTCAATTCTCTCTGGATAACTAGTTTTACTAGTTACTAATCTCGCCGTTCTTTTTGTCTTCTCTCTACTGGCAAGAAGATGATTAGAACTCTTACCCGAGCCAGCCGCCGCCTTCCAGCTTCTTCGCCGAAGGCTGCCACCGCTTTCTGCTCTCCGCCCTCTATCATGTCTCCGTCGCTCCCCATCCCTCTGTCGTCTTGTATGTCGCGTATGAATTCTACCGACGCATACTCGGAGCCTGAGGTGACCGATATGAAAGCGAGCAAGGAGTATGAGAAATTTGAGGATCTCACTCAATTGGACCCTTTGATTGTCAGAGGACTCACCGAGCACATGGGATTTACAAAGATGACCGACGTTCAACGGAAAGTCCTGCCGTATCTTTTGAACCCCAGGACCGCGGGTTCTGACGCTGTCGTTCAGAGCCATACCGGAACCGGTAAAACGGTGGCATTCCTGACTCCGATTATCCAAGAAGTGTACGCTCAGAACAAAGCGAAACGTGACACCAGACATAAGGTCGCAAGGCCTCAAGTTGTGATCATCACGCCGGCTCGCGAGCTCGCGTTCCAGATCAAAACAGAGGTCGAAAAAATCTGCCACGTCATTGCTGCGGAAGACAAACTAGCGTGTCCGCGGGTTTCGGCGGTCACTGGAGGCGTGTCGGCAAAGCTAAAATATGATGAAATCTACGGCTCGAAGACCAAGGGCTGTGACATCATCGTCGCAACTCCAGGACGCCTCGCTGATGACATGAGTCAGTACCAGGACATGTTCAGATTCGTCAGGACGAAAGTATATGATGAGGCCGATTCTCTACTGGACCGTGGATTTGAAAAGACCATGAAGGAGATCAATACCTTGCTTAACGGAGTTGCTAATGTCAAGCAAACGCTTATGTTCTCTGCCACCATTCGCGAGGACGTCATCAACATCGCCAAAAATGAGATGGGAAAGAACTTCTTGGTACTCCGGACTTCAGGGGAAGAAGCGCTTCCCGCCTACAAAAGAATTCCTCAGACAGTCATCCACGTGAAGCGTATCGGTGACCAGATGGAGCCTCTGGTCAGCTTGCTGCAACAGCGTGCAGAAGAGGTGGTGAAAGATCCGTCCAAAGGATACAAAGCCATCGTCTTCATGCGCACGGGTTTGGAGGTCAAGCATTATTCCGCTGTCGTTCACGAAATTTTGAAAGAGGTTAATCCTATGATGACTGTGACGAAAATGTTATCCCGCATGTCTCAGTCTAATCGTCTGAGAAATCTGGAAGAGTTTAAAAGGGCCAAATCGGCGGTTTTGCTCTCTACAGATGTCCTCGCCCGCGGAATCGACATCAGCAAAGTCACGGAGGTATTCCAGATCGGCATGGCGAGTGACTTTGAGACGTATGTCCATCGTACCGGACGAACCGGACGTGCAGGCAATGACGGCGCCGGTACTGTGATCTTGTCTCATAGAGAGCGCAGTTTCTTCTTGGACCTTGTGAAGAACGGTGTCAATTTCACGCAAAAGCTGGTGTACAACACCGACCCAGCACTGGCGGAATATATCAACAATATCGCAAAGGAGGTGGTTCTCAAGGATCAGAGAATCCATAAAAACAAAATCATCTCTACACGACGTAGAGGCCAATCTCAACTTGAGCAGGGTGGGCTTGATATCGCATCTACGATCACTTCCTTGGTGGGATACTACTCCTCCCGTCTGAAACTCCCAGATCAGATTGGTAAACTCAAGTTTTTGAAGGAGCTGATCGAGAGTGCTGGTGAAACTTTGGGAGCGGAACAGGGAACGATGCTGGATATTAGCAAGAGTACTCAGAAATCTCTGCTAAAGAGCTTACGTCTTAGACCAGATGAAGTACGCCCTTTTATGACCCCGAGGGAGAATAGTTTTGTTAGCACAGGCAGCAACGGCAAGTATTGATGGACTCTTATTCACTTATGTACTCGTTATTATCAGAACAGTCCGGATTTATTGTGATATACTTTTTGGCAGTTTTGGGTCTCCACTTTTTGCTTATTGTAGTTTCTTAATCTAGATTATATTATAGTCTATCAAAATCAAAAACTCTTCCAGTCAATGCTCTGCTCCCACGCAAAGGCAGCCTTAAACACCTTCAACTCATCAAACGACTTTCCCACCAACTGCATTCCAATCGGTAACTTGAGCGTCTCATCCTCCACCGGCGCCATCAGTGCGATCGGCAAGCTCATGGCCGGGTGGCCCGAGATATTGAACGGCATCGTGTTGATCGTCGTGCCGACGGCCTTTGACATCTTCGTCATGATGTCGTCCTCGAGCTTTGATTTGTAGTTTGCGGGAGTGGGAGCGCAAGGGGTGATTAGAACATCGTATTCGTCAAAGACGGCGTTGTAAGTGTCTTTCAGTTTTCGCGCAAGATTGAGCGCCTTGGACGTCAACCCCGGGCGCGAATCTCTTATGTACTGTCCTCCCAAAAGGGTGTTGGTCGCCGCAGGATTCTTGAGCGCAAGCTTATCAAACATCTCCTGATCCCAGTTCGCCAACAACTCCGGAACCTCCTTATCGTGCACACCAAAGTTCACCGGATTCTGTCCGCGCAGACCGTGCTCGGAAAACCCTTGGCGGGCGGCAATCGACCAGATCGCGGGCGCCTTTGCGTGCATCGGGATCGAGATCTCCGAGACCGTGATGTCGACGCCAAGGGTCTCGAATGCTTTCGCTGCTTCCTTGACCTTTGCAATGACGCGCTCGTCGAGGCCCGGCATGTCGAACGACTCGAGGATCAGGCCGATCTTGAAGCTCTTGGCGGCTTGCGCGGGGGCGTCTTTGAACTTTACAAGTTCGTCGTAGTACGCGGGGATAGGCGTCGGAAGACCAAGCTGTCGGGGATCGTACTCGTCTGCGCCGGCGATCGCCTGCAAGAACAGCGCGTTGTCAAGAACAGTACGAGTCATCGGGCCAGTGTGATCAACAGTGAACGCCAGCGACGCAATTCCAGTGTACGGAACCAATCCATACGTCGGCTTCAAGCCCACGAGGCCGCAGTACGATGCAGGAATCCGAATCGATCCACCCTGATCTCCGCCGACGGCCATATCGACGATTCCAGCGGCCACCAAGGCCGCACAGCCACTCGACGATCCTCCGGCGTTGTACCCGTCCGCATATGGGTTGCTCACGAACGCGTACGCGTTGGTGAACGACGACGGGCTCATTGAGAAGTTTTCGCAGGCGCCTTTTCCGACAATCGTAGCCCCCGCGGCCAAAACCCGGGAAACAATAGTCGCGTCGTACTTTGGCACGAAGCTGCCCTTCTCAATCACGTCGGTTCCCAGCAGTGACGGAACACCAGCAATGTTCACATTATCCTTGATCGCCATCGTTTTACCCGCCAGCAACCCCTTTGCGTCCTCAGCCGACTGCGATTTAATTGTCACTTTGTACGCCCAGGCATTGTACTCATTAGTCTCGGGCTGATGCACGTTCTCTCTCGGAAACCGCTCGAGATCGACATAGGGGAGATAATCTTCCTCATCCTCAATCACTTTTGCAAGATCTTCAAGACCGGATAGAAGGATCTGGTACGCGTTTGCGTCTTTCTTCGGAATGGTAACTCCGAGGGACTTTGCGACCTTGTCAAGTTTGTCCTCGGTGAACGAGCTGCAGGAGCGCGTTAGAGATCAATACAGCGATAATAAGACAGTTGCAAACTCAATGAAATACTCACATCGTCTCAGGTAACTTTGCTACAGACATTGTGCTCTAATTGCGCTCTGCTGGTGTTTGTTTGTCGAGGCAGCTTCCTAGTTCTAGTTCTAACCTCGAGGTCCGATGATGAACATCCGATAGCAATAAGCTCTGAACTCAAAAGTTGATAAGATAAGCGGACTTCTTTGTTTCAACCCTACAGATTACCATCTTCACAATCGTATATTGAATGCAATTCATGATGGAATTCATATCCACGAGTATATAATACAATATATCTACATTGTCTACAACAACGGGGTGCTCTCTGCACCGGCCTCCGCACTGTCACGCTTGGCGGTACCTTGCAACCGAACATGGAGCATGTCGCCTCTTCTTGACGTCTCCATCCTCATAGCCTCCCTGGAACAAAAATCATTAGTCAAATCATTCTAACAGCAAGACTCGATCCAAAAAACATACCTTAAAGCCATAGTAGCATACTGAGCAGTGCCGAGCTTCATTCTCACCACCAGTCCCAGTCTCGAACCATCGCCCAGAGCTTCCTGCTCGATAACACGCGAGCAGTCCACTCCTTTTTCTTTACTTTCCAGAATCTCGAGATCGGTGTTGACGAGCTGCTGGAGCGGGTTATCGTGTCGTCGGAAATCCCATTCTAGACTCAAGGGCTTGGAGAGCATATATCTGTACGCGCCAGAGAGGGAGAATTCCTTGACGTTGCGGTACATGTGTTTGGGATCCAGGCCGTCGCGCGACATGATGTCTTTGTAGATTTCGAGCAACGAAGCAGGATATTCGACGTCGAATCCGGGAGATGGAACCACGATATCGTAGATCGAGTACAGGCCAGACTCGACCTCCTCTTTCGTAAGAGCACGCACCTCTGCTTCCCGCTCTTGCAGCACATCCTCCTCAAATCCATCGTCAGCGTCAGCGACCGTCAACGCAGGATCGAGTTTATCCTTATGATCTTCCGCAATGACTAGATCTCCCTCGAGCACCTTCACGCCATACTTTTGAATCCGAGTCGACACCACGCTATTCCATACATAACTCTGGTACGCATGGACAAACATCAGCCGCAGATTCCTAGGAATCTGCATAATCGCGCCCAGCATATCTGTAGAGTTCCTCTGCAACCCGCGTAGCACTGCGCATTCAGCGGTGCAGTGTTTCGGCATCAACTTCACGATCGCATCGATGTCCTCTGGATCCTTTGCGTACTGCTCACGCGCAGCTTTTGACTCTTCCGTAGCCAGATCCTGCGGACAGAGGATTAATCGCACGGCTTTTGCGTAGTCTCCCTTGAGGATATGGACGCCGAGTTGGTGGGTAGAGATGGAAAACGTTCCGAAGCGCTGCATGCCAAAGTAGTTGATGAATCCAGTATCCCTGAGCGACGACAGCGCCTGATTGACGGCCGCTTGGACTTTTTCCACAGGTGCGTCAGCCGCGTCTGCGCTGCCTGGTAACCGGACATCTCTGATTGTAATAACAAACTCGTTGCCCATCAGCTCGCCTAGCTTCAGCATCCTGTTTGTGTACCTGAAGTCACAGAGCGCGATATCTTTGAGCGCGTTGTTGAGGTTCACGAGCCGATCGAGTCCGATCTGACGCATCGTCGCTCGCTGGACAGTCACACCTCTTCGGTCTTTTGTGCCCGCGATCGTGATTGATTTCGGATCTTTTCGCAGATACTTGCAGATCAACCGGCAGACATCCATCGTCTCCTTGTTGACCTTGTATATACTAAACTCGATATACTGATTCCGATCGCCAGCATGCTCAATCACGTACGGATCGATCCGCATCCCGTTATCCCCCCGCCCACCATTCCGTTGCCCTCCCGCCTGCACTCGCGAACTCTTCCCACCAGACTTGCGCAGCAAAAACTTATTCTCCGCCGTGGTCGACGACTCAATCAGGCTGCCGTACGCAGATCGGATCAGCTGGTGAATCTTCCCGCGCGTGGCTTTCTCCGTGACTTCCTTGGTTGACGTGTACTCTGTCTTTGTATTTTTCTCGCTCGACAGGATCTCGAGCGCAGCAAGTGTGCATTCTTCGCCCAAGATCTCGCGGAGCTGGGCCTCCGACTCTGCGTTCACGACGTAGTTTTTTGGTGTTGCTGCCGCTGTTGCTTTGCTTGCCTCTTTACTCTCGTCACCATTCTTACTATCCTCCCCCTCCTCTTTCTTCTCCTTCTTCTCCTTCGAAACCTCAATTTGCACAGGAATATGCTCAAGATGCAGAACTTTCCCCGTAGTCAAGATCTCGTTCACCAAAAAATCAGTATACCGCTGCTTCAACAATCCCAGAACTCCAGTGTGTGAGCCCAAATACTCTGTGATCCCGACATCAGTCTCCATAACCCCCTTCTCTCCAAATCCGTCCAAAGCGCTGCCGTTCACAGTCTGCGAATCTTCGACCGGAGCAGCGTCGGATTCATCTGTCTTTGCGCGCTTCAGTAGCGGGTCTTCAGCGTGTTCTGCGGAGCGTTTACTCATCGTGCTGAGCGACAAGCGGGGTGTATGCGATTGAGATATAACTTTTTGTACAGGTGATCTGATTACGGAAGAGACAGGTACTCTCTTTATATGTACCTGGCTTATTCCAGTGCTTAGTTTCCTCAAAAATCACAAACAACTGCGAGAAATTTTTTGGAAAATAAAAAATACCTGCGATTAGAGTTGTGGAGCTGTGCGGCGGGGTTATGTAAGTTATCATGAATTGTTAACAATACCTTGATAAAGCCACTCAACATCTAATTGATATCCTGATAGTTCTGATTGTATATTACTCAAAAGTCGAAATACAAAAAGAAGACAAAACTACATATCTATACATCTCTACAAAGCCACGTTCCACAGCTTAACACAAGCATCAGCACCCACACTCACAATCTTACCCTCCCCAACCCACGCCACAGCATTAACGCCATCCTTATGCGCTCCCAAAGTCTTGACATTCTTCGCCGGCTTATCGACGCTGTAGACAAACACGTTCGTATCCAAACTTCCGGTCGCAACGTACTTGCCGTCCGCGCGCCACGAGATCGAGGTCACGCGCGCGGTGTGGAACGCCCAGCGGGTGGTCACGACGGACCCGTCGGTGACGTTGATGACGGCGATCTTGCCGGTGGTGTCGCCTGCGGCGAGGAGTAGGCGGCCGTCGGAGTCGGTGAGCGGGCAGAGAGAGACAGTGCTGACGGCGGCGCGGAGGGGAGCGATGGCGGTCGGGAGAGGCTTGAGATCGGGCACGGAGAGAAGGGTGATGGCGCCGGACTGCGAGCCGACGGCTGCGACGGAGCTGTTTGCAGAGACGGCGGTAATTGAGGAGCTGCTCCATGAGGCAACCTGCTTCATGCTCAAGTCGTAAGTGTACACAGCGGTCTCGGTAGCGAGGATAAGGTACTCTCCCGCAGCAGTGAGACTCTTCGGCTGGGCCGGAGTCGACAGCGAGGAAGAGGTAAACTCCTCGGCTGAGAAGGACTTGATAGTGTCATCCCAGGCAGAAGTGTAGAATTTACCCCCGGTCTCGACAATGTTTGTGATCAATCCGCTATGTCCGCTTCCAGAGACAAGTTTCGCCTCACCCGTAGCAGCGTTCCATTGCACGACTCGGCCATCATAACTAGCCGTATAGATGCTCTTCAAGTCCGAAGTGACGCTAACCGCCGTTATCGATTTCTGATGACCGTAGAGAGTCTCGGAAGGCGTGGCCGACGATTCCGAAAGCGTGTAGATATCACCTGGCAGCGAGACTGCGGTTACTGTAGTGGTGGAAGTGAAAACGACACCAGAGAGATGGTCGTCTGCAACCTTCCATTTGAAAACCTCGCTGACGGCCGAATCCTTGAACTCCCACAACTTCACCGAGCCGTCGGTGGAGGCGGTAGCAAAGCGGCATGCGCCGTCCTCGCTCTTGCCCGAGGCAACCGAGAGAATTCCACCATCATGAGCTCCGTCGACGCGCGCCAACACATCACCCTCCTTACCATCGTAAATCACAATCCGACGGTCCATTCCAACACTCACGACATAAGCTCCATCGAGCGAGAACCGCAGATCGGTGACAAAACTGGTGTGCTCGCCGCGAATAGCCTTGACAAACTTGAAAGGCGGGCCGGCGAGCCACACCACTGCCGCGTCGTCGGCCGCCGTCGCGGCTCTGAACGGACGCACAGAACGGATGTCTGCGGCATTGATTTGCGACGCGTGGCCGGTGATTTCGCCGACGCTGTTGCCGGTGTCGAAGGTGAAGCAGTGGCCGAAGCGCTCCTTTCCGTCGCCGACGGCGATGATCCGCTTACTGTCGCTGTCCCAGGTCAAATCATTGATACGACCGGAGATTATAGGAAAAGTGCCCTTGACGATCTCTGGATCTTCGGTGGTCGATGAGGAGTCAAAGACCTTGACGTTTCCGGTGACGTCGCCGGAGGCGATGTAGTATCCCGAGGGAGCGAACTTGGCGACGCTGGTGGATGCGGTGTGGCCGGTAAACTGGGTGCTTGAGCTGGGATCTGAGAGAGAGCGGAGGATGACGGCTTTGTTGCTCGGATAGACGAGACGGTTGGTACGGGGATCGTAGGAGAGATGGAGCGGTGTGCCTTTGATGGTCGAGGGCAGGGCGGCCCAGATCGACTCTATGAAGTGCGTTAGGAGACTGAGGGGAGTGCGTTGAGAATAGGAATAAGAAGACAGAAACAATTAAAATACCTCTGGTGATTGACATGCTCGATTACTGATGCAAGAAGGAGGAGGAAGAAGGAAGTAAGCAAACAAGGTGGTTGATTGCGCAATGTTTTGGTGAACGGGCGGCTCGAGGCGGACCTCGACGCAGCCCTAAACTCACTTTGATCCCAAAGTGTTTATCTGTTTACTTGTTCAATATGATTACTATTATTGGTATATTTATAAAACGAAATATATACAAATCCATCCATATATACTTGAGATGTCGATTTGAGAATCAAAAGACAGACAATTAGCCACAAAACTCCACATTAGTCGAAATAAAAAAGGCATGAAAACAGAGCAGAATAGGCAGACATCCAAAGCGCCTTATTCTTCCGCTACGAGAATAATAGAGCGACAATGGCGACACGCCGCTGTACAAACGCAAGGAAAAGGTATAGAACAAAACAAACAAATTGACAAAATAGGCAGTCTTAGCTGCTGGGAGCGTCAGCAGAAACCTGGGTAGACTCTGGCTCGACATCCGAGTAAGGAGGCAGCTGCGAGACGTCATAGGCCTCGTCGGGAAGGTCATGATAGCTCTTTTCTCTGAACTCACGTCTCTCTCCCGAAGGGTTGACGACGACGATGTACTCGTAGTCAGGAACTCTGCCATAGCGGAATCTCAAGAACGCGTTGGAAATGAGATCAGAGAGCCAGACGCAAGCCATGACGACCGCGCTGCCGGTGAGGATTCCGATGAGTAGAGGAAGGGTGAAGCTAAAGAGAGAGTGGGTCAAGGCGTTGAAAAGACTAGCGGCGCTCTCGTTGCGGCCAGAGGAGTGGCGCTGGCTGCGGTGGGACTTGCGGGCGCTGTGGTCGTCAGAAGAGTGCTCCTCGTGATGGGACTTGGACTTGGACTTGTGGCTAGAGTGCTTTTCGGATGACTTGTGGCTGGATCGTTGCTCCTGGAGGTCGACGCCAGAGAGGTTGTTGATGATAGATCTGGTGTTGGTCTGGAAGCCGGAGGCCAGGGATCTGATGGCGCACCAGTACTTGTTTGAGGTCTTTGCGCACGAGTCCGAGACGGAGTTGGCGGAGGACTCGAACTTGACGGGGACTTCGCTGTTCACGCTGTCCTTAAGAACAACGTAGCCATCTTCGGAAACCGCGAGGTTGGCGAGAAACGCTGGCGCGCTGTCTTGGCCGGAGTGTAGGAGGATTGCGGCATTGGAGGACTTGGCGCCGTTGTCGATACTCTGGGGGGTGAAAGAGAGAGAGATTTGGAAAGACGAGCCGCTGGAGCGTTCCAAGGATGAAGAGTGCGCAACCAGGGCGGGAGAAGCGGGGGCGATGTAGGAGATGTAGGAGATGGACTGGACAGTGTCGGGATCAAGGATGAGTTGGGAGTCCGCGACGGAGGAGATGGCGTCGATGATTTCGCTGTTCAGGATGTACTCGTTTGTCTGGAGATGAGAGTTAGAATAGTGAGCAAAAAGAGATGTAAGGTGAAGAGAAAGGAGAGAAAGCACCTTCTGGGAGATAGCCTGGGCGAGGACGTCGCCGGAGGGTGAGAGAAGGTCGTCGACGCTGGACGGAGTTAGTATGGCAGCTGGGAGGAGAGGTATAGGAGAGGAAGGAGCTGGAAAGAGGGGGTAAAACGCACTTTGTGATCTCGACGGAGAAGCGGTTTCCATATGCCGAGGGCGAGTTAGAGATCAAAACGGCCTGTGAAGGAGAAATCAAGGAGAGCTTAGAATAGGAGGAGAGGAGCGGAAGATGGCAGATCAGGCGAGGAAGAGAACATACGGAGTTTGCGGCCGCGGCGAGAGAGGCGAGGAAAGGAGCCACGGCGAGCAGGCCGAAGGACTTCATAGCTGATGTTTCCGAGTAGAGAAGAAGAAGAAGAAGGCGTAGAGGAAGAAGTAGAAGAAGGAGAAGCTGGTGGTGGTGAAGAAAGTCGAGGAGCAGAGACAAAAAATATAAGTCTGCAAAGGGATGCCGGAGCGACTCCAATCGCCACCGCGCTCGCTCACTAATCCGTAAGTAAACGGGTCAATTTGGCCCGATTGGGATTAATTTGTGTGACGTTGCGGTGCACAAATAAGCTGCACGCTTCCCGAAGGATCCGAAGCCCGAACCCTCAACTCGGCTCTGACGGATCCGAGAGGAGAGGAGCTGATGTCATTAGGCTGAGATAGAAGATTAAAGATCATTAACCATGCCTCGGGCTGTTAAGGGTGGGTATTGCTATATTTGTTGTATTTATTGTATATCTACTACTTCTATTACTTCTACTAACACTCCTCCAGGCGTCTTCGTAGAGTGCGATCCCTCCATCAAGTCCCTCGTCCTCAACATCGACGCAAAGTCCCATAATGTCGTAATAGCTGTACACTCCCTCCTCTCGCTCCTCTATCTACTTCCTCTACTTCCTCTAACTCACTGCTCTCTAGGACCTCGACGACGAGCATCTCGTCATCGACGAGCGCCAGGTCGACAACGTCAAACGGCAACTCGACGCCCAGCTCGCGGAAAACACTTTCAACCCGGCTGAGCTCGAGAACAACCCGGAGAAGTAGACATCGAGGCAGCATGTGCAGTCCAAGAGCTGATATCTGATACTCTCTACTCGTCTCTACTCTACTCTCTCTGCTCTCCGCCCTCGACTCTTCCGAACATACTGATCTTCACTGATCTTCAGATCACAGCAGCACAGCAAAGTTGTCTGCATCTCCATCCTCACAGTCATCCCTCCTACATCAACTCCGTCAGTCTGTCTCGATCTCAATCCCTCTCTTCAGTCATATCCTGACTCTCCTCTTCAATCAATGCACTCTTGACCTCTCTTAATTAACTCCTGCTCAAATGTAAACATTACGTAACCTATTATCCAACAACCCACATTTCCATCACGTGACATTAACATGAACGAGCAAACTCTCACTTCAAAACAAAACTCTTGCTCGAGTCCAAGTCTTGATGCGAGCTATCAACCAGTAGATTTACCCACAAAAGCACAAAAATGGTGAGTATATTGTTATTACCCTGCCCGAAATGTCGCTTCATCAGCAGACGAGCAAAAGAATACACAGCCGCTAACACCATATAGCTGCCACTAACCCTCCTAAATATATCACAAGGCCATCCGATGCTCGTCGAGCTCAAGAGCGGCGAGACATTGAACGGCCATCTCGTCAACTGTGATGCGTGGATGAATCTGACTCTGGAAGAAGTTGTCCAGACGAATGCTGTGAGTTTACCTTTATTTTCCTGCTGCGAGATGTGGAATCCGCAATCTATACTCCAATGCTGATCTGTTCTCCACAGGATGGTACTCGATTTTTCAGACTACCAGAGTGCTATGTTCGAGGAAACAACGTAAGCTTCCCTTTTCCTCTTCTTCTCCCTCTCACCTTCTCACCATCTCACAACTAACACCCCCAGATCAAATGCCTGCGCGTCCCAGACGAAGTCCTAGAACTCGCCCGCGAAAAGAACCAGCAACAGCGCGAAGAATCCCGCCAAAACCGCAACTCCAACCAAAACTACGGCAACCGCGGCGGCAACGGCGGATACAACAACAACCGGGGCTACAACAATCACAACGGCAACTCGCAGCGCGGCGGCGGGTATAACCGCGGCGGCGGCCGCGGCGGTGGGCAGTTTCGCGGGGGCATGAACAGAGGTGGAAGAGGTGGTTATTAGTCCGAGGTCACTTAGTTTTTGATTATCTCTCATGTCTTTTCTCGCTACCCTTTTTGTACAATATCTTGGCTCTATTTTTGTTTACTGTGATTTTTGTGTAATTCTAGAGCTGTCCTCTTTTACCCATCTGATAAATGAGATCTTACATTGAAAAGAAGGCTCGTTTGTTCATGACAATTACAAATACATATACAAAAAACACACATCACACGATAAATTTAAACCAATTTCAAAACAAATCTGCAACTTTTCGTATCACATTCACGCTCATCTGCGTCCCCGTCCCCGTCCACCTCTTCCACGGCCCCGTCCGCCGCGACCACCCCGCCCACCCCTCTTCTTCTCCCTCTTCTCCCCGCCTTCCTCACCCGCACCTTCGCCATCCTCCCCATTCTCGTTGCGCTTCCGCTTCTCGGTTCGGAACGCGTCGAATTTTCCAAAACTGAATCCAACCTTGCCGCCGTTCGCAGCCAAGAACTCCTCCTTCGGCATAACCTTGAGCTTCTTCTCGTTGAACTCGAGCTCGGGATTCGACTCTGCAAACGACTTTGCGTCCTCCGCCGACGCAAACTCGACAAACACGCTCCCGACAAACTTCTTTGAGAAATCTCGCAGCAGCCGGACCTGCTTCACAACAGGCCCGCTCGCCTTCTCAAACAAGGACTCGATATCAAACTGACTCGTCGGCGTCTCCTCGCCAAAGCCCTCGACGTACAACGACTTCAAATCAATCTGCTTCTTCTCCTCCGGCGCGGGCGCGCTGATCGGCACCTTCCGTCGCACTTTCGTGCCTTCCTCGTCAACCTCGAGCAACTCCTTACTCTCGCGCAGCGCAGCCACGACCTCTTCAAACGGCTGGAAACGGCGCATGCGCGCAAAGTTCGCAATCGTGGAGATCGGCACCCAGCCGTCGTTCGCGCTCGTCGTCTTCCAGAGGAACTTGTCGCGGGGGAGGTTCTGGTCGGAAAAGTAAAACTCGACTTGCTTCAGGATGAGTCCGTGGTCGGAGGTCGCAGGCAGGACTGATGGATCTGACACGATCTTGGACTTTGATCCACTTTCCTTCTTCTCTTCCTTCTTCTCCTCCTTCTCTTCCTCCTTCTTCTCCTCCTCCTTCTTCTCCTCCTCCTTCGTCTCCTCCTTCGTCTCCTCCACCTTCTCAACAACCTCCTCCTCAGCAACAGGAGCAACAGGCTTCTCCTCAGCAACAGCACCGCTAACCTCCAAATCCTTAGTATCCGACATCTTTTCTTTCCTTTTCTTTTCTGTTCCTCTAGCTTTCCAAAAACTAGCAGCAGAAATACACAGTGTGCTAAGAGATCAACGGCCGTAGTCCCAGTCCCAAACACCAAAAAAATTTCAAGTACTGTGGTCATTAGGGTTTTGAGGTGGAACCTTATTATGAGTGAGATGTTATGTAATACCCTATGATTGTTCTGCAATGAAGCGTAGGAAGTATTGTATTGATGGTGATTTAGAATCGTGGGGTATATACACAGATAGAAGAAAGGAAAATATGAAGGGCATTTAGTCTATAAAATATGAATAAAAGAGGAGCACTAGCAGAGCTACTGCTGACGACTCTGATCTTCTGTAGGCGTTGAAGGAGTCTGCAATGTCGGCGAATTCCCAATGACAGGCGACCCGCCGAAGATATTCAACCAGCTGCTCCGCTTCTTCTTTGGCAGATTGAGGTTCGGTGTACTCGTCGTGCTCTCCGCCGACACAGACCTATGCGGCGCCGCGGGAGGGACGAACTGCTGCGGCGGGGGATTAGGCGACGTCGACGAAGGGTTCGGTGAGGATTTCGTGTCTGTCAGACGGAGTGGGAGAAGCATCTTTTGGCCGTGCGAGGAGACGCGTCTGTAGCCTGGCGAACTTGGCTGTGCTGCAGATGTGCTTGCGGAGCGGTTTAGGTGCGGGGAGCCGGTCATGGGCGATTTGTTTTTGGCAGGGGAAAGGGTGCTTGAGGAGAAAGAGTCGTGGTTCGCCACGTCGATGTTGATGCCGATTCCGATGCGGGAGCGTCTCCGGGATGAAGAGGTTGATGACGATGAGATCTGGGGGGATGTTGCTGCAGATTTAGCAGGGGGCGGGCCAGACACCGAAAGAAAGTCAGATCCCGACGGAATTCGCTGCTCTCGCGGCGGTCGTGAGAGTTCAGGTGAGGTAGAGCTAGGCATCTGAGGGGTCGAGGCGGTAGACTCAGACTCGAGCAGATACTCGAGCCCGGCACTGTCAAGTAGCTTTTGCGTTATACGCTCGATGTATTCCGTCATTGCCGAGTTTGTTTCTTGCAGCTTTTGGTTCTCCTTGATCAGGTCGTCGATCGAAGCCGGCCCGGTCCCGTCCAGTTCGTAGGCCAAGGTAGAAGACGCCGGCGCTCCTGAGTTTCGGTTTCTTCTCCGACCATCTTTATCTATCGTCTCAAACTTATCTGACAAAAACTCCTGGAGCTCAGAGATCTCTCTCGTCAGTCTCGCGCACTCGGCGCGGTATTTCTCAATCTGCGCTCTGTGGTCTTCGGTCTCGGCCGCGTGCGCCTTGTCGGCCGCCAGTAACTTGAGGTGGATATCGGCCAGATCTAGACGCAGGTTTTCCACCTCGCGCAGGTTGCTCGCGCAGTTTGCACAGGGGGTTCGGGAGGATTGGTCGTCGGGCGAGAACGAGGCCGAGGTGCGGTTGTCGTTGTCTGGTGTGGGTGGAAGAGCGACTTGGGTGGCAGATGGCACAAACTCTGCCCATTTCTTGTTTTCGAGACTTTTCTAAAGTACCGGACGTGTTAGCTGCTTCGAAAAAGGCTGGGATTTTCTCTACTGCGACACATACTTCTAGCTCGAGCTCACGAGTGAGCTGCTGGTTCTGACGGTTGGCATCAGCTAACTCGCCGGCGAGGTACTCAATCTCGTGCGATTTCGACTCAAGATCATGCTCCTGAACCAAAGCAAGCCGTTCAGAGTCTCGTAGTTTGTCTGTCAGGTCGTGGACAAGTGCTTGTAGCTTTTCAGTCTCGTTCAGAAAGCTTGTGTCGTGGTTGTTGTTGTTGGTGTTGTTGTCGTCGCTGGGGCTGTAGTAGCTTTCGTCGCCGTCCTCGTCGCGTATGCTAGGCAATTCAGACAGACTTTTCCTGATCAGAGCGCTGTTGCGCCTCTTAGGTCCGCTCGGGGCCTGCGTAGTCTGTGAAGGCAGCGTGTCCATGGCTATTTAGTTCTGTTTGTCTGACGAAGGCCTGGAGGAGCAAAAGTGCGGCGATGCACCTGATGACGATGAAAGATCTCTGACTCAATCTCAAGCAGCCATGTCCCTTCTTCCTTGCTGCACCTCTCTCTCTCTTTCTCTTGCTGCTGCACGCGGTAGTTGTTCAGTGTCTGGCTCTGGAATTGTACGTGGACGCGAGCAGTGGCTGCACGCCGCTTGGGTTCGCTTATTCGAGGCGGCTGCACAACCTGTGCGGCTCAGTACGAGGCCCGCGTACAAGGTCGAGAAGACCCTTTTGGTTGTGCAGAGGAAGGGGGTAGGATGATGAAGGTGAATCTGATTTATGGTCGGTGTGCAGCAACTGGGCTGCGGTGGAGATGAGAAGAGAGATCTGCGGAGGATTGCTGGGCTGTGTGGAGAGTAGAGTGGCGGGGTGATTTCTGTAGTTAGTAAGTAAACTTGAGCATAAAGAATATAAAGACTTATTTATGTAAAATAGTAAACTTCCTTTGTTGAGTCTTTACAGAGTCTTTACAGATACACTTGATAATAGAATATACGTTATATATTCTAAAGCATCCATTCGTTGATGAACAGGGCCCGTACAGTGAGTAAAAGCAGAAGAGAACAAGAAGGAACTGTGCTCCCAACGGAAGGTTTAGAGATTCAGAGAGAACTCGACGCCAGCAAAAACCGTCTCTGTTCGTCCACCTCCACGAGAAACACACTCACCAAAAAATTCAAGATATGAACCGATAAAAAATGTCTACGAGCTCGATAGGGGACCCCAGTTCCAGCAGCATCATGCTGAGCGACGACTCCACCGACGAGCAACTCCAGCAGCAGCAGCAGCGGATGAGCGGTAATGATTCTACAACCATGAACAGCAACAACAATAATACCGCGAATCAGTACGTCGGCGCAGCGACCGCGGGAACTCGGGCGCTTCTTTCTCAGTTCATAGCACTCTATGCGCGTGTGCCGGTGAAATTGTTCCGGCCTACGCGTGTGGACTACCTGATGGTGCCGCGGGCCGTGAACCCGGCTGTTGCTTCGAGCTTGCCTTACAGTTTCAAGACGCATTCGAGTCTGGCGCTTTTGAAGCATGCGGTGAACGAGTATGGATTTAGATTTATCACAGAGCAGGGTGGGTATTCAACCAAGAAGAGGTGAATTTGAGTCCGAGTGAACCGTACTGACAATCGATAATAGTTCTCCCACCACTGATTGCAAATTCCATGATCGGAGTCGTGCTCTACACCACATACCTGACCGCACTCCCACTAGTCAGATTCGGTTCCGACAACGAGTCAGGCTCGATAGGTTACCGCCAAGCTTTCCTGGCCGGTGGCATCGCAGGAGCAATGCAATCTCTAGCCGCGGCTCCGGTGGATGCAATCTTCCATCGGTTCTCAGTCTCCGAGCTCTTGATCCCCGACGACAAAAACACGGGCGAGACGCGGCACAAGTCGTTGTGGCGGTACGGGTTCGAGAAGCTCCAGTCGATTGGAGTGCGCGGCGTTATGGCGGGATACTCGCTCTCGTTCGTGAAAGAGTCGGCTGGATTCGCCGTGTTCTTTTCGACTTTTGAAGGGGTTAAACAATGGAGCTACAGGCATATTGTTGAGAGCTACGGTGCGCCGGTGCCGAGGTATGCGGATGCGAAGAAAGGAGCGACAGTTGGGACGGAACAGTCTGTAGATAGCATACGAGAAAAGCCCTCGGCGGCGCTATACCCAGCTACAGTACTCGGGGCCGGAGCAGCTGCATCGATAGCACTTCAGGGGGTTCAGTACCCGCTCAGCCGGCTACAGAACATACATCTGACGATGCTCGAGGCGCTCGACTACAGAACGCTGTACCGCAGTCAGAATAAGAACAAAGACAAAGACGGAATACAGCGATCAGAGCGCGTGAGCGGGCGGAAACTGGCGCACATCTACGTGGCTTCCTACCGACGCACGCTTGCAGAAGCGAGCAGGCTTAAAGACCGGGGCCGCAATGGAGGGTCTTGGCTCAAATGGATGTACCGCGGCTTCGTCCGCCACGCACTGGGAACGGTGCCGTCGAGCAGCGTGGGCCTGTTTGTGTTTGAGATCATGCGGATCCGGTACATGGAGGACTTTGAGGGCGTCGAACTGGACGACGTCGTGGTGCTCGAGGCCTAGAAAGGCAGAGCAGAATGTAAATAACGAGTAAGAAATAAAATGAGATGTTGATGCGCTTCCGGAAGCGGCGAGCCCCAACCCTGTGCTACTCCGGTTCGCTGCGGCTGAGGGGAATCCACCGCTTCCCATTGTCCGCAGTCGCAACGAGCCCGGCGCAGAACCAGCAAAAGACGATAAATGTCGACACCCGCAACGCGCCCGACTGCGCTCAGTGTGAACACCTCCGTCAGCTCGGCTTCGTCGCTCGCGCCTGCTTCTGCCTCTGTCACTCCAACACCCTCCCTCGTCGCCCCGGCTTCGGGCCTCGCGCGCGCCCGCTCCATCGACTCACCCACATTCTACCGCGATCTCACCCCCCTCCCCTCCCCCATCGTCGGCCCTCCGCGCACGCCCTCGACCCACAGACTCGGTCCTCCACCACTACCGCCACCGTCTGGCGTCCAAGCCCGTCCGCGCAAGCCCTATGGAGAACTCACGCTCAACAGCCAAGATCCCTTGCAGCGCGAGCTGACCCGCGCAAGCTCAGTCCGCGAACCCACGCTCGAAGTCTTCGAGGCCTACGAGCACCGCTCACTTCGCAAACTCAGATGGAAAGAAGTTCGCTTACTCGGCAAGGGTTCGTTCTCACGAGTGGTCTTGGCCAGGCTGATCCTACCCTCGACCTCATCGTCCGATGACGACGACGATGACAACGACGACCGAAAGACCGATAGAGGTGACAAATCAAAGCGGAAAGACAAGAAAGAAAGTCGGTTAGAGCAGTTTCGCGGCAAAGAACTCGTTGCCGTCAAGATCGTCGAGCTCGCTGGCGCTGGCGGTGCTTCAAGAGAACGCATCGAGAGCTCTCTGAAGCGAGAAGTTGATATTCTAAAGGTCTGCCGAAAATCTTCATGATCCGTACTTTTTGTGCCCCAAATTTTCAATTACTGACTCGCTCAATTAACCTGCAGGATCTTGATCACCCATGTCTAATCCATCTCGTGGCCTTCAACCTAGATCAAACCCGAGCGTTGATCGTCCTTCCGTTCTGCATCGGAGGTGATCTTTTCGACCTGGCCACCAGCCCCGAACGCGAGACCATCCTGCAGCCCGCCGTCGTCCGCAGACTATTTGCCGAAGTCGTTTCCGCCGTGCTCTATCTTCACACCCACAGCATCGTCCACCGCGACATCAAGCTCGAGAATGTACTCCTCAACGTTCCTCAATCCTCAGTCCTTGACGCAATATCAAAAGACAGATCTCTCACAACTCTGACCGACTTTGGTCTATCACGACATATCGATCCCGAGAAACCTATGCTCACAACTCGCTGTGGATCTGAAGACTACGCTCCTCCAGAACTGATTATGGGCCAACCATACGACGGCCGTCAGACCGATGCTTGGGCTCTAGGTGTCTTACTGTACGCCTTAATAGAAGGTCGATTCCCGTTTGACGGACCACCAGCTCAAGTATCCCCCGTAACCCCCGGAAGCCGCAAAAGCAGCGCTCGGAATCGCGTCAAGCATCGAATCGCAAGAGTTGAGTGGAGTTGGATCAAGCTGCGGCGGAAAACATCAGAAGAGACTACACTAGAGGCCGCAGCCGACGACAAACCGGCAGAGGAGGAGCCGGAGGAGATTTGGAAGAGTGCGATGCAGATCGTCGAAAAATGTCTGCAACGACGGGAGTCGCGATCGGCGGTGTCTGACATTGCAAGCACTGAATGGGTCAAAGGGGTTCTTGACTCCATCAACCTTACTCGATGATAAGGATTGTTTTCATTTGCGCCATGTGAGAAGACAATCAGGAAGATGATGATATTCCACGCAATAGGGCACCATTGGGGTAGATATACCCGTGTACGATAATACGAATAAACAAGATAGAGCACATATCAACAAACTGGCCGATGGGAGTTTGGAACCTTGACAATAAGAAGGAATGTCGCCTGTATTTACGAGATCTACGTGTTCTGTAACTGGTACTTGAGCATGTGAAGACGGAACCGTCTTATTTAATAATTAATTTATCTATTATACATCAAGCCATATCATACCTATACAGTACGCACGTTAGTAATTGAGTAATTAATAGTCGCCGACATAGAAAAATACAACAAAAATGGGCAAGAGAAAAGAAAACGCAGATTAGATCAAGTAATTTTAAACCGTCATCGACAAAGCACTCGACCCAATCCATCCTCCAGCATCTGCGAACCCACTAGTTTCTTTTTTGAATAAACACACTGGTAGAAGAATCGCTATCTGAGGTTACATCGTGATTAGATCCTGGTAGGGGAGCTGATAACCGGGTGGATTGTGAGTGCTTGTATTCTCGGGACTCTGATATCATCATGGTTCTTTAAATAAGAAAGCCGAATATAAAAGAAACAAAAACAAGCAAATATAAAGGTAAAGAGGGAAGTCATACATTTTCTGTGCAGCATCTCGCTCATCGCTTCTTTTTGTGAATCTTTGAACTGTGTAATGAAGCTTTCAAAATATCATCGGTAGCCTTCTCATACGGCTTATTGCTCTTGACGGTTTTCGCCTTGATCTCCGTATTCGCTTTCCGCAGCAAAATCGGGTGCGAACCAATATATTTCCCATTCATCTCCTTGAACGCACGAAAGTAATCGTCCGGATCCTTGAACGCCACAAACCCGTAGCCCTTTGTCTTGCCTGATACCTTTTCGCGGATGACGCGCGCTCGCGACATTGAAGGGTACTTGACGAACGCTTTCTTCATGGTCTCGTCTGAGACATCGCCGCCTAGGTTTCCGACGAATAATCGGAAATGCGTCGGGTCCCATTCGAGAAGAGTCGGGTCTTCCCATTTCCGGCCGCCGCCTTCGCGAATCACAGTCACACGCTTGCCGTCAGGACCTACTTCATACAAACTCTTATGATCCCCAGAGCCGTCAGCTGCGCCACTAGTACTCGCGGCGTAGCTGTTGTTGGATCCCGAAGCGCCTGAGGATGGAGTGGAAGATCGCATATGTTGAGGAATATACGCAGACTGCTGCTGCGCTATGTTCGCCTGATCGAGCATGTCGTGAGAATACCCTTTCGTCTGCGCTGTGCTCCCAATAGTTGGAGCGGGTGAACTGAATCGGCTTGTATTGCTACTGCTGCTGCCACTGTTGACGCTGCTGAACGGCCGTGAAGTTCCAATCGCGCTTCCCCCACTGCGTGACGCCGACGACGACCCGATAGGCGCGAACGCCCTCTGAAATCCAGATCTGGCAGCCGGACTCGCTCCAGCCGATGACGGCGACGAAATACCACCCACACCTCTATTCAGAGTAGGCGGCGCGGAAATAGTGGCGGCGCTGGTAGAAATCACCGGCGGTCTCGAGATAACTGGCGCGGCGGAGTACGTCGTCGTCGTCGAGCTGGCGGGCTTCGCGACCTGTCTGGGCTTGAACGCAAGTGGAGTACTACTGACTCCCGGAGCATTTTTAGTCGGGTTTGGAATAGTGTTGTTGAAATTCGACATGGCTGTTTATTTGTGTTGTGAAGTTTAGAGAATTCGAGATGAGCTGCGATTCTTTATTTTTGAGCGAGTCCGTTTAGGGTTTGCGGAAAAAACTGGAATTCTGCCTGTTTAGGTAGTAGCCGATTTTTGATCAGCATCTCGAGTGAGTATAATTTAGGTAGATGCGTCGAAAATACTACTGGATGTACATAATACAATGCTGATAAATTCCCACACCCAAATAAAAGACACACTAGGTAAAAATAAAATAAAGACAACAACAGCCTATGTATCAATCAAACACCATAACTCAATCAAGCGCGAACTTTTCGTCCCCAACAGTCCGTCCATGGTCGACGCTCCAGCTGAAATAATAAATCAATACAGCAGACGGCTGACCGATAAAAAAGCTGAGCCAGAATACGCAGTTTCCCAGAGTTCCCGCCCATGGTCTGTTGATTTTCTCCAGCGGGACTGTGAACATAACGAGAGGAATCTGGAGCAGCATAAGGACGAAAGCAACTCTATTTTATAGATTATTAGAAGATGTCAATGAAGAAATAATGAATAGAGCTGTACATACCCGATAATATTGTGGGTCGGAACACCGACGAGGATTTCATGGAGTACTGCGCTGACGAAGAAAACCATGACACTAGCAGTCGTCGGCTTCCACCCCCTTCGCACCAACGGCACGTAGATATGTCGTCTAAAGTAGTTTGTGACCGGCTTATTCCACAGTCTCCAGTATTCGCCAACCGATCTCGAGTTCCACCAGTCATCATAAAACTCTCGGTCGCCGAAACGCATGACTTCAGCCAGAGCGTTGAGTCCTGACTGGAAAACACAAAAGAATCCAATGAGCCAGATCGCCATACTGATCGATGCAAGCTTGAAAAGACGCTCCAAGATGCCGAATAGCTCGAGATTGTGAATGTGTTGGAGACTATTCTCGAGCGTCGGAACCGCGTACTGTGCCGACAGAAAAAGAATCAAGAGCGTGCATGAGATAACTTCGATTATGCGTTTGATGAAAAACAGCGGTCTGAATGATGGTGACCGGGGGTACACTGGTTGATAAACAAGCGTAGGGGCCCACCAGAAATATGACAGGTTTCCTACGCTGAGGTTTTTGGGATACTGCTTCGAACTGTAAAGCTCCGGAACAGCGGGGGAGGCCAGAAGCAGCGATTCTCGAAGATCACGATTTGTCAATGAAAATGATGCTACCTTCAGGCATACGATAACTAGAAAGAATAAGAAAAGTCAATGAAGGTGCGCTAATAGCTGAACAAAAAGCAGGATCAAACATACTAGCATGAGTCTCACATGCTGTGCCCATCATTGGATTGTCGATCTTGGTATACACCATCACAGTCGTAAACCAAAGACACCCCAAGACATTTACCGAGTGTAAGAAAACAATCAGACGCCAAAGGTGTTTTGGCTTTGGCCGCAAGAGCGCAAGACTGTTTGCGATGTTCGCACGCGAAGATAGCGATATCGAGGAACCCTTGTCGGACACTTCTTTCTGCTTGGCGTTGAAGTAGGCAACGTATTTCATGGTCGGTATGGCTACCAGTCGCTCTATTACCAAGGCCACGAATAAATGCAGCGGAATCAAGGCTGTTAAGCGGAGAGTCCATATCAGATCAGATTTTGAGACGCCTAGGTGAAGATATGATAGCAGTACTCCGTACTAGACGTTCAATCGATTGGCGTCAGTCGATGCGATTTGTAAACAAGCCGGCAGTTTTAGATCCGCTTACCTTTGCGTAGTTTTCGATCATAAGCCGTAAATTACTGACGACTATCGTTTGAGAAATCGGTTAGATCTAATTGAGCCCACGGTAAAAGAAGTATAAATCAGGCAACCACGCACCAAGGACGATCATCGCAAGATTCTTGAGTCCAACAAAACTAGGAGCCGGGGTAGTAGACTCCCTCGAGAGTATACTGCCTTTGCTAGCACTGTGTATCGGGTATATATGATTGAATTTTGGCTGTTCTTGCTCCTTTTCCACCGGGGAGGAAGAAGGCGGCGATGGCGAACTGGACTGTGGCGTTTGATCCGCGTTGGAGCTGCTCGGGCGCCGGTCGAGAACGATCGGCTTGCGCTTCGTGATGTTGCCAGACGAACCGATAGCATCGATGCTCGTGCTGGTGACGCTTGTCGGCATTGTTTGAATGAATTGAGCTGTTCGGGGTGCAAAGAGAACAGAGAAAAAGGCGCTGAGGAGACTGGTGAACAAGCTCAATAGATTAGCGATGCATATCGGATCAACGGGTTGAGTGATCGAACGCGCCGATCTGCGGTATAAATGCAGACTGCAGAGTCTTTATAGGTCGCTATACAGAATAGCTCTTGGTGACCTGGAAATGTATCCAATTTTAGTGAGAAAAAATTCACAGGAAGAGATATTTTGGAACGAAAGCGAGGATGGCGCCGAGGTGAACAAGGCATCCTCGGATCTTGAAGGCACCAGCTCGGCTTCTGCCAGAGCCCCGCAGCCGCACGGGATTCCAATTATTTCGATTTTTCTTTTTACATTCTGCATTTTGTCTAGGAATTACATTGTCATTATTATTTACTGAACAATTTCCGCTGTCCTTTCTCTAGCTTCACCGTCTTCTTCTTCCTCTGCTGTTGTTGATGCTTACTGTTGCCCCTCTCTGTACTCTGAGTCCCACCATCGCCCGTAGACTCCTCCTGCTGTAGCTGCCGCGCCAGATTATCTGCATAGTGCCAATCGTGATGTTCCACTACTTCCGCTATATTTATACGGCTATTGCACACTTCGCATACAAACGTGTCGCCCTCGTCCTCCTCGGCATTTTGAACAGGAGGAGGTGAATGAAGTGGAGTTGCCGACGGCGAGCGCGAGCGCGACCGAGGTGTCGGCTCGGAGTGGGGCGCTTGCGGTTTGTTGCTACTCGTAATAAAAGACATTATTCCACCGCGATGCTTTTTTGGTGGAACTTCCACAATATTCTGACCCTCATTTGTAGTTGTTCGTGTCCGTTTCTTGTTACGGTCAGGACTAGAGCTTCTGACCAAGAACGCGTCGATAGCTTGATTTTTGGCGACTGATAAGTCAAAGCCATTCACCACGAAACTCATATGCCGAAGCGGATACATTGACTTTGCTTTTTCCTTCTCGATCTGCTTGTAAAGTGCGACCCCGGTGTTGTACAGGGTCTGCGATAGAGACTCCAGCGTGCAAGGTGGAATTGGCATCTGCTTCGAGAACGACAGGTTATTAGCATGCCTGGTGTGGATCACGACAGTCTTTGGCAATCTCAGGTTTGAGGTATTGCGCACGGCTTCCGCTACTCGAAACGAGATGTCGGCAACAAATGTCTGGATCCACTGTACTCCTTGCTCCGTAGTATTGATCGACGGTCTGAAATTCTTAGCCGACATCATCGACTTTGCCTCCACCCGGTCACTATTGACCTCGCTGTAATCTCGTCCTCTGATGATATCGTAGAACCAGCTCCCAGTCTCGAGGTCCAATGCATGCACGAGATCAGACTTTGGAATCGTAAGCAAAAACGGCACAGAGTTTTCCTCTGGCACGTTGAACGTTTTCGCGATCGAATCCCCAAGTTTTCCGCCCAATCCGCGGATTTTCGAAAAACTAAGCTCAGACAGAAATTGCGCGACCTTTGACTCTCGCAGCACAGTTTGTTGATTTGGCTTTCGATACCCGCTGCATAGCTTTGCGAGGAACTTGTTGGTTGAAATTCCCGCCGAACAGGTGTATTTCAGGTCTTGAAGTACTTTTCCACGAACGTCGGCCACGATGTGACTTGCGTGCATCAGCAAGACTTCATCCCAGTCAACCTGGCGTTCTTTGTCGGAGTCGTCGTCAACGGTCTGATCGTCCGACGACTGCGGGAAAAGATTGCCCTTCCAATTTAGGTCACCAGCCTTGAGCTCAGGTAAAGGCATATGGTCAGACAGGCGGCCTGTTTCTCGCTTGAGTTCGAGTAGAGCATGGATGGTAGGATATGTATCTAAAACGCAGCTGTAAAGCATTCGTGAGAGATCAAGAAATCCTTCATCGATACCCGCATGCTCAACTTTATCACATGAGTCGTAGAATATTCTGAAAATGCGCTCACTTTCGTGTCGATATTGATCGAGGGAGACTTTGTGGGTTGCGACGTCTGGATCTTCGTGGTACTTGTATTCGGTGTCGCCTTGCTTCCAGGTTGCAACATGAGCTAGGACAAGGTCGGGGCATTTCTTTTTGGCTTCGGTGACTGTTTCATGGCGTTTGATGTCAAATTTGCGAGCGGCACTGTGAAAAAGTTCAGATTAGAATATGTGAAAGGCTTAAGACAAAAGAATACGAGGAGGAAGGACGGACTAGTTGATGGCGATTAAGCCCTGCCATTGTTGGCAGGCCAGAGGTACATCAGGATCGAGACCGAGACGAACGGTTTCGCATTGTGCCTATATATATGATCACAGATTAGCCATATTTCTAGCTCTTCCCGTCAGCGTCAGACATTGAGCATACGTAGAAGGCGTCGAGATCGACGTGAGCGATGGCGCGTAGGGGACTTGAGACGGAGTATCGCTGGAGGGAGTCAAGATGGGCAAATGTGAACGCTGGTGATATTGTAAGGAGAATAGTTAGAGTAATGCAGACATCAATCAGTATAGACAGAACAATAGAACGGAATACCACTGCAATTTGCCATCTAAGGCGGTGATGTCGAAAGTATTTCAAGTAGAAGGATATTATAAAGCGAAATAAATAAAAATTAAATCGACGTCATTCCCCGCACGTGTTAATTACCGCTCTATTTGCCTATCGAGCACTACTTAAGCTGATGACTCTGCTCCTGTTCTTCTCTGTTCGCTCTTCCTCGCTCTCTTCCAGTCTGTTTCTCTCTGCAGACTGCTTCCTACCTCTCCTTCTCTCAAACACGCTCTCTTTCGCACGCGCACACACCATGCCGCTCGCGCGTCGCGTTGCATCACGTGCACTTCTCCGCAGTCCCAGCAGCATCCCCGCATTCGCAATGTTCTCGACCCTGTCCCGTTTCCCTCCTCCGTCCGTCGACGAAGAGGAGGCCTACATAGAGCAACAGGCTGCTCAGCTTGAAGCGGAGTGGGCTTCCCCGCGGTACAATGGCATAACGCGACCCTACTCGGCGCGCGACGTGGTCTCGAAGCGCGGAACACTCGGCCTACCGGCCCCGTATCCATCTTCCGTGCAGGCCGACAAGCTATTCGCCCTTTTCTCCGAGCGGGCGGCGCAAAAGCTACCAGTGCATACAATGGGAGCCATTGATCCTGTGCAGATGACACAGATGGCGGAGAACCAAGAGGTGCTCTACGTGTCTGGCTGGGCCTGCTCAGCCGTGCTCACGACCACGAACGAAGTCTCCCCCGATCTCGGCGATTACCCATACGATACAGTCCCTAACCAGGTCGACCGACTCTTTCGCGCTCAACAGCTACATGACAGGCGATCATGGGACGAATGGCTCTCGCTGTCTGCGGACGAGCGACGCGCTCGTGTCCGCGGCGGCAATCCCCGGATCGACTACCTGCGCCCGATAATAGCCGACGGCGATACCGGCCACGGCGGTCTGTCTGCAGTCATGAAGCTTGCAAAGCTTTTTGCGGAAAGGGGTGCAGCAGCGATTCATTTGGAGGATCAACTTCACGGCGGCAAGAAATGCGGACATTTGGCGGGGAAAGTCGTCGTTCCACCGTCAACTCATGTTTCGCGCTTGATTGCCACTCGCATGCAGTGGGATATCATGGGGTCACGCAATCTTGTAATTGCACGGACAGATGCTGAATCGGCTAAGCTGTTATCGTCTTCCGTCGATCCGGCAGATCACGAGTTTATTTTGGGAGTTTCCGAGCCGGTCAAGCCGCTGGCACAGGTGCTAGCCGAAGCCGAGCAGAGCGGGATCTCGTCTGCGGAATTGAACGCGCTCGAGAGCGAGTGGATGGAAAAGGTGAGGCTGTCAACGTTTGACGAAGTGGTTGCTGATAGACTGGCGAAAGATGGCAAGTCAGACCAGATTGAAGCCCACAAGGCCGAAGCCAAAGGTCTGTCGAACTACGATGCGCGCATAGTTGCTCAGAAATACGTTGGAAGCGAGGTGTTTTTTGATTGGGACGCACCCCGCACGCGCGAGGGACATTACCACGTGAGAGACGGGCTTGCACCGGCTTTGAAGCGCGCACTGATCTACGCGCAGTACGCGGACATGCTCTGGATCGAGACCAAGGGCCCGGATGTGAAGCAGGCGCAGGCGCTGGCGGCGGCGGTGCACGAAAAGTATCCCGGTAAATGGCTAGTGTACAATCTCAGCCCGTCGTTCAACTGGAGCGCACATGGATTTTCGGACGCGGACTTGAAGGAGTTTGTGTGGGAGCTGGGCAAGTGTGGGTTTGTGCTGCAACTGATTTCTCTGGCCGGATTGCACAGCGGCGCTACGGTAACTTGCGAGCTGTCGCGCCGGTTCCGGACTGATGGGATGAAGGCGTATGTCGAATTGATTCAGCGGAAGGAGAAGGAACTCAAGTGCGACGTGTTGACGCACCAGAAGTGGTCGGGAGCAAACTACGTGGACGGGATCTTGCAGAATGTACAGGGCGGAAGCTCGAGCACGAGCAGCGTGGGCAAGGACTCGACGGAGAACAGTTTTTGATAAACAAGCAGTCATTGTTGATCGAGGAAATTGAACTAGAATAGTAGGATGATTTATTTTCCGGTACCCTCTGCACCCTTGCGGACTTCCTTGAGGAACTCGAGCAGGCGTTCGCGAAGCTTTGTGGCCAGCGGGTCTCCGCCGGGAGGAGGCTGCATGTAATGTTAGCTGAGTGGTTGCTGATTGAGTAGGATTTACATACAAGCTGATCAAGAAGATACTCTGCCTCTTCGATAGACAGTATTAACGGGCCTCTGTTCATAGTGGATAGGACTGTGGATGATGGATGACGGGGATGAGGCTTAAGAGCACTCGGCGGAAGGGAAGCGGAGACGAGGTGATTAGTCAGATCTTACCAACTGCGGCTCCACTGCTCATGAGCAGTTGATTATTTTATTATGTGGTGCGGGGTAGCGCTGAATATCGATCTTCGAAGGCCTCAGCCGAGTTCCGTGAACTTCATATAAAAATGCTCTTTCTGTTCTTCGTCTTCCTCTTCTTCTTCTCTTCTGTTGCTGATTCCTGACATCCTCCTCCAGCTGTATTTCTCTGATCCACCTCTACGTGCTCTGCTCATTTCATGCTCCTCCGCTCTCTGCCCCGTCCCGTCACTTCCGCCCTCGCCAGCGCCCTTCCCTCCTTTCGCTCAATCATGACAGACAACCTCAGGCCCCAGCCAGACAAGGTCCTCACCGAGATTGCCGACTATGTCCACTCATACAAGATCGACTCCCCGCTCGCTGTCGAGACCGCCAGGCTCTGTCTGCTCGACACCCTCGGCTGCGGTCTCGAAGCTCTCAAGTACGATGCCTGCTCGAGATTGCTCGGCCCCGTCGTTCCCGGCACCTCGGTACCCGCCGGCACGCGCGTTCCTGGCACTAATCATCAGCTTGATCCCGTTCGCGGAGCGTTCGCGATCGGAGCCGCTATTCGCTGGCTCGACTACAACGACTGCTGGCTCGCCGCCGAATGGGGTCATCCGTCGGACAACCTTGGCGGCATCCTTGCCGTCACTGACTGGCTCTCGCGCTCTCACAAGCTTGACGGCACGTCGACAGTTCCGTTTGCCCGCCAGTTTAAGATTAGCGACGTGCTAGAAGCTATGATTAAGGCCCATGAGATCCAGGGAAACCTCGCGATCGAGAACTCGTTCAATGCCGTCGGGCTCGATCACGTCGTCCTCGTTAAGGTCGCGACCACCGCCGTTGTTTCTAAGTTAATCGGACTCTCTCGCGATCAGACTGTTGACGCTGTTTCTCAAGCCTGGGTCGATGGCCAGTCTCTGCGTACATACCGCCACGCTCCCAATACCGGATCGCGCAAGTCCTGGGCAGCTGGTGACGCCGGCTCACGTGCTGTCAACCTTGCGCTCATGGTCCAGAAGGGTGAGACAGGATTGCCGTCCGTACTGACCGCACCCACTTGGGGATTTTATGACGTTTTGTTCAAGGGGAAGCCGTTTGAATTCCAGAGACCGTACGACTCTTATGTAATGGAGAACGTCCTGTTCAAGATCTCCTACCCTGCCGAGTTTCACGCGCAGACCGCGGTCGAGGCTGCCATGACTATTCACGGCAAATTATCTGCATCCGGAAAGACATACAAGGACATTTCCTCGGTCGAGATCCGCACTCAGGAGGCGGGCAATAGAATTATTAACAAGAATGGTCCGCTTTACAACTACGCCGATCGAGACCATTGCATTCAGTACATGGTCGCAATCCCTTTGATCCATGGCCGCCTTACCGCCGACGACTACCACGACACCGTGGCTGCCGACCCAGCCATTGACCAGCTCAGAGAAAAAATGACTTGCTTCGAGGAAAAGAAGTTTACGGTTGACTACCACGCTCCGGACAAGCGATTCATAGGCAATGCTCTCAAGGTCACGCTTTCGGACGGCACCGTTCTGGAGGAAGAAGTCAATTACCCGATCGGACACCGTCTTCGTCGCGAGGAAGGAACTCCGGTCTTGCTAGACAAGTTTGAAAGACATTTGAAGGGTAGGTTTGCGGAGCAGCAGGTGTCAAAGATTTTAGAGAGGTCGGGTAAGGATATGCTGGATTTGAACGTGGACGAGTACGTCGATCTCTACGTGAAGGCTTAGTAAAACAATACATTGTTTATTTGCTGGAGAGAACATAAAATAGTATCATCACAAACGTAAAGGGAATAATAACGGCTGTTTCAGAGCTTGCTCTGCCTCTCTCTCAAGAACGCGAGGGTCTGCTGAATCCCGCCCACCTTCAAAAACATATCCTCGAGCTTCAGCGCGAGATCAATGTCACCCGCAATATGGATCCGACCTGAAGTAACACCTTTAAGCCCCGTAAGACTACCGGTGATGTACTTGACCAGATCCCGATCATCGAGTTCGATGACGACGGTCGACAGACGCTTCTTTGCCTTCTCTGCCAGCCCGGACGGGATCGCCTGGTGATGAACCTCAGGCAGCGATCTGCTCCCCGCACCGGGAAATAGGATCGACCACTCGTCCACAATCTGGCGCTGGCGCAGGATAGAAAAGATAAAGAGGCCCTGCAGCGACGCGGTCTCGGACGGGTTCTCTTTGAATCGCTTCTCGATTTCGGGAAAGAGCACGCTCGAGGTCTGTGTCATGCCTTAGTCAGCTCAGACTTGCTCAATCACACTGCAGGAAGGAAATCGACAACACCCACCAGTGGTCTGGATGACTTTGCAGCGCTCGGCTTTGATCCGTGAGGGGACTGCATGGTGAACAATAGAACGAGGAGAATGTGAAGAGGTCGAGACAGAGACTGCGAGGAATCCGAGATATGAATAAAAAAAAAAGTCCACTTTCACATGCTGCGTTTTGTTCCCCGCGCGAAGATCCTCTTTTGCGTCTGATTTACTTATTTTATTTTTATTTTTATTTTATTTACAACACAGGCGCTAGAAATACAATGCACATAACCGGTCTGCCAGCCATAATCACCAGACAGCAGACCCCACTTTTCATCATAAACAGACCAACTCAAACAAAGCAGTGATTTCAATCATAGGAAAATGAGTAAAACGTAAGTAGAAAAACAAAAGCAAAAACCCGAGCGCCGAGAACCAAATAAACGTGTCTATTAGTACCCATCAATGCTTGAACTATGAAGCCAGATGCATAGTCGAATCGCCCCAAATCTGGAACAGTTAACGGAAATAATCAAGATCGAGACAGCAAAGCGGAACAAAAAAACACAGAAACATGAAATAAGCAGCACAAAGATCATTTAGAGAATGAGCCACCAACCAAACATCAGGATGACAATCAAAACAAAGCTGGTGAGCACTCCCGCACCAGCCTTGTCTGCAGTTGTGATTACGTCGTCTGACGATGAATCGGTGTCGTTGTCCACGACCGAAGAGCCGCCGGTAGTCGCAGTCAGTGGGGGATCGACGCTACCTATCAGCAGGTTCTGCACAACCTCAAGCGCAGCCATCTCTTGACCGAGACCCCAGGTGTCATCCCAGCCCTTGTTCAGCCAGGTAGAGCCACAGGTGACGTTGTCGGTACCACCAACGCAGGACTGCGCGACACCGGTTGTGGTAGTGGTCAGGTGGTTCATGATTGTGTCGTAGGTATCGAGAACAAGAGAGGCAGTGAGACCCAAGTATCGGGCAAGGTATGCCTTGAATGAAAGCTGATCGGTGTTGCAGTTGCCTCCCACTTCGCAAGCGGCTTCGTACATGATACTGGAGTTTGAATCGAAAAAGACGCCGATTCCGGTGAGAATGTTCCAGGTTCGGTTGTACCATAGCTCGTCTTCGGTGTAGTTGTAAAGGAATGCAGCACCAGCGAGGAAAATGGCGGCGTTGTAGGACCACTGCAGTTCGTCGATATCTGTACAATTTTCGGAAATATCCGCACCGTCGTAAAAGAAATAATACTCAGTGTTTAAAAAGCCAACGTCTTCGGTCCAGTTGTAGGCACGTTCAGCCCACTCAACATAGGTGTCGTTTGAAGTATAGCGCGCGAGTCTGGCGGCGATCAAAAACAAGCCAGCATTGGAAATTGTGTTTTTGTAGTCGTAACCGTCGTTCCAAGTGAAGATTTGCCAGCGGAGACCACCGCCGCAGTTAGCGGAATCCCAACGATTAGCCATAGAGTTGAAGCCATTCTCTGCCAACGTAAGCCACGAGGGGTCGTCGTCGCCGTCAGGGTTTGAGAAATTTCGCTCGCAGGCGGTGAGGGCGGCAAAGATCCAGAACGCCTGATCGTCGTTACCTTCGGTGGTAGACTGGTTGCTCGGAACGTAATTGTTGTCGTTTCCGGTCTGGTAGAGGAGCGAGGACTTGACTTGGTCGTTGTAGGTGGTGTCGCCGGTTAAGTACCAGTAACCGAGGAGGGTATCCCAGGCCGCGCCAGCCTCCCACCAGTAGTAAGGATCGACGAACATGCCCGGGGTCTCACCAGACTGATTTCCGTTGTAGTAGGACATCATACCGTGGGAAAAGACGAAGGCGGCATGCTTGATGGAGTCTTTAAGAAAAAGTCATTTAGTGAGCAGGCTAGGAAGGGGGTGGGGAGGAAAGAAGGCAAAACAACGATACCTTCGTCGCCGACGTCGATTTCGATCGCAGTTGCCCTGCAGAGTAGGGCCAGAAGAGTAGCGAGGAGAACGGGCAGGGAAAGCATGGTGCCGCTAGAGAACGAAGAGGAGCCTGGCGGGAAGGGCAGCGGAGCAGGAGCAAGAGCAGAAGCAAGAGCAAGAGCAGGAACAGAAGCAAAAGAGAGGAGGAGGAGCCCCGAGGAGAAAAAGGGCTTTCGGAGCGGTCGGTAGTGGCGGTGCCAGCGCGAGCATAATTCTGGGTCTCGGAACAGATTGCGACTCGCCAATTTGGGACATTTGATGACGTACGCATTCTTCTTTAATACCTCAGCGCTCCTTGCTATTCCTGGCCTCTCCGGCGCGTTGGTATCTGCTCACTCAGCAAACTCCCGCAGCGCATAATCTCGCTATTGTTGTCAAATTCCTCCGCCTGTGCTCTTCCTCACGGTGCCAACAGTGCATCCTCCGACCTCAAAATCTCGCACCCGCCCAGGGTCCATGTCACGTGACACTGTACCTGACCCCTGTGCTTCCAGACCTGCGTGCGGCGTGCGGCGTCACACCGGAGAGCCGCGCCGAGAGTGGCACCCGGTTGACTGTGCACTTTTGCGTTCAACGACGTCACAACTGTCACATCTCCTTAAAATCCTCCTCGGCCCTCTCTTTCTTCTTCCCCGCCGCTCTCCAACCTGTCTCTCGTCCATCCAACCTGCTCTAAATCATCATACTCACCATGGCCGACCAAGCTCACACCGCCGTCGCGGAGCCCCAGGTGCTCCCCCGCTTCCCCGAGATTTCGCTGGCTCCCGGCCCCATCGAAGATCAGCTGCGTGATCTCTACGCATCTCAGCACACCACTGGCGTATGCACCTCTACTTCCACTGTCACAGCCCACTTCCCCCCTGCAGTTGCTAACCAGACCCCCTTACTTCCTCTCGCAGTCTTTCGAAGATTTTGTCAAGCAAATCTCGGAGGTTTCTACCTCGCATTTGCCCTCTGACACCTCGCATCCCTTCAGCCACTATTACATCTCGTACGTCATACTTCTGCTCCTCCACTCCCCTTCTCCCAGTTTCACACCTCCTCACTAACCTGTACCCCAGATCTTCTCACAACACATACCTCACCCAGAACCAGCTTTCTGGAAAAGCCTCTGTTGATGGCTATGTCAACGCCCTTCTCAGCGGCGCGAGATGCATCGAGATCGACGTCTGGAATGGAAAGAATGGCAACCCCAAAGTTGTGCACGGCTGGACTCTGGTCCATCCAGTAGATTTCAAGGAGGTAAGCAGCTTATCCTGTCTTTAAGATCTTGATTATATACTGACACTTCACCCACAGGTTTGCGAAGCCATCGCAGAGAATGCCTTCAAAACCACGCCTTTCCCGCTCCTTCTCTCGCTCGAGACCCATTGTGATCACGCCCAGCAGGGCGCAATGGCAGAAATCATGCACGAGACTTTTGGCGATATGCTTCTCAGCCGTCCTTTGAACCCCTTCAAAGTGCTGCCTTCGCTCGAGGATCTCAAGCACAAGATTCTTGTTATTGTACGTCGATTCCCCCCTTTGTTGTCCTACGCCGCCGTCCATTAACGTCGATTCAATCTAGACTGCTTCCATGACCGAGAAAGAGGATGCCGCGGCCGCTGGAAGCCAGTCTCCCAAAACTGATTCCGACTCTAGTTCCGTCAAGTCAAATGGCTCGGACTCGTCGTGCTCGTCCGAAGAGGCTAGTGCGCCTGCCGAGCAATCTGACGAGGTAGAGAAAATCGGTGATAACTCCGTCAATCCCAGTCTTGCAGCGCTGGGAATCTATGCTATCCCTCGTCCGTTTGAGAATCTATTCAACAAATGTACGTCTTAACTCTTCCCTTCTGCTATCCTTCTTGACTTTCTCGGATCTAACTCCCCCCCTCCACAGTCTCTCTTGAGTTCAATCACATCCACAATGTCTCCGAGCGCATGTTCTCCAACCTCCGCAATAAGCCTCCCCCTGACTCGGACGTGAAAGATCTCCCTGACGAAGACAAACTAACGCCCAGAGCGGTCATCTTGCACAACTCTGCATATCTTATGAGGATCTATCCGAACGGCTACCGCTTCAACTCTTCCAACCCTTATGCCCCTCTGTACTGGGCATACGGAGCTCAGATTGTCGCTTTGAATTGGCAAAAGGTCGACAAGGCGAACATGCTCAACCGCGCGCTCTTTGAGGGGACCGGCGGCTATGTTCTCAAGCCCAACTGTGCCAACAACGACGGCCAGAGCTTCGACACTTCGCTCAGCGATGACATTCACGAGCTCGCTCATAAATTCAAAGAGTCTCTCCGTCTTCGTCCTTCATCTGACAGCAAGAAGTCCTCTCCTGAGGTGAAGGAATCGACGGAATCAATCACGCAGCTTACCGGAAAGCTGAAGGTGCGCGTCATTGGCGTTCAAAATATGCCGATTCCGAGTGTGAGCAAGATCAAAGACCCTGAGGAGTTGAAACCCTATGTGAAGATCGAAGTCATCCAAGCTCAGGTCGAAGACAAATACCTCGACAAGATTGGTATTCCTCCAAAGTCCGCCGTTCTCAAGGAAACCACGGACCGTTCAAAGACTCTGAAAGGCTCGACCGTTGTCTGGGATAAGTCTGAGACTTATGACGTTGCAAGCGAGCTCTCGTTTGTCCGAATCAAAGTATATAACAATGATGGTCTATTTGGCAAGAACGATCCCTCCCTTTGGTGGGCTATTCGTATCGGCAACTGGAAGCCTGGCTATTCTTTGATCCGTCCTTATCTGATGAATGGAGAGATTGCTGATTCTTCTGTCTTGCTCCTTGTTGAGCTATCATGGGTCTAAGTTGATATTTATTCATAGTGTTTCATGGATTCTGTTTCCATCTTCTGTTAAATATCTTTACAGCAGCTATCAATAAGACATTGCTGATTCTCTTATTTTCCTTGTGGTCTTGTGTCATATATTTTCACAGTAGCTATCAATAAGATGTTGCTGATTCTTTTGTTTTCCTTGTGGTGGGGGTACACTGATGCCAAGTTGGTCCTTTTTGTTTGGTCTATTATATTATTTGTAGTGATTTTTCCATGTACTGTGAATTCTTGTAAATTGTTTAAGCAGCTAGCAATGTACATACAGTGAATCTATTTATCTAAACCAATGATGGCATAGCTTCAAATTTATAACAATAATGCAGCTTCAACAGTCTTAAATCAATTTTCCTTTCTAACTTGAAGGGTCAGTCACTTAAGCACATGGATCAATGAATTATCGCATCTGAAACTGTATCCCCACCTATGAGCGCACATTTAATCACATTTTATGGACAGACAAAGTCTCTCTGCATTTGTCAGATATCTTCAAACCACTGGTTATCATCAACAAACCTCTCTCACACAGAACCAGAGGGAGCATGGCTTTTTGGGCTCCCATTCAAATTTGTATTCTGCGACGATAACCGCCTTAGCGAAGGCCACAGCTTGGACATAAAAACCAAGACTGTCAAACCAAACTATCAGTTTCTTCACAGATGCCCTTAATGTCCTGAAACGCCTGGAGAAGCCTCGGCGCGCTTCAAATCAACGGCAAGCTACTGTTATCTATCAAGCCATCAACAGACTGTCCGAAACCAACACAAAAGTCTCCATTTATTGGCTTCGCTCTGCTACCAAAGTTGAGGGCAGCAATCACGCTCTTGGCTTAGCCACTCAAGCAGCCTCGTCGCCAGACAATGTCAACCATGACTGTTCATTGCGCTTCCTTTATAAGCTAGTCGATGACCGCGGTTTTTATGAATGGAATGCCCTGTTTCAACACGAGGTTTTCAGCATCTATGAAGGCAAACCTCGGCTCTCTATTAACAAAGCCCTTGTGGATATCTCGCGCAGTATAGCCAGCTATATTGTTAGCTTCCGAACTGGACATGGCTTCTTCAACAGCTACTTTGCAAGACATGGTAGAGAGCCTCGTCCTTCTCCAGAGTGTTGGTGTGGAATCCCGCTGCAGTCAGTCCAGCATGTGCTTCTTCTTGTCACCACCACAAAGATGAACGAACTAGCGCCTTTGAAGTTATCACTATGGCCGAACGTACACTCAACCGCATTCTGTGGACAGACAAAGGTCTTTCTGCACTTGTCAAATACCTTCAGAAGACCCACATTGGCACTGGTATCATCAGAAACCGCACTCACACAGAGCCAGAGGGATGAGTTGTGAATCAATCGTTTGGTGGATGATTTGAGAGTGGGACCTGGTGACCTGGAGTGGGATGGGTAACACTGAAGCCTCTTGAGGAAGTCGATAGCCTGGATGATTATTATTGAATCTGTTTGAATTTTTATCTGATTTGAAATATTTGAAAGTGAATTTTGCGAACTTTCTTTGCGTTATTTTTGACTTGGAAATTTATTTGTTATTGATTTATTTGTTGTTGTGACATGATCTCAGGATCTATTTTGTTTTATTATATAGTGGAGAAGTGCGAGATAGTCTGTCATAACCTAGTTGTTGCAACGGACCTAAACCAGAGATTTATCATCATCATCATCTTCGAAAAGGGTTCTTCAAGGGTTAAGCAGACTAGTAAGGCACGTTTCAAAGCCTCTGGTTGTAGTTTGAATCTGAAGGCCCAGGTTCTTTCCAACGCGTCCCATGTCTTGCTCTGCCGGTAAAACCTTCCATGTATGCCAATATAAAACAAAACTTCATATTCCTAGGTTGTAAATACATCAAACAAAATTATTTTCTTCTCTCTTGGTCAATAAATTTGAAGCAATTTGTGAGGGAATGTTGTCAAACATATCAATTGCTCATCCTGTCACATAATGTACTTTCGCAGTCAATATTATATGCCTTCATAGCAATTCTACAACTCCGCTTTTTTTTTGTTCCCTTCTAGCTAGCTTAATAAATAAAAGTTTTTCACTTTCTCTTATAGTGGATGCCATGGTTGGTTGCTGTGGGATGCTGCAGAGAAGGAGGAATTGTCAGATTTTATGTTGAAGCATGCCGCTACAAGGGGCACGGCATTATAACAAAAGATCGTGTCAAAATAACAGATAATTTGTTGTAAAAAAATCTCCTCAAGAATAACACAAAAAAATCATGTAAAAATCATGACACATATTTCCAAGAAATGATAAAAATTCAAAAATTCAATTATAGATATGATGATGATGATGCTGAATCTTCTCGTTATCTTTTACATGCAACAATAAGGTTATGCCAGGCTGTTTCCAATTAATGCCACTAATGTTTTGCCTCTATTTCTTAATCCAATTTGAATTTTTCATCTACTATATTTAGATAACCAAGTACATGATGATGATGATGATGATGATGATGATGATGATGATGATGATGATGATGATGATGATGATGATGACAATGATGATGAATCATTTTATTATAGTCTATTGCAACAACTAGGTTATGACATACTGTCTCCAACTTCTTCCACCAAAGTTTAATCTCCATTTTCTGATCCAGCTTCAATGATGATGATGATAAATCTTTGTTTTAGTGCATTGCAACAACTAGGTTATGACAGACTAACACCCCCTTCACCGCTATATAACAAAACAAAATAGATCCTAAGATCATGTCACAATAACAAATAAATCTCCAAGTCAAAAATAAAACAAAGAAATTTCGCAAAATTCACTATAACATATTTCAAATAATAAATAAGTAAAAATCCAAAACAATTCAATAATAACTTTCCAAGCTATCAACGTCCCTAGGAGGCCTCACGGCTACTCCTCCTCCTCAATATTGGCGATGCCCGCTCTCAAATTCACCATAAAATTAATCCATAACTCATCCCTCTGGCTCTGAGTCAGAGACGTGTGCTGATGATACCAGTGACCAGTGCCAACATGGATCTTCTGAAGATACTTGACAAGTGCAGAAAGACCTTTGTCTGTCCACAGAATGCGGTCGAGCATGCGCTCAGTGATATTAATACTTTCAGAAGCACTAGTTCGTTCATTGCTGTGATTGGGACAAGAAAGAAGCACATGCTCAAATGACTGCAGTGGAACTCCTCACCAACAGTCTGGAGATCCAGCTTCAATTTTTCATCCCCTTGATAGGAAATTCAAGTATGCCTGCTTGAAGTGGAGGGCAGGCTTTCCAGTAGGTGCTTCAGTTCAACCATTGCCACAAAGGAAAGGTGTGTAGTAAAGTCCATAGTATTATCCATAAAATCTGGGGGATCTCATTTCTTTCACTGCTTTGTTGTATACTTGGTGCTACTGCAGTGGGGTGTTCAATATGAATTTTGCAACCAAGACTATTTTTTGCCAAGAGTCATTATTGAGGTGAAAATTGGAGGTGTTCAATATTAGACCGAAATCCAGGAAAAGCTCACAAGTGGGGCACAAACCGAGGATCTGAAGGGAACCATGCAGCAGCTATACCGCAGGCCTATACCACTGCTCCCCATAGCTGAGTACATCTGCCTGAACTGGAGGACAGGCTATCTATAAGATGCTTCTATTCAGCCGTTTCCACAAAGGGAAGGTTTGTAGTAAAGTCCATAAAATCCAGGGGAGCTCATTTCTTTCACCGCTTTGTTATAAACCTGGTGCTACTGCAGCGGGGGTCTCAACACAAATTTTGGTGACCAAGGCTATTTGTTTTCAAAAATTATCAAGGTAATAACCGGGGGTGTTCAATGCTAGGTTAATATCCAGAAGCAGCGTTAAAGTGGGGCGGCTTCAAACATAGCTATAAAGAATAAAATGCAGTGGCTATACTACCCACTGGGCCATATCACTGCTTGCTCATGACAAAGTAGGGTTTCCGTAGGGTTTATTTAGGGCTTCAAGTAGGTTCTGATTCTGATCAACAGCTAACGTAACTCCCAAAAGATTTGCGCATCCCTAGGGTTCCGCGCGCCTCCACTTTAAATTCCACTCCCCCTCTTTTCCACAACATTCTGTTGAAGTTCGACTGCCTTAGCAGACATAAGTTCTCCAATTGCAGCAGCGGAACTCATAGTGTCAAGTAATAATGGAGAATGAATCTATTCAGAAGGCTACTTGTGGATCAGTAAACAATAAACAAGAGAACGGGAGTAGCCCGGAATAGTAAGGAGTAAGACTGATAGCAAGTAGGAATGGTAGGAGGGAGAGGCAGGCTCCTTATAAGCACAAAAAGGGTGCGGCTCAGAGCTCAAAGACATAACAAAAACTTGGTGAGCGTTTTGAGCCGCACAACAGCCGCACATAATAAACTCTCTTTCAAGAACACTTTGACTTGATACTCACTGACAGCTTATCTTCATACTAATGGATTGATGTCTGAGATAAATCCATCTTTAGAGCTGAACTTCTGGATATTCTTCTGTTCAACTTTTGAATTCTCTCCCACATCTTGGGTCAGAGACACATGTGAATCCTCTTCTTTCATTCACATCCTTTCATACTACCTAACATAACTCCTCACATATTACAACCTCCCTAGGAAAAACTCCCCTCTGCGGTAAAAATTCGACCCCCACAACTCGCAAGAACAATCAAACAAGTAATATGGCAGAGGAAAGCTCGTCCTGGGACGGGCCGCCTGAAGCCTACTCAGAGCAGCCCCAGTCAGAGTGTACTGACCTGGTGGTGGCTCCAACCAGAGAAATGTTGAGTTTTTTGCCCTCAACTCCGACTCCAATTATTGGCCTCAAACGCCAGAAACCGTCGGAACAATCGCCTACACCGCCTCGTCCTGGTCCTCAAGCGATGCAGGAGACTGGATTGCCCCCTCTCTTTGAAAATGGGGACCCGGAAGACGCTCTATTCGCTGAAAACGAATACAACGCGCACCGCCAATCATCGGATTTGCCACCAGACGGACTGGCCTCTACACCGCCCCATCGAATCCATGAAAGCGCGGAAGCGGGATCTACTGAATCTACGAACGCCAAGGACTACGAAACCATCTTGAACAACCTAATTGCCATCGAATCTGACGAAGATGCGATGTCTGAAGAAGGTGAAAATTTTTCCGCTTCTCCAGATGATCCGACATCATCACCCCAACCGACACCTGACCGCGGGGGGAGCAGTGATATGGCCCAGCGGTATGGCCGCTGCATTGCTCCCTTAAGATCCACGGTTCGAGCCCCGCTTGTGAGCTTTTCCTGGATTTTGGCCTAATATGGAACAC